TTAGATTTAGAATGTTAGTTAGAGGACATCTTAATTATTTCTTAATAGATTAATAAAGAAGGAGAAGCTAATATAGTTATTCTTCTCTTCTTAAGTAAAAAGATAGTTTCTTTTATATCTTTCTTAAGTCCTATGCATAGATTAATAACTTCTTTATCTCTAGGGGTAAGGGTTACTATTATCTTATTAGAAATTAATTAGAATAGTAGTTAAGAGATTCTTACTAACCTTATTATATCTATATAGTATCTACATTCTATTAAGAATCTCTTATAGTTTAAGTCTTAGAGTTAGTAAGGTAGACTAATTTCTAGTATTTAGTAAAATAGCTTTAGCAGTTATTATAGTAGATCCTTACTAAGTTAGTTCCTATAGCGAAACGCTAGGATTCTAGGTTTAATAAAGATAAGATTATAGAAGACCTTGTCTTAAGGCCTAATGCCTTAAGACTAGAGCTTAGCTACTAGATGAAATTGTAGAGGGGACTGATTAAATTTAATGAGGCAAGAGCCTCGGCTATATAGCAGTCTTAGCGGCACTTGCCGTGAAATCTATGAAATAACACATGTTATGGACAGTGTTTAAGGCATGACCCTGTCTCTCGGTAAGTTTCGAGTCGCGTCCGTTGCAAATTAGCACATATCCTCGCTATTCGTCTTCGGGATTTGCACACAGATAGAAACACACATAATAAAACACGACCGTGACAATGATGATTTATCGTGATTGACTGCTTCCAAATTCGATCATGATATATAGTCAAGAACTGGAGAAGGAAAACAACGACCAAAGCAAGATGAGATATTACACAATGTGAGGATAAGAAAAAGACATTAGGTATTGTGTGTTGCTCGTTGCTCGCATAAGGCATCAGAAAAAACCAGAAAACATGGGTAGTAATGGTACAACCAAATCAGATGACATTACGAAAAAGGCGGTGTGCTAAACACCGTCCAGACAGGCCCTGCACTCACTTGTCAAAGTGGCAGGCCTGTGGAAATGGGGGGATATCATGAGCGTGAGATAAAAAAGACAAGGAAACTCGTAAACAAAGAGCTGTTTCTAGAGTGTGTCGATCTTTTTACTCGTACTCCTCCTTGACGCGTCTCTGGCTCTCCGAGTCGATGAAGCTGCCACGGGAGCGGGTGCTAGCCTTGCGACCGAACATGCCGCCCTTGCGAGGAGTGGCGCTGCTAGACTTGGAGACAGCACCGCCAACGCAGAAGAGAACCATGGCGAGGAAGTAGGCGGCAAAGGCTGCCCAAGTCCATCCGAAGGCGTAGGCACCGATTTTGGCACTCTGTCCGTTGCGACGGAAGGCGTTGCGACCTTGGACGAAGCATGCGCTGAAAGGAGAGAAGTGTCAGTACTTGTGGAGAATCAAGACTGTCTTGATGTTTGAACTTACGTCATGAGAGAGGCAGCAAGGGCCTGGAAGAAGACAGCGATGGCGACAGTGAGGCCAGAGAGGTAAGAGCCAAGACGGGTGCAGAGAGCAAGGAGACCAGTGAACAAGGCAATGGCAGCGAAGAAGAGGGCGATCAGGTAGAAAGCGAACATGAAACGCGACAGGTAGTAGTAGTGGTGAGTTCCGATGAAAGCTCCAGGAACGCCTTGGGTGCTGCCAAAGTTCTCTGGAGGGTTGAAAGGCAGGGCAGGGACGGGAGCACCGCAGTTTGCGTTAAGGCCATTCTGAACACCGCAAATGTAGAAGAAAGTCCAGCGAGAGGGGTTGCGAGGTGCGGCAGTTCCTGCCGTGTCGACCTGAATGAAGTATGTCTTGTTGAGAGGAGTGGTGTTTGACACGCCGGACAGGATGACGAAGAACTGGAAGAGAAGTCCGGCGGCCACAAGAATGAGGGAAACCAATCCCAGGACGGGTCCTATAAGCTATGTTAGTGTCGCAAGTGGTTTCGGGCTTGAATGGAGAAACATACGCGCTACGGCCATTGTGTAGATGTGTGTCGGAGGTCGAGAAGCTATTAATTAATGCGTGGCCTAGGGTAGGGCAGTGGTCGGGGGGCTGGTTGTGGGGATGGCTGGTGTCTGGGAAGAAGACGATAGTTCAGGGCAGGTCACAGGGTGGTTTAAAGAGTCGTCGCACGAGTCGTCGGCGTTGGTGACGTGAAGAGCAGCCTTTTTGCTTTGACCTTGTCTGAGAGCTGGAACAAGGTTCGGCTGCCAATTGCTGCTCCCAGATGACGTCGCCTGAGCTCGCTCTTGCGCTAGACGGTGCCAAGGCGCGGGAAGAGGTTCACTGTCGATACTGTTTGGATCCACAAAGGGTCTGCAGATGATTCGTGCCTGAACGCTCTCAGATCGAGTTTCTATGAAGCAAAGATCTGGCGCTGCTGAAGGCTAACTTTTTGATGCTGTTTGTATGTGTCGAGGTACAAAGAAGATGAGCAGTTGGGATTGAGATTTGATTGCACATTCCACGGGTGCGAACGTCGGTCTGATGACGGTCTCCAGGGATACAAGGATCTGCAGTGATTCAAGCCACAACCGTCAGCTCGTCCAGGCCCAATAAATGGCGCCCCGACACACGACACCGACTGTCCAAGCCATCGCAAGGTGGCTCTACCACGCCAATCTTGTCCATCATCTCGACCATGTTGTGCGAACGAGTCTCCATTTCAAATGCCCCAGCCACGAACCCGTCCCAAGGCGCAGACCAACAAGACAACCTTACTAATGTGGCTGCACTCACTCTCCCAAGCTCCAAGTCCGGACTTGAGGATGTGGCTCTGTCAGCAGTACCACAAAAACCTGACTCTCGAGTCCATGCTTCTCAGCCAACAAAGTCTACAACTTTGAGCCTCTGATCCCAATGAAACTTGCCTTTCGACTTTTCTTGACCTCAGATGCTGTCTTGGGTGTCACGTCACATCCAAGAACAGGTCCACTACACCTCTTGGTCCTTCGTCGTCTACTGGCCTTCGCACTAACAACAGACTTGCATACCATATCCAATTGGACTTGGACAAAATCGAAGACGTCTTCACTGTTGTTGCACTGAAGGCATGGTCAACGTGGAGGTCATAGCCGAGAGTCAGGGTTGACGCGACAGACCCTGACACGTGCTCGGAGCTCGTCTACGAGCGCTGCCTACGATGAAGCCCAAAACTTCTTCGAATCTCACGAGATTGGCGACCAAAGTCAAAATCATAGAGAAGGCAAGAGTCAGGCTGCGGACTCAATCGATGCAATGACCAGGTCGAAAGCACTAGAGCTCGCAATTGAGCTGAGTGCGAGTGCGCTAGATATCGCCATGCGCAAAGAACAGGTAAGAAGACGCTGACGATTTCTTCATCTCAAAGACTTATCGAGAGGTACCATCAGACCTCGAACCATGCGAGATCGAGAGTCTTTGAATCAATTTGTAGAAGATGGCTCAGGGGAGATTTGACGCAGCACAGACCAAGTGCCCATCAGGTCGTAAGGCAAGCAAAACTAGCCGCCAAGATGCACGCAGGACTGAACAACCGCGCGGCTAAGTATGAACAGCACTTCGTCTTTCATGCAAACCGAGCAGAGGTGTATTCGAGACTGCAAAGCTGGTACAGATGCTCCTGTTGAGCAGCACTGCATGCATCCATGTCTTAGGTCAATTAGAGCATACTCTAGAACTATTGCCCCTTTCACTACCCGCTGCTTGTCTGTGCCGTCGGGAGGCTTGTATCTGCAAACCGTTGCTGCAAAGGAAAAGCAGAACAGAGTGAGGGGCGTGTCGATGGCGCGTAGAGTTTATGTAGATGATAGAGAATGCAATTAATATACAATAGCTGGTTGTTCGCGTATTTCATGAATGCAGCTCAGGCGAGATGATCCTACCAAGTCGTATCTTGATGTAAAGATTTGTCTTGCGACGACTCGTGACCTCAAGAGACTGCGGCAAAGAGTAGTCAATCAAATCTCTGCCAAATTTGATATGACGTGGATGCAAGAAGATGCTATGGATGGCGTTTTCGCATATATGAACAGGTCATTAGACTTGTGCCGCTTTATGATGCAAAGATGGTCTGCAGGCGGAATACCTATGTCTTCATGTACACGGCTGACGGCGCTGTGAATGATGAGGATAGACAGACAAGACGGTAGACGACGGTTATGCAGAGATTACAACGTTTGGGAAATGGATAGTGATACTTGCCATGACAACGCGGGGAAAAGGTTACGTCTATCAGGCAGACTAGACAATGGACCTCCTGAAGCGCGTAGAAATGTTGTTGAAGGCGTGACACGATGGAGGAGGGCATGGTGTATTGTTGATTGGATGGCTACAGAAGCGATGGAAGAAGCATGGAACAAACAGATGTCAAGGATGTGTCGAATCTCTGGTTGCGGTGAAATTAGCTTGACTCAGGGCGCGTGCGCTGTGTGGAAAAAGGTTCGGGTAGCGCGGAAATGCAATCAGGGGGACCTTATGGCCGTTTCATACAGCGAGAGCCCTTTGGCTGCCTCACTGGACCGTTGATGGGTTTTCGAGGTTGCTACTTGGTTACTCGAATTGCACGTCGTGGTGAACTCCTGAAGTTGCGTGTGCAGAAAACGACAACGTCTGGTTGAAGCGAAAGCGACGATATCATCAGTCTCATTCCTTTGGCTGTTCTCGACGCGTCCCTTCCTTATTTACTGCTTTTCCCGAACAGCAGCCATACTGCACGCTGCTTGCCTGTTGTCTGCTCTCTAGGTCAGAGCGACATGTTATAGACGAACAAAGGGATTGCTGGTCACCCTCGATTGCATTTTACACACGACACGTACCACGACATCATACCCCTAGAATATCAACAATACACGCTCCGCTAGAAATGGCCCTCGAAACATCCGCCGAGACGCCTTTCTCGCCCGCCTTCCCACACCCTCACCACACACAGACAGATTCTCTGGTCAGCGTGCCACTCACAGACTCGGCCCTTGGCTCTCCTATCGACGAAGCTACCCCTAGACATGGTGCAAACGACGATGACGAGGTACCCCAAACAACGACTCTGTTCGCAACCACCCAAGTACTTACCCAGCCACAGCACATGGCCGCTCTCCTCGCCCGTCTCGAAATGGAGAACAATGCCCTCGCTACCGACCCCAAGGCTGGCATCACCACCGTAAACGGCGTCAATCACGACCGCAATGCTTCAATTGGCGGTGCCTCGCTACTCAGTCTACACATCCCTAAGGAGGCCCTCGGCATGAGTCTAGGCGACTTCTGGGCCTTTGTCACCCGCGACTACGAAGAGGCCCTATCCTCTATGCCTACAATGACGCCGATCATGATACACAGAGGAGTGCCAGACTTCCTGAGGCCCGTTGTTTGGGTAGGCATTGCTGGAGCACGACAAGAGAGACTCTATTCAGAATTCGATCGTCTGCTGGCACAAATCGAGAGCGCACCACCTACTTCGGACACTATCATTGACAAGGACGTTGGTCGCTGCTTCCCCAATCACCCTCTCTTCGCCCAGGCTGGCGGCGAGGGTCAGACAATGCTCGGCCAGGTCCTGAAATGCTACAACTTATACGACGCCGAGATTGGCTACTGCCAGGGAATGGGCTTTATTGTTGGCATTCTGCTCATGAAGATGGATGCCAGAGACGCTTTCTGCGTCTTCGTCAGACTTATGGAGAATCACGGACTTCGCGACTCCTACTCACACTCGTTGACTGGTCTTCACTCACGTATCTTCCAGTTCCAACAGCTACTTACCCCATTAGCCCCCAAACTTGTCGCACACTTTAAGAACTTGGGCGTTGAGTTTGCTTACCTTTCACAATGGTTCATGACAATCTTCGCCACAACATGCCCTCTGGACACTCTTTTCCGCATCTACGATATTGTTCTCGCAGAGGGTGCCGATGAAACAGTCATGCGTGTCGCCTTGGCTGTCATACTGAAGAATGAGCAAAAGCTACTGGCCATGGCCGAATTGGAGGACGTGTTGCAGCTGCTTCTTTCTCGCGAGATCTGGGAGCCATACGAGAACAACCCGGACCAACTCATCGAAGAAGTGACCACCCTCTTTAAGCAGGTTGTTACTCGCGACGCTCTGGACAAGCTCGGCAAACAGTTCCTCAAACAGGCAGAAAAAGGCTCGGCAGACAAGACCGTTCGCGCTCTAGGCTTCACCAGCACTTATGGAAACGCGTTCAGACTCTTCGACTTCTGGTCTACGTCCAAGAGTGACTCCCTTTCGCCAGCTGCACCTCTTCGTCGCAAAGCATCTGGACAATCCCTTTCCACTCTCAACTCCATCTCAGGGAGCGGAGCCAGCATGGCAAGCACCGACAGCTATGCCAGCACCGCGCCCACAGAGGTTGACGACCTCGAAAGAGACAGTGCTACTCCAACGAAGCCTCGCAAATCCTTTGTTTCGCAAGACAGGAACTTGCACGAACAAGTAGAGGGTTTGTTGATTGCACTTAGTGAAGTGCAACGCGAGGCCGCCCAGACAGCAGCGAATCTGCAGAGAGAGGAAGCCAGAAGAGTCAGAGCGCAAGAGATTGTTGCCGACTTGCTTGAGCTGTTCCGCGAGAAGAAGACCGTGGATGCTTATCGTAGACAGCGTCGCACTACTCTGCCTTCAAGAATCGACCATGAGAAGACTCGAGAGGAGATGACGGCACTGAAAAGACAATCCAACTTTGTCAGATCAGTGACCCAAAGTATCATTGCCGGCAATGTTGCTGGCCAAGATCGAGATGCTGGTCTCCATTCTTCTTTGCTGAAGCTCTGTGCTCTTTTCGATGCCGAAACATCACTCGACTCTGACAGTGGTTCTGAGAATGGCGAGACTCCACCTTCGCAAGCGCCACTTCCTAGTGAGTACACAGTCAAGCTTGAAAACGAGCTCCAGAAGCTGCGTCAGCGCGTAGCTAAGGACCGCACGTATCGCCACATGAAGAGATCGTCAGATCTCAAGGACGCTCGTTTGTCCCTCAAGGCAGGGGAAGCACCTTCCTCTGAATCCATCAGAGTCCGACGCTCCCTCTATCGTCGCCATGAGAAAAAGGCTTCTCGCGATCTCTCAGGCTCATTCCCTGACATCACAATCTCTGTGCCTCGCGTACGACCCCACCAAGCTCTACCATCTCCTCGCTCAGCCACTCAACAACATCGCCCTGGTCCTCCTCTCCGCATGATCAGATCACAGGATGGAACTGAAATCCTCGCGAAGCCCCAGAAGTTCGGCTCTGCTAGAAAAGTCACCGAACCAGATTTTTCAAAAGAGGACTCTGGCTCGACCACTCCCACATCCAGTGCGGCAGTGATCCCAAAACGCAACTCTTCACTGACGTCCCAAACCATTCTGTCAACACCATCTCACGCACCTCCTTCGGACGAGACTCTTCTTGTCGAACTCGTGGCAGCAAAAACCCGCGAGGCAACCGCTATCCACGAGAACGAGCTTTTGCAAAACTCTCTCGACAAGACTCGCCGACAAATGGAGCAGCAGAAGGAGGAGATGCAAGCCAAGATCGACGCCATGGAGGCCATGATGATTGCACAGATGGAAGCACATGAAGCTGAAATGGAGAGAATGAAGATGCTGGTGTCGAGACCGGATACTCCTAGTTCTATGCAGGGCCCTAGCCCCATGCACACGCCTGAGATGCTGGCGCCTGTGGCTACTGGGGGCGCTGGTGGCAAGCCTAGTCCTTGGGGTTGGTTTGGCAAGGGCAGGAGTGTTAGTCATTCACCCACCATGTGAGGGGAGTGAGAACCATGTATGGAAAGTAGCATAGGAAGAGCATGGCGGAACTCGAGATGACGGAGGACAATGATTGTGGGCTATGTATGAATCAGGTGCTTTCTTTGTAGCAGGCCACGCTTCTGTTTCCCTCTTTACTGCGACGCGAGAATTTACACATATAGCTGAAAGAGCAATCAAGAACTCTAGAACCTTCCTTATAGCATTTCATTCGCCCCAAATGTTTTGAATCAACCATGATGGACGTGCCGAAAAAGGAAGAAAGGAATGTCTTTCATCGGTCATTGAAGAATACTTGCATCTGTGCATTGTGTGTAATCTGAGGATAAGCAAGTAAAGCTCCAAAGGTCTGCGAAAGCCACCAACTACAACATCCTTCAACTCTCGCCAGAAGTTGCATTGCCCTCAAGAAGTGCAAATCTTGCACCTCTCGCTCCGTACACTGCCGTTTTCTCTTCCCACGCCTTCATGAGTTCTCCGACATCCTTGAGTGAGACAGGTTTCGTCATGTACATGTCCATGCCATTCGTGAAAGCATCAGTTTGATCCTCCGCACTGGCGTTGCCTGTCAGGGCGATGACCAAGCTGTGATATGGTTCGACAGAGTGTGCCGATGCTGAAATCTCCTTCTGTCGTATAAGTTTCGTGGCTTCGAATCCGTCCATGACCTAGTGTCTCGGTTAGCGACCAAGCTTGTCAAAAGAGCTAAGGGATCAAATCATACCGGCATGCTGATGTCCATGAACACTAGATGGAAAGGGCTGTGCTGGTGCAAGGCATCTTCGTACACTTTGACTGCTTCAACACCGTCTCGAGCCAACCTCATATCCGTGAAGCCGCGGCGGTTGAAAAATGTTTGCAAGAGCTTGAGGTTGACTTCGTTATCATCGACGAGCAATATTTTAGGCTTAGTAGGCTTGCGATGTGCACGAGCCATCTGGCCCTCGCTGTGGCTACGCATAAGTTCATCATGCTTTTCAAGGGGTTCTTGGTCTGACATAGGCACATCGAGTGTCTTCAGCCGCCTATGATAAGTGCCAGGCACTTCGATCTGAGGCGTGATACCTGGTATAGACGGCGTGGGCGATTGGGAAGACGGCGGGACGAGCATTGAGGGGAAAGGAAAGCTTCCGTCAAACGATGGATTCCTTGCTCTCTTGGACAGATTCTGTGAGTGTGAAGGAACTCGTCTCAGGGTTGGGCTTGGTGGCTTGAGCTCAGGCAGGGGTCCAACCTCTTCCATGATAGGTGGACCTGAGTTTGTCTTAGAGATAGGACCTCGCTTGTCCAGAGCGTGCTTTAGTGCCTTTGCAAGCTTGAAAGGTCCAAATGGTTTCGGCATTATGTGCAGTTTGGGATAGCTGACATTTTTTGAGATCGCTGTTGTTCTGGATCGATCTGAACACAACATCACAACAACCGTATCAAGCTCTTCCAAAAGCTTCAAATGTTCCGTGATTGCCAGGAGATGGATATCGTCCACAAGAATGATATCGGGCTTGGTAACCATATCCCAATCGTCTAGAGCGTCGATCTTGTACCAACCATTGATACAAGCAGCCAATGCATGCTTTTGCATCTCATAACCCTCCTGCTTCAGAGGTGTGTCCTTAGGTAGAATGTCTTGTTGGAAGTTCACAATCTCAGGCCGCGGCAAAACTGTGCGCAGAATTTGGATGTCGTCTTCGTTCGGTCTGTGAAACCCGTCGCGTGGAGTATGCGAGCTTGCACGCTTCATTGGAATCTTCACTGTGACCTCTGTGCCGTGGTTGACTTGAGACCGAACCTCAATTTCTCCATTCATCATCTCAACCAGCGATCTGACCAGAGAGAGCCCAAGCCCAGTTCCGGGAGCTAAAGGATTCTCTTGAGCAAAAGATGTGAACATCTTGGTGTCCATATACGTTTGAGAAATTCCCTTGCCTGTATCCGTGACTTTCAGCTGAACCATGGCCATTGAGAGGTCTGAGTCTTTGGTGCTCATCTCTTCGCAATTGAGGGCGATTTTGATGTAGCCGTGTTCAGTGTATTTCAGGCTGTTGCCAAAAATATTCATGATGATACGCCGGTATGATCCAGGTTGTGTAATAAAGGTCCAGTCCTGTGGTGGACTAACATCAAGAATAACCTCCACAGGAGCCTGTGGCATAGCCAACAGATCTTCCAGTGATTTGGCGTCGCGTTTTGCTCTTTCTCCAGAAAATCCCAACTCCATGCTCGGATCGCTTTTGGCAAGGAAGCCAGTCGTCACGCCTTCGATGACTTCTTCCGCGATAGCAGCGATGTTGACATGAGAGTATGTGCTCAGGAGTGGCTCGACTCCTCCTTTGACGACATGTGGCCTGACGTTCAACTTCTCGCCGGGCTGATCCTTTGTAAATGCATTCACCTTGCTGAAGTCCAAGACCATTTGAATAGTGTCGAGAAGCGTATGCGCACAACTTTCGGTAGTATCAACGAGAGAGGCCTGGAAAGGCGACATCTCAGTCTCCTGAATGAGCTCGCAGGAGGCCAAGATACCGTGAAGAGGGGATCGCAGTTCATGACTGACTGACCCAATAAAGACACCTTTTTGTTGATTCGACAGCTCGACGGCGCAACGGTCAATTTCAGCTTTAACACAGTTGCAGAATGCTCGGCAGAAGAAATATTCAATTTCCCATGTGAAGTTCCTTTCGCCTGAGAGTGTGTAGACAAGGCAGACAGACCATCGACCAAGGTGGGTATTCCACAAAGGTACTAGAATTATTTCGACCGCTCCAGGAAAGTGTGAGAAAAGGGATCTCACGTCGGCCTCCTCTACATCGCCTTGATGCTGTGAGTTTCCGCACTTTGTCCTCACCACCTTGCCAGTTTGAGGATCGCGTAGTTCTGGGAAATGGTAGATCTGTCCTGATGGAACTTTCTTGATGAACTTCTGAAGAGTCTTCACATGTATAGTGACAGGCGTGTTCTTATCTAGCTGACATTCCTGGTGAGGCTGGTCAGAAGACGCAGCACAGACGCTGCAAGCGAGCATAGCTGCAAAGGATCTATGGCTGTCGTCCCTGTTCCCATCCTCGTCCGAGGGAGTCCGAGACAGGCGGGCAGTATCAGCGACCAGTCGAGAAGAATCTTGTTTGGGACCACTCTCACGCCGCTGGTGACGATGAGCTGAGCTGCTTCTTCCCGAAGATTTTGGCGCGGTATCAAGAAAAACAACGCCTCCGCCGTTTTCTTGTAGAGTGAGAGATTGCCTCAGTAGAGTCGAAGCACGATTGAAAATTTCATTGTACTCCCTTCCTCTATTACCTTGCGGAAGCTCATCATCCGAAGAATTATCCGTGCTGCTGCGTCGAGTCTCTGGATCATTGACTGCTGAAGAATCTTGATCCGGCGGAGTTTTCGTTCTCTCATCTTGGTGGGAGTCCATGAAAGATGCAAGAGATTTATTCATCTTCATGATTCTGTCAACATCCATGCGCTGTTTGCGATTTTCCAGGTGGACCATGACATTGTAGGCGATTGACGTGAGGACTACGACGAGTTAGTAACATGATTCCAAGGCTAGGTTACGATGTGAGATCCGGGTGCAAAGTATTGAATAAGAGTGTGTTGTATTCAGTGTGCACTTAGATGAACCATGTCTGTATACTTACAGCGTATGTGCTGTGAGGAGAGTGGTTCGCGGACTTTGTCGTCTAGGACAAAGACGGTACCAATGACGATGTTGTTGCTTGTCGTGATTGGAACTCCACAGTAATAGGTAAGCTTCAGTTCCTCGACGATGTTGAGCTGAGAAAAGTTGGGATCGGCAGCCAGGTCGCAGACTTCGAAATAAGGAGGCTTTCTGTTAGATCCAGCCGTGGCCTTGATGGTTTCAGCACATAGGATACCTGTCTTGGGATGACTCGCGTTCTTGCACAAAGTATATCATTAGCACGCTGTCGAACTCGCATTGAGATCGTACGTACGAGAGACAAGGGGCCATCATCTTCATCAACATATTCGTTCTGATTGTGGAGATCCATTGTCTTGGTTGACTCGGCAACATAATATTGGGTGTCCCGGTTGATGAGGCTAACCAACGCTCTTCGCATGCCCAGGCGCCAGCACAAAAGTTGCATATGAGCTGTTAGCGCAGAGTCCCTTTCTGTCAAACGCAACACTGATGTATTGGTCGGAGTGTAGTATCTGTCAAGCTCTTGGGCACGTTGTTCGTCCGAAGAGAGCCCAGCGTCTGAGAGAGATATTGCAGGGAGTCTATGTGCCATTCCCGTTGACTTGGTCGCCATACCAGAGGCGTACTGGAAATGCAGGGTCCCGTACTGGTAATTGAGGTTTTAGAGGTGGGTTCTGCAAGGTGAAGCTGTCGAGAGTGGTGGTTCAAGTGCGATAAGAAGACGCAGCGGCTTGGTGGTAAGGTTGATGTGACCGTGACCAGCCGAAGTTCGGTAGAGTCGAATATTGATCTGTTGCAGGAAGGGATGAATGACCATAAGTTGTTGTTGAGTGGTAGCTTTGCATCCAGAAAGAAGAAGGGCAGACGAAACAGAGTAACTAGGTAGGTGGGTGCTCGGACGATACACACGTCGGAGAGGGGATGGTACCGAATCGCGAATCTGTACACGATGAACAAGGAAGTCGCAGCTATAATGAAAACAGCCCGAACGCCGCGCGTTTGTGCCACTGCCGATATGGAAGGTGCACCAGAAATCCAGAGTGAGGAAGTCGAACTTGCACAACTAAAGAAACACAGGCGAAACATCCTCATATGGCATAACGACATTGAGCCGCATCCCAGTCTTCGACATAGATTCGACATCTTTGACGCCGGCTTAGTCCTGTAGTCGAGACATTGTACCGACTCATAGGTTGCCTGGAATCGTTTGAAGAGTCAGAGTTCGGATCTGGCAGTGAGGATCCAAGCAGGAGATCTAGTGCAGACTGCGCAGTCGAACTCATTGTGCACGAGGAGCGTTCGGCTGGAGTTGAATAAGGCTCTGATAAGGGTACCTCAAGAAGTCGTCTCTTCCTCATCATCTCCCTCTGGTCTCGCTCTCACTTGAAACTCGATGCCAAACGTCTTTTTCAACTTCTCGACTTCTGTCGTCCACCTCTCAACCACAGGATGCGCATCAGCCACATCCCTAAATGTGACTTCTTCTTCCTGCTTTCCCTCGACCTCAAACTTCCAAATCCCATCCTCACCAAACCAATCTCTTCCAAACAAACTCTGCAAGCCCAAATCCTCTCTTGCCTTCACGAATTTTGCAATCACGTCTTCCTTGACTTCCTTACTGATGGGGGCAGAAGACTGGATAGCGCGAACAACGCCTTCAAATACACCAAGTAAGAAACCAGCCTTCATACCAATGACAGCGCCAAGTGAGAAGCCCTCATCGAATCCATGTTGGACATGTTCAGCTTTGGACACAGAAATCCCATCGCGATAACCAGAAGTCACGTGCACACTGCGCAAACGTGGAATATCAGAGCGTTCTGAATTTGCCGTGCTGAGTAATTGTGCAGGAATCTGGATGTCGTTGTTGTCATTGTCTCGTGATGGTGATAATGAAGGAGAATTTGGTGCTGAGCCGAAAATGTCGTCGTGGAGTTCAGAGGTTGTGATGGGTTCGGGAGAAGGAGACATGTTTGGATGAGAAAGTGAACCTGGCACTTCACGGAGCATCTCTTGTATCCAAAATTTTGATTGGTAAAATATCTTTGAGCGTGCTTGGTGACGATGCTGAAACATCAAGGTGCAGCAGTTGCGCAAAGCCGAGGAAATTTTTGCTTAGTCAGCATTTCAGTGCTCGCAAGCGGCCTTCTAATTCTTAGATCCTCGTCGATCAAACCAATATATGAACCATGTCTACGTATAAAGCGAAATTGGAATTCGCTTTGGAATTCCTGGCGTATGAAATCTTGAACATCGTAAGCACAAAGACTTTTGCCATAGAAGCCCAGGGCCAAGGATCAGGCGGAAATTGGAAATGATTAGCTATGAATTATACAGTAAATGATTGATTTGAACTATTTCTATGCTGCATGTCTAACGCCGTTGAGGGTGTCATCTACGGACAGTACGTTGAGAGCATAGTTGTGAGGCTCGGTCCTCCAGCAGCTCTGAAGCTGCAGACCAGCACCCTCCCATAACTTCTCCTGGTCCTCCTCATCAAACTTGTGGCTGCTGACAACGTGCAGACCCTTGCCTCCCTTCAAGTGCACACCTCTAACTACCGAATCTTGCTGAGGAACAAGGTATTGATCATGACTTCCCTGCTCGACGTTCCACACTCCTTTCACAGTCCACTCCTTTGGGTTAAAGACTTCGTAGTCCAATACTTTATTGGCATTATGTAGAATGTTGGAGATGAAGCGGTAGTTGCAACCTTTTGAATCGTTATATGCATGCCACACTTTGTTGCCATCTTTGCATCCGTCGACACCCACGACGAAGATGGTCTTTTGTTTTGAGCTTTTTACTGCTTGAACGAAGCCACCGAGGAAGTTGGCCGCTTCAGGACCTGACGAGCTACCGATTGTGGACCCGAGCGAGAGTATGCACTTCGGACGCGTCGCATGCGATTCAAATTGTAGCCAGCGCAGGCCTTCATCATAGGTGCCTAGCAGCCCATGGCATTTCACATATTGAAACGAAGAAGGTGAGATATCCAGAAGTGTTCTTTCGAGTTCAGAACGACTCAAGTCGAGGGCATAGTAGTCCACAGGCTTATGTTGGGCTTCTAGCGCATCGAGTAGAATCTTGATTTTTCTGAGGCATCCGCTTCCAAGTTCCAAGACAATGGAGCCGGGTGCAATTTGTCGAGCGATTTCGTTGCTGTGTTGTTTCAACAGCTCGATTTCACAGTTGGTGAGGTAATATTCGGGAGAGTATGTGATGGCTTCAAAGTGCTGCAAGCCCTTCTCGTCCCAGAGAAGTAGCGATGGGAATCTTGGTGGAGTTGCTGATAGGCTAGTTTCGAGTTCTTTCTTCAATGAGACATCGTGAGTCGAGGAGCGAATATCGATGATGTCGACCTCGGTCTTCCCAGGCGAGTGCGGAGGAGTCTCCATTGTCAATGCTTGTCTCGAGCTATGTTAAAACGAAGAGGATAATGGATAGCGATTCGGCTTTGAGCTCAGAAGCATGAAGACAAGAGAAGTAATGCTCGCGAGAATGGAAAAAAGATGGGGGAAGGAGGAGAGAACGAAACGGGTAGACATAACGCGCATGAAAACATCATGACATGGGAAAATGGACCTTCCCCGTTCCCGGTATCATCGAGAATGGGAGGAGGGGTAAACAAAGGACTGTCATCTTGACGTGACCTGCCAGCAGCTGATTTAGGCTTGACGCGGAGTCTTATCCGCCTGATTGGAATACCGAGTTGCAAAGACATGCAAGGCACGCAGGCACTTGCTTACCCGAGGTCTATATCCCTGTTGATATGCAACATGTTTACTAAGGAAGGATAATGCAGCATGGAGTCATGGTGATGCGTTTGTCGTTTCTGGCCATAAATCTTAGCCATGCTTCTGACTTGAACTTCTGCCCTTCTAGCTGCGGCTATTGCGCTTTGTGGACTGTGGACACTGACTCTCATGTTCTGAGTCTAAACGATAAGCTGAGAGATATAATATCGATATTTCGAGTGTGCCGCTGATTATCGGACATACGCCGTATCTGTTTTGCGTTGCATTCCCTTGTTATCGTGACTTCCGAAAGCGTCCTGAAATCGTGACGAAACCAAGCATCACATGTTAATCTAGCATGAGATCATCCTAGATACGATTGCTATCCCTTTCAGATCTGGTTTTTGTTATGTTTGGTAATTTGATGATTTTCCTGTCAACATCCAATAAGTACTTGGTAAGGGTTGCTTTTACTCAGGCGGCTTCTGATTCGTCCTTAAACCTTGCATCTTCCTGCTTGTCTGACTACCTATCGAGGATCGAGGACTATCGCGGATTTGTAAAATCCGTTAGATTAGCTCGACATGGCACCAAAAACTTCGGAGGTTGACCTCCTCATCATTGGTGCTGGCCCTGCAGGATTGATGGCTGCTGCTTGGGCAAGTCGCTGCAAGCTCAAAACAAAAATTATTGACGACAAAGATACAAGAATCAGGACTGGCCAAGCAGATGGTCTGCATTGTAGGACATTGGAAATCATGGATAGCTTTGGCAGTCCGAGCATTGCTTACGATATTCTCGGACAAGCCTGTGTGATCAAGGACATCAGTTCGTGGGCATGTACACATGGCGAAGCTGTCGTACTTGAAGAACCAAGGCTGACTTTTCTGCTCAGAATCCCAAGGAAGGCTGCGAAGAGCATATTGAGCGGTGCGAGTCAGTGCGATCTGGCGAGGAAGATCTGCCTGGCAGTCGATATCCTCAAGTGAGTCTCAGTCAAGGCAGTGTCGAGCAAGCCTTTCTAAATTTTCTTGAACGAGATGGCGATTCGGTGCGAGTTGAACGCAACTTGACTCCTATGAAGCTTTATGTTGAAGAAGCATGCGTTGATGATCACGATGCATATCCCATCGAAACTCACCTACGAGAATCAGGCAAGGATGAACGAGCTGGCTCTCCTGATTCTACGGGTATGTGTTTTCCTGCCAACCTCATCAATCCTGTGATATCTTCTAACCCATTCTCAGCATCTGAGAAGATTGCAGCAGAGATCGTGCGAGCAAAGTATGTCCTGGGTACCGATGGAGCACACAGCTGGACACGAAAAGCGTTGGGTCTACAAATGGAAGGCGACAGAACCAACAAACACTTTGGTGTCATGGATTTCGTTCCACTCTCCAACTTCCCAGATATCAGAATCTCCTGTGCGATCCACTCTTCATCAGGCAGTATCATGACCTTACCACGAGAGAATGGACTGGTCAGATTCTACGTCCAATTAGGGGAGTCCGCTGCCAAGGGAGGCACCTTTGATCGCGGCAAGATAACCCCTGACGACATCATCGAGACTTCTCGCACAATCCTCCAACCATATACCTTGGACTATAGTCACTGTGACTGGTTTTCTGTCTACACGGTTGGTCAACGTCTAGCCCAATCTTTCAGCCATCTTGATCGCGTCTTCCTCGCCGGTGATGCCGTACACACGCATTCTCCAACCATGGGAGCCGGCATGAATGTCTCCATGCAAGACAGCTACAACCTGATCTGGAAAATCTCCACCGCCATTCGCACAGGAAACAGAGAGATCCTCGCGACCTACAATACCGAACGTATGGCTACAGCCAAAGAACTCATAGACAAAGACCGCGCAATGTCTGATTTCTACTGCGACGGACCTTCTGCAAACTCGAAACGGTATCAAGAGTTCCGCGAAGCCTTTCGTGATTTTGTTAGTGGTGTGGCTGTGGAATATAGTCCAAGCCTCTTGACATGTCCTGTAAATACCTCCAATGGCTCTATCGACCGCAAAGGCTCACCACAACGCCTGGAGAAAATCTACTCCAAGCCTTCTCTCGCAAGCAACCTGATTCTAGGCCAACGCATACCCTCCTACCGCGTGACAAACCACTTCACGGCAGAAGCAGTCCACATCCACACCACTCTAAAAAGCACCGGACAATGGCGAATCCTCCTCTTCCCGGGCGACCTCAGCAACTCCCTCAGATTCTCTGCCTTCCAAAACCTCGGCCACAACCTCTCTGCCCCATCCTCTTTCATCCATACTTGCACACCACCCTCTTCCCTGATCGACTCCACAATCTCAATCCTGACCATCCACACGAGCAACAGAAACTCCTTCTCAGCTCTAGACTTACCGAATATATTCCATCCATGGAGTGACAGCAAAGGCCACGATTACTGGAAAATGTTTGCTAGAGACAATGAAAGTAGAGATGATATCTACAAGGCTTTTGGGATCGACGAGGAAGTGGGATGTCTGGTTGTTGTAAGGCCTGATCAGCATGTGGGCTATATTGGAGAATTGGAGGATCTAGAGAGTGTGAGTAGGTATTTTGAAAGGATCTTGAAGCTGAAGGTGAAGATGGATGCATGAGAAGAGTGAGGGATGAGTCTATATATGTAGAAGCAAGCGTTGCGATAGAAATCAAGCATTCGAGCCAGAGTCATGTATATCTCTCAGTGACGTTGAAGTTGTGCAGATAGTTCTTCAGATCAACTCATTGCCTTTTAGGTTGCTTGAAAGGCCTAATGAAATCTATAATCCAGACAAGAGCGTAGTTCGAGAGCCATTTGCTTTAGAAACACGCGATGTCGATAGACAAGCATGAAATGGTCTTGCAGATTCCTGGAACAGTCACTGTGATACTGGAAAAAAAAAATTCGTATTCAGTACAAAGGATCCTCTAGCTGAAAGTTTGAGGTGATGTAAGCGTAGTAAAAAGGCTAATTGGAGTCGAGTAAAACTGAGAAGCAATGTTCTGGCCAGACAAAGAGAAAGCAGACTGAGCATTGTAGAGTGTGAGAACTTAGTCTTTCTCAAGCAAGTGTGAGTCCTCTATTATAAGTGCACCATCGACAGTAATGCAACAAGCATCCTGGACAACGGAAGAGATAGTTAGGCAGGAGATCACCACAGTGGTCGCAGAAGTCCTCAGTCTCATACCACTCCCAGTCACCGTGACGACAAGCACCAAGAGGAACAGGAGCCACACCTCTCTCTGCTTCACGTTCTAGCAAGAGCTCTTCGGTGAACCAAGGGCACTCGCAATCCTTCCATGTTTTGACACACAGATAGCAAAATTCGTTCTTGCAACGGCATCTGCACAGGTATCAGTTCAATATTACTTTTTATGTGGTATGAAAGTGGTCTTACGTCATGTGAGCGCAACCAGTGTGGTGTTCGACAATCATCAAACACTTTGAACACTTCTTCCAGCCTTCCTTCTCGGCAAGTGCCTCAAGATCCTTGATATCTTGCTCAAGTTTGTTTTGACAAATTGTTGTCCTGGCGTGACAGGCTGTCTGGATGCAGGAATTGTCTGCGAAGTCGGAGTTTCTGCAGTACCAGTACCTGATGTCCGGTCGGAGTTTCTGTTGGATCTAGGAGGATAAAGGGATCTGGAACCAGAGTCACGCCTCACACTTAAGCCGCGGCTAAGATGTGGCATATCCGTAAGCGCAGGTGAAGATCGACCAAACATGGTAGCGATAGGGTCCTCAATCCGAGGAGAGTCAATAGGATCAGGCACAAGAGGCGTGGTTGTTTCTTGAGTAGGGTTGTGAGATGGTGTGAAGACGGAAGTGGAAGTCTTGGACGAGGTTTCTTGTCTCTTCGGAGGCGGAGGAGTAATTCCATCAGCTTCCGCAGGTCGTTTGAGGCTTCCGAATATCAAGGTGCCTAGAGTAGAAGCTTGAGCTGGTATCTGAGAGTTGACTTGACTTGCAGTTGAAACCGCGATTTCCGTGGCCTGTCTCTTTGAAGGTGGCTCCGCCATCGTGTCAAGATGGTTTGCTGAACGCTTCACACCAGGTGTTGAGGCGGTAGTGTGGCCAGGGAATAGTGAAAACGAAGCCCGTGAGTCAGGTTGTTTAGAATATTGTAGTGGTCCAAGTGCTGATGAAGTCTCATCCTTGACAGGAGCGTTGGAAGAATCCGAGTGATCAGTGGCAAGAATTCGATCGACTTCTGACAACGCAGGTAGTGGTTCATCTGGATTGAGTTCCTAAAACAGGCGACGTGCTTCCTCACGGTCAGCTCTCATGGCATTTCTCTGACGGAGTTCATCTTCAGCAGCAGCTCGAGCAGATATTCTGTCATCGATCTGCTGATCGCCAGTGCGCAGTTCGTGTCGATAGAGGCGTAGAGACACGTCGGCGTCAAGTTCAGTGCCATCATCGGCGGATGCTGTTGATGAGGCCCCAGATCGATGCGAGGTCCCCCATCTGTAGGCGCAAAATCAGCCTGCGCGTTTCATCATCATCCATTGTGATGATTGTTGATGACTTTGTGGATGAGTAAAAGGCGGGCAGTGTGCAGATGATTTGATGGAAGTGAAGGAGAGAGAAGAGGAAAGGTTGAGATGGCTCTGCAAGCGTGAAGAGTAAGCCTCAGAGACAGGAGCGATTGAGATGAGAAAGTATTTGGGTGGATGCAAAGCCAGCGAGCATGGAGGTCGCGAAATCATTTACTCGAGCTTCAAGAGAAAGTTGCACCTATCAAAATATCGAACTAGCAAGAAATCTTCGATCACAGCCCTTGACCCGCCAATTTTGAAATGTGCACCAGCACTCAACAATGTGGCAATGGTCAAGTTTGGTAGAGAAAGGGTCACTGTACGTGTATTCTAATGTAAGAAAGGGACTTTTTTTTTTTATTTTTTTATTTTTATTTTAGCAAGGTACGAAAGCGAAGTATTTTCAACAAGCGAGCTGCGTCCTCCGATCATCTTTCCTTCATTCAACATGCTCTAAGTACATCTTCAACGGTCCTTAGAATCAGAAGGTCTTTTGCTACCACAAATTAAACGGCTTCGTCGAAGAGGCTGTCTTCTCACGCCGAGCTTGCAGAAGAGAGAGCCTCGGCTGAACCTGCACCTTGATATTCTTGACCTCCGAGCAAGTGTGTCATACAGACAGCATCGAAGAAGAGCCAAGAACGCAGGAAGCGTAATCCACAACTGTTCATATCAACATGCTGCCTGCACAATTTCTCATGGCGAGGCATGCTCCAGCTAGAGTTTGATGAATATGAGAAAGTGGTGGTTTCCTCAAAGGTAAGACTGGATGTTGAGATACGTTCAAGTCAAGACTCCGCCGTGCTCGACAAGATAGCGGTCCAGAACACACATGGCCTCACTAACCTTGCTACAAAGAGCAACGTCATCATCGATCAAGTGGAGGACATGAGTGCTGTGCAGTCCGAGGAGCATGCCGGTGATCTTTCCGACGAGCTCTAGCTGTTGCATACGGATGTTGGGATGTAGGCCGACAAACTTGAGTTGCTGCTCACGAACCTTGGGGTAGAGAGCCTCACCGAGCACCTGCTTCTGTAAAGCAGGACTCATAAGGTTCAGGGCGTGTATGTCAAGAGAGGGAGCGGCAGATGTATCCTAAGGAGGCTGCGGAGAGCAGCCACCCAGCTGGTGAGGGTGACCATGGCCATTCAGTGGGTGACAATATTGGCCGATGTTGGGCCTCATCATATCAAGGTACGTGTTGGGTGCTGTAGTCGTCGAATTCCTAGAATGCTGAGATGTAGTATCGCATCTTGAGGCAGATTTGAACGACTCATGTTTGGGTGGAACAGCGCAGTGGGCATGGTCAAGTCCACCGTTTCTGGCGCGCGGAATCGGGCTTGACAATGTTCCAGACAACCGAACAAGAATTTCTGGCATCTTCCCCGTTGTGTCTTGTTGAGCAACCAAACCAGACTCGGGTTTAGGTTTCTTCTTAGCGATCGCACTGGCTTGTGTTTCAAGGAGCGGGTCGCCGAGAGGTGTGAGGTGGTCCACAGAGCGCTCAAGAATTGTTTTAGCACTTGTGGAACGTTCGGTGGACTGCAAAGCTGGCGACGCCGCGCCGGAACTGCTGAGGTCGATAACATCCCTACTGTTTTTGTCTTCTTCCTGACGGAAGATGTAATCGACAGCATCATCGAGCCTACCGTGACAGATCTGCAAAGCCTTGCAAAGCACGCTAACAGATCGGCCCGGCAGAATAACCACCATTCGGTTTACCTTCTTCTGAAAGTATGCATCAGAAATATCGTTGTTTAAGACGTCTTCGGACTGGGCGAGAGAGCGAGCAGGTCGAAACTGTTGGGACCTTCCGTGAAGAAGCCTGTCACATTGCTCTCTCGATGTCGGTACGGGTTGAGGAAGGCGGACGACAAGATGCTCTGGATCTTCAACGAATGAGCCTGCGGTTGTCGCATTGACGATTGGTGGAGGTGAAGCAGTGGGTGTGAATAGAGAGGTTTCACCGCGGTGCGCATAAACGTTCCCAGCTCGATGCACATCTCCAAACTCAGTCAGGATGGGTACATTGCCATCAGTACTCTGGCGAGAGTAAGCTCCCGCCTCATCACTGGTGTCTCCTGCAGCATCTTCAGTTGTTTTGACCTGGCGCGAGTCCGAGAGGTAATGATCCATTAGGCTCAACTGGCGGCGATAGACGCGCACAGTGGCGTTGTACTCAGAGCTGTCCTCATCAGACGCATTCCAGAGAGCTGCCAGAACAGTCAGATCTTCCTTCTGAAGGCGCAAGATCATCTCGCGGGTGTGTCTGTCCATGGTGCTAAGCGAATGTGAAGAATGCAAGCGCGAGCACAAAAGTCAAAACGCAATTGCGCTGGAAGTGAGTCGCGTCAGAATGGCGACGACAGGAAGGTGCGATGTTGTGGAGTCGTGGAAGGTGTGACGGAACAGGAAGCTGCTTTCAGGTGAGGAGCTGCGCAGTCCTTAAATGAGTGAGCGCTTTCGAGTAACGGCGGGAAGCTTGACGTGCCAGCAGGCGAACCATGAATGTGTTCAGCTGCTATGAGATATGGATTGGTTTTTAATCAGCCACGAGCTGCCACTCACCAGGTTCTACTTGACTGCACTTCTTCCTCCACCTTTCAGCCTGTCTGCATGCCAATCTCTGCTAGCAAGAGCATCCTTCACCGCATCGACACTACTGAATCTAAAGCTCAACTGTATCAATACATTTCACGAACGCTGTTTTTGAAGATTAGGACGATGACAAAGAAAAGACGTTGAATTGGGTATGGACAAATGTTTATTTAGAAAGGCTCCTTCTCGTCGGTACGGGCCTATATATTCAAGAATCAGCACTTCTGCCTGGGACGCATACAGACCTTGACTCACGGGGACAGCGCCGGCGCCGCCAAGTTCCCTGTCGAGACCACCGGGGAAGGTTCTAGGAACGGCGGGCTTGTCGGGGTAGTATTGACGCACAACACCCATCAGGACGAAGACGGATGCGATAAAGGTACCGAGGAGGACGGCACCGTGGCCGGGCTTGAAGTGGGTGTAAGGTTCGGTCGAGAAGATACCAAGAGTGTCGTTATCCTCGTGAACGGGCTCGCCGAAGTTGCGACGCTCTTGCTTGTCCCACCAGTCGCCGTAAGGGTCGCGGAAGGCGCGCTTGATTGCTGGAGGGTTCACGTATCCACCGTTCTGTTTGGCCATTGTCAATGCGAGTCCTTGGAGGGCGTTGGAAGCCTCTCATAACACACCATGCCGGGGTCCTCGACGGACATCTCGCCAACAAAGTTCTCTCTGTTGGCATTGTTCTCGGAAGCGAAACGCAGTTGTGTGAGGGTAGTACGGGGAGCGGAGGCTCGTACGGCGCTGGAGAGCGGGCGTGCCGCGGCGAGTCTGCGGGAAAGCATCTGGAAGGTCGTCAATGGGCGGTCGGGAAGGAGGGTCAGGGACGGGCGTACATTGTGATGTGTGATTCTAGCAATCTTCAATCACCAAGCACCGTCTCGTCGAATCGGTATGCGCTGCGGTCATCAGCTTGTTCGCGAGTCTTGGCTGGCTAGCGCGGAGCGGAAGAGCGGGAGGAGGTCGGCAAGTTCCATCTCTCCATGATTTGTTACGAGAAACGCGTTTTGCTCGACACATCTACAATCCGCGCCCCGACACGTCATTTGGCCATATCACCTCAACCACGGCCGATATTGAAATTTGGAAAACGGCATGATCATCTGTGGACTCTGAGCTTCCAGCGCTCCAATTTTTAGAGGAGGCTCGATTGGCCTTGATGTCGTTAGAGGGGGTCTTGCGACACGAGGGCGCCCGTGACAGCCACGAAAGCCCCAGTCCGCCTCCGCCCGACAATCATCAAAAGATTGAGGACCACGACGACACGCCCGTCGACAACAACCACAACCCCGATGACACTCCTATGCCCGATGCACAGCCAACCGACAACACCGAACTTGCCTCTGCCGACCACAAGACCCTCTTCGACTCCGACTCCCCTCTAAGCTCCGAAGACGAGATTGAATTCGACGCGTCTGATCGACCTTCAACACCACCGGCCGCCAACTCCAAGAAGCGCAAGCTCGCCGACCTCCAGTCTGCCTCAAGATCTCGATCTGCTTCGAAGCCTGTCTCGCCGCCATGGAAATCATTCGCTGCAGAAGGTCCCACCACAATCTTGGACAATGGAAAGAGAAGGTCAGGCCGTGTCAATGCCCCGGCTCCTCCTGTCTTCGAGAAGGCTACGCCTAAGTCTAAGAAGTCTGTTGCGAAGACACCGGCGAGCAAAGGTTCGGCCCTGAAGAATGCTCAAACTGTGCAACAGACAAGTCAGCCCAAGCAAAAGGAAACCCCTGTCCCCAAACGCGAGAAGACTCCGCCACGTCCATCGCGCGTCTCTGCCAGAATCAAAAACCTCGAAGCATCGCCTGAAGTTGTCAAGAAAGAAGAGCCTGCCCCTCCATCACAATCTCCACAAGCAAAGCGCAAAGCTGGCCGTCCAGCCAAAGCTGAGGCTCAACCTCCGGCTGATTCGCAACCTCCTGCTCCGTCCGACCAAGCCGACACGACACCGCGTATTAAGCTCAAACTCAAGCGACCACAGTTCTCCTTTTTACCTCGTCATCCAAGTCACGTCATCAACCCACCACGCTTCCAGTCTTTCGACGATATCATCGCCCATTACGACCAGAAGAGCAAGGATACTGCTTACGAAAGCAAGGAAGATGACAGGTATCAAGGGCTCGAGCGCCGTGCGCCGGAAAGAATTGAGCAGGCACCCGAGGAGCGAGCTGAGAAGGAAGCTTTGGCACGTCTGAGAATCCTGGAGGCTGCTCAGCCAGGTGGTCCTTTGAGCGAAGAGAAAAGTTCGGTATACTTGCCGGATGATCAGAAAGAGCCTGTGCAACAATACAACCACTGGGACCATCTGTGGTCGCATGGTGCATTCTTCAAATCTCTGATGGAAAAGGAGAAGCGTGCACATATGGATAGTGCTAAAAGAGTTGCATACGCTTGTTTAGCCAAATGGAAAGAGCGACAGCCTCAGACCGAAGAAGAGAAGGAGAAGCAGGAGAACGAGTGGTATAAACTCATCTATCGCCAGACTGTCAAGGACGTCCAACGGAAGTGGGAGCTTGTCGGTGCTGAAATTGATCGCCGGAGAGCATTGCGTTACGAGGAAGAGCAAAGGATTGAACGAGAACTCAAAATGCAGAGTATGCTTGAGAAGTCGACAACTCTGCTGGATAAACGTCGCGCATTACTGGATTCTGGTCTGTCTGTAGACGGAGATGACGATGAAGACGACATGAGTCTCAGCGAAGGTGCTTCCGCTGATGAAGAAGGATCAGATGCATCAAATGAAGATCTCGATGAAGATCACCGCATGACCTCATCCGAGTCTGAAGACAGTGACGCCGAGGAAGAGGAAGACGACGATGTAAATCTGTCTCCAGAAGCTCTACGCCGCAAGTACAGCAACATACCAGATCTACCGCAAGAGCAATCCGAGGACGATGCTAGCGACATGGACATTGATGAAGAACAAGATACGATCGCGGCAGCCACAACGAAAACCGATCCGGACGAAGACGATGACGAAGCTGGAAGCGATGACGAGGAAGATAATGATGAGCACGTTCAAGAGGAGCGAGACTATTCCAAAATTCAGCTTGACGAGGTGGATGATGCCCTTCTGGACGACAGCGACGAGTCCACCAACATGAGTGACGAAGATATGAGCGATGAGGAAGAAGATGATGAGGATGACGAAGAGGAGGAAGAGAGTGAAAGCGAAGATGATGGTGGTCTGCTTGGATTCTTTGGTGGTCGCAAAGCTCTCGTCAAAGAGAGTCAGACCACTGCAGGTGTTGAAGCATCTGAAGAAGCTGAGGAGATGTCCCAGCAGCAGAACGAAATACTCGAAAAAGACCGCGATGAAGTCATTAAAGATCCTGCTGAACCAGGCGAGCCCAAGCAGACGAATGGTATCCATTCTGACGAAGCAGACGCTGAAGACAACGAAGAACGCTACCTGGATGCGCCAGAAGTTATGGAAGTTGACGAGAGCTCGGCTGTTGCGACGCCTCTCGAAAACAGCATTCAAGAGCCTTCCGCCGAAAGCGCCAAACCCGTATCTGAGGAGGATCCAACTGCTTCTGCACGACAAGAACACCCACAAAGATTGTCAGTGGACATGGACACCGAGAATGTCGCGCCTCAGAAACTTCGCAACCATTCTCTCAGTCCCCATCACAACATGCTGTCGGCAGATTCGCACGCAGAGGACAGAAGCAGTCAAACGTCACCCAAAGACGACACCACTATTGAGCCAACTGAGGCTGAATCGACCACCAGCGTTGATCTTGATGAAGCTGACAGGATGTCCGAGGCTACCGAAACGCCACAGCCTGGAAAGTCCTCTAAAGTCAAAATTCCTTCTCTACTTAGAGGTACGCTAAGAGAGTACCAGCACGAAGGTCTCGACTGGCTTGCGAAACTATATGCCAACCAGACCAATGGTATCCTCGCCGATGAGATGGGTCTTGGCAAGACGATTCAGACTATTGCTCTCTTGGCTCATCTCGCAGAGGAACACCACATTTGGGGCCCTCACCTGATTGTTGTACCTACTTCGGTCATCCTCAACTGGGAGATGGAGTTCAAGAAGTTCTTGCCTGGCTTCAAGGTTCTGTCATACTATGGCTCTGTGGAGGAAAGAGCGCAAAAGCGCAAAGGCTGGAGCAATCCTGATATCTGGAACGTCGTCATCACTTCTTACCAACTCATCTTGAAGGACTTACCGGCCATCAGAGTTCCTGAATGGCATTACATGATCCTGGATGAAGCGCACAACATCAAGAACTTCAACTCTCAGCGTTACCAAGCCATGATCAGACTCAAGACACATGCACGTCTCTTGTTGACTGGTACGCCTCTTCAGAACAGCATCATCGAGTTGTGGTCACTTCTTACTTTCCTGACTGCTGGTCAAGATGGTCAAGGTATGGGCGATCTTGAAGAGTTCACAGAGTGGTTCCGCAGACCTGTCGATGAGATTTTCGTCGACGGCAAGAGTAAGCTTGGTAACGAAGCTCAAGATATTGTCAACAAGCTGCATCACTCGCTTCGTCCTTACCTCTTGCGTCGTCTCAAGTCTTCAGTCGAGAAACAACTTCCTGGCAAATACGAGCATACAGTCATTTGCAGATTGTCCAAGCGACAACGCCAACTTTACGATGCATTCATGGGTCTTTCCGATACCAAGGCAAAGTTGACGTCTGGCAACATGATCAGTGTGTCACAAGCATTGATGTCGTTACGAAAAGTTTGCAACCATCCGGACCTGTTCGAGGAGCGTCCTATCGTCACTTCATATGCCATGAAGAAGCCTTACACACGTCAACCTCGATCAATTGCAGCAGATTTCGAGATCAAGGACTTGTTTCTGCGAAGGAAGATGCTCTATGAGGACCCGCATGAAGTACTTGATCTAGATTTTTTGAGCCTCAATCTGTCAAGCCGAGAGTCAAGATCAAGATATAACATCAGACGCAGCAAGCAGCTCAGGGCTAGTCGGGCTATGGATCAGATTGTGCGCAGAGAAGTTGAGAGACTAGGCACTAGTTCTCTTGACAACTCCTCTTTCAATTCGGTAATCGGCCAACAGAACCACAAGACTGCGATGGATAAGCTGGGCCGCTTGCGCCAATGTGCTTTCTTGACGGAGCAGCGCACAGAATTTGCGCCTGTATATGGCACTGACCTTGTCGAGAGATGCACAACGTACACGACTGATCGTCTGCGGCAATCACCACCTCGGGACAAGGCTCTACATTCCGAATGGTATCTCGACTCTTCTTCTTTGATTCACAACATGGTCAAGAGTGTCGAGCAGCGGTCCGAGGCGATGAACCTTCTCATCCGCAAATTCGCATGCATTACGCCCAATGCCGTGGCTTCCGACATCCTGCCATACATGGTTCCGCGCAAGACCATCTACAATGTTCAGTCAGTCTCGCAATCACCGGAGCCAGACCCTTTCCATGAGTCTCGGGTGCGCTTGTCCATTGCATTCCCTGACAAACGCCTTCTTCAATACGACTGCGGCAAGCTGCAACGACTCGCAGACCTGCTCCGTGAGCTGCAATCTCGTGGTTCCCGTGCGTTGATCTTCACTCAAATGACTTCGGTCCTCGACATCCTCGAACAGTTCTTGAACATCCACGGATACCGTTATCTTCGTCTTGACGGCAGCACGAGGATTGAACAACGCCAAGACATGATGGAGCGCTTCAATCGCGACACTCGTATTGACGTTTTCATTCTCTCGTCTCGCTCCGGAGGTGTAGGTATGAATTTGACTGGAGCTGATACAGTCATCTTCTATGATCTCGATTGGAACCCGCAGATGGACAAGCAATGTCAAGATCGTGCTCATCGTATCGGACAAACCCGGGACGTCCACATTTACAAATTCGTCTCTGAGCACACCATCGAAGTCAACATTCTGCGCAAGTCCAACCAGAAGCGTCTTCTTGATGAAGTCGTCATCCAAGAGGGAGAATTCACGACTGACTACTTCAATGCTCCTGCCGCTACTGTCGATGACGAAGCTCTAGGAGACGAATTCGCAGGAGCCGCTGTAGAAAGAGTCTTTGGCAACAATATCGGCGAACACAACGTTCAGAAAGTCCTCGAGGCAGTAGAAGACGCAGAAGATGTTGCTGCAGCTCATGCCCAGCAAAAGGAAGGTCAAGCCGACGATTTCGACTTCGACGCCGGCGGCAACAATACCACAGGAAACCAGAGTAGAGACTCGAGGACACCGAAGACTAGTGTTCCGCCCACACCTGCTGAACCTGCTGATGCGATGGACGTTGACGAAACTAGGGATAGAGAAGATGAATTCGGTCATGTCGATTCGTATATGCTCGGTTTCCTTGACTGGGCACTCAAAGACGTCAAGTATGTTCCCCCGCCTGACAAGAGCAGGCGTGGAAGATTGGATAAGAATGGAAGGGATCGTAGTCATCGACCTCGTGTACGGTAGAGGAGTAGATCTGGTCTTTTGCTTATTTTTGATGTTTGTTTTGCATAGCGATGGCTCTCTCCTTTTCTTGTTGCTATACATCATTCTTTCTTTTCTATGGAAGGAGCGAGGAGTTTCTTTCTCCTTCTTGTATTTGTACTTTTACCTATCATTTTTCGAAAATATCATAGCTTTAGAGCTTTTTTGGCATCGAACACCAATCAATACATCACATGTCGATCATCATGTATATACAGCCTTATTGTGCAGAGATGTAAATGTACTGTATGTTACCATTTGGTATAAACACATCATAATCAATAAAACAAAACACAACACCATGAGACCATTGAGCCACCCGAGCTAATCATCAAACCAATCAAACTCCTTCCTCAAAGGTAATGCAAGCATCAAACTTCGTATCAGCATAAACAGCAGAGAAAGGATCAAGATCCGGAGTATCCACAAGCTTGGGATAATAACTCTTCTTTCCGGACAAATCTCCCTTGATAGCAAGACAATTCTTCTTGCCCTTGGAACCTTTAACCTTAAGGCTGTTGAAGGTGAAGCTCTGAGTCACACTTGTGCTGCTCGAACATGAACAAGCATCAAGCGTGAAGGGGCTGTTCAAGTATCTGGGAGACTTGTTGGCTGTGGCGGCACCGAGAGTAAGACAGTAGCCACTGTTGACGTGATACAGGAAATCGCCGGTTGTGTCGTAGATGAACTCGTCGCCGAAGCCGCCGAGAGAGGTCCAGAGCAGGGGGTCAGAGCCGAAAGTGATGGGGGTTGGCCAGCCGAGTGAGTAGCCTCCGAGAAGAAGTTGGCCTTGTGCACCGGTAGTCTTGGGGCAACCGGGCACGGCGGTGGAGCTGGGTGCGGATGATGCGCTGGCGGAGCTTGGCGAGCTGCCGCCGCCAACAGTGATGGTTACAGTCGAGACGATAGAGGTAACTTGGGTTGCGCTAACAGTGGCACCATCGGTAACAACCGATCCAGATGCAGTAATGGTTTGCGTGCTAATAACAGTGCCAGTAGCAATTTGCGAGCAAGCAGAAGAGATCTTGCCAGAGGGCCAGTGAAGAATAGAAGAAGGAGTAGGGACAGCGCTGCGCTTGGCAAGAGCAGCAGCAGTTGCTGCAGGATCAACCGAGGCGGGAATAATCACGGCACCTGAAGTGGAAGCGGCATCAACAGTCAAGGTGCTGGTCATGTAGTCGACCAGAGTCTCGTTGCCGCTGACTGTGATGAAAGGCAGCATAACAGTGGTTGTGACGATGTTGCTTGCTTGGCGCTTCTTGTTTGCCGGGGATCCAGTGACCGAAACAGTTTCTGTAGAGTAGACGGATGTGACGGTGACTTCCTCTGTGACAGTGGCGAAGACCGTGCTGGCGCCAGGGGTCACGGTAGTCTTGACAGTCGTAGTCGGAGCCACATAACTGATGTAGCTCGTGCAGAACTCAGCTCCAGTCGAGTTTAGGTAAGAGATATCGCCCGACGAAGCTGCGCACAACTGCGGGTAACCAGCCTTGACAGCAGTGGTGTTGGTCAAAGCGATCGAGTTGGAGACCTGGAAAGAATCGGTATCGGTGGAGTAGCCGTAGTTGGTGGCATAGCTCGAATCAACGCCTTCGGTGTAAAGTGCACAAACAACAGTCTTTGGAACTCCATCTTCCGACAGGATGTACATGTTCGCGTAGACACAGGTCTTGTAGTTGCAGTCATCGGTGGCTTGAGACTTGTCCCATGCAGTCTGCTTGTCACAGGCAGCAGCACAGAGGGCAGGGTCGTAAGAGTTAAGGTAAACAGGCTGGATGAATCTCCACTGACCAACGTCGTCATAGACTGGTGCGTTGACGGCGGCAGGAAGACTCTCCAGGGAGTAGCCAGCAGGGGTTTTTGGTGCAGCAGCCTTGTTGTAGCCATTGCTGCCAGTGACCATAACGTGGAACGAGCCACGCCATTGTCCCGTGTTGGTTGCAGTGCATTTAGTCTGAGGCATGCTGTAAAGAGCGCACTTGATTACATCGACAGGGTTATTGTTGCTGTCGGGGTCCCTCTCGTAGTAAATGTTTGCGAATTGACACGAGCTGATCTTGTCACAAGCAGAAGTACATTGCTGAGGATCATAAGTTGATAGTGTCTTATAAGTCAAGTATCCGTTAGCCTGAGTGGAACCCTGGAGATTAAGAAATGCCGGTGTATAGCCAGAAGGGACATGCTATGCCTTGATTAGCATCACTATAATTCTTAAACTTGTCGAGAACGCGACTTACGTAGTTCGAGGTATCGACAGGATAGCTCATGCCACGACGCTGCAAGTTGCCCGTCAGACCGCCAACATATGAGCGCTTGCGAGCTGCAGGCGCTTCGGATGAGACAGGCACGGGTGTCTTGCTAGCAGCAATAGCTGTGCTCTCAGGAGCGATGACAGCAGTCTGAGCATCAGTAGCTTCAACAACAAGGGCAAGGATTGAGGCGGTTGCCGCAGCTGCGTTATATGTCGCTGAGGTGACGACTTCATAAACACCAACCGGGGGACCGAGAACTGCTGGCTCGGGAAGCGCAGCAATATCTGAAGGGTCAATGTTGCTGACAAGGGTTGTAGTTTGTCCATCAATATCAACAGCGGAAGTTGCAACAACAGTAGTTGATTGAGCATAGCTCATACCACCAAAGGCAAGAGCTGCAAGAGCAAGTCCAGACTTCATGATGAAGATGAAGTGACAGTATAGAAGACAGGTAGAGACGATATGAATGATCTGCTGATGATCAATCTGGGGAGTGAGAGCTTGTCTTTATATCTACTCAATACCATATCCACATTAATAAAAGCATCCTTCGGACTTTCATATCTGCTTGTCAGCATCCTACGCTATGAAAAAGTGGTACGTCTCTCTCGCGTTCAGCCAGTGGTGGTACACTGTAAAGAGACTGCCGTTCGGCTGGAGGTCCATGGTATGGGAGGGGCTTATACGGGGCGGAAGACCTTGCTAGTGTGCGGCAAGACCGTGCCGTGATATCAGCATAAGATCGAAGCATGGATGTGTTGGCGATATGCATCTCACTTCCCAGATCCGTAGACATGGGCTTTTGTGGTGCTTCTTGCAGTCTTTTGAACGCCATCATTGCACTGCCGCTCAATACTAGGTGAATCGATGCTGTAGAGTTATTTCTGTTGTTGTTTCAAACAAAACGTGTCTCTGCAGACACTGTGTTGCACGGCATATCATGGTTTGGCAGCAAGTCGGCTACGTGCAGCATGTGCAGAGACAAATTTAGCCTGTGGCAATGCAAGCAAGCAAGCTTCAATGCCATGCACGCTCTAAGTTGCCACGCCGCAGTCTGACAGTCGTGAACGCGCATCGAAGCCATCGCCAAGCCTAATTCCTTGCCGTGGCTCCATGTCTTCGCAAAGTGTAAGCAAAATCTCCGGCCAATATTCTATCCATAGGTTGAAACCATAACTGACATACCCATATCTGTCGTCTCTACCCAGATTGGGTTGTGTTATTGTCCGGACCTGCATGAACGCCAGTCCCAAAACGCGTCTAGCTCTTCGGAGATTTCTCAAGCTGGCTTGCATATACGTTGTTAGCTCACACTCGCATGGTCAAAGGCGGTTCAGAGGCGGCTGCAAATTGCGACAGAGTCGCAGCGGGTTGAACGCCACAGCATAGAGTTGCATCTTTATCAGTGTTGAAAGATGGCAGATGTGAATTTTGGAGAGAGCTGAAGGTGAAAACCGGATGGCGACCCCGCTTTGGGGAGTGTCAAGTGAGGCTCAAGAACAGCCACCGCGGACAGCACAGCAAATGTCTCGGATAACGATAGGGCTTGATAGTGGAGATTCTGCAAGTCGATATGAGAAGGATGGGCCATCTCGTATAAGTGCGCCGCATCCAAATTTCAAGAGCTGCCCCCGGCAATACCAGTCTGCCGTCTGATTGAATGAGAAATCTAACCGAGCATCCTTCGGACTTGGCTAGAAGTGCGGATATAGGAATTGCTTCGCGCAGCAAGAATTACAAGGGTATAGTGATCTAAGCAGGGAATAAAGTCTAACTACGATATGGAGTTCAACGAGAGAAGAAGGCGCTTTTGGGCCGCTTCGGTTGTGGGTCCGACGCCTTTGGTCGACCTCTCTTCTTGCCCTGTCCCGGCATAGGAGCTTTCTCCTGTGGTGAATGAGATGGCGATGCATTTTCACGAACAATCTCCTTGATCGTCTGCTTCGACAAGCATCCATCGATATGTTGGTTGAAGAGCACGGCATCAGCAGATTGTGGCTGACTACAAATAGGGCAGCTCCATGTTTCTTCTTTCTCGTCTCCCTCTTTCTCTTTTTCTGTATCCTCAGAAGTCGCTGCAGGCACACTTTCTATTATTGTACCTGCGTGCCCACCCGCTGGTGGTTTCGGAGTATTATTGTACTCTTCTATGTACTCCTGACTCATTTTTTCTAGGGTATCCAAGTCATCCTGCTTCTCTTGGCGAGCGGCTTCTTCAAATTCCGAGTCAGGCCATTGCTCCCATTCGTCCCCAGCAGGAACGAATGGCTTTCTTGCTGCAGATTGCGGTTTTGGCGTAAAGAAAGTATCAATGTTGCTCTTCTTCATACTGACTAGCGATGTGAGCCTCAGTCCCATAAGGCGCAAGGTAAATTTCGGAATGTCTTTTTCCAGCTTGACGAGCATAGGTAAGGCGAATTTGTAGAGGTCATCAGCTTGATGCACAGCTTTTGGTGGGGCAATCTGGCGAGTTAGGATCTCGTATGTGTGCAACTTCACTTTGAGAACTAGGGTCCTGCCTTTGAACTGGGTTCTCTCGCAGTCTTTTTCCAGCTCTTCCGCAACATGTCGAAGCATGTCGCGAAGTTGCTGAGGGTCCGACATTTCCTTGAAAGTACTTTCCGTGCCAACACTCTTACGCTCGTACTCTTCTGCTGGCTGAACGTTCGTTCTGCCTAGTCCAAGGTATACGCCCATGAGGAATTGAAAAGCTTTCTCGCCAAAGAGTTTGGACATGTAAGCACGCTGCGCATATATGTCGCCACATGTTTTGACACCTATAGCGTCGAGCTCACGTTCAAAAACTCTGCCAATGCCGTTCACCTTACGTGTGGGCAGATCCTTCATGAATGACATGATACTGGCACGATCCGAAGGCAGAATGAATTGGCCGTTGGGTTTGTTCTTGTTGGAACAAATTTTTGCGAGTTTCGCATTCGCCGCGATGCCAGCCGATACAGTGATCAGACATTCCTGATGGACCTCTGCACGCAGCTGTTGTACGACATCTTCAGGACTCATATTGTGTTCTTCGCAGTACCCGGTTATGTTGAGGTATGCCTCGTCAACACTTGCGGCTTCGAATCTGGCGTCATATTTGACCAAAATAGCACGAATCTCTTTTGCTTTCGCCGAGTATTTTTCAAAGTTGGGCGAAATGTGGATGAGCTGGGGACAGAGCTTGTCGGCGATATAACCAGCCATACCACTGCGACAGCCGTGCTTTCTCGCATGGTAGTTACATGTTGTCAAGACGCCTTTTCCGACGGCGAATGGCACATCTTTCAGGTCGGGACGGTCAAGCTCCTCAACAGCGGCGTAGAAAGCGTCGCAATCGACGTGGACGATGACCTGGGTCAGATCGCGAGTGAGCTCGAGCTTCTGTACGTATTCATCTGCCTTGCGCAAGTCGTGGCTTAGGTCGAGGCGATCGAGTTGACGTTTCTTCGCGAGAATACGGTTGATCTTGATGGTCAAGTTCTTGTCCTTTTGCTCTTCTTGGAGAAAGAATTTGCTACCTTTGGACGCTTCGTAGATAATCTCCGAGACCTTTTTCTGGTCGACATCATCTTGACCAGGTTTCGTGAGAGATGGGCCTAAAAGATGGTACTTGAGGGTGTGGTGCTGACTCGACTCGGGGTTTGTCGGGTCATCAGGGGTGGGAAGGGAGTCATCGACAGCCGGAGGAATGCTGTCATGGCGGGCAGGGCCATCCATATCTTTCCGTAAAGTAGTACATCTGGTGATGGTCACCAGATGGTAGAATGTTTCAGAGAGGCTCAAGCGGCAAGCGTCGAAATGTTGCCTCACGTCAACCGATGCAAACGCGGGGAGGTCGCGAAAAGAAAAAGAAGAAAAAAGAGAATTAACGATGCGAATACGAACAAAGTTCACGGAAGGCGGAACGTTGGTGGGCTGGAGCGTCATTTGGAGATTATCCCAGGGCCTGAACGTTGTTTAACCGTGACAACCACGGCAACCGACGTTTAAGACTTCGACACAAGTGTATTCAGAAGCCGGTCTCTTGTTCTCGAGTCCAAGACCATGCGCCGGTACTTGACCATAGACATATCACAGTAGAGATGATTGGATGTTGGCGGACAACGTTGGTGCAGACAACTCGACCCGCTCCTTCCTCATAAAAACAAGCCAGCCAGCATGGCCAACAATCGCAATCCTCTACCGACTGCTCCTTCCCGGTCTGGAGTGCCATTGAAACCCACTCTCGCTCGAGCACCGAACACTCCTCGCCTCGCCAAAGATAGTCCCTCCTCGACCACAACCATCACGCCAACAACAAACACATCAACACCGCCTTTTCGGCCCAAATTGCAAGAGTCGGAGTTCAGACCCAAACTCAACAACCACAAACCAACACCTTCGCCCCTCTCCTCGACATCGCGACCGACGGCGCAGGTCGCCCACGCCCATGTCACACCACAAACACTGACTGCAAAGACGCGAGCGGGCCAGCTACTAAACTCAACACCAACCACACAATCTCCCAACGACGATACTCCGAGTCATGCAAGAAAGAGACCCCTTATGATTTCTCCCACAAACAGCGAACCTGCTGTGCGCCGACCACAGTTGGCCTCTTCGAGTAGAGCGAAGAGTGTTGTGGGCTCTGTAAGGCCAACCAATGCGAATCCACCACGCCCGGTACCCATCACCACAAAGACTGCCCCTACAGTCCGAGGCTTTGTCAAAACGCCAGACACTGCCAGGTCCAATGCTTCGACTTTACAACCACATGCGCCCCCTCCTGCGCGGGTCTCACCGCTTCCTACTTCTCGACCCACCTCAGCCAAGGTAGACAAGGACTCGAGTCCCATGTTCTTCCATGCCAGCGACGCAAAACCCCAATCACAACCTCAGCCGGCAGCTCCAGCCCCAAGACTAAGAAAGACCCCATCTTTCATCTATGCCAATGGGAAACAGCAGGCTCTAGAGCCAAAACCTCTCTCGCACAGGAGCTCTTCTCCTGTCCTTTCAAATGTATCGGCCGTCACCGACTCGCGCTCCCCTCAATTCTTCGTGCAATCGCCCAACCTCTCGGATTCGATCCAATCACCAACCATTGCCTCACCACCTCTTAGTGCTGTATCTTCGGCCTCACACTACTTCACAAGTCCTAATTCGCCGCCCAAGAACAATATTCACCTCTCTTATAGGAAAGGTGCATCCCAAATATTTGGCCTTGGCGGTCCGCCTCTACCTTTCCATCCTACCCGACCCACTCAGCGCAAGACCAGTAATGCGTCACTGCGAACCTCTCATCTTCGGAGCACCAGTCTGTCTTCGATTGACACGGGTAGCCCTGACCATGTCCGTCGACAGTCTCATCCAATACCAGCTATCACAGAGCCTGTCGCTGAGGACAGCAACCACACATCGCCTACGCCTGTACCAGATGATGGTGCTGATGGTTCTCCTGAAGCCTCCAACTCTGATGTTGAACAGAGCAGTGATGTTTTGCCGGTCGATCCCTATGCCGAAGCACGACGAGAACGAAAAGTCCTTGATCTTGAGATTTCCAACTCATCACTCCTAGCTATCAACAAGTCTCTGGAACGTGAGCTTAGGAAACAAAAAGCTGAATTGAAACGCTTCCGCCGCTTGAGCCGAGCTGGTCAATTCTCAATTCCTCAGAGAAGGTCAAGTGATGCTGAAGCAGACCTGTCGACGTTGGATGAAGAAGTTGATTTACCTGACTTTGACGACGATGACGAAGGCGCTCGACCATCGAGTCCTTTCCATTCAGTGCCTGAGGATGACTCTTCTGACGAAGGCTCGGCTAGCTCTTCCGCTATTCCGCTGTCTCCTGGTGCTCAAGCCAAGCGCGATGCAGTCCAGCGAGCTGAGGATGAAAGCCGTTTGCGACTTGATCTGAGTAGACATCGTGAATTGCTGATGGACACGCAACGTATGAATCAGTCTCTGCAGCGTTGCCTTTACTGGACCGAAGGACTCATAAAGGACGGAAGGAAGGCCCTTGACTACCAAGTCGCTTCTTCAGAAGTTCAGCTGGGCGGTCGTATTCTGTCTGGAGATGACGCGGACGAAGTTTCTTCGCAGGTAGAATACGCGGAAAGCGTTCGAAGTATCGATGAACAGCCTGGCGCTCTTCCAGACTTTGGCGAGCCCGACAGACGAAGCATGGGCAGTGAGATGGATAGTGGTATCGATCTCATGAGCAAACGAGGGGCATTGACTATGGCCAAAGACAACCCTCATCATTCACGACCATCACATTCGTGACAGCAGCAGCGATAATCTGGATTCTAAGACATGTTTTAGTACTTACCTGGCGTTGGCACAGATAGAGGGTGTTTTGTGGTTTGTCGCTTGCATTGCGGACCAGGCGTTTCTTGATTGCATTTCTTGGGGGGCGCAGGATCCTGATCTGATCTTTTCTTTCTGGGTGGCATGTTTTTTGTTCTCTCTCTTCTTTTCGCATTTCCATTACTGGCAAGATACCCAATTGCAGTCCGTATACATTGCACTTTCTTATAAGCAGCACAATGATTGCGATGCAGGCACTCCTTCTTACTGAAGCGCTCAATCTCCTCAACGAAAGAAGGGCCATTGCGTATGATGGGATTTGTCTTCTTTTGACGAAGGTGGCTTGATGAGCATCAACTGTTTCGTGCGAGATGTTATGCTTGAATGAACACATTTGCTTAAACAGGATCTAGCATGATCAACGCCGTGTCTTCCGGGAGCCGCAGTAGGCACTGTATGTTTGCAGAAAAGATTCACGTTCAGCAGGACTCATGATGTCGATGTTCGTCGCAGATCCCCGTGATCAACGCGGTGAGTGGACTTCAACCCCGTGCCGAGCCAACCTTGCCCAAAAGGGTTGCCGCTCGTTCTCTTCCTAAACTCTATAGCGGATAAAACCATTCGCCATTTTTTGTATGTCACTTTCTGCGTGGATGTTGTTTGTGCACGAAAAGCCAATCAGAACATCTCTGATAAATCATTTTCTGCGATGTGTTCGATGACATCTGTCCCTTTTCTCCGCCTGATTCGCGTATAACGGTACAGGAGCGCTAAAGACTTGACAAGTGGAGAGAAACTGTCGCTTCATGCAGGCTGCCAGGCAGTTTTCGACGTGGAATATTTGCCGGCGTTATGACATTTGAAATTCGTGCAGTAGTTGATATGCGACACGAATATGCATGTTCCCCTAGGGCTCTACTCGCTTGAGCGGCTTCTTCTGCATATATGCATACCATTTCCTGCAATAACAGTAGTGACCCTGTCCATAATAAAACACCTTGTTCGCAACACAACTACCACTAGACGATCCATGGAACATCGAAAGTCACGATTGTTGACCTCTGTAGATCAGCTCATGGTAAGCAGAGTGCGTAAACCAGAAGAGGAGAGGAGCAGCAAAGACATGCTTGTATCAGAGGAGCTGAAGTTTGGTACACCAGGATCATCACCACGCAAAATGCAACGAAGACGAGTCTTCCACTCGGCAGCAGGCCGCATCTGCAAACAAAAAATCGTGGTTTTGGCTTCATCTCGCCATTTATCTCGCACCAAGATCGGTGATTCTGCTTACGACAGCACGGAGAAGATCTCCTTGTTGAGATTGAGTCAAGCAGCCAAGGCAAGCGAAGTCAGGAATGCTCGACAAATACCAACACCGTCATTGGAGTTCCCGTGCATGATGACAGAAAGACGTCCTTCCCCTGAGCAAAATAGATTGACACGGACAGAGGTATCCACAAAGGCTTGTCGTCGATGATGACCTACCTAAATTTTCCCTTGCCCGATCGAGCGATCGCGGAGCATGAATGTTTGAATCAGGAAGGAGAGATCGTCGTTGCGGCTGATGGATTTTCTGGGGAGCGTGAGCTTGGCGATGATTTGTGTTGTTCCTTCGCTCAACATGGTCATCAATTGGAACTGGTGCTTTACGTCGACAAAGAAATGCAAGTTCTTGATGCATACAACTTGGAAGCAGTTATGAGGTAGGAGGTGCAATTACGATTGAGACATGCGTTATGGTCATGAGGCTCTGTGCCCCGTTGCACGCCCATCCCGCAAGCCACAGCAGATTTCCGAAACCTTCCCGACGCAATATGCAAAAAGGTACAACCGCCCTGATTTACAACCTAAAGCTCAGCCTGTGGCGGACGTTCTCAACCCGAACATGATGAGGATTTGTATGGGCCTTGGTGGTCAACAAAATTATGAACCGGTACACCAGCACGGCGGCGCTGCAGATCAGTTGCCATGCACAGCTCGCTTTTGTTCAAGCTCTAGCAACAGCCAGCTGCCGACGTCAAGCGACCCATCGTCATAGGCGTGGCATTCGGCACGGTTTCGAGATAGACCTGGAATTACCGCACATGGTTCTTACATGACCGAGCAAGAATTGCGTGAGCCAGTCGAGACTGTCAATTGGTCATCGGCGGGGACAGTTTTCTGCACAGGTACACGTACCGATGCTGTGGATGCTGTTAAGTCCGCATGTTGAGTTGTATCTCGTGCTGATCCTATCAAATTGTACTATGCCACCCATGTCACCGCTGATCGTTACTCCAGCTCTCGAGGAGCAGGAAAGATCATCCGTCAATGCAATCTCTTGACATGCAGCAACTGTTCAACGTACCCTCGATCAAAGGCGTGCTAGCAATCGCGCTGACCAGAAACGGTTAAACATCTGCTGGCCGTGGAGAACACTTATCCTTGTTTGATGCCAGAGTATTCCCGTGGTCGGGCTATATATTGACCTTCCCCCTTCCTCAAGCCAGAGCAGTCACACATTCAGTCAAACACCTTCTCTGAACGTCCCTCACAATGAAGTTCAATCTCGCCATTGCAGGAGCTGTGCTCCCCTCAGTCGCCTTGGGTTTCCCCCAGATGATGGGTGGTTCCAGAGAGGACATGATGAGAATGCTTGAGAAGAGAGCCGCTGAGGAGCAATTGGCCAAGAGAGAACCTCAAATCCTTTCTGGCGTGACAGATCTTCTCAGTACCGTCGTCAACGACGTTAGAGGTCTCCTAGGTACGTGCAGTTGTTCACACTATAGATAACCAGTGCTGACATTTGAGAAGGATCCGTCGCTGAGGGTATCTTGAACCCCTCAGACAAGCGTCCCGAACCTGGCTACACTTTCCAGGCACCCGGCCCTAACGACAGCCGTGGTCCTTGCCCTGGTCTCAACCTTCTCGCCAACTATGGTTACTTGCCTCGCAACGGCTATGTTAACTATGGCCAAGTTCTGGAAGCCACCGCACGTGGTTTCAACATGGGCACCGACCTTGCTACAGTGTTGGCTGTCTTCGCCATCTTGGCTGATGGTGACCTTGTCACTGAGTCCTGGTACCTCGGTGCTGGCCCTAACAATGTTGGTGGTTTGAACCGTCATTCCACCGTCGAGGCCGACATTTCTCCCCACCGTGAGGACTACTACACTGGCTGTGGTAACAACCACGCCGTCTCATCCCGCCTTGTCAAGCAGGGTGTTGAGCTTGTTGCAGCTAGCAGCAACAAGCAGTACGACATGTCAGTCATGGCCCAGCAGTACGCCAAGAACGCCGACTTCAGCAAGCAGTACAGCCCCTACCTCTATGCCTTCCCCTTCCCTCAGATTGTCTCTCTCGGTGCCTTCGCTTTCTATCCCAACTTCTTCAGCAACGGTACCTACGGTTCCGGTGGTGTCCCCAACTACGAATCCGTCTCTAGCATCGTTGGCTGGAAGCTCAACGAGAACACTGGCGATTTCGAGTACGTTCCCGAGAAGTGGCCCGAGAACTGGTACCGCCGTAGCACCCCTTACGGTGCTGTTGAGGCTCTCACCGACGCCTACACTCAGATCTACCCCTCCAACATTGTCGTTCCCGGAGCCTCTACCCTCCTGACTCCCAACTTCAACGCCACCACCCTCCTTTGTGACATCTACCAGGGTATCCAGTCTATCACCCCTCTGATTCTCAGTGGAACTGAGAAGGATGTTGCCACTGCTGTCAGCTGGGCTCTCGGCAAGCTCACTCCTATCCTCGGTGGTGGCGCTCTCGGCTGCCCTTCGAGCGACCTCTCACCCGAGGAGGGCGATATTCTCTTCCCCAGCGCCAGCGCAACTGGTGGTCCCATCAACTCTCCTTCCGCTCAGGCTACCAACGCTGGCAACAACGTTTACAACAAGGTCTACTTCAAGACCGCACCTACTTCCCCCGCCTGCAGCGCTGGCGCCCCTTAAATTGTGTGAACACAATTTTCTGACGCCTTTGATGACACGAGATTGTTTTCCTTCGGCATTGAATGCCAGAAGCTCTCGATGAAACACATAAAGCCGCTTTAGAGAAGCGATGGACGAATGTTTCCTTTTCTTGTATATTTATATCTGTACTCATATTGCTGGTTCTAACACCCTGTACATATTACCTGAACCAAGTTAATCATCTTACAATTTTGTTTCCTATCTACATATAAGTTATGTGATCTCTCTGGACTTAGCAAGATCTCTGAATTACACTGTGCATTTTTACAAGCATAAAAATAAATGCGCCCTGCCATGAGATTAAGCTAAATCAGAGAAAAATGTGAACTAGGTCAGGCATAGTCAGGCATAGCACAACCACAAGGTCCATATCGCCGAATCTATATCTCCCACTTCTGACACCTTCTCCTTTCCATTTACTGACATGATTCAATACATTCAAAACTACAACCTGTGCATGGGAGATCCTACCTAAAGCTCTCTACGATCGTAACCTCGTCCGCGACGTCTACGTTGGCGACCTTGGGTGTCGACGCGGCAACTTAGATAAATTCACGAACACAGCACAGCGGGCCATGTCCAGGTTGTTCTCGAGGAGACTCCTGTATAAAGAGGATGTTCAAGGATGATAGAGAACAAAGTGTCGTGTCGACGAAGCAAGGTTTATATACTGGTTTTGTGACGGCATTCCTTGCTTATGCTGGAGCGAGGGGGTGAAGAGTATCCCTTGCTTCCGCGGAATTTTGCACACGTGAATGACACAGCAGAGCAGAGTAAAATTTGGGAAAGGAAGAACAATATATTAGTGATAGAGTTGGATACAGATTTCGAATACCAATTGCTCGCAAAGCCGACCTGTTTACTATCTCTACTTCAACGCTGCAGATACATAATCAAATGACTCGAAATGGAAATCTAGATGATGTGAGCACGACTAAGCAACATCTCCCAGACCATTTGAATGACCACGAAGGAAAACTCAACGGGGCCCATGATGTCGATCAGAAGAGCTGCAGGAGAGTTGTTAACCACATAGAGTACAAGACTGATGAAGATGCCGAGAATGAAGATGAATGTGAGTTTGATCATCTTGAGTGAGAGTGGTTGATCTGGGAAGGGTGGGAGTGAGGAGGGGATTTGGGTGCATTGGAGATGGTTATGAATGTTTCTGAATGAGAATAAGGATAGAAAGTCTGAGAGTGTGGTGGGAATAAGACAAAGGAACAATCCAGAAGTTTACATGGTGAAAGAGAGATGTAGAGAGGTGTGTCTTAGTTGTGGGAAGACAAAGCCATCGTTGTATCAAGAAAAAAGAAGGCATGATCGCTCACTGTACTTGCTCTAGAACCCTGAATTTTTTCCATACTTGATCGAAGAGTAGTGGATTTCCAACTCTTCCGACACCTCCAGCACCAGACATTCACTTTCACATCAGTCGCTTTCGAGGTGCCCGATCATATCTTCGACATTTTGATTCAGCTGTCGTAAAATTTGAGTCACTTTAAGTGCGGCCTGTACTACCACCGTCATTCGAAACGCCTACGTGATCTTCTAAGAGTTTTATTTATTTCCAGTGTCACTTTCGCTTTGATTCCACTCGTCTGGATCCGTAGATCAGGAATAGAGCAGAAACATTAAGACAATACGACATCAAACGCTCACGAACATATGTGAGAGCGATCTGAAGTTTGAGCTCAACAATCATCTGATGTGTCGGAACTGAGATTCACCTTCATTCATCACTCCCACATAAAGGCATATCAATCCTTTCGTCTCGAATTTTACATCACACCTTCACGCTATCTCAAGTCTTCCGTACCTCCGCTTCTAAGACCATCCCAAGCACTTACAGCGTCTATCGGATACCAGTACCACAAAGTTATGACGCCTTTCGTAGACATTGACGGATATCTAGATTCGGATGAAGGTCTTTTCGCCCCCGATATTAGCGCCAAGTTATCCTCCTCCGTTACCAGAAACAACGCATCGAGAGCTGTGTCATGTGTCTCCAGAAGGCCTCCAGGGTGAGTACTTTCCTAGGTCCATCGCCCTACAACATAGCTCGCTGACTCATCCAAGCTCGTCATACAAGGAAGTCATCACAGTCGAAGTCGGACCAGAGAAGAAAGCCTTTGTGATTCATAAAAATCTCCTCGTCTTCTATTCCGACTACTTTCGCAGCGCGTTCAACGGATCCTTCAAGGAGGCTACCGAGGGCAAAATCTCTCTGCCCGATGAGAGCGACGATGTTTTTGAGATTTTCAACCAGTTCATTTACAGCCGTGTTCTGGCAGATGGAGAAGGCGAAAAACTGACTGGGGACCAGCTTATCAAGCTCTGGTTATTTGGCGACAAGTATCTCGTGCCGGTTCTCCAGAACGTTGCTATGAATTCGCTCAAGACAAAAAGCGACAAGGAAAATTATATACCGACAGAAAAGATCAAGCTCATCTGGGAGAACACTTTGCCAAACTCGCCACTTCGAAAACTCATCTTGGATCAAGTTGTGTACGAGACAGACGTTGATCACTTCATTCACCCCGGCACGGAGGAACTCTGGACTCGAGAAGCGCTTGTAGACCTAGCCAGAGCATTGTTTCGCAAGGAAAAATCCACAGGAAAGCACCTGATGCCGCCACGAGGAAGATGCCACTACCATGTCCATAACAAGGGAGAGCATTGCTAAGATCGTGCGGTCATGCTCGCGATGGTTCTCCGGAGAACCAGCAATGGTCATCGAAAATATCAAAACGATCAGAACTCTTAACAGCATAATCTCTCGGTGGGTCTTTATCAAGATCAAAGATATGCCACCAATCGGAGTGTCAGCCAAAGACAACCTATCACAAATTTTCATGCAACATGGGTTGAATTGGATGAGAACAACACAATCAACTTCCATGGACTTGAAGCGCACAAAGAGAAGAAAAAGGGAAGGACGGAAGAAATCAAGAAATCAACGAGGGAACAAGATCTTGAATTACATGTACTAAGCAGAAACCAACCGAAAAACAGTAACAAAACCAACTTACCTCGAATGCAAAGACAAAATTCTCAAGTAATTACCTCTGCCTCGTGAAACCAGAACTTACCTCAAATTTACCTCATCTCTCCATTCCCAAAACCCATCTTGAAACAGTCTCAAGAGCCTCAACGATGATCTCCTCGATCAAAACACACAAGACATACAGACGAGGCATGACCCAGAGGTACCAGTCCAAAGCCTCTCCAATGTCATTGATGCGAATCAAGAGTGGAGCAAACGTGTAGACAGTCACCTCGACAAAGACCCAGAGGATGAAGAGAGTGACGCAGATGGTTTCGAGGAAAGGCATTTTGTTAGTGGTTAGTAGGTTTTCTGAGTGGCTAGTAGATTTAGGAAAGAGGCAGGAAGCGGAAAGAAGTAGAGAATGGGGAGGGATATATAGCATTGTGCAAATCGAATCTTGAGGTGGTCAGACAAGGTGTTGGGTGTGAGAATCACAACAAAACAAAGCGAACAATGAATTGCGATGATGGCTTAAAGGGCTTCTGCCAAAGGACGCAAGAGGCTGCGACTCTTTCGAGATCCAAGAGAACGAGCCTCTTATTTATCAGAGGTCAAAAAGCGTAGTATTCTTCTTGACATTGAGCCCCAGGCATATCTGTATGTGATCGTGGTGAGCTTTGCTATCTTGCATTGTCGCAACGTGTCGAGCGGGAGGCACCCCAACAACTCAATTCACATAAATCTCGTATGAACATCTCCGAAAGCAAAACATGGAGCAAAACAAAGAAGTCGATGGTCGACCAGCTCGAGTCATGTCAAACATGATATCGCCTCCCACCTTCCAACGGAGAAGATTCGGCCCCCGACATCGCACCTACCCACCCACGTGGCCATATTCCCGGCAGCGGACCACCTTCCGTGCCTTCTAACAAATTAAAACGCTGTGACGTCTGAGCTAGATACATTAATCAGCTGTCGGTGTCTATTCGCTATTCTTACGTTTAGGGCGTGCAGACTTGAAGTGTTATGAAACAGAATTGATAGGAAGCCTTGAACTCTCCGAAGTCGGTCTTGATTGAAAAGGAAACAAGAGTATAAGGACGTCAAATCCCAGATTTCCATCAAGGTAAGAACTTACAGAAGTTTTTGGATCGAAGCAGAGCTATAACATCTCGACCTATATCAAGAATCTGAAACAAATCATCAGAGGACGACACAGCAAGACACATCTCACAAATATCCTTTCACAATGGCCATGACCGGAGCAAAGCGTTTGAGAGAGTTGATGAGCAAAGAAGATCACATCGTCGTCGCACCAGGTGTCTACGATGGTCTATCCGGTAGAATCGCTCTCGCAGCCGGTGCAGAAGTTCTTTACATGGTATGTCCCTGTCTCCCTCCACATTCCTCCTTTTCCCACCCATACTAACACCCTCCCCCAACAGACAGGAGCAGGAACAAACATGTCCCGCCTCGGCACCGCAGATCTCGGCATCGCAACACTAAACGACATGCTCTCCAACGCCGCCACCATAACCTCTCTCTCACCTTCCACCCCCGTAATTTGCGATGCAGACACTGGTTACGGCGGCCCCATCATGGTGGCACGCACAGTACGTCAATACGCACTCGCCGGCGTCGCAGCCCTGCACATCGAAGACCAAGTCCAAGAGAAGCGCTGCGGACATTTGGTAGGCAAGCAATGCGTGTCCAGAGAAGTGTATTACGCACGCCTCAGAGCGGCAGTAAAGACAAGAGATGAGATGGGCAGTCAGATGATGATTATTGCGCGTACGGACGCAAGAGCCGATATGGGCTTTGAAGAGGCGGTGGAGAGATTAAAGGGTGCGGTGGAGTGTGGTGTTGATGCTCTGTTCCTTGAGGCTTTGCAGAGTAAGGAAGAGTGCGAGAAGGCCGTCAAGATCTTTGCTCCTACGCCTGTGTTGCTGAATATGGTGCCTGGTGGTAAGACTCCTCAGATGGGTGTCAAGCAGGCAAAGGAGATTGGCTTCAAGCTCTATATCAACCCTACTTTGGGCTTGGAGGCTGTGGTCAGGCCACTCGAGAAGGCTTACAAGATGCTGGTTGAGCAAGGCACTGATGAGTGTGAGCCCATTGGTCCCAAGGCACTGTTCGAGATTTGTGGCTTGAATGAGGCTATGGCCTTTGACGAGAGTGTTGGTGGTGCCGCTTTTGGTTCAAAGTAGACTAAAGGTAGAAAGCACAATCATAAACTTCATTTGTTTCATACAGCTATAGCCATGTCATTCGTGTCGATCGTAAAAGCAAAACCCATACAGCATATCATGTCGTTCATATCCTCCAAGCGACCAGCCATAATTCATGCACATAATCCATGTCTTCATAGTATTCTGAACAGAGACCATCGATAGGTCATGTCTCCATCCCTTCATCATGCATCTTCAACAAGCTTCGCCTACTGGGTAGGCTCTTCATCTGCCTTGTTCTTGGCTCTGGGAGTGATACGGAGGACGATGTCGTCGATTTTGCCCAAGTGCTCAGGGGTCAAGCAGGAAAGACCACCTTGCTTTCTCAGGTATCGATAAACTTCATTGGCTCTCTCTTGAGCGACTGCGCCTATCTCTTCATTGCCTTTGGGACCCCTGAAGGTGATGTTTGAGTGGTAGCTATTGCCATTCGGAATGAAGTTGATGAACAGGTGGCGTTTGGCTGTGTACCATGCAAAATCGCGAATGAGCTGAACTCGAGCACCTCCAACTTGAAGTGTGAAGGAGGGACCGTATTTGATGAGCTCACGAGTCTTTGCGTTGTAGGCGTTCTCTGTATAGACCAATTTGATCGACTCGCTGCGGATCTGACGGTTGACGCGAGTGATAGGGGCTTGATGATAAGCTCTCAAGTCTTTGGGGATCAGAAGACCGTGGATACCATTGTAGACGAGGTAGACGTAGATACGCTGACGAATCTCGAGAGGAAGAGACAAGAAGCGGGAGAAAGTTGGTGGGATGCGAACAGGGACGAAGCCTTTCTCGACAGGAAGCTCTTTCCAGGGAAGTGGTGGAGCAGGCTTGGCCTCAGCAAGGACCGGAAGGAAAGGAGCGGTAACAGTAGTAGCCTTTGTTGGGGTGATAGTAGGTATACGAGGCCTGCTGGAGATCAGCTTGTGGTATGGGTCCTGGGTGTAGATGCCATCGTCGGTCAAAGGGATAGTTGAGGCAGTCGATCTAGGGGTGATGAGATGGCTGAGGTGGTTGATGGTCTCATCGGTCGAGGCCGAAGATGGAAGGTAAGAAGTCTCTGTCTTTACAGAAGTGGGAGTAGCCTGTCGTTGATTAGTCATTGATTGAACCCAAGTGTGTTCACGAATGTACCTGAAAGCGAGGACGAGTCAGACTTCTCAAAAGAGTGTCGGTTGCGTTGGATGGCTGTGCAAGGGCATTTTGATGACAATAAAAGCAGTCCGAATGACCAGAGACAGAGTAGTGAGGGCAGATGGGAGGATGATTGGATGCCTCGGCCATCTTGCGAGCCTCGAGACGGCGCTGCTGTTCTTCGAGGAGCAGGCGATAGCCCAGGCTGCGGCGCTGCTCATCAGCCAGGACAAAATCATGATTTGGTTGGGATGCCATCTTCTTTTCGAAGAGATGAATCAAATTGGTAAGAGGAAGTGTGGGATTGAGATCAGACATTGGGACGGGGGACGCGCAGAGTTTTGAGGTTGGGCGAGTGCTTTCTCAAGAAGCGGAAAGAGCGACTTGGGAAGGAACCTTGGATTTGACTGCCTGATCGGCACCTGCCATCTACAGCTTGCTCTGTCCTGCTTGCAGCAATTTCCAATTACAGCTTGCTCTGTCCTTCTTGTGGCACCTTGACAACCACCTTACCCCAAGTGTCGCGTGCTCCAAGTGCTTTCAGAGCCTCGGGGACAGTCTCGAGTCCGACAAACTCCTTGTCTGTATAACATGTTCCGCGGAACTTGCCACTCTCCATCAAGTCAAACAAACCCTTCCAAACTGGCTCGACCGCCTCTGGCTCGTTGGTAGCATAAGCTCCCCAGAACAGACCCACAACACTGACATTCTTCAACAAGATTCTGTTGGTAGCCATCTTCTCGATGTCGCCTGCTGCAAAGCCAATGACCAACAGCCGTCCGTTCCAGGCCGTGCACTTCATACTTTCAGTGATCAGACCAACGGGATCATAAACAATGTCGACACCACGACCCTTGGGTGTCAGTTTCTTGACCTGGTTAGGCCAATCCTTTTGTCTGTAGTCGATCAGATGGTCTGCGCCGAACGACTTGGCGACATCGAGCTTGTGCTTTGTACCAGCTGTGGCAACCACGGTTGCTCCGAAAGCTTTCGCGATTTGGACTGCAGCAAGACCGACACCTCCAGCAGCAGCATGAACCAAGACCCAGTCACCTGGTACTGTCAGTTGGCTCATCAGGACAAATGTTCGAGATGTCGAGACATACCCTTCTTGATGCCAGCTCTTGTCACCAGACCGGCATAGCTGGTAGGAGCAGTGACCATCAAGCCAGCACTGTCGAAGAAGCTCCATCCTTTGGGCATTGGTCTCAATTGAGCCTCAGTGGCACAGACCTTGGTAGCGTAAGCACCCTGAGATGCACCAAAGACTTTATCTCCTTCCTTGAATGTAGGCTTCTTTCCTCCGGGCAATGACTGCGGAGCCTTGAGGATAACACCAGAGAACTCGGCACCGGAGACCCATGGTAGAGGAGGTTGGGTTTGGTATTTTCCACGGATCTGGAGCAAGTCGAAGAAGTTGGTAGCAGCGGCGTGGACAGCAATCAGATATTGATCTGGCTTAGGAGTCGGGTCCGGTAGATCGGTGACCTTGAGGTCTTGAGGACCCTGATGGGCTGTCAGCTGTGAAGCCTTGAAGTCGGATCCGAAGACGATACCTGAACATATTCCTTGACTTGGATTCCTCTCATAGTTGTGGTATACTGGTGTATATGAGAAAACGAGTGAAATGATAGGAGCAATGCATGTCTGCACGAGCGTGGGATGCAGTTGATATGACAGGAGATGATAGCCGAAATGTGGAGGCGGAGGATGGACTCAGTATCGATGCCTCGGCCCATGACTCGCGCACCATCACAAGAGCTTGGCAAGGGTCTCAACGTCATTGTCCTTGGGCTTCTGCGGCCTTCTAAGCGGCGTGTTGGCCTGTCCTGGTCTGCCCAAGTGACGGATTGACAGCGAGCTGAACTGATACACAGCACATCCATATCAGCCCCGTCTGCGCCTGAGATCCACGACTTCCACTTGACAAACCATCACTCAAATCTGCTCACAACCAAGCGATCGCCATGTCGGACGAGAGCGAGCAACAGCTGACTTTCACCGTCAAGTCGTCCAACGACGCCAAATATGCAGTCACCATCGCTGCCAATTCTACCGTCAGTCAACTCAAGGAAAAGCTGGCTACATCAGACTTCGCAGACATTCCCACCGAGCGCCAACGTCTAATTTACTCTGGTCGTGTGCTCAAGGACCCCGAGACGCTAGCAAGTTACAAGATCAAGGACGGCAACACTATCCACCTCGTCAAGGGCGCTGAGAGTAACAACCGCCAAAATCCTGCCAACCAAGGAGGCTCAACCCCCATCCCCGGAGCCGGCACAGCTGCCAACGTTCCCTCCAACATCGCCGCCGGAACTGGCGCACACAATCCCCTAGCCCAGCTGACAGGCGCACGCTATGCCGGTTTCCACCAACTGCCCGGTGCAGACATGTTTGGCGCTGACGGTGGTGTAAGTGCTATCGCCTTCTTCCAACTCATGAATACTGCTGACAACAATACAGATGGGCGCACCCCCAGACCCGGATCACCTCCTACGAATGCTCGAGAACCCTGCCTTTGCCCAACAGATGAACGAAGCCATGAACAATCCCGATGTCATCAACATGATGCGCAACAACCCTATGCTCCGTAACAATCCTATGGCCCAGCAAATGTTCGACAACCCGGAACTACGTCGCATGCTCATGAACCCCGACTTTATCCGTATGCAGATGAACATGCAGAGAAGCATGGGTGGTGGTTTGGGCGGCGCAAGTGCTTTCCCTGCTCCCGGCGCGACAGACACTTCCGAGTCAGACTCAACATCACAAAACACACAACAGCAGAACCCTCCGCCAAACCCCTTTGCCATGTTCGGTGGTGGACAGGGCGCAGGAAGCGGCGCAAACCCCTTTGCTGCTCTCTTCGGTGGTAACCCTGGTGCTGTTCAAGGTCAAACACCCGCTGGCACTCCTCCCGTCCCCACTGCCGGTCAAGGAACTCCCGCTCAAGGTCAAACTCCTGGTGCCAATGCTTCCCAAACACAAGCAAATCCCTTCGCAAGTCTGTTCGGCGGTATGGGAGGTGGTATGGGAGGCGCTCAAGGCAGTGGCTCAGATCCCATCCAACAGATGGCTCAACAAATGATGCAGAACCCAGAGATGATGCGCTCCGCAATGAACATGATGCAAAACATGTACGGCGGCAACAACAATAACAACAACTCAGGCGCTGGTGGTGAAGGAGGTGCTGCTGCCAACCCCTTCGGCGGCATGAATCCATTCGCAGCATTCGGTGGTATGGGAGGCTTCGGCGCACCACAACAACAGCAGGACAGTCGTCCGCCAGAGGAGCAATACGCAACTCAACTGCAACAACTCAACGCAATGGGTTTCTACGAGTTTGATCGTAATGTTCGTGCTCTGCGCATGAGTGGTGGAAGCGTGGAAGGTGCTGTTGAACACTTGCTCAGTGGAACGATATAGAGGAGCGTCTCGGCTTCGCATCTTCTGTATTTGTTTGTTCGCAACAAGGGGGTTTAGATTGCAAACCCCTCACGTCTTTTCAGTCCAAGCATGACTCTATTCTATCTTCCGTTACCCAATACTTTTGAGCGTTCTCTAATGGCATTCTTTCTTTCTCACCTTTGTCTTACACCGTTTTTATGAGTAACGAAAAGTGCAGTTTCATAAGAGTAATAAGTGTTTTGAGTCTCAGAATATGTTTGGTCACTTCTAATTGAGTGTTATATCCTCCAAGCTATCTTGTATAAAATTGTTAAGAGCTAGAAGAAAGCAGCAGTACAACAAACTTACCTATTGTCATACTGTCATATTCCCCGCGCTTCTTTTGTACTTGACTGACAAACTTGTTGTACTTCTATGGGTAGTTCGAGGTGACTGTTCATCCCAGTGGTTCAGAGATTGTATGAGGTGCATCGGATGACGCCCGGCTTTCCGAGTGAAGCCTGCCCCACCCTAAAGCTCGAATATATTCAACATCCATCAGAAAAAGTTCCCACCCGCAAAAGAAGGCCTGCCTCTCGCTCCACGGGCAAAAGGAATGATATTGATGGTCAGTACGGGGGTCGAACCCGCGACCTTGGCGTGCCATTATCATGGGTGGATATCCACCGGATATTAGCACCACGCTCTAACCAACTGAGCTAACCGACCAGATTGATGAAAAGTCGAACGCTCGGAAAATACAACAATGAACAACGTAGAGTTCAAGGGGCATTGCAAGGCATCTAGGTGTACAGCAGCTCTCTGGGTCGTGGTCGTTCCAGCTCTAAAAGCCGCAAATTTTTCCTTCATTTGCAGAAGCCGAAGATTTTCCGAGGATGAGTACTCTTTCAACACAAAGCATACTGCATGCTTCGTGAAGGTAAGCAGAAAACGGATAAAAATGCTTCTTTAGTCGATCTTGCGGTCTGCCATCCAGTCTGAGATGACCCTCTTGCCCTGCTCTAGAGTACTTGCTTGAGTATGCAAAGCACCCAAGACATCTCTCCTGGTGACGTCCAGTCGCAAGTCTTTGCAGAGTGTCTCCAGTTGATCGGCCTGAACCTGCGGGACAATCTCATCACCAGAAGCAACGACCATCAAGACTTTGGGTGGATTGGAGGATTCAGCAATCTTGCGCAGAGCGTCTTCACTGTCCCACCAGCTACGGAGAAATGGCCAGAGGTGTTTGTACGGCACCCACCAGTCCGGATAAATGGCTGCGAGCATGCTCTTGATGCTTACAAAAGGAGTCTCGAGCACAATTCGGGAGATCTGAGCAGCATCAGTGGACTTTGCTGTTTCGAGGTATTTCGATGCAGCATATGCAGCGACTCCTGATCCAATACTCTGACCCCAGAGGATGAATTCGGTATTCTCAGAGTCCTGGCCATAGTTCTCAATTGCCCACTTTACAAAAGCTTGTGCATCCTTCTCAATGCCTCTTTGATGAGCACGCCCAGAGGAGGTCCAGTATCCACGGTAAGACAGTGCGAGCAAGGTCCACTCGTGCGGAGAGTCTTTTGCAGCAGCTCTGAGGATGTTTGAAAGCATTGGTGTCCGAGGTGGAATGGATGCGCCATTACCTTGGAAGTAGAGCACGACGACTCGTTTGCGCTTGTCTCGGGCTACTGTAAATAAGTTTTCAGGACGTGCGATGGCCACAGAGAGTTTGGTTCCGTCCAGAGACTTGATGTTTCTCTCTTCCCATGATACCCCAGCCCATGTTTTAGAGTAATCTTCCAACTTCTCACGTCTTGAGCCTGGGGGTAGAGATGGCATGTAAATGATCTTGTTCTGAAACAGAACCATGAGGAGGCATTTGTGAATCCAATGAGCTATTAGGAGACCAACAAAGACACCTGGAACCAGGACGAAAGGCGAAACACCAGCAAAGATGGCTCGCCTTTGACCTTTCGAGACATGGCTGCGTATCGAAAGATGGGGGCGTCGAAGTGGTGCAGCTTGTGTGGTGGTAAGCAGTCCACGCCTGGGCTGCGCATCCAGCACCTGTTTCAAACAAATATTTGGTCGAGCATGGCGAGTGAACAAGCAGCTCAATCTTGAGTTCATGTCAATTGGGCAGAAGCAAGAGGAAGGTCTAGGTCTGAAAGTGCGTGACTTGCAGGAAGGCGGTGACGTCAAGCCAAACCAATCAAAACGCGATCGCAACCCCCCTCGCGTCGTTCGCGTTTCTTGGATTGTTTCGAAGGAGGCAAGACCAGGTTCACGTTCCTGATCTTGTTTTATCCCATTGCGATGTGATTCTGTTTTGCTCACGTTGCATGACTTAGCCTATAAGTATTGATCATTCCACTTTTACAAAGTCGAAGCGATTGGACAAAGACGCCGTCAACATGACACGCATCAGCACGCGCACACAGCCCCAGTTATCCGAATCCTGGGCAGACATGGACGATTCTCAGACTGAGGAAGAAGAGTTCAAACCACGTCTTCGTGAAGCCTACTACAATTCTCACAAATCTGCTACTTTGTCGAATCCACGGAGCCCGAAGGACTTTCGCGAAAGTCCATCGCAGAATCATCCTTCTCCAACTCGTCGCAAACGGAATGCTTCCCAGATAAGCCAATCAACTGAGTTCGTCATGCCTACGCCTGAATCCAGTGGTTATCATGAGTCTCCTCCGACTAGAACAACGAGACAGTCTCCAAGACCCGCCGTGAGAGCATCCGCTGTGCGTAAGTCTATGCCTGTCAGGCGTGCTACTCCAGTCGTTCAACCATCAAGGCGCAAGTCTTCCAAGTCTGCTACTCAAGATGCTTCGCCAGACTATGTTCAGTATGCCTGGCCAAATGTTGTGCTTCCACTGCTCAGATATGTCCTGTCTGTCTTCTCGATTGCTGCACATGCCCTCAAGCCTCTTCTTGGCTATACTTTGATTGTACTTCTCATGGCAGTTGGTATGGGTGTCGCCAAGACTATGGTGGTACATAGCGTCACCAATGCTCTATCACCACTGTGCAATATTCCAGGAGCTGGCTATTTCAACCTCCCCTTCTGCGACACTCGCCATCATGATGGTCACAGAGGTCCCGTCGAGTTCGACAAGCTGGTCATTACACAGTCAAATTTCGAAGACATCCTGGAAGCTTCTGTTCACCAAGCTGCTCTACCTCTGGCCATGAAGAACTCTGAATTGTCTATTCGTGATCTCCGTACAGTGGTCAGACACTCTAGCTTGGGTTCACGCAATGAGCTTGTCAACGAGTTCGATGGCTTCATCGAGACAGCTCGCCAAGCCAGTGACGGTCTGTCGCAGTTCAACTCGAGAATTTCGCGAGCTTTGGACGGTATACTCTCTGCCAACCGCTGGACCATGAAAGTATTGCAAGGCATCGAAGCCACGCCCGACTCCGAAGGCATCATTCCTCGCTTCTTCTCACAGTACCTGTCTCTGGCTACACCCCAATACTCCCCTGAAGATGTGATCTACGATCAGTACATCCGTCACACCTCCGAAGTCGAAGAGCAGATTCAAGTCTGCATCTTGGAAGCCAACACCCTCCTCGAGGTCCTTGAAAACCTCGATGATCGTCTTCATCAAATCCAGGATATCGCCCATCGGGAAGACCTCAAAGTCGGAGATGCCAAAGCCGAGCTACTAGGCCTTCTCTGGACCAAACTTGGCGGCAACAGGGGCCCACTGGCCAAACAAGAGCAACAACTCGCAACCTTGAATGATGTTAGCAGATACCGCAAGACTGCCATGCAGCATGTCATCTCAACACTCGTCAAACTCAAGGATATCGAGAACAATCTGAGCCAACTCAGGGATGATGTTGCTGCACCCACAATCGTAGACAGGAAGAGAATGCCTTTGGAGATGCATATCGATCTGATCAGCTCTGCTGTTGATCGATTGCAGACGGTTAGGGATGAGGGACGCAAGGAGAAGGAGAAGATGCTGCAGGGCACTCTTCACCAGATCAATGAGCATGCTGCTGACAGAAGAATTGCGCAGTAACGGCTTATTATGATGTTTGCTTTGGGTATCGGGTACAGGATCAGGACACGGCGTTTGATATGGGAAGTGAGCAATGCTTGGGTAAATGACATAATGACCTTCGAATACACTCTTTTGTCAAGAACAAAAATAAGCTTCATAATGCAAACATGACCCCTACATTCTTCCATCTCTGAGCCAGTAATATAGTCGCTCATACGTTCACTGTCTCGGACCCTGGCAGGATGCCAATTAAGCCGCAATAATTAATGTGCACTTTCACGATGTCGACCAGAAATCTTACGGTGAGATGGTGTTGTTGATTGAAAAGATCGTCCAAGGCCAGCTCAGCAAGATCCACTGTAATCGATGGCATCATCAAGACATTGGCTCCATTCCAATGCTGGTCACGTTATATCTATATGCCGACAAATAGTAGTAATATCCCAGGTGGGTGGCAGAGTGACTCAGAAGCTATGACTGTGTATATCGAGTTATCGTCACGAACGCCCTCAAGCTTGACTGACATGAGGACTCTCGGGCTCATCTGTTCCATCGTCATATTCTAGAAAACTGTGCCAGTCGGTTCGCCAGTCGCTACTTCCATCTTCATTTCCAGGCCAGATCCGTCTGAAAACTTTCTTGGTACGAGGTCCGAGCTCTTCGGGAGCAGGTTCGTCTTCCCAAGATGTGTCCACCTCTCGTGTCACGACTTCATTTGGATAATCATCCCGAACGCCTGGTTCCACGGTCCAAGATCTGCAAATATACTCAAAGACAACAGAGAGTTGGCTTTCCGGGGTTCGTATGTTCCTGAATACATAAGGGTAGCCTATGATACTAGAATCGATTCTTAAATCAAGCTGACTTAGGAAGCAGTTGGCGCGTGATGCAAGACGATATACAGTTCTTGCAAAGTGCTCATCGATTGCTCTATCAATGAGCGCTCTGCGAACATCGCCGTAACGAGGTCCGTGAATCATATCTTGTGAGAAGCGCCGCCGATCAAATTCGTCGTAGTGTGCCAGTCGCCCGTCTTCCATGATGTAATTCTTGAAGCGAAGTCCTAGGATAAGCCGTTGGAGAGCTGGGAAGGTAGCAAACGTCTTGTAGACAGCTACCTCGGTGATACTGCCTTGATCTCTTGGGAACGTAAACTCAAGCTCCGCGAGCAGTGGGCATTGATCTCGTATGTCCTGAAGCACGAAGACTGCGTCACGAGTCTCACGTGCGGACCGGTTTGGCAAGCGCAATGTACGGAGACTGGCGCCGTGCCTTTGGTATATTGGATTCATATCTCTGAATCGCCACCCAATAGCAAGCTCTGAGAGTGGCAACAAATCCACAATGAACAACGTCGCAGTCGACTTCTTCTGGGAACTTTCATGGCTGTTTCGATCATTCCACTGAAGCTTGAGAACTTTCAATGACGCAAAATCACAGTCTATCAGCCAGACCAGTGCATCTAGACCAATCAACGTGTTCAGAACCAGAGTATGCAGACGTGAGAAATCAACATGTGTGTGCCAGCTCTTTAATTCTTCTCGATCCAGGCTGGCCATGGCGTTTATTTCCAGTCGCCTCAAACTTGTGGACGGATTTATGGCACCCCTTTCCATAGGTAGTTCCGTCTCTGGATGTGGCAGACTTCCGCGATGTGGCATCATTGTCCGCCGAAAGCGCACCTCTTCGACTTTCGGTGCCAAGCGTGCAAGCACTTGCTGAACAACTCGTTGTGACCGACTGGCATAAGCCTCTTCATCAGGCTCCATGTATGTGAACCAGATGCTGTGTAGACATGGTGAAGTCACAATGGCCAATTCATGCTTGTCTATCTCGGATTCAAGCAGACTTCGGGCACAAAAGGCTCTCATATGTAGACGAGAACCAGGATGGTATCGATGTATTGTATCAAGCACACAAGGTGGGATCTGGTGTCTAATCTCCCAGAGGAGGTCTGAGAGAGCAGGGCATCGCCGCAACATATTCGACATGGATGTCCAAGCATGGTCGTATGTCCAGACAACCTCGGCGGGCGCCATATCACTACGAGGCCAAGATGCAGATCCTCGGCGAGCTTTTTGGTCGGCACCAGGGTAGTTCCAAGCATGACAGAGCCTTAGCTTGCGTATGTGATCGAGAGCGGTAATGGGTCCCAGAGTATCAAGGAGACTTTGTACATCCTTCTCGACGCTATCATGATTGTGTATGGGAAGCATGACTTTCTGGAATATGACCATGTTTGCAGTTTTTCTGATTGTACTGCTCGTCTGCGAGAAGCTGTATATGCTTGGCGTATGTGTATCTCTAAGCAGTTCGCATATCTGCAGGCAAATCTCAGGCGGCAGACGTTCAACGGCCGATAAAGACATCTTTTGATGGGATCAATGGCAGGTGAAATGCTGGGTTGAGAATTAAAGGACAGTATTGGGGTGGTTGTCAGTGAGGGAAGTTGTCAAGCGCCAGAACGCGGCGCGTAGGCTGCAACAACCCCACCTCCATCTCCTCTGCACCTTCCCACCTGCGCAACTGCTTCTCCAAGAAAGACTCATGGTTGATATTGGCGGCTGCTTTTGAACTGTTCTCGTTAGAGAAACCAATTGCGCAAAACATCGGCTTCTTATATGTTGGAATATAGGTTAACAGCATGGTGCTATTAGCAGCTTTTAGGCTTCGACAATACAGCAAGATCTCAGAACATCAGACGAAATCCGTGAGTCAAAACTCCCCCACCGGAGTCCGAAGACACAGGCATAAATAGAAGCTCGATGGCTCCTCGATGAACGGGTCGATGTCAGTGATAAAACGACTCGAAACATGGTGGATACACAGCTTTCGCCCCTTGAGTATGTCTGATCAACGCGGTATGCAGATTGCGTCGATGGCGCTGCTCAATCAGTCCGCGCCGGATTTTGAAAAGAACGAATGCCGCCGACCTTACCCTCGCAAATGAACATTCTCTATGTTGAGGCCATGAACGGGTGTGACTGCCTCCGGATCCGAGACGAAGAGGGAGAAGGAGGTCTCGGAAGACGTTGCCGAAGCCCTAAAGCCCTAGAAAGGCTAAGACCTCTCGTTCACGATCACTTCTCTGACGCTGGTCCGACTTGGTTTTGCAATCTTGGAACTGCTGAACCTCCGACCATCCGACAGTGTGTCAGAAAATCCAGGAATAACGTTGAAAGGTAGGAGGCGTGAGGATGTATATGTATAGGAGTCGCGTAGGTTTCTCTTTGGTTTCTCTTTCATTCATGTTTGCAAACCCCAAATCTATACATCATTAGTTGTCCAGGAAAATCAGCTCGCCTATCACCGTACCATCTCAGCTTCCATCCTCGAGCTTGATCTGTTGTGTCTCAACATGGGCTTTGTCAGTCTCTTCCTTCCAGAGAAGTCTACCCATCGTATAGGGCACAGAGACCCGTTCTGGAATGGCAGAAAGAAGCCTTTCATGATCGCAGCCGTTGCCTCATTCATGTTACTTCAGATCTTGTTCCTCGTCAACATGTCATACCTCTTCGGGTCCCTTTTCAAGTCAGAGCACAGGGTACACAACCTCCACATCCTCACAGTCGACTATGATGGTGGTGTCATCGGAAAGAGTCTTCAAGGTGCTATAACACAACTCAAGGCTGATACGTTCCCAACGTTCGATGTTGAGAGCAGTGCCAAGTATCCGGCTGTTGAGGACATTGTCCAAGCAGTTAGAAAGGGTGACCATTGGGCTGCCGTATTCACCCACGCTGGAGCTTCAGATCGCCTTGCGGCTGCCCTTGAAGGCGGCGATGCAGCAGCTGCTTACGATCCAACAAACACACTTACATACGTCTGGAACGAGGTCAGGTACCCAGCTGTGGAAGATGCCACCATCAAGTCCAGCATGTCACAGCTCATGGCCGTCGTCCGCATCGCTTACAACCACATCAACGGCACTGGCGCCTTACAAACTCTGAACAAGAACGATCCTGCCGCCTTGCAAGCTTTCCTCAATCCGATCCAAGGAGGAGACATCAACATCATGCCAACAGGTCAGGGGACAAGAGTCTTGTACAACACTGTCGCTATGGTGATGCCCATCATCATGCAATTCTTCTTCCTCATGGCTGTCAACGGAGTCAGTGCAGAGTTCAATCTATACTCGCATCTTCCAGTTCTTAACAATGGCATCATTAGATTGGTACTCAGTCTGTCATACACCTTCATCGGTTCCCTCTGCTGGGCCGGCTACATCTGGGCCTTCCGCGAAGACTGGTCTGTGGGCGCGGGCCAATTCTTCTGCACCTGGGTCATCATGTGGCTATTCATGCACATCAACTTTGCAGTGGTAAGATCTCACCTACATCCTTTCAAACAAACAAGACCTAGTCATTAACGTAACACAGATTGACGTCGCAACCGGCTTTATCCCCATGAAATTCCTCCCTTTCTTCGTGCTGACTTGGGTAATCCTCAACGTCACATCTACAATCTGGCCTTTTGAACTCGCACCAGGATTCTATCGTTGGGGCTATGCATTGCCCGCCCATGAAGTATGGCAAGTCTTGATTCAGATCTGGTCGGGTGGTGCTGTGGATCGTCTCTACCAAGCCTTGCCCATTCTCTTCACTTGGGAGATTGTGTTTTTGCCTTTGGCTGTTATGGCATTGAATCATCGCTGTGCTGTTGCGGAGAGAGAGCATAAAGCTATGGAGGAGGAAAGGAGACAACTTATCAGAAGAGTGGAGACAGGGAAGGCGGACGAGATGCCAGAGCGGTTGACATCAGAGGAAGAGGCGCCGTCGCCGGTAGCTGAGAAGGTGGTGCAGAGCTTCGAGGCTGATGTTCACAGGGGCTCCTACGTATCAGCTGTTTCTCAGCAGGTCTAAACCTGATTGATAGGTGTATGTTGAAGCAGCTAGGTAATAACAAAATTTATTGGAAGACATAAGACAAGAGCAACGAACTAATCTATGTCATGAGCCTGTATAGCATATCTCTCCATTACCAAACCATCCCTTCTAATTAGCTTCAATCCTTTCCATCAAGCACAAAAGACACCACTAACGAGTAGTGGTCGTGACAGTCTTGACGACCCTAGACTTGCTAGTAGAACCAGTAATTGTGGCTGTCGACACGGTAACAGTAGCAGTCTTGGGCACCTTGGTAACCAAAGCCGAGCAAGCACTAGAGATAATGCTGCCAGGATACTTGGTCAACGCAGTAGGTGTAGCCAAAGACGAGGATGCCAAAGCACGCTTGGACAAAGAAGATGTCTTCGAAGAAGAGGTGCTAGAAGACGAAGCCTTGACCTTGAGAGTCGAGGTGGACGTAACAGTTGACACAGGAATCTTGGTAGAAGTCGCAGTGGTATAGGCGTTGAGATCATTATAACCCAAGAAAGTGCTGCAATAACTCTGAAGGCTGGAAGCAGAGATCTCTCCTTTGGCTTGAGCAACAGCAGCAGCTGGATTGGGTGTCGTGCCTGCATTCGTGAGGTTGGAGAAGGAGTACGAGAACCCTACTGTGTAGTGGTCGTTGCCACGATATTGCCCAACGTTGGTAGCATACTTGTTGGCCCAGGTACTACTGTACATAGCACAGTACTGTCCCAAAGCCGTCTTGCCATTCAAAGACAAAATGTAAGTGTTGAAGAACTGGCAAGTCTGGACAGGGCTACCGTCGCTGGGGGGATGGGCAAGGTTGTAATCGTTCTGAGCGTTGCAGGCCGCGGCGCAGAGACTTGCGTTGAAAGGACCTGCGGCAAAGACTTTGGCACCCATATAAGTATTGTAGCCCAAAGCATCGTATGGAGCATTGATGGCTGCATTGCCAAGGTAATTTGCATCAGAATAACCAGGAGGAGCAGCAACAGTCTGGTTTACGTAACCGTTGGAGCCAGCAACCACGACAGAAAATTGCACCCAAGTTCTGCCGGAGTTCTTGGTGTTGGCAGTGGTGACTGGGCCGCCCCAATAGACACATCTGACATCGTTCAGTGAATGACGCTATAATCGTTTGTGATATTAGACTTACTTGATCTGGGTCAGAGAAGCAGGATTCGGGCACAGGGTCTTGTCAGGGGTGTATTTAGGGTCGCGCTCGAAGTATAAATTAATACCCATGCAGCCTTTGATGGCATTACCTGTTTTGTGACAGATTCCATCAGCTCTGAGGACCAAGAGAAATCTCGCTCACTTACACTTAGTGGCGCAAGACTGAGGACTGTACGATTGGAGGTAACTGAAACCGAGATACCCGTAAGCGCTGCTACTGGCATTCAAGTTCCTGAAGGTCTGATCATATCCAGCAGGGACAGCGGCGGCATTGGCTGCACTAGCGTAAACAGGGTTGGCAAGAAACGAAGCAGCATCGTCCTTGGGATCGGTAGTGACGGGCCCGTAGCCAGATGGTTCAGGTCCACAAGCTGAACGCTTCACTACACTCGCAGCTGAGGAAGCAGCATCAGTCACAGCAACGGAGATGGAGGAAGCCGCAGTAGCTGAGGCAAGAATGGCCTTGGTGTCGTACGTGACAATTTTGTCAGGGGTACCAGTTGCTTGAATGACAGTCGGGGTGGGGATGTTGACAATAAGGTCAAGGTCAATCTCCTGAGGTGCAGGAGCCGGTAGAGCAGCAACAACCGCAACGAGAGCGGAGATGACAAAAGTCGAACGCATGTCGAACGAAGGTTTTCAATACTTCCAAGGTCTCTGATATGTTTCTCATTTATCGTTGGGGATCGTCTCGGCTTTTGTATTCCTTCGTCTCGACTAGATCGTCATTGTCAAGTAGCATGTGCCCTGACAAGCAAGATTACTACTAGCCGCCCCATGTGGTTATTGCATGCCATGACCATGATGACCCATGGTTACCAGCATGTAATATTTGGACTTGGCTTCCTTCCACGATGGCATTGCCTTCGAACACGACGTATGAGGCTGAGAAGGAGCCCTAGATCGTTCGCGTAACAGACCTTGACAGTCACGAGGCGATGTCTGAATCGAGTTGAGCCTGAACAGAGTTTGACGCGAAAGGCTGTTCGACGAGGTTCGCGTATGATCGCAGTATCTCGAGACCAGTATGTCTGTACTTCAGGAGCGTTCATTTCATGTGGTTTGAGAGCTGAAGTCCAACTGTTTCGGCTTCGACCGAACACAGCTGCTGTATAACAGACGTTAGCTGTCTGAGGCTGAATCTCATCGTCGCGGGACAACTGTCTTTGATCGTCTCAGATAGGTCTTCGAGAAGGTCTCACATCTCCTGAGAAGCCTGGAGAAGCCTGGTGGTCATCCCATGTCTTGGCGGATTGAATGCCAAAGTTTAACGACGTTTCGGGACGGTTGCTAGACCGTTGTGGGTAAACTTCAAGCCACAATTCAATGGCTGAGGCTCATCGAGTCAGTGCTCTATAGCGATATAGTTAGAGTTGTCGAAAGCGTATGTTGTTGGTGAGACATCGCAATTGCATGCGGCGACAGAAAGCCTAACGCAGACCTGATAAACAACCATGTCGTGGGCCGTAAGAACAGCTGAGCTGATACACGAAGGACCATTTGCTGAAGAGAGCCACATCGGCACTGGTCAATGTAACAGATCTCGCAAGCAAGTGCCTCTTGACCAAACCATGAACGTGTACCAACCCGGAGTGTTCTTTGGGTAGATGTAATTCTTGGAGGCTCTGAAACCTATCTCCAATAGTGCATGAGGTAGCCGCTATCTTCTCCTGTATCGTAGCCGATGCCTCCACCTTGCCTTGGTCTTACTGCTCACTCGTTTAATACTTCCTCGAGGATAGTTGAGAGGAGACTCTCCGCCCACAAAGATCGCAACATCGTAGAGAATCGCACCGACAATAGCGCCGGTTATGTTGGCGCACCACACTCCATAAATCCACCAGCCATCTCCAAACAAGTCGTGTCTATTGAAGCCAACCGTGATCAAAGCTAAGCGAGGCCCCATATCGCGAGCAGGGTTGATTGCGGCGCCAGTACTGGCAGAAAAGGCCATAGTTTCGATGCTGATGACTAGGCCGATGATGAAAGCATTCATTCCTGCTCCAGGGGGTGCGTTACTGTCATCACCTAGAGCCAATACAACAACACCAATGAATGCTGCAGCAACAAACTCAGTCAGGAAACCTGAGGCAGCATCGGCCACACCAGGCATACGATTCGTGACAAATGAGTTGTAGACATTTGTTATTTGCTCCGGATTAGAGTCCAGGTAGTTGAGTATGCAATTTCGATAGATGCCATATGCAACAAGTGAGCCGATATATGCTCCAAGCAATTGAGCAAGAATATACACAGGGATCTTCCTTTTCGGGAAGCCACGGAAGATGTAGAGCATGATTGTAATCGCAGGATTGAGGTGTCCTCCAGACACACCACCGCTGATGTAGATAGCAATCATGGTGGCGAAACCCCATGACCATGCCATGGAGTCACTCGAGCCGCTATTGGTAAGATTGTGTGCCACATTAGCACAAATACCGATTGTTATCAAGACAAATACCTGTAAAGATTAGGATGTGTGCAAAAAGGAGATAGCGCGTTAGACTTACGGCAAGAATCTCGGCCAGAGGCTCACGTAGTTTAGTCCTAAGAACTGCCCATAGCGTATGGTGGTTATGTAGCTCTCCCTCGATATTGTTTATTGGAGAGATGCCTTCATTCCTTTGAACAGATGTAGACTCTGCCACGTCATCATTGGTCTCTTCATCCTTCTCTTCGTCGTGACCGTCTTCACTACGACTATGTTGTTGTTGGCGCTCTGTATCGGACCGTCTTGTCGATGCTTTTGATAGTTCTTCTTCATCCTCGCCAGCCTCGTGCGGAGGCGTGAGCTGCTGCAGGAAGCCAGCTGGTCGCGTGTGGGACTCCTGACCCATCTCTGATGGTGGCTCGGACTTCTTGCCATATTTGTCGGCATACTTTCGTTCTCGTTCCTTTGTCGCGTCGTGTATGCTCTTGTCAAGCTTGTTCAGATTCAACTTTGGGCCGATTCCTTGCTCCATCTGAGAATCGGTAGGTTGCAACACATCCTCATCCTCTTCTCCAGGCTTTGGTCTGTCCGCTTGGATCTCCTGCTGCGACGGTTTCATACCTCGACGTATGATTCGTGGCATAGGATCTGCCAAACCCCAGATTGGTCGTACATTTCCAGGTTGGCTGTACGCGGGATTAAGCTCGGCATATCCATCTTCTACATATGGTTGATGTTGATTTTGTGCGCGTCCATTGTTGCCTTCATCTGGGGGACTTGGACCAGCTAAGGTGAATATTTGTCTATTGTTCTCATCTCTGCTAGTCGTATAGGCAGGATTACGATCAGATTGTTGTGTCCCGCGTCTGTGAGAAATCCTGTGCCGCAAACCAGATGATATGAAAGGACGACTATTGGACGCAGAGTTGTTTGATTCTGTGATATCAAGACTTCCCCTCGAAGCTTTGCTTCGATTTGTGGGCGCTTCTTTCAGTGTGGCTTGGTCAGTGTCGCGTCTGTAATCGGATGCACCCTGATCGGACATATCCATGCTCATCAGTGTGGAAGGTCCATGAAATGTCTACTTTCCTTTCTCGACGTGTACTGTTAGCCGGCAAGAAGTGCTTACCGTAAAGTCATTTTGGTCAAGAAAGGCAGAGAATCATGAAGAACCAGAGTATATGGGCTGACTTCGGACAAACCTGTTCAAATATACTGCGTAGGGCAGAGGCAGCCTTGTTGTAACCATATTTGGAAGAATTCATTCGCTGCAAAAAAGGTGGTCATAATCGCGTCACGGGGTAGCTGCAGATGCGATATGTCTGTCATGCCGAACACAAAAAAGTCGATACGAACACTCATCCATTCAGACATAATTTTATGGCATAAGCATACAATGTGACGATTGGAGGTTTACAACTGCTAAGACTGTCATGCAAAAGTTGGATAGAGCAGCTGAAGGTGTCGAGTCGAATGATCGTCGACAAAGTCATGTCTTGGCACTCCTCGGTGCAATTCACACCCTGACCATAGATTAGAGCGAAGATGTTAGAGCGAAAAACGGACTAGTGTTTATATCTGCCGTTAGATGGTATGCAGGTATTGGTCTACGACGGCTACAAGATAGCAAGTGCAATGTTGTCCATCTGAAAGACAGCTTTGCTACAGCGTACTCACGAACTATCACGGGTTGCTGCTTTCAATCGTTACGATCATCCCAAGCTGCTTGTTATAGAACAATCACAAAACTTTTCATTCGTGGGCGGACTGATACTAGTCCTATCATCTCAAGCCTTGCCCACCGTCTCAGATGTAGCCTCGGTACCCTCAACCTCACTCTGTCCAACAATGTGCTCAGCACTCTGCTGCACACCCATCTGACTGATATCGTATCCATGCTCCGCCAAGTAGGCCCTGAACTTTCTGTCCTCCTCATCGATGGTATCTTGACCAATGTGAGGCAACAAGAAAAGCGCAATGAAAGCGCTCAAGATACACAATGAGCTGGACACAAAGAAGGGGTATTGGCCAGCCTTGACCATGTCAGTGTCCTTGTAGCGGTCATACAGAATAGCCAAAACTTGGTCGCCTACGAAGGCACCGATCTTGCCGATTGCAGCTGCGATACCGTAGTATTGGCCTCTGACGGCAGTGGCGCAGGATTTGGAAGCGATAAGACCAATGTTGTCGCCTGGTCCGAACCTGAATCTCGTTAGCATATCATCTCTGATGCACTAGCCTCTGAGTGACTTACTCTCCAAGCGCAAGGAAGACACCGTAGACGATAACGAAACCAGCGACGTTTGAAGGGCGGGCAAGGTAGCTGTACACGCCTGCCATGATAAATCCAACGATACCTTGAGCAAGAACACCAATGCCCAAAGTCAATTTAGGACCCAGCCAGTCACTGACAAAAGAACCGCCAATGCAGCCTGGGAGATAGAAGAGGTAGATCAAAGTAGTCCAACCGAAAGACTTCCAAAGTGCAGAGTTGCTGCCTAGAAGGTTGTCCACGATAGTCGAGCTGAACAGCGAGAAGGAGTAGCCCGAGAAGTCATAGATGAACCAGATCAATGAGACAATGGTCAATCGCCACCAGTAGAACTTCAAGACCAAGAGCCAGGGTGTCTTTGCTTTCGCCATAGTTTCGCGGCGATAGGCTTCAGGCTCGTTGAGCTTAAGACGGAGGTACAGAAGGGAAAGTGGAGGGATTACACCGAGACCCAGGCAGATGCGCCAGGCGGCGCGGAGGTGATTTTCGCCTGTGCAGAGAACCTAGAGCATGAAAAGTCAGCAACAACGTATGCGGGGAATGCGAGATGAACCAACATACCACAATCATGGGCACCAGCGCAGAAACCACGAATCCAATATCAATCTGGACGTTCGTGAACAGGATAAACCACCTATTTCTGGTGCCGCTCTTGAGTTCTCCAGTGCTTTCGGCACAACCTACACTGCCTGCGGGATATTCACCACCGATTCCAATACCCAGCAGGAAACGCCAAGCGGTCAAGGCAGCGAACAGGCCAGAGGCACTACCACCAGCTCCGTAGCTGCCTGCACTGAGTGCAGCGAAGAGAATCAAAATAACAGTACTGGCAAACAAACTCCACTTGCGAGAGTAATGATCAGAAGTATAGCCAAATATCAACATCTGAAGCATCTGTCAGAACAAGATTAATACACGAGGATCGACGATACTTACACCAACCACAGTTCCAGCAAAGGTGATGGACGAAACGTTGCGTTGGGCGGGAGAAGAAGCATAGGCATCAGGATAAATCTTTCCGAGCATAGTAGAGACAAACCCGATGACACCATTCAGGTATCCGTCACTGAATAGACCAGCACCGCAAGCGATGACTGGCCAAAGACGTTCCCATCTGGTCTTCTCGGTGTCTTCATAGGTAGTCGGAGGGTTGCCTTCGTAGGAAGTAGATGGGTGCTCTTGGACAGGCGCGATATCTGGATTAGCACCACTAGAGTGTTTTTCGGTGCTTAATGGTCGATCCATGGTTTCGAATAAATCCGATCTTAGTGCTCGAAGTCGCAATGGGCAATCGTGTTGTCGCTTTGGGTTTTCAATGCGCTAGCCGCGTTGGTGAAACCAGGTTGCGAATATCGAAGATTAGGAACACGCAGTGATAATCTGAGGTCGCAAAGACAGATACCGGTGATTGTGAAAAGGTACAGATGGGAAGAAACGTAAGATTTGTGATCTCCTCGATCGAGCAACCAAAGCAGGAAGCAATGGAAGAAAAAAAGAAGACCGTCCTTGAGAGGGCACGCGACCAGTTTTATCGAAGGAAGGGCTGATCCTGCGATCTGCAGTTGAGGCGATCTTCCCTCGTGAACATGCCCGCAAACCAATTGGAGCGTTTCCTGGAGAGATGCTTATCCTGCCGATGTGGAAGGAAGCTTCGATGGGGGCTCGGCTGCCGGCACGGCGCTTGGTGGTCACGGTAATGAAACCCTGAGGATGGAAACACTCATGAATCTCAAGCAGAACTTAGCCATCATCCTTTGGAAGAGACAGCCGTGTGTTCTGCTTACTTGCCGAACGATTCGCGGAGTTTCTAGACACTCCACCTGCTTCCAAGGTTGAATTGCGCTATGGGTAAAATTTATGATAATGCTCTCAATGTTATACCGGGGGCCCAGCCACCACACCACAGCGCGCCCTTACCTTCGCCTCCAAACCCTGAAAGCTTGCCTTCAATCCATGCTCTTCCGTCATAACCTAGTAAAAAACCACACGCGATCATTCCTCAACCACAAACAAGAAGACAAGATACCAAAACGTGCTGCGGTTGGAGCAGAGGGTCTCAAGTACCGCATATTCGCCTCAGGAATAAAATGTGGACTGGCTTTCGTGTCGATAGACAAGCATCATTGTATCTTTCTTGCAATTTTGTCATCGGCATTCTTCCGCGGTGATACAGCGATGGTCTACATATCAAGGAGAAAATTAGTTGAGACTCAATTGATTGTTGCTAAGAGGACGCCGAACAATCAGATTGCAGCAACTACTTCGTCTCTGCCATGGACATGTATTCCGCTCGTCATATTGTAAACAAGCGAGATATCCACCAATAACTAATACCTCACCAACCATCCCCCTCTGGCTTTTTCGGAGGAATGACAGCTCTGGTGTTGAGTTTGGCGAGATCTTTGTTGCCATAAAGGCAAGATCACATCCAATAGGCAAGTCCACGTCCAGTTGATAATATCTCCTAGCCCAGTCGAGTGGGTACCCATAGAGGAAATTCATTCTGCTAGCCTTCACACGCTCTTTTAAACTCTCCGACCTTCTGGTTACTCCGCCGTAGGTCTTTGGGCGTGGAGTTGCTTCCCGATTCCGAATCCAAGTAGAATTGGAACGATGGCCTCTCTTGAAATCCCGCTAGGGAACGGTGGTGACGGCAGAGAATGGTATAGTGTTGTCGGCCATAAGTCCTTGCAAATAAGCTTCCTTGAGGAATCTTTCGTCGCGCGTTGCTTTGCCTGGTCTGTCAGGGTTGATACCAAAGTCCATACCCTTGCGCACAAGCTCTTCGTATATGCCTTGGTATTCTGGCGGCTCTTTTGTGTCTTCTGCGCATTCGACATCTTTGATAACCATACGATCGATGACATTCTGGTTTTGATCGACCTTGAGCCAGTAGTGTACGGTACCAAAGCCTCCTGCGCCTAGATAAACACTCCATAACCAGGCATCCTCTTGTGGCAAACCACTACGGTCGTCTTCTCCAATCTTGACCATGCCAATAGTTGAAGGACAGTAGAATAAGGAGATTAGAAATGTGTCAGAATTCCCTGCCAATAAACAGCTTGCGAGTCGACATGTCCTGCTGAGACGGAAGCTGTGTCATTTTTCTATTCTTACCAGACTGTCTTGTCTCGTGGCGATCGCATCCGGACGCGGCCAAATTTGGCAAGGTCGATCCAGGACTAAGCGAGCAGTTCTTTGTAACAAAGCATACCCAAGACAACAAGTTATCCGAAGTTATCGTTCGCTGAGATACCATACCACAGACGTTCTGAAGGATATTAACGTGTTGAAAAGTGGTTGGAGTGAGGATTGAAGAACTAATGGGTCTCTTAATGGCCGCAATGTTGAATGCAGCCCACGATGAAGTGCGGGTGCTGAGGTAGGCGATGATATCGGAGTAGCAAAGAAAACACTTATAGTGGTCCGCGGAGATACGATAATCGATGGCTTCAAACATAGACAAAGTTGCGCGATGTCTTTCAATGATGGTGGTAGAGTCGGGGCTCACTGTCAGAAGGAAGGAGCACCTCCCATGTCTTGGCATACAGACTCCATCGTCATCTTCGACACCAGAACAACCACAACACTGCAACAACTTCCGGATCTTTGCATCCTCACCAATCGAACAAACCATCGTCAAAATGCCACCGCCACCACCCCCCAAAAAACCAACTGAGCCCCAGGGCAAAAACGAACGCAACGAATACATCCCCTCTTTCATCTCCAAGAAACCCTTCTACATCGACGACGCAACCGCTTCCCAAGAAGACTACCTCGAACATCAACGTCTCTCAGCCCAAAAAGACGAATCCCTCGCAACCCAAAAATGGTACACCAGAGGCCAACGCGCTGGCGCTGTCACAGCTACAAAATATCGCAAAGGTGCTTGTGAGAATTGTGGCGCTATGGGTCATCAAAAGAAAGATTGTCTGTACAGGCAACGCAAAGTAGGCGCAAAATTTACGGGGAGGGATATTAAGGCAGATGAGCAGGGGCAGGATATTAACATGGGCTGGGAAGCTAAAAGAGATCGTTGGAGTGGTTATGATGCACGCGCATACCAAGAAGTCGTGGACGAATACAATGATCTCCAAGCTATTAAGGATGCCAAACGCAAAGCCGCTGGAATTCCCGAGGACGAAGAAGACGACGACGACACAAACAAAGCAGAAGACGGAGACAAATACGAAGAAGAAACAGACATGGGTCGCAAACAACCAAACTCGTCCCGAAACCTACGTCTCAGAGAAGACACAGCAGGCTACCTCAAAAATCTCGACCTCGAGTCTGCAAAATACGATCCCAAAACCCGCACTTTGATCGACGACGCAGAAGGAGAATTTCAACGTGCTTCTGGCGACGCTGCAGAATTCGCACGAGCCCAGCGCTACGCCTGGGAAACCGCTGAAAACAGTGGTAGCAACAACGTGCATTTACAAGCCAACCCAACAGCAGGCGAACACTACCGCAAAAAAGAAGCCCAAGAAGCAGCAGCAAAGAAAGAAGCAACCCGCAAAGCCCTACTAGAGAAATACGGTGGACAAGAACACCTAGCTCCAGACCCATTCAAACACGCTGCCATCACAGAAAACGAAGTCTTCGTCGAGTACGACGAGCGCGGCAGAATAAAAGGCCTCCCCGAGAAAAAGGAAAAATCAATGTATGCGGAAGATGTGTTGCTCAACAACCACACTTCAGTCTTTGGCTCTTGGTGGAAGAACTTTACTTGGGGCTATGCATGCTGTCACTCCACAATAAAAAACAGTTACTGCGTGGGCGAAGCAGGGAAAGTCGCATCCTCAAATGCTGAAAAGCTATCTTCTGGTACCCTGCTCGATGACGCTAAAGCTTTGAAATCCAACATCACAACAGAAGTCCCAAAATCAATAGCTTGGAAAGAGGAAGAGAGGAATGAAGAACACGTCCCCAATGCCCCCGACCGCGCTGAAAAGACCAAACTAGACGATCAACGACCAGAAGACAGAAAGAGAAAGCTTGACGAAATCAGAGATGGCGTGACGGAAGAAGAACTGGACGAGTACAGGAGAAAAAGAAATGCTGGCAATGATCCTATGGCTGGAATGCTGGGCAAGGACGAATTGATCGAATGAGAAGGCTGGAAGAGCTGAACCCTTTCAAAACGAAACTCCATCGTGAGATTTCGACCTTGACCCGAAAGTGGTCTCCAAGGCATCGTTCCCACGCATCTGGCATCAGCAGCATTTTATGGACCATCATTCTTCACTTTCTGCTCGAGCAATGGGATCACGGCTAGTATTGTTTCCGAGACAAACCAAGTCAGTGACCAGCCACCTATTGCTTCAAACCCCATCCAGGCGAAAAGCTGGTAGTCCATGGTCAACCACTCGATTATACCTCTCTGCCCAGCAGAAACCGCTTAGTTGCTGGTCATCGCCATTGTGCACTCGTTTCACGAGCGTATAGGTCGCAGAGTATAGATTGTGGTTGCGCGGATGCCGTGCATTCAAGCTAGTATAGGAGCAACAGCATACAGCAAGAATTGCAATCTTTCGAAGCACAATGAATGAATGAATGAAAGTCGAAGACTTTGTGTATGATTGGCCTATTGCCAAAGCTTTATTGATATATAAAAAGCAAAGTGAGAATAATTGTTTGGCTAAAGTACAGCATCAGAAAAAAATAGTCAGCTTTTTCGCTCTCGAGCAAGCGACAAGTAAAGTTGTTGCAACGTCACGGTCCATGTCGGAGCACCCCAAATCTCCTGTAAAGCCAGTCCCAAGCATACCAGCTCCTAGCAATTCCAGTCGATCCTCCCAATCCATCTCATTCCCTCAGATAACCCATGATCGAACGCCAAAAAGCAAATGTGGTTCGTGACTAGTCGATTTCCATTGCGGCAGAAGCTTGAGGAACAGCAGAAGGAATGGCAAAGGTTGGGCTTGGTGAGCCCTTGTCTGACGAGTCATCGGCAATAGGTTCATCACTGGCAAACATGGATTCAGTGGCCGAGCTGATGATCGTTTGAGGAGACATCAGTTTCGAGACCAGCTCGTTTGGATTTTTGGTGACGAGAACAGCTTGCTTGAGATCATTGCTCCAAAGCAAAAAGACTTTTTGGCCAGAGGCTTTGTTGGTTGCAACACCAAGGTAACCAGGGATGGAGGAGTTCTCGAACCACAGCTCGATGTCGGCAAGGCCAGGATAGTGTCTGCGAACCCATCTGGTGTAGGCCTTTGCTGAGATCTGAAGTGCTTCGCTGGCGTCGAGACGCATCCATGAGATGCCAAGAAGGCGCGTGACCTCGTCGATAAGAGGCTCGACGGACGCAGTACGACGGTGAGCCGATGCGTCGATGGTCAGAGCAATGTCGTTTGATTCAGGGCCTGAGGGAGCGAGACGTTGGGATTTGCGACTGGGCATTGCGGGTCTGGATGGTTGAGTGGCTACAGGGCTGACTTGGGGTGTTTCGACCCAGGTATTTTCAACCCAGGAACCAGTAGAGGATTGACCATAAGGATTGTTAAGCAGAGTCATTCCAGGACCATAGACGGGTTCTCCAGGGTTTGTTGGTGGAGTGGTCACGGGAGCAGCCAGAGTGACCTCTTCGTCGTCGTCATCGTCGCGAGAGCGTTTGCGTCCAGCGGCAGAAGGGAGGGATTGTGTAGGGGGAGCAGTCTGCTTGAAGAAGGAGTTGTTGCCCATGGTAGTAGGTGTTTTGTGTATTTGCGAGTGAGGGAAGTATTGCGCCGAAGGAGCCGGAAGGACGACGGTAGGCGATGAAGCGTAAAAGGAAGACATTGTGAAGGGTAGGTAGTAAAGACTGTTTGCTAAATCAGAATGCTACAAGGTTTGAGCAGTCAATGCACAAAGAAGCGTGTGATATGTGGGCAATCGACAGTGATGTCGGATTGGTGATTGAAGCTTGTCGCGTCGCGAAGCCGGGAAGACGCGACGGCGATGATAAGATGGAGAAAGTAGAAGATTGATTAAATGACGTCGAGTCGATGGCTTGAAAGTGGATATAGTCGTGTGAGACGAAAGGTAGAGTGAGAGATGGGCGGACTGAAGTATCGGAGGGAGGAAGGGGGGAGAAGTGAGATTGAGTGGAAGGAGGGAAGAGACGTCTTCTTGAAGAGCGAGAAAGAGCTTGTCTGGTGGTTTCCCTTCCGAGAAGCCTTGCGACTGGACCCTTGATCAGCTTTCTAGCCGGGCAACAACGACTTCGACAAAGGTGGAAGCTAAACATGCGCCAAGCAACTGTTCAATTGGACCATGCCGAGACCCACATTGCCGTATTCGGGTTAGAACGTGGATGGCCTTGCGCGGACTTTTGCCTTGCGCTGATATGGCCAGAAGTTGTGATTGAGCACGAGCGTAGTTGTGTCGACCGCATAAATTGTGCTCAGGACCTATGTACCTGCACAAATCTCGTGCATAGGTGATGAAGACCCCCGAGCGCTTGGCGTTTGTTGCCGATGGAACTTCTCCAAAAGTTGAGGCGCGCGCAATTGCTGGTCAAGGGCCCAAATAGACTGTCTACCGCCCACACTCGACGACATAACAACACAGTCGACTCTGCATCAAGTTAGAGTTTCTTCAAACAAGTCTATCCCAGAATCTAGTTGCTAGCTTGGATCGTGGTCCAGCAACAAGACAGTCAAGATGCAGGCCCCCGTTGTGGTCATGAGTGAGCTTCTCTATGCTTGTTCTGTCTGCTGTGTATACTGATAACCCATCCCAGACACCAACAGTGGTGAGCGCCAATTCGGTCGCAAAGCCCAATTGTCCAACATCACCGCCGCAAAGACGTACGCTACACAACTCATCTCATTACCTGCGTCCTTCTGACAATTTGCAGCGTCGCTGACATTATCCGATCATGTCTTGGTCCCAAGGCCATGTTGAAGATGCTGCTCGATCCTATGGGCGGTATTGTCCTCACCAACGACGGTCACGCCATCCTGAGAGAGATCGAAGTCGCCCACCCCGCCGCAAAGAGCATGATCGAGCTGGCCAGAACACAAGATGAGGAAGTCGGTGATGGTACCACATCAGTCATCATCCTTGCTGGTGAAATTCTCGCTCTTTCCCTCCCTCAACTCGAGCGCAACATCCACCCCGTCGTCATCATCCAAGCATTCAAGCGCGCCCTCAGCGACGCCCTTCAGGTTATTCAAGACGTCTCTATCCCTGTCGACACTTCAGACGACGAGCAAATGTACAAGCTCATCTCTTCCTCTATCGGTACAAAATTCGTTTCAAGATGGTCCGACATGATGTGCAACCTGGCTTTGACTGCTGTGCGCACCGTCTCCTACAACGCCAATGGTGGTAAGCAAGAGGTCGACATCAAGCGTTATGCTCGTGTCGAGAAGATTCCTGGAGGTGAGATTGAGGACAGCAGAGTTTTGACCGGAGTCATGCTCAACAAGGACATCACCCACCCCAAGATGAGGAGGCGCATTGAGAACCCCCGAATTGTTCTGCTTGACTGCACACTCGAGTACAAGAAGGGAGAGTCGCAGACAAACATCGAAATCACAAAGGAGGAGGACTGGAACCGCATTCTGCAGATTGAGGAGGAGCAGGTCAAGCAAATGTGCGACGCCATCATCGCTGTCAAGCCCGACCTTGTCATCACCGAGAAGGGTGTTTCAGATCTCGCCCAGCACTTCCTCATGAAGCACAACATCACCGCTCTCCGCCGTGTCCGCAAGACCGACAACAACCGTATCGCTCGCGCTACCGGTGCCACCATTGTCAACACCGTTCAAGATCTGACCGAATCAGACGTCGGTACTCAGTGCGGTCTCTTCGAGATTGAGAAGATTGGCGACGAATACTTCACCTTCCTCACAAAGTGCCAAAACCCCAAGGCCTGCACAATCCTGCTTCGCGGCCCTTCAAAAGACATTCTCAACGAAATTGAGCGCAACCTTCAAGATGCCATGGGTGTTGCCCGTAACGTCGTCTTCCACCCTTACCTCTCCCCCGGCGGTGGTGCCACCGAAATGGCCGTCAGCGTACGATTGTCACAGCTCGCCAAGGGTGTTGAAGGTGTAGCCCAATGGCCCTACCGCGCCATTGCCGATGCCATGGAAGTCATTCCCCGCACCCTGATCCAAAACTCTGGTAACTCGCCTATTCGTGTCTTGACCCAGCTTCGCGCAAAGCACGCCGAGTCAAACGACAACAGCAGCTGGGGTATTGATGGTGATGCTGGCAAGATCTGTGACATGCACAAGCTTGGTGTTTGGGAGCCTCAGGCTGTTAAGCTGCAGAGTATCAAGACTGCTGTTGAGTCGGCTTGCTTGTTGCTCAGAGTTGATGATATCTGTGGTGCTAAGAAGGCTGCGACAGCAGGTGGTCAGATGGGTGGTGGTGATGATTAGATGTTTTGAGAGCTGAATAACCAAAAAAGGAGATACCATGTATTAGCATAAAAATTGAAGATTCAGACTGCCCAAAATCCACAGGATGACTGTACTTGCAAGTTGTGCTAGAGATAATCTCCTAAGCCGTCCATCCGCTTCTTGACCGAGATTTCTTCCAGACAGCTGGTATAGGCAGATGACATCCTACTAAAAGAGGTGATGGGAAAGAAATGGCCCGATCTCGGCCCGTGAAGCTTGGTAGATCTCGTGAGCTTGATGAATGTTTGATACCATCATCTTTCCCAAACCACCTCAAGCACCAGCGAGTTATTCACGTTTAGCTCTTGGTGATCCTTTCTCTGCACCAATCAAAAGTACTGGAACATCTCGAGGGGCCATTGGTCTTGGGCATACCTATTCAACCAAGTTTCCATTGGACCTGCATAAACGAACACACCAAACTCCAACCTATTGGTGCTATCATCTCACAACTCGTCACCACACAAAACCTCAGCACCATCGCCATCAACATCAAATCCAAGAATCCGCAAAACACCATGTCTTCAAACACAGGAATCTCCCCGCACGCAACCTCCTTCATCCACTCCTACGCAACAGCAACCGCCATAGGCTCCACCTCCAAACCCTCAGACCTCCAAGCCTGCGCAACAGCAATGTCCTCCCATTACCTCCCAAACCTCATCTCTTTCACCTTGGGCACCAACACCACCGTTGCAACTCCCGAAGAAGCTGCCAAAGGCACCTTGACGCACCTTCAAAAGTTGGTGTCCGCGGGGGTAGGTGCAGATATCAGAATGATCAGAGTGGCAGTCAAGGAAATTGGAGAGTTTGCTGCGGCGGTGTTTGTGACGTGGGAGTTGGTTGTTGATGGGTTTAGTATTGCTGATGAAGAAAAGGCCAAGGCGAAGGGAGAGGCAACAAGAAAAGCCAAAGGCTGGAGGTGGAGGAACTGTTATGGATATAGAAGGATGAGTAGAGAGGTTGATGGTGAGGAAGTGGTTGATAAAGAAGGCTTTGAGTATATTGTTAGTGATGAGGAGGTGGGCGAGTTGGTTAAAAGAGTGCCTAAGTATTTTGAGTCGTAGAGAGGGGATATACATGATAAGTTGCATGTACGTATGATATTTAGCTGTACCCATGTCCAGCACGCATTTCATTCATCTGCTACCTATGTCTCGCTCTTCTCAATCTGTAATCCTAGTACTAAAGCTAGTGTAAAAGCACAAACCCCAGCGCCACGCTATCCTATCCTTTCCATGCATTGAACAGAAAAAACATTGACAGAAAGCAATTTGCAAACCAAAGCAAGTTGATAAGAGGAGTGAAAGTGAAACAAAAGCAGAAGGAGGGGAGATTTTTTGTCGTGTTTGTAAACGCAGAGTGGAGAAAGAGAAAGGGCAAGCAGCTGAACAATCAACCGAGCATGAGAAAGTTGAAGACAATCAATCGGCCAAAGCGAAAAGCAAGGGCTCGTCATCATCCACAGTACCAGAGCCTTCACGGTTGCGGCGTCTACTGCTGGCACCACCTGATCCACCGATTCCACTCTCTCCTTGCGAGAGCAGTTCAGAGAGACTAAGCTCGCTTCGACCACCTTCAGCGACGGGCATACTTGCTGAGCGCATGCCATATGCATCCTGATCCTCGACACTCGTAACTCCTCTTGCACGTGCTTGCTGTGTTGTAGACGACGAGCGGCGGTTCGAGACGAAAGTGCGAGGGGATGTTGGAATATCGATTGCTGTGGACAGAGGTGTACCCGAACCTCGTGTAGGTGGTTGAGAAGATACGTCTCTAGCCCCATCACTGGATGGTTGGATGTGTGTGCCGGAGAGACGACTACGACTGCGATCACGTGTGTAGTCTGCTGTGATACTGTTGTTACTCAGTCGTGAGGGGATGGCGGGTATGTGTGGTGTGTGCGGTGAGATGGGTTTACCAGGCGAAGACGAAGTCGAAATCAAACCTGGACTCATGCCTGGGATATTCTGCAATTGTCGACTCGACGAACTGGAAGATCTGTGCAACATCGTTGACGATTGCATAGACTCAGAAAGTTGGGCTGTTGAATCCTTCATACGCGAGAACTTGGAGAATTGCGTCGCGGCGCGCTGCGAATTAGCGCTCAGAGAAGCTTTATCAGTCTTGTTGAGACTCGATAAGCCCTTGTTCCTGTCGAGCAACTTGAGAAAGTCGGCGATGTTGTCCTCGTCAGCTTGTACTGAGCCTGAGCTGGCACCTCCTTCGCCTTCCTGGAGTGTGCTTGATTCACGGTTAGTGGATGAGACACTGGCTCTGCCACTGCTGTTGTTGTCTTCTTCAACTCTACTGCTGGACACTGAAGGGAATCGTGCTCTTCTATTGCTGAAGCTCGACGAGTATCTCTGGATAGGAGCAGGTTTGGGTGAGCTTGATGCTGAAGAGCCGACAGCTGTCTCGGCTACAGCGCCAGGATTGCGCAGAGCCATTTGGGGCAGTGTCGATAACGAAGACTTTCTAGCGTGTGCTAGCAATGGATTGCCCGCGCTTCGACCGACAGAACTGCTCGGCGAACTGGACAGGAAGTTACCAGCTGCGGGCGATGATGACAAAGAGCCAGCCTTGAAGGGTTGGAACGACACAGACGGTCTACGCTGGAAGGCGTTCTGCTCTCTCAAGGATGAGGGAGTGAAGCGAGACGCTTCTCGATCTCTCAGACTTTGTGAAGAGTAGCGACGAAGTGATTCGTCTTGCTGTGATGAAGGCGATGGCTGTGATGTTTCGGCTTGTGCTGACAAAGGGCGATCGGCAGGCTCACGGAGAGTGCTTGTTCGAGGTGATGTTCCTGCGTTTGCATTTCTTTGCGCAGTACGCTGGAAGGATGAGGAATACTTGGACGGCTGTGAACGCAAAGAAGGGCGCTCCTGGTCCATGGAAGTTCTTTCTCTGCTCGATTCGCCTGAAAGACCACTGTCAGGGCGTTCGTGACCAGCCATCCGCGCGCTAATCAGGCGTTCAGAAAGCTCAACTTGCAGATCAAGGTTCTTTCGATAGGTGACCGAGATGTTGAGAGATCCCAAAGGGCAATGCAGAGGCGAAAAGCGATACGTTTCAGTTGGGCGTTTGTCTGAAGGGAAGATGGAACAGCTCAGAGTGTCTACTCGTGATTTCTCATTGAGTGATCCGTCTGAGACACGATACCGGGGTCGTAAGGTGGCTGGACCAGTCGCAGCTTGCTTTCCAAGACGAGTCCTTAGCTTCCACGCCGGAAGTAGTCGTGCGTAGGTGCAGAGTGCTCTGCATGTGATGACACCTTTTTTATAAAAGCTAGGTGCAGGTTCGTTGAGGGTAGCCGGAGACACTGATGAAGCGTCGTTCAGGCTAATTGTCCATCTCTCGTATACGAAAGTGGAGAGGGTGTGATTTTGAGGCGTCGGGGCTGAAGCTTCGAGTCTTCTCAGAGTCTCGCTTACATCCCACGGTTTGCCTTCTTCATCTATAGCGACCAGAGTCTGGTTGGGGGCGAGTTGGGCAGTGTCGAGGTAAACATCGATCACCAACGGAGGGGGTCTTTCTACAGTTGCATCCATAGACCTCCACTCTTGCAAGTCTTGGTTCAATATGTCTGTTTCCTCTATCAAGGTATTGAACTGGATATGGTCAGACACGGTTACAGTACTTGATGCAATGCAGATAGAATAACATAAGACAGTTGGAGGGATGCAATATTGTCTTTGGTTTGAGTGTGTTCTAGAATGACACAAGACAAGGACGATAGTAACTCTTCGAAGCAAGAGTGCCTAGCAGTGATGTAGCTGCCAGGTTCATGATCGCACAAGGCCATCCGAGACATACAAGTCTCTCTTCAACAGTATAGAATTACTGCGGTGGTCAAGGGAGTATTCGAGAACTGCAGGGATGTAAAGGCGGAGGAGAGGTTACGTACCCATCTATCGATCTTTGCTTCTCCAGTCTTGGATATGGCAGGAGATAGACTGACTCGGGATGAGCAGATGATGAGAGCAGCTTTGGTGAAGAAGTGCTGTAGTATGGTATAAGCATGAGCTGGGGAGTTTGTTGTCTCGCGACGCACCTGAACAACCAAGTTGGCCCTATCTTTTGAAGTCTGCTCCCTGCCGTCAGAAGAACGAACAGGCTGGCTGCCCGATGACAGGTCCTCGTTGGAGTACGTTCGGCTCGACATGGCGTCTCTCGGGTTGGATTGTCTTTGAGGGTTGGGTGATGGCATGGGGGCCGGAGGTTGGGCCCTTGTCGAGGGGCGTGGGTGTTGGTGCATGGTATAGGGAACCAGATTTGTACAAGGGAGGTCGGGCGTGGGGTATATACTAGATGGGAGTGGTGTTGATGGGCAAGCGATCCATCATAGTGACAGTCGGCAGGTGTTGAACCTTGATGGCGGCTCGGCGGAGGTCGATGTTAGGGCAGTTGTGGACGACGACGAGGCGGATCTTGATGGAAAATTATGGCTGCATGGTGACCAGGACGAAATGGCAGGCTGTGTCTTGGATGAAGGATGGAGATCAAGGTCGAATGGGCCTGACGGGGGTCGTGTGGTATTGGCAGGTACTGGCAGTCCCTTATCGCCGTGTGGTGTATGCAGCTTGTGACTCGACAACCCGCTAGCTTGGACAAAGCTCCAGACAGGTCCCCGCTCAATCTGACTGGCTGATACACTTGGTCTGTCTCAACAGATGATGAGGAGAAACGAGAAGAGAAAGAAAGTTGGACACACAAGTTGGAGGGTCGAATGAGCAATTCCTTATCGCCTCGACGACTCATAGCCCAAACCATCGACACTGATCATCCATCAACATCATCCATCGTCCTTTCCCCGGATTTGACAGCAACTGCACCCGACCGACCTTCGGCTTTCCTTCCTATTCGTCGCACCTTTCAGCTCTCTGCCTGCTGCCTATTCATCCATCTTGTCCGAAACAATCTGTCTTCATGAAGCCTCCATCGTGAAGCCTCTTTCAGTGAAGCCTCGCGTGTCCTAATGCTTGACTTTGCTTTTTCGCAAGCTCAGAGATCCTGTCTGCTGCTTTGGTATCGGAGTAAAGCACGCAAACGCCACCACTCGTCACGCGCCATGTCGCAAAACAAACACGATTATTCGCCATAGTCATTCGCTTGACATTCACGCATGCTGTTGTACTCTGCTGTCTGACATGCTGCCGGAGGAGACCTGTTCAGTCGGCAACTTCGCATTGCAGCAGGGCTTGAGCGGCAACATTCTTACCGATTATCCTATCATATCGCTCACAGTCTCTAGTTTTCCTTTTATATTGCTAGACAGAAACACCCTATTACCAAAGCTAGTATAAATCTTGTCTTTGACTCGAAAGCATGGACATAATCTCTTTATCTCAACGTGAACTTGAGATGTTCGACCGAGCTCGAGCTGCATGCATCCGCCATTCGACGTGTTGATCTACACGCCATCGATTGGCTATTGTGATTGTGTGTTATCAAGTACCTGCATGCACACCAGATGTCATCGGGATCTCGAGGCCGTCAATCAACGCATCTCCCTTTCAGATTCATAAGGGTGATATTGCTCAGATTCGCTATCTCATATTCATGTCTTGACAGCCTTTTCCAATATCATAAACTGCTCATCTTCCATAGCTTCCGAATCAAGCGAGACCATCACATCCAACGGCAAGGTAAGCATAGGATCCGAGTGTCCGGTATCAACACCCGCCAGTATCGGAACCTCTATACCATAACACTGATCCCAAACCATCTTCTCGAATGAAGCAGTCATCTTCTCGTCATACATATATGGACGTCCAATGACAATACCAGCAACTTTCTCCAAGATCCCAGCATTACGTAGATCTGCCATTGCAGACCTTGCAGCGTCGAGTGAGAAGGGGCTCCCAGGTTTGTGGCCCTCAGGTAGTTCGAGCAGGAGGATTCGTCCAGTGTAGTCGGGTAGATATTTCGTGCCGCATAGCTGAACCAGGGAAGGAAGACATCCACCGTATAGTCTGCCTTTCGCTTTACCAGTCTTGATCCATTTCCACCCTGGCGCAGGCTCCAATACCCTTGGTCGACTATCTCCATCTTCATCCAACCAATCTTTGAACTCCATCGTGTGCACCTTTGACCTAGGAACAGTCTTTCCACTCTTTCCTGTCAACGTCTCAACAAAGTGATCAACAGTAAACCCCATCACCCATCCCTCATCCTCCCCAAACTCGGGAATGACAGCAGGACCATAAAAAGTCCTCAGCCCGCTTTGCACGAAAATTGCATGATGCAAAATTGTAATATCAGAGTATCCGCAGAAAATCTTTGGATGCTGGCGGATGAGGTTGTAGTCTAGGTGAGGGAGCAATTCGTTTGCTGATAAGCCGCCAATTGTACAAAGGATTGCTTTTACGCTTGGGTCGGAGAAGGCGGTGTGGAGTTCTGAACAGCGAGTTCGAATGGCGGAGAGATGATCCGAAGGTAAAGTGTCATTGTAGATCGTTTTGACAAGGAAGCCATGGTGTTTGAAGAAGGTGATGGCATTCTGAATCCGACGGGAGAACAGTGTGTTGAGGCGTGAGGAAGGAGAGATAAAGGCGATGGTGTCGCCCTTTTGGAGAGCTAGCGGTGTGGTGGGTTTGTGTTCTTCCATTGTGGTCTTGCGGGAAATATTTACATCTTGGTTCCCACTTTTATACTGGGATGGCTGCCTACTCGAGTAGCACACGATGAGTCAAGCAAGGAAGGAAGGATTCTGGCCCCGCGTCATGTGGAGAAGTCAAGTCACAAGCTACCAGAATGCATGGCTGTAGTTTAACAACGATGGTAGACAGAGATAATCTTGAATTACTGCTTTCGAAAACGTACTGTGCATTTCCACGATGTGATCATCTCGAGGATGAAAACGTGAATGGATATATATGTCAAATTTTCACTAAACCACATCACGTGTATCCGGTGTGGTCTAACGGCTAGGATTTCTCGCTTTCACCGAGGAGGTCGGGGTTCGATTCCCCGCACCGGAATTGCTTTTGTTTTAGTCGTATCCAGCTTGCTTACTAACATATCAACTCAGGCAACATGATTCTCTTTTGCTCCTTACATTGGTCAACGTGGTTTTCATCAGAGTTTCCTTCACTTGGGTCTTTCGTTTTGCCCGACGATGAAGTCGAAATCTGGAGATGGGCTGTATTCTGCGGTCCATGACTCACAAAGGTTGTTCGAAGGATCAGTCGTTGTTGCCTATTGAGGAGCTTCGAAAATAACATCTTTCCTTCCCGTCCTCTACAAGCTGCAACTCCTATTACACTCCGACCGCGACGACAAGCATCATCCTCACTATCAAAAGGCATAGTTGTTATTGGAAAAGAGGCGTGTCCATCGAGAGCTGATAGATCGTCGCTTCTCAGTGGATATCGTCCTATTTCTTATGATATTGTGCATTTCCACAGCTAATACACATGGAAACACTCCAGCTGGAATCGCTCTCTATTTGGAGTGCGCCGCAGTCAATGGCTTCAGCTGCATTATCCATACCGGAAATTCTGTCATGCATGCTCAATATGTTAGGACAGGATCGCAAAAGTCTACGGTCGGCGGCCTGTGTCAACCAGGTATGGTTCCACGAAGCGACACGATTGCTCTGGGCTAAGTCAGATACAAGAGCATTAATGACTGTCGTACCCCCACGTCGCACGCTATACGCTTCCAAGATCTGCGACCTCAAGCTCGAGTCCGACTCTGATCGGTACAATACCGATCTTGACCTTGACTTCGAGCTGCTTCGCGTTCTACGGTTTGACAATCTTCCACTGCCTCGAGATTCTAACCTCGCGCCATATATACAGCCAACTTTGGAAGAGGTCCACTTCAAAGACTGGCCACCTACTACGTTCTTGGAAGGTCTCAATAAACACTGCCCACGACTTCGAGGCTTTTCCCAGATGTCTCTAAGATCCAACGGACGACCTGGTCTTGCTGAGTTCTTTACCGCGAATAAGACATTACGAAGCGTACGGCTCACGCTTTATCCTCAAGATGAGGACGAAGTTCTCGCAGCGACTGTAGCTCTGAGCAAGATCATCAGTCTTGAGGACCTCACGCTCTATGGCGAGATATCTCTAGACACAATGGAACGGCTTCAAAGATCGCCATTTGCATCAGTACGCAAGCTCAGAATTCATATCGGACTTCCAGCTTTGCCGTTGTTGTCCACAACATTCAGCGCGATGACCCGCCTTTCACTCGAGCTTCTGATAGATAGTGATGTCCACGCACTCGATGCACTTGTTGGTTTGCCACTAGTAGTTCTCCAGCTCCAAGTTGCTACTGGTGTCAAATTATCGCCGCAAGAACTTCTAGTCTTACGCAATGCAAAGGATCTGCAAACTCTCTCGATAAGCCCTAAACCTTTTCCACAAAGAGAAACAATGCCGAGATGGGAGATCTCAAACGACCAGTTCAAACAAATCTTCGCGAATCTGTCAAAGTTGGATTCACTGCTGATCTGGTACGCTCTGGATATTCCTAGTCCAACATCCGCCTTGAGAGATCTCGGACGGTCCTGTCCAATGCTTGAGAATCTGCGCTTGTACTGCCCTATTGATATAACAGCCTGGTGGGATATACCCAAGCCGCTTTTTCCGAGGCTCAAATTCGCATGGGTCTCCTCGGTCAGCGATCGAAACCTGCTGGGCGAAGTAAATGAGACTACTGCTCAGCTTATGGCTGAAATTCTCGACAGACATGCTCCGAATCTGGATAGATTTGTGGCACTTGATCGTTACGGCTTTCGTCCCACAGATGGCGATTACGATCAGCTCTCACGATTGACGATGAGAGCACACGGACGAATCAAGGAGACTGGACAGACAAGACACGCGAGAGAAGAGAATCGTGGATTGGCAACCCGATGAAAAGATATTGAGGTGGGTGGTCGCGAAAGGAAAAAAAAGGAGAAACAAAATGCCAGCATCAAATCTGTTGCCGCCAAGCCAACTTCGGCTACACCTCCGACAAAGTGAATACGTGTTTCCTGGCCAATATGTGTTCGTTCAATGAGACAATGTTCATTCTCATGACTTCTAAAATCTGTTTCCCATCTCTGATCTCATCAAATCTCAAGTTAGGGCGTTGATTGATGAAGTCGTGTTCTCTACAAAGTTCCAAGCGGAGGGATCAGCGTCATACCACTATGCGTCTCAATAGCAACCACCACCTCTTGAGTGTGAACTTTTCCTGGTGCTAAACACAATACGACAAACACACATTCTCAGAAAACTCATCATGGCAGCCGCTCAAGTATTGAGCTCACCCGAGCTTGTCTCGTTGATCCTACAATGTTTTAAAGAACAGACAAGTGAGGAACACTACTTCGAAAATCGCTTGACTCGATCTACCCTCGCAGAAGCGGCCCGCGTGAATCACATTTGGTTCGAAGCGGCTACGAGAGTGCTTTGGAGTTACCAACAGATATGGGGTCCATCAATGGAAGACCTGGATAATATCGAATGTAGTCGCCGTCAAAAATACGCTTCAAAAATGCCATCAATCAAGTTATGTAAAGAGCCAGACGACGCATTGAGCACGGAGCCTTTGCTTTCATTCCCTCGTTTGAAGAATCTTATTGTCGATCAAGTTGGATACGATGCCGACTTAACACACACCACTGTTGAGCAAAAGCTGTGTCCATCTATTGAGTCGATATTCTTCTTCAGCTGGGCTAATGGATTCGATAAGGATCTCTTGGCTGCCATAAGCTCAAAGTGTCCCCGACTGCGCTCCATCAAACTGGAAAGAATCAATACGAACGACACTGATGTTACACCTAAGGATTTCGACAACTTCTTCCGGATCAAACCATTCGAGAGCATAAGACTCGACTTCCCACCGCCGCTTATGAGTGTCGATCTCATCTCTACTTTTGCCAACATGAAGACTCTTACAAAGTTGTCTATCACAGAACGACTAACACCGCAACAAATCCCAGGAGCTTTCTCGAATGAAAGTGCTTCGTTCTTCCAGAATCTCCATGAGGTTGATCTGATGCTTGATCGGGAGTCTGTAGAGCCCATAACTCTGGCGATTCGCCACGCTTCGAAAGTGGACCTCAACATATGGTCTCAACCGGATGAACAGATGACTATGTTTTCAAACCTCAAACACATGGTAAATCTCAAGGAACTGGAGCTGGAATTTGAAGGAGATGGTACCTTGTTGCAAAGCGAAGATCTGTGCTGTTTTGGGACCTTGACGAACCTTGAACATCTTGTTTGTGCCGCCAGGGAAGAAGACTATGATCCAATCATTCTCGAATCTTCCGATGATGCCGATTTGCGAAGGATATTACCTGGCTTGCCACGCCTGCAGCGCTTGGAATGGCTTCTCGAGACTGACATCTCGGTTGAGACTTTAGAAACACTGTCAACTCATTGCCCTGAACTTTCGCTGGCGAATTTTCTTGGATCCTGGGACCTCGTTGCTCTTACTGATGTGCCCGGATGCTTGTTCCCAGAATTGAGGAATCTCACACTGTGCAAGCCTCATGTCAAGACCCGTAGAGGCCCCGTTCCCGCTAGGCGATGTGCTGTGCTAATTCTCCGTCACGCACCCAAGCTCGAGAAGTTTACCTTTGTGGAAAAACCACAATCAAATGTTCTTCTTGCTTGGAGAAAATTGAAAGAAGCTAAGAGACAGTTTAGAGAGAGTTCTTTCGAGCAATTAGTATCGACAATCATGAATGATGGCTAGATTTGTAACATTAGTATAGAATCTACCACGACTTTCGCCAGATTATCTAGTGACTGTCAAGTCAGGGACAGATCTGGTCTGGTATGCTTGGAGGTACATAAGTTGTCATAGCTATATTCGATGTGGATCACCTCCACCTTTTTGACATGAGATTAAGTAACAGTTTTACAAAGAGTGCTGTTTAGTGAGAACGTAATAGTGTCTGTCAAAGTTCATAAACAAGCAAAAAAGAAAATACATCATGCCTCGTGACTCATGGGTGCTCTGTGTCATTGTGGTACATAGATATCCTGCATTATGACAGCTGAAGAGTATACCCATGGCCTTGTAGGAAATGACTTCCAAAAGCTTCCTCTCATATGTATACCTAGTTCAAGACGCCTGAGCTCCCTCGCCTGAGTTGGACGAATGACTGCCACTACTGTGAGCGATTGTCGATGGAGCGACATCGAGAAGCTGGAAGTCGGCAGCAAGGGTCGACAGGTTGTCATAGCACTTTTTGACCTCCCCCTCTTGTTTCTGAAACACTCTCTGAAGATCATTGACCTTTTTTGTTTCTTCGCGAACTGCGATATGAAGCGAGTCGTCACCGGCCTGTTCTAGGAGATTGTCCAACTCGTCTTCCAAGTCGGCTAGCTTGTCAAACTTCTGGCGGCGTTCGATTTCCTCCTTTGGTTCTATCAGTATACTATACTTCAAGATGGTCATGACGAGATTATGGAAACTCACCTCAAGCTTCTGGACCTTGTCTTCAAACATCTGACGATCAGCGAGGATAGCTTGGTGAGCATAGTCAATGACATCCTCGTATTGAGTGCATACAGTCATCCACAATCTGGCATTGGCAATGATGGCTGAGTTGACTGATATACCGGCGGTGGTAAAGTTGAAACCACCATAACCGGCGTAGCTGTTGACTAGGTGAGATCCAATCGATTCGCCCTGGGGGAAAAGTCAGTCGGGGTAAGTGAAGTCATATACAAAAAGCAGAGTCTTCAATGTCGAAGGTGATTCTCCTGGCAAGCCAAAGTACTGTCGAGAGCCAGCTGCGTCACCAATGAAAGCCCCTGACTCGGGAGGAATTGTATAAGATGGGAGTGGGTAAGAAGATGCATCATAGCCAATCCTCAGATGAACTGCAGAAATTCACAAGATATTCTGAGACTGGTATGAAACCAGTGAGGGTGACTCTGCAGAAGGCTCATATGAAAGAGTAGAAGGGAAAGCAGTGTACTTACAATCTCGGCATGATTCCACATGACCACACGGAAAAGAGCGAATGAGTTCAGTTCGAAGTTTCTGTGTGGAAATAATACACTGACGACACACATGGTCAAGCGGAACATAATCGCTGATCCTTGGAGTTTGTGATGAGTTTTTACTCGAGAGTCAGTATTGATGGCCCAGCCGACTTCGCCGGGGAAACGTATCCTGCCAGCACCTTTGGCTTTGGCAGCCGCAACCACTTTCTGCTGATACTTCAAGAAATCAGGCAGATCGCGACGGGTGGCAGTCTTGTGGGCGGTCAAGAATGCACCCTTTTCGTTGGTGCGTTGTTTGTAGTACTTGTTCACTTCTGAGACAATGTTGATGCTGACGCCGTTGACTGTTGTTGTCCTGCCTTGAATGGCATCTTCCATTGCCTGTAGGTACTGCTCATATTCCGTGATAGTCAAACCAGTGCCGTCAGGGGTTGTGTAGTAGTTGACGTATATCGCGGGCTCTCTCTGCTGCTTGACAGAACGGGGAATGAGATTCCAGTCTTGTAGTGTGATTTTGCCGGCTTTGAAGTTCGAAACCAGAGTGTTGTTAAGGATGCTTAGCAGCATGTCGCGAGGGATTTGAGCAAGAAGCAGCATGCCGTGTTCGATCATGACGGGGGTAGATAGGCGAGAGATGTTGACGAGTGGAGCGTAGTGTTGATCCAGCTTTTGTATCTCCTCGGCAAGTCCAGTGAGACCCCATTCAGTATAGGCCTTGCGCATGGCAACCATCGACTCGCTGACGTATCTTGCTGGTCTTGCCATGTTGATATGATATGATAGAGGAAGAATCTGGCACGACGAATGTCGGGTGAAGCTGAGATACGATGAGTGCTGGAAGAAGCTGAGGTGCGAAGATTGAAGATTGTGGGAAGTGTATTGCCAAGCCATGCAGGTTGCCGACGAAAGAGGGTAGTTCGTGATGTACGTGTTGTGGCGTGTCATGGAACGCGTGTGTAATAAGCAACAAACAATGGCCATTGTCAACTTGTGTCGTACTGGCAGTGAAAACTTATTGGAAAGGCATGGACCTCGAGCTTTGTGTAGCAAGAAGAGACGATCAATGCCCGTCCAAACTTCCCCTCTTTGACCATCAAACCCGAATAACTTCTCCAGCCCTGCCCTTCTCTCTTCGTCCCTCTAGTTGATGATCAGATCGATGATCACAGGCTCAGCATTGCATTTGAGAATATCCTCGTCATCACTCTCTCCAAGAGCTGACACCGTGTTGGTAACTGCAGCGACAAGCTTCTTTCCCTCTGCTTCACCTGATGGACCCATGAAGTAAGACAGAGCACGCGTGACATCCTCGTTCTTTGGCGGTTTGGATTCTGCGACTGCAGCCACAAGCTTTTTGACCTCTGCTCCACCTGACGGGCCCATGAAGTAAGATAGAGCATGCGCGACGTCCTCATTCTTTGGCGGTTTAGATTCTGCGCATTTCAGATCATCCCTTGTCAGCTTCTCGACGAACTGCTCGCCCTCGGCCATTTCTATGATGTCCTCGAGGTCGTTTTGGTCGATACACATCTCGTATCTGCGACAGCTGTGGTCGAACAACCAATAAACATGTTCCTCAATATGTAGCGTGAACCTACCTCTCATAGTCGTACGAGTCTAAGGCTTTGGTAAAGTCTTCGAGATCTTTGATGCTCGCGGCGCGTTCATTACTTTCTGGCGATGCTTTCATCTCCTCGAGGAGATCTTCGAGATGACCGATGCTGTTTGTACTGGTGTAAAGTCTGCTGTCCTCATCGTTTTCATCCGTTTCGTCGTCATGGTCTTCTTTTCTGCTAGGCCCTTCCGGTTACGACTCCTCGAGATTGCGGGAAGTGGTTGATTTCTCAGAAGGTTCACGCTTGCGCTTGTGGGAAGCGACTGAAGGCGAATCTGAATTGGCAACTTCATGGATAGAGCTTGGAGACTCTGGGAACGTAGACATGTCCTCGACAGATAGCTCGCTCTCGGTCATTCCAATAATGACCTCGAGGTCGTTTTGGCCGATACACTTTTGATATTTGCAGCAGCTGTCGAAGAGTCAACACCAGATTCGTCGATATGTAAAGAAAAAGGATCGTGCAAGTCCAAGGCGTTGGCGGGCTCCTCGAGGTCTTTGATGTTCGCGCTGCGTTCACCGCTCTCTGGCAAGGCTCTCGTCTCTTCGAGGTCTTTGATGTTCGCGCTGCGTTCACCGCTTTCTGGCAAGGCTTTCATCTCCTCGAGGAGGCCCACCTGGTAAGGCTTTTGACTCCTCAAGGAGATCTTCGAGGTGGCAAATGCTTTTTCTGCTGGTGTAGCGTCTGCTTTCCTTGTCGTCGTCAAGGTCTTCTTCGCAGCCGTGGTATCCTCATCGAAGGAGTCACGCTTGCGTTTGTGGGGAGCGGCTGATTGCGATTCTGGATCGGCCATTTCGTGAAGGGAAGGCTTGTGAGAACGCAGAACAGAGTCCGTAGTCTCAATGGTTCTCGATGGATACACTCCAGGCGTTGAGATTATTGTGCACTCTTATAGCTGGAAGATCGCTACAGATCGCCAAAGAACAGAGGTCACCATAGCACCAAGTCGCTTTCTGCGGCATATGAGCCGGACTCAACAGAGGTCGTGCGTGCGGATCATCAATGCTGGACCAGAGGGGCAGTTGCAAGTGGTCATCGACCATGCGACTCAATGATAATTGCGATCTCTTTGATGTTGAGATGAGTTGTTCACAAATTTGGATTTTGGTTGTGTCAAGATTGGTCGAGAGGGTGAAGAGCAGCGCGAATCCAAGGTCCGACGCTGGCTGTCTCTTGGGCTGGAGTGACTCTGGCGCATGAAGCATTGCTCACCAACCATTGTTTGTTTTGAGCTGGTTTTCAACCAGGAGGTAGGTGGTCAGATAATCTTGTGGCTGCCAAAGATTGAACAAAACCCAGAGCACTACGCGGGAGTTATGGCTGGTTGCGTTGCTTTGGTAGAGAATCTTGGGGGAGATGCATGCTGTGGCATTAGAACCCTTCGTGTGAGGAGACTGGCTGCGCCGGACTTCTTGTTTCTCATCACACCCTCCCTTTCTTACATTGGTCCCTTGTCGGTCAACAGATTCCAAGCTGAGGAATCAATTGAAACACGACCGACATGATTTCAAGTGTCGTGGGTTGTGTGATACATGGATCTGTGTTGCCTCGATTTGGCGGGAGAATTTGGTGAGGTTTCACTACCTGCACCGGACTTCTCCTCCCTTATCGGATCCCTTCTGGGTCTTGCCGAGCATTTGCCGATAATCTGGGTCCCGGCCGAAGATTCGATTCTGCCACGACCGAAGTTTTGCCAGGTGGTGGTTGTAGAGTTGTGCTATGCGTTGTAGGTTGAGAGATCTTGGTGAGAAACGTTAGGATACTGAAGAGCTAAACACGAAAACCTATCATCCGACCCGGACTCTCTGATTTTCTCTGATCCTCTGTCTGTATATGGCTTCTTGTACGAAGGGTCGTTTGCACCTTGACCGAAGTTTTGCCAGGTGATGGTTATAGAGTACTACTTTGTATCGTAGAATGTGAGATTTTGGTGAGAAATGCTAGGTTTCTAGATAGCCAAACGTACAGAGCCGCCATTTGACCTGATCTTTCTGGTCTTTGCTGAAATGCCGTCTGTATGTAGTTTATTGTACAGAGAATGGTTTGCACGTCGTCCGAAGTTCTGCCAGGAGTTGGTGGCGAGGCCAGGTTGATCTCCGGGTCAGACTCGGAATGTCAAAATTTGGTGAGAGAATGCTCGAATCTCAAGGACAAAGCGCCGGGACAAGTCACACGTCGCCACCTTACTATTATGTGCTGATTCAATTGACCACCATCTGGGTCTCTATCAATCAATTGTTCCAAAGTGGACCGATACATAACCAGCCGTTGGTGGCCGAGAGCGACCGCTTTGAAATTCAAGGTGCATGTCAGATGGATTCTGCTGCCTTGGCCACTTCCCACTAGCGCGACGCGGCCAGGGTCCTTCTTCCTCCACAGGCACTCATCAACAAACAACCATCAAATCTGTCCATGATCATTATCTGATTGTGCACGCTAACTCTCAATGAGGTTTCCAATCTGCATAGATGTTTGTGTCTTCCATGCCGTTCAATGCCAGGACAACCGGAAAATCGTAGGTATCCTCCCGAGGGCTCGTTTGCCGACTGGGGAACACCCGCAGCTTGGATCTCGCATCTCGCGTTTGCAGGCTGAGATAGGTAGAAAGCAAAGGCAGGTTCTTTGTCTCTGCTCAAACATCTCATCTGCTTGCTTCTTGATAATATCTCCTTCCTCAACCACTTGCCCATCGCGTTATCTCTACCTCTTGCCCATCTCAATTTCTCCATCTCTTACCTGTTACTATCATTCATCACCTACTCCTCCATCTCTGCCATGGATATGGAAGGTGTTTCGTTGAATCCTGTCTCGGATCCTCCCCCCGAGCAGGTTCGACGAGATATCTCGGCTCTCCAGATCAGTTTGAATTCGCTGGTCGAGGCCCTCCAAGATCTACAAGTTGACGCTCGCGATACACCAAACATGCTCACAGCAGAACAACTGCAGCGTCGTTTCTCTGAGTCTCTCGGAGCTTTCAAGGAATACCTTGCTGATGCCCAGAAGTACGTATCAATACACTGCGCAGACAGCCAAAAGTCACATGCTAATTGCCCTCATCCCAGGTTGAACCACACTTTCCAGTCGCTCAGCGACCTACTACAGAGAGTGCAAGCATTGACTACTGGTTCGTTTCCCTTCCCTTCCCTTGGCTGTGCTCTCTTGCCATGGTCCGCCTACTCCGTCCCCCTCCTTCCCTCCCTTCCATTGACTAAACCCTCTTCTCGTGGTTCGTTCTCTGATTTTTTTCCCCTCGACTGTGTTTCGTTTCTTTTCTGGACCAACAAAGACAGTTAGCTGATGTAGTGCAGAGGTCGAGAGGCTCCAAACCCAGGTCAACGAGGAGCATACCTTGTCCAAGGTCACCGCAGCTATCCATGCTTCTCAGGAGAAGACGGTTCAAGCCTTCCACGACCTCTCCACCGATGAGTACGAGGTCGCAAGACTCAGGAATGAATCTCGTGTCAGGCAAGGCATAGACACAAAGATGGATCAGTTTCAGCTCAGAGCCCAAGAACGCACAGAGCTTGACATCTATCGTAGACAACAGAGCCAAGTCGATGCTGGGCAGATCAGTGCTCGAGAACGCGCAGAGCTTGACAACTTCCGTCAGCAAAAGAGCTATTTGGAATCTATCCAGCTTGCTGTGCGAGAACGCTCGGAACTGGACAACCTGCGACAACAGCAGCCTTTGCAGCTGACTGTTCGAGACATTCAAGAGCTTGCAACCCTTCGGAGCGAGCGTGCCCAGTTCCAGGCTGTCCAGCTCTCGGCTCAGGACCGCGCTGACCTTGCAACCCTTCGAAGCCAACAGTCCCTGCAGCTCACTGTCAACGAACGCGCAGAGCTTGTGTCTCTCCGAAACCAGCGTCAACAATTCAACTCTCTGCAGCTCGCAAGCAACGAACGCACGCAGCTCGCACTTCTCCAGGAAGAAAACAAGATCCTTCGGGAGCAAAAGGTTTCCGCCGACAAAATGCGTCTCGACTCAAGTGAGCGATCTGAGCTCGAAAATCTTCGACGACAAGCCAACCAAGCCCTTACTCAGTTGGGCGAAGTTCATCAAGTTGTTGTGGGTACCGAAGCTTCCGAGGGGATCCTTCACAAAGTCGACAACATCGAGAACACACTCAGTACTGGTAAAGATGCTGAGCAAAGGAACCTGACCACCTTCATCCCACGAACCTTGAGGGGCATTTCAGACAGCATGACAAAAGTCTTGAACATCGTCGAGAAGCTGCCTACGGATGCAGAATCCGAGTTGCCGCACAAAGGCCGCCGCACAAACGAACAGCTCGTTGGCAGTAATATCATCCCTCGGGCTGAGCGTTCCTCACCCCCTCAAGAAGGCCATCATAGGCGATCTCTGTCCCATTCGAGCAGCAGGGCCTCCCTTGCCACTCATGAGCTTCGTCACGGACATTTCAAAGGTGCTTTCAATGCTGTTGTGAGACCCAGCAGAAGCAGAACAACACTTACAGGTGGTTCCGAGATGGATGTTGAGAGTACTTATGGAGCAAGAGCCTCAGTTGTGAGCCCTTTGCCACGGGTTCCCGAACACCATCCCTTCGTGCCCCCTTCTGGACCAGGCACCATCCCAAGCCGTCCTGACCCTCAGCATGGTCATACTGCTGATCTCCCCGTTCATTCCAGAGACGATATTGTGACGATCATCCCCGTCGCAAGCCCAGCGTCAACAGAAATCACGGTTAATGTCAGGATGTCGGACGCACTTGCAAGCACTCTCCGAAGACGTCCCAACACGGTCCTGTTCGACAATGCTATCAAGGTTGGAGACGGCTCTGATCAGATCGGTGGCTACTTGCCTTTTGCGACAGGTCTGAGTACGGCAGTGACAAAGCGCTTTGTTGAGGAACTCGTCAGTATCATCTGTGTAGCTGTCGACGAGAGATACGAACAGCTGCCCAAAGACGTGCAAAAGACAATGTGCATGTATAACAAGATGTTGAAGGGAGGCGCGCAGGCCGCCGATGAGTACGCCTGCCTGTCTTGTATCAGAGCTAATCGGATTTGTCTGAAGAAGGGCAAGCTTTCGACAACAAGGTTTGTGATGTTCATCGCGCCCCTTCGAAACCCATTGTCACCCGATGATCTTGCTCATTGGGTCACCGACCCTTCAAAAGCCGCCAACCTTGCTCCGACGGCAATTTTGAGTAGAGGATAGATGGATTCGAGTGGGGTGAATCAGAGAGAGATAGTCAGGGAGTCTTGAAGCAGTCATGAGCCTGGGTAGTTCTTCTTTTGTCATGAACCTAGTTAGTTTAATCGTATCTACATGGTATACAAATCGGTATGGTCAAACATGTTTTGTATACAATACTCAAGGCTCTGTCCTGACCTTGGACGAATAATTGCAGTCTTGCATGGAAGCAAATGCTATCACACAGGAACGGAAAAGAAAATGTATGCTGTTAAGTACTGTCCTGTACATTCTTACTCTTTCTCCTACACCACTATGAAAGCTCATTGTCTGTGCATTGTCACTAAGCTCGCTGTGCCCTTTATGCTCTGTGTAACATCATCCGTGGTAGTATGCATGTACCCGTAATTCGTGTTGTGTGTTTTTCCGCCTGCATTGGGCAACACGCGTCTTCTTTGTTCAACTCTGTCGACACATCCTTCAGTGATCTTGACACACTTCAATCTCCAATCTGATCAACATTACCAACTTCCATCAGCTCAGCCTTCGTCATGGCTACTGGTTCCGGGTCGACCGGTCCCCCAGGTGGCCCTGGACCCACTGCTCCCCCTGGTGTCCAGACCCCTGCAACCACAAGTGCCCATATGATTCGCCAAGCCGGATATCTGAAGCTCGAAGTTGCTCACAAAGATGTTGTGAAGGTAGCACAGCTCAAGGAGAGAGCCCAGGCACTCAAGCGTGATGTGGACTTGCATGGCACCATGCCTTCTACCTCCACACAAGACCTGGACGTCGAGATGCGAGATGTCGGCGAGAAGATCGCAAAAGCCAAGCATACACTTGCCCAAGGTGCAAAGTCTCGCTCCGATCTCGAAGAACTGGAAACCACCTTGGCACCTTTGGTCAAACTGGTGGACGAGTCAGACTTCCCCAAAACTCAATATGCCATCTCAATAACCCGCCAACATCGCATCGGTGCATGGAAGTTCCTGCGTGCGACAAGAGTCCACAAATCGCCTGCAGAAGACCACCTGGTGCGAGTTGTTCTTGGAGACGTCCAGCAGGTCACCGCAAACCTCCAGGCCGATGAAACCAGGACCTCAGCAGACCTCACCGAGGTTCTAGGTGTAGACAAGCCATCATGGACCATCGACGAGATCTTTGAAGTGGCAAAGCATCTGCGCACCCAGCTGCAAGACAAGGAACGAGACCTACGACAGCAGAGAGAGGACTCGAAAGCAGACAAGACCACTCAACAGAGATTGCGCACTGAGCGTAACCAGTACAGATCCATCGCCTCGAAGGCCGAAGCAAGGGTCAAGGAGCTGGAGGAGAAGGCTGCCGCGGAAGCCATGGTGGATGATACATTTGAGGAAAGGGTTAAAGAGCTTGTAAGTACCCTACCGCTGGTGTGTTCAGGTACCATAGGCCTGACATTCTTACAACCAATTACCCCGTGACTCAAAGTCATTCCCTTGACCTGATTTTTGACTGACCTTCAAATAGGAGCATGAGCTTGCCGTCACGAAGCAATCACTCGACACTTCCCTTGGTGACATCGAGGCCTTAGAAGAAGTCAAGAAGGCCTTGGAGGAGGCAAACAATTCCAGGCGTACAATGGCCGAAGCGTTAACAGCACGCAATGCACACTTGGAACGAGTCATTCAGGAAGGAAGCAGAAGCGTGGAGCAAGAGAAGGAAACACTAGCGCAGGAGGCCAAAGCATACACCTCAAGTACACTCCAAGGTCTCGGTGCTGCCTTCGGTCAGCAGTTCCTTGATTGTTACAATGAAGTCCAGGCAACCAAGAAGCAAAACTTCGAGCTCACCAACGAAAAGAAGCTCCTCGAAGAGAAATTGGAAATCTCGCAGGCTGATCTCGCTCGTTGTCAGCAGAATGAGACTTTCTGGCGCGAGGGTTGCGAGGAGATGAGTACCGAGCAGGAGGCTCGTCGAGAAGCCGAGGACCTCTCCCAGCAGACCATCCGAGATGGTAAACGTGAGATTGGGGAACTGCAACAAGCATTGAACGCAAAGCAACAACAGCACGAGAAAACATCGGCTACTCTCCAGGAAATAGAGATCAAACACGATACCCTTGTCGAGGAGCTCAAACACAGCAACACCGAACTTCAGAATATCTCGAATCAGTTTGCTTCCTTGACTCAGTCCTACCAAAGCGTCGCATCCTTGAGGGGATTGCTTGAGGTGCTTGCCAGCTGTGCAGACAACGCATTGGACGATGGCGAGAATACGGCCGAGAAAGAGTGGGTACGTACAAGAACTATGGTCATGACGATGCATCACAATACACAGTACCATTCCAGATGTGGGAAAGTCCATCGAGAGCCTGCCTGCATACCAAGGAATGGCGAGCTCTCAGTGGGCCTTCCAGATTTGGACTAGTACTCTGAGTTGTGATAGTCGTTACTCACACCACTCCTCATACATAACAGATGCTGATATTGCCGTGATTGCAGAATCCTTCCACTGTCGCTCAACGTATCGCCTCCGCGCTTGAAGAGGTGGTCATTCATCGAAAAGAGAGCGCAAACAAGACCGCTTCAACCGAGGGCCTCCGCCGTCAGCACCAGACCGAGATCAGGAAGGCAGCAACTGCTTCGGCCACCGTTGGGATCCTGGAAAAACAGCTCAATGAGTCCAAAGAATATGGTTCTAGATATTTCGAGCAGTCGACAAACTTGCAAGTCAGATGCTCGGCTCTGGAGACGGAGGTCAGATCGTTGAGGAGTAACACAAACAAGCTCCACCAAGTCGAGAAGGATCTCAAGTCTACTCAAGAAGAGCTACAAACTTGCAACATAAACGGCACTGAGCTCAATGAGCAGCGCAAAGGACTCAAGGAGCAGCTGAATACAGCTAATGAAAAGGCTTCTGAGCTTCAAGCCCGTGTCGACAAGCTGGAAAGCGAGAAAACTGAGTTGAAATCCTCCATTCAAGCAGCACGCGATGAGGCGATCAGAGATGCTCAGAATAATCGCCATGATCTCGAGGCTCGTGCGGAAGAGATAAGACTGGCCCAAGTTCGTCACGACAATCTCAATCAACGATATGAGGACCTGGAGAAGGAGAGAAACCAGTGGACTGTACGTGTCGAACAGCTCAGAACCGAAAAGGACAATGAAGTCCAAGACGTCAAGACCAAACTCAGCGAGTGTACTCTACATGGCGAGAATTTGAGATATGAGCTTGAGTTGGCCAGCGACAAGCTGGTCATGCTGCAGGGCGAAGCTCCTGAGGTTGAGGCCAAGCGTGAGGAGCTCAAGCGAAAACAAAGCGAATTGATGAGCGAACGTGAGAGGCTCAACAAGCAACGCCAAGACCTTGATAGAGAGAGCGGCGCCCTTAACACCCGTCTGATCGAGGTCCAGCAGCGAGAGAAGGAAGCCAGGGAGCTCCGTGATGAATGCAAACGTGAAGAAGGCAGATTCGAACAGCGAGAGTCTGATGTCAAGACCAAGCTCCACGATGTCCATCAGCGAGAAAAGGCGCTGGACTCCGAGAGAGCTACCTTGAAACTTGATCGCATCAAGCTAGAGGGAAAGGTCACTCAAGCTGAAGCTACCCAAGAGTCTCTCAAGTCCAGGGTCAATACCCTCGAGGCAGATTCCAAGGATGAGCGCAGCAAGTACAGCGCATTAGAGGCGCAGCTCGAGTCAGAGAGGGAAGCCAAGGAGAGCATCGAGAATCGCCTCACCAGAGTCCAAGACGAGTTGGATAGAGCCAATGAGGCTGTCGATGCCAGTCAACAGGAGGCCAAGAATCACCTCGCATACTCCCTCAAGCTCATAGAGGATAAGTCGAAAGTTGAGAAGGAGCTCATAGACGCCAGCGCTCGTGCCGAGGAGACGCTTGCTGAGGCTACTGCCAAGATACGTCGGGAGATGAACGCCTCTCTCATATCGGCCACTACGGAGACTACTGAACGAGATCAGTATATCGAAACCCTGAACCAGCAACTTGCAGTGGAGAAGTCAAGAGTCGGCGATCTGAGGAGGGAAAGTGATAAGAAAGACGCCAAGATCATCGCAGCCGTCAGAGAGCAAGGCAAAAGCGAAGCACGTTACAAGGAAGAGAGATTCAAGCACAATGACTGCCTGGCCAATGGTTTCAGGCTTGAAGATCAGATCAAAGCCCTCAAGAGTAGTGTCAGCGCACTTGTACAGAGGGCCAAGGAGGAGGCGATCAAGCTGGAAACGGCAAAGTCCGCCAAACAAGCTTCGGACGACAAGCTCCAAAAACGGCAGGCGGAAATCCGCGTGCTGGACGGACAAGTCAATACAATCGTCCGCCATCTCTGGTCGATTATCTTCGACGGCCTTTGGGTTAAAGAGTATGGTATAGTCTTTGCTGATGTACTCATTCATTGGGGTGCCTTGACGGTTGGAGCTGATGTCAAAGTTGACGACGTCTTCCCCATTCGCATAAGATCGCTTCCGCAGCTTGCTTTAGGATGGACTTTGTCAATGTGTACGCTCGATGATATGAAACGCTACTATGGCACAAGCTTCGGACAACTTTTCCGCAGATTGGCCCTTGTGCTGCCTATACATCCGGTGCACGAGACAGCGCTGCCAATCATTGAGGCTATGCTGCACCATATCAAGGACTCAGAAGTCGGGGTCTTGCTCATGCTGGACAACCTCCTCATGACCTGTTGGTCCGACCCGAGCTACACCAGATCAGACGACCGTGATTTATGTGACTGCCGCATGTTGGAACTGATCATACGCACCGCCAATCACCACGGAAGACAATGGGCGCGCTTGAGAGACGTCGAAACACGATGGCGGCAGCAAAGGCTTCCCGTTCATGAGTCTCCCATTGTGTTGGCCTATAGAAAATTGATCACTGACATCATGTCGTGGAATGAAGGGCAAGATGTACTGATCTACTCGATGCCTCAGCTGTTGTCAGAGGATGTCAGCGAGCATACGAGGCGTTGGTTGCGATCGACAGCACTTGCTGGCTGTGAACGCACTGAGGAGCGCGTGAATCAGGATGATCCATCGTCACCACGTACGCTCCTTGCTGGTCAGCTCTTCGAATCAATCCGAGTATATGCTCTCGTTGATCTGGCTAAACAGGAAGCCATGTTGTTCAGACTACCGGGCACCCGCTATGCCAGCGGTAGACGCATTCTGACATTGCCGCAACGTTTTGGTCACCACAATGATACCACTGGCACCTTGATCAATCCGGGATACACGACTGACAAGGGAGGAAGCTTCGAGGTTCCCAAGCCGTTCATCTTCCGTGGCATGTTCTTTGTCCCAGATCACATGCCAGACGTCTTTGATGCTAACTTGCAAGCTTGAGATTTTGATTAAGCGGAGACGAGAGAGCGTCTGTTTCGCTCCATGTCTTCCTTCGGTTTGGCATCGTTGATCCCTTGGGCAAAGATAGATTGTAGCTTCAGTAGTTCTCTCAATGGAAACAACAAGCTTTGTAACATTCTTGCGCATTTCCATAGCTACACTGTAACAGTCTCTTGCACACGGAGTATGACAACGCCTGGCTGAGTGAAAAACTTTCTTTCGGGTTGCATAGTTCACTGGATTCTCACAACAGAAATTGGACTTCACTAGTTGGGCGAAGGTCTCTCTTCACTTGATAGGTGAATGCCAGCTTGTTCCGAGTCTTCACTTCCCCTTTTTCACTGTCACCACGGAAGATTCACTGTCACCACGGAAGATTCACTGTCACCAGCCAGCCATATATAAACCTCACCACCGCGCAACAAAACCTAAACCACAACCATAACAGCAGCAGCAGCAGCAGCAGCAGCAATACCGACTCCAGATCTCTTTTTCTCCTGCTTCATCTCTTTCTCCTGCTTCATCTTCTCTTCAACTTACAATTCACAACACCGTCACCATGTCAGACGTTCACAGCAAAGACAAGATTGAGGAGGAAGAACTGTCTCTTGAAGAATACAAAGTCCTCGTAAAGCGACTGGTGAGTACCTTTTACGCAAGGGCAGTAACAGTCAGTTGACCCTTGTTAGCGCCAGGAAGCCAAGCAACGCGATGTCGACCTCGAAGAAGCTCAAGGCCGTATCAGCGCCTTGGAGGAAGCCCTAGCACTCTCCTCCGATGCCACTACCATCTTCAACCTCCAGGAAGAAATCAAGGCCGCCAAGCACAGAGAAAACTGCGGCGATGAACGCGAGGAAGAGCAGCGTGAGCAGATTGCAGAGCTGCACCACAAGCTTGTCGATGCCGAATTTGACGTCGAACTTACAAAGAAGGCATTGGCCAGGGAGAAGGAAATCACCGAAGGACTCCGCTCAGACAAGGGAGAGCTGGTTCGCGAGCTGTACCAAAAGACTGTCGAACTCAGTGTCAAGACGGCCTTGTTGGAGGGAAGAACCTGAAGAGTGACCAGACCACGAGAGAGACTTGCACATATTAACATGGGGAGTTGGACTTCGCTGTTGGGAAGCAATGGGAGAAGGATATGGGAGAAGATGAAGGCCCCAAGAGCATCAGAAGGTTCAGAGCGCATAAATGATTACAACTGGACCTTGAAGTTTTCCCACGAATAAGCGATCTCAATAACTCGGATTCCACGAACAGTCGTCACGGTCTGGAATCAAAATTGGAATTGGAAAGGGGGGCTTTGATTCTTCGCAATTTCTATCTGGAGCGGCCACCGCCGATGTCTTGGCCAAGCTGTGATGCATAGTTAGCTATGAAAAAGGGTGTATGGTTGGTATTGCATTACTCACCCTGTAACCACTGATCTTCTCCCACTCGACTTTTTGACGCGTGACAGGAAGCTGTCTTCGCAGACCCTTGAAGGCACCCTCGTTGAGTTTTGTGAAAGCCTGATTGACTTCTGTCTGGTAGCTCTTCTCGACCTTTGCGATTTCGCGGACGGCGTCGCTGGCGCTGGAAATAGAAACGGGCTTGGAGGTCTGGAGACGGACGTTGCCGTCTTCGTAGTAGTGAACATCGATGTTGATGGCGCCTGAGAGGGAGGAGTTTGAGGGTGAGAAGAGGTAGTGAGCGCGCCAGCGACCGTTCCTGTTATTCCTGTCTTAGTCTTGTGCTTGCAGGGACGTGCTAAGGCGGACGTACCAGAAGTTGTTGGGACTGTACTTGTTGCTGACAAGGACAAGAGCAATCTTGGAGTCGTTCTCAGCTGGGAAGACACCGATAGTGGCAGCAGGGTAGTGTTCGTCGGCATGTGCACGGAGGGCCTTGTGGAGCTTTTGGATCAGGTCGGCATTTTGGCTGTCGAGAGAGTGGCTCTGAGCATTGGTGGCCTTTTGCTCTACAGGATCAAAGTCGAAGGCGGTGTTGTTTGCGCTGTCGTAGTAGCGACTGTTACCCAGGCTGTTGTACTCGCTGACAAGGACGCTGCCGCTGCTGCCCGGTAGCTTGACTGTGCTGTATTGTGTCTCGTGGTATTTGGTGAGGGCAGGAGTGATGTTGGAGATCAGACTTGATTCGGATGGTGTCAGGGCCTTGATGTCTAGAGTGGTTCGTAAGTGTTGGGTGCTAGGGGTCGAGCGGGTGCTGTGTGTATACCGGTGATGACATTGGACAGCTATCAGGAGTCAGCTTCTGCTTCTTGGAAGAGTGAGATTAAGACTGTGATACCTCGCCTGGCGGAGCATCCTCGACGAATGAAGAAGCAATCTGTGTTGACGACATGATTTGACTGGTTGTGTTTCTGCAATTGCGACTCCCATCAACGAGCCCGCCCGATGATGCGTGAGGTCGCGCCTCGGGGGTCCACGCGGGGAAGGTGCGCCGAGCTTCTCGTCAAGCCTGCAACCCTGTTCTTCTTCCAGTCTCGACACCTTCCTCGAATGCACGTCAGCCAAGGCAAAATTGGTATATACTGGTTTTGAAGAGACACTGTATCTGAACATTTTATTCTTTCTTGGATTGTAGTAGACACTCGCTGCTGTTGAGCGCCGCATCCGCCACAGTAGTCACAAGGCATCACAGCGAGGAGCAGACTGAACGCAAATCACCTGGACACCAAACACGTTGAAGTGATAGTAAGATATCTGCTCTTAATCTTGGGGCATCAACATGATTCATGCAGCCCATCCATGATGCTCGGAGCTCTTCTAGATCTTGTAGAAGCAGAAAGCGTGGTAGAAGCCAGCCGCCTCCATCTCCTCCTTTGTGCCCAAGAACCTGCCTTCCCTGTCCTTGACTCGCATGCGTTCACTCAGCGGTCCAAGTTCATAGTCATCCTTTTCATCCTCCCAAACTTCTGGGAAGGGTTTTCGGTACATCAGTTCCAATCCATACTCCTCAGCAAGAGCACGGAATCCTTCCCAGGGCACCACAAATTCAGGCACGTCCACAGCTTCTTCAAGGTAATAGTAGTACTTCCATCCAAATGGTGGCCTGAAGACACCATCATAAGGCAGGGGCTGCGACTCTGGGAACTTGACCTTGTAGATTGAGTTACCCCATTCCAGGGGTTCTTTCGGCAGTGCTGGCGCTTTTGCCTGAGGTTTGGGTTTCTCCTCGCCAGAAGTGGCATTCTCGATCGGCGCTTCAGGATTCCAGTCATCATTGTTGGCAGTGCCATTCGCTGCAGGCTGCAAACTCTTTTCTGGGTCCCAATCATCGTCGTCATTGCCACCGTTGGCGGCTTGCATTGGCTCAAGAGGCTTTTCCGGATCCCAGTCATCTTCGTCGTTCTGGGCATGTGGGTCGAGACTCTGTTCAGGATTCCAGTCATCGTCTCCAGCTGTAGCGCCTCCACTTGGTTTCTCGGGATCCCAAGCATCATCATCATCGTAATTGAGACCAGCCGGTGGGGAATCTTCTTTTGTTGGTTCTGAAGGTTTCACGCCGCCTTTCATATGCTGCTCGATTTTTCTGCGAATGATATCCGAGTTGGGCATGACACCAAGGAAGCGACCACCTTTCTTCAGAGCACCAGCAACATTTTTGAGCATACCTCTGGCCGTCTCTTCACTCTCATAAGAATAGTGCAAACAAAACATCATCGAGACCACGTCAAAACCTCCTTGTGAAAAGCGGGCAGTAATAGCTCCAGTTGTATCAGGACCAGCGTGAGGGTCGAAGCCAACCTCGCGTACTATGGGAATATTGGCCAGACTTACACCGAAAGCGTCTTGGGCGAAGAAGTGAGCTTCGAGGTGTTTGGCGTTTCTGGGCCCCCTCCTTCGACGTTGCATCTCAATGTATCTGCCTCTGGCTTGGTCGATGGAGACATCGGCTGGATCTACACCGACGTAGAGACGTGGTGTTTGAGGTGCAGATTGCCATTTCTGCAAATCACCACCTTTACCACAGCCCATGTCGAGAACAATAGGACGGTAGTCTCTGTCATCTGAGGGAGAGAACTTTTGGATCATGCATGACTTGATCCAGTTGTTCAGTGACCGCAGACCTTGAATCTTGGACTCTGTTTTTCTCCAGTCTCTGCCTCTTTCTGGGACAGCATTGTAATGAGCGCTGACGATGTCTGTAGGAGCAACTGCACGATTTTGTTGTACCTGCTTGCGCTCCTCCTCTTCACGTTGCAATCTCTTCTGCTCGGCGGCTTGTCTGGCAGCGGCACTGATTCTTGAGGAGGCACCGGGACGCTTTCGTGGAGGAGAACGGGGTGGAGATGGCGGATCTGGATTTGGAACGTCGCGGCGAGTAGAGCTTGTAAGCGGACTCCGTTGACGCTTTGGAGCTCTGCTCGAAGGAAGGTCGGACTCTCTTATGCGTTTGCGTGATGGCTTCTGGTATGAGTCTGACTCGGGAAGAGGTGAATCGGTAGGCGGCGGACTGCGGCGTCCTTTGGTCGAGTCCTGGGTCTGACGAGGCATCGTGTCGTGTGCTTAGTATGATGCGTGAAGTCCTTGGTGAAGCACAATGCGTGGTTTCCGAGCGAGAGTACGCAGACTTGTTGTGTGCAAATGAATTGGCTATGCAGAACGGAGAACAAGTCAAAAGTTGTGATGGGATGCAAATCCGCAGTGGTTGTGACGCTCGAGAATAGCTAGCAATAGGCGCCGTGCCAAGAGCTGAATCAGAGCAATTTCGGTTTTGGGAGGAGTAGCCAGGGAGTGCCTTCGATTCTGCAACTCGTGAAGGAGCTTGAGAACTGCAGACGAGTCCCTCAGAATCTCCAGACAGTAAATAATTCAAGTGGAAGGTGCAATCAATAGCATAATCAGAGCGAGTGAAATCATCGGGTCTCGGTGAAGCTGGCCGGGGCGCACGGACACGGCGAGTGTGATTGGGAAGCTCCAGCATCATCATCATCGCGCCTTCGCCTTGTTACCATCAAACACTCACGCCGACCACGACGATTACACCCGTCCTCTTCATCCACTCCTTCCGCCTCCTGTCTACCCACCCAACACCGCCAACATGGGTGACCCGCAGTACATGAAGTTCCCCGACCTCAGACTGGCCCAGTCTGTCTTCACCCTCGCCTCACCGTCTGCCTCATCCTCAGCGAAACAAACCTCCCTCACAGCTCTTCAAGATGCCATCCGAGAGCACAAGATGGCTCCCTTATATCACTACCTCGCACATCCTCAGACTGGCAAGCTGAATGGCTCTGGAGAATCTGGCTCGACCCAGAAGTCCTCATCATCCTCGCACATGCCATCACTACGAAGAACATCCAGCATCAATACAACCAGTATCATTGGTGTTCTCGGTGGTGTCAAGCAGACTGACGGTGCTGATTTACCATGGGATGAAAAGTTGTACGAGTCCATGAAGCGCGAGAACGAGGAAGAGTTGGCCGCCATCCAGAAGGAGGAGGACGAAGCTGCTGAGCGCGAAGGTGACACTGAGGTCAACACTGCCCGTGGCAAGCGCGCTGAGCTCTATGCACGTATTGGCGACAAGGACAAGGCCCTTGAAGCTTTCGAGAAGCTGTTGGAAAAGACTGGTATTCTGGCATCAAAGATCGACATTGTTCTGGCTATCATCCGCATCGCCATGTTCTTCGACGACAAGACCTTGGTCAAGAAGAGTGTTGAGCGCTGTTCCGCCTTGGTCGAGTCTGGTGGTGACTGGGTACGTCGCAACTCTTTCGTAAAACAGGACAGTTCTAACACATATCGCAGGACCGTCGCAACCGCCTAAAAGCCTACCAAGGTCTCCACCTCATCACCATCCGCTCTCATGCTGCCGCCGCTCCTCTCCTTCTCGACTCCCTCAGCACCTTCACAGCCACCGAGCTCTGCTCATACAGTAACTTGGTTGTCTACGCTGTTCTCGCTGGTAGCGTAGCTCTTCCTCGCCGTGACTTCAAGTCGCGTGTTGTTGACGCTCCCGAAATTCGCGCCATTGTCGGTTCAGAAGACGCCAACGAGAGACTCGCTGGCCTTTCAGGTGCTGTCTCCTCACAACCATCAGCTGGCACTGACGCTAGTGCTATGGACGTCGACACCACCTCATCAGCCACTCCTAAGCCTGCCGTAGTCAACCTCACCACTCTGAGTTCAGGCTCCGCCGAGCAAGAAAAGGCCGAACCCGAAATCGACTTCTCCCCTCTCGCCCAGATGATCCGCTCCCTCTACTCAGGCCACTACCAAAACTTCTTCCGCGCCCTTAGCACAGTTGAAACCCAGTTCCTCGCCCAAGATCGTTATCTCTATGAGCATCGCCGCTGGTACGTCAAGGAGATGCGCCTGCGCGCTTATGCCCAATTGCTGCAAAGTTACAAGGTTGTGGGTCTGGAGAGCATGGCTCAAAGCTTCGGAGTCAGCGTCGATTGGTTGGACCGTGATTTGGCTCCATTCATTGCTAGCCAGCGCCTGCCTTGCACTATCGATCGTGTCAAGGGCGTCATCGAGACACAACGTGCTGGTGACAAGAACAAGCAGTAAGTCTTGCACAATTTCAATATTGACGACAGTTACTAATTGCAAGTTACAGGTACACTGATGTTGTCAAGCAAGGTGACCAGCTGATCACCAAGCTGCAAAAGTACGGTCAAGTCGTCAGACTGCGTGGTAGCGAGAGAACTTGATTGCTCTGGATGAGCAGAAACATAATGCATGATGGCAAGGGGAATGGCATGAACTAGTGTGTACCATAGAAGGGTCAAACGATCAGAGGCAAGCATACACAAGAAACTATGTTTGCCTGTCATCCTCAAATCAATGAAGGAAATATTGTATCACGCCCAAAAAATCTATGCTCGCTCCTATCAGACCGGCTAACTCACGCTCACTGTGACCATACAAAAGATTGCTTGCTGGTAATGTTTGATGGTTTCTTTTTTTCGAACGTTTGATATTTCAAGAGCAAGGTTTTGGATGCGTCTTTGTAGCTTACAGCGTAGGATATACATAATCAGCCAGGCTTGCGGTCGCCTCAGATATCGTAGCATTCGGCACAGCGCGTTCGATCGACCTGGCTATATACTTCAGACACCCAAGGTCCTCATGGTCTCATTCGGTATATACTCGGAATGGACTTGCTTCTGTTGCATATATAGGCGGTACTCAATCAGCAGGATTTTAATGATCCCAAGTGCACAAGCTGTATTGTTGTCCAGAACTCTGACTCCAATCCTTATACTCGCCTTCGACCAACTAAGTGGAGATGCAACCAGATCAGGAGCTACTTCAATCCAATCCACGAACTTGCTTACCGAGCGATTATATTGAGGCCCAGCAGAGTGGGAGTGGAGAGTGCGGATGTTTAATGGTTGGAGGTGTCTGAGGCACATCCCAAGAAAAGCACAACAGGCATTCACTCTGACTGCATTCGGTAAGAACTGGGCTCGACGAGAACAAAGAGGAGAGCTTGTCAGGGGGATCGTTTCCACGACGACACTCTCTCGATTTTCCCGCCCTCGACGTGGACCACAAGGCTCTCGATCCAGCTTGCTGATTTCCTTCTCCTTTATGTCACAACACACATGGAGCCAAATCACGGTACACAACAGCCTCCATCAGGCACCATGTATTCCGGTGACCAGGTAAGTGCATCTTTCTCCATTTCTATCACTCTCTACGCGTATGTTTCCAACATCCCTAATGTTGCAGCAGCACAACCGCGGCACTCAATGTGATTGTTGCTTCGAGATTGTCAGCCGCAAGAAGACCGTACAGTTACCTGGTTGCGGCCACACCTACTGTGCCGACTGTCTCCGTGTTATATACCGCATGGCCATCAATGATGAGGCACACTTCCCGCCCTCGTGTTGTTCAGGGGCCATCAAGATCGAATCTGTGAAGCATCTGCTGCATAGCCCACAGATCAGAGCTTTTGTAAGGTGTGCTGCCGAGTACAGTACCCCTGTGCTTGATCGTCGTTACTGCGCAGATACTCGCTGCAACTCTTTCCTGGGACGTGCGAACGGCGGTATCCTCAGATGCGGCAAGTGTGGTAATCTGACTTGCGACGTCTGCAAGGACCATGCACATCCTGGAGTTTGTAAAGAAGAGCGTGGTCGAGACGTCCACAAGCTCGATGCAGATCTTGAGCGCCTTGCTGCAGAAGAGGGCTGGCAACGCTGTCCTTCTTGCTCAAGAATGGTGGTTTTGAGTGAGGGATGCAATCACATCACGTAAGTAGTTTCCTCATCTGTCATTTCCGACTCAACTGACCACTCCTCGTTTAGTTGCCGATGCAAGCACGAATTCTGCTATATCTGCGGTGCCAAATAGAAGACCTGCACCTGCAAGCAATGGCAAGATGCTCATCTACAGGAACGCTTGCGTCAAGAAGATCAAGAGGCATATCACCCACTGCCTGTCCTTCAAAATGACTTGGAAATCAGGGAACGACTCCTTCATATTCAGGACCACGTTCGGAGAATCAGGAGGGAACAGGATGCCGTATGGCCTGTTTTCCTTGCTCAGCTGAGAGCTTTGCGATACTGGTGACTGTACCATTCCAATGTTCACCTGACTCTTACGAGGGTGGCTTGGTCTTTTCGGTACATGCTTCATCTTCTGGACTTGGAGCTGGACCCACGCATCGACTCGTTCACTAAGCTCGCCTATATGTCATCCCGAAACATGGCCTTGCTTCCACCAACAGAAACCTACCGCTTGCGTCTCGATCCAATAATGTCTGCACTTCAACAGAATTCCTCAACGTCGGCTTCCTCTTCACTTTACAATAACACCTTCATTGACATTAACTGAGGCAATCTCTCGATCACGCACACTAATCAGGCTGTAAGCCGTTGGTCACAAACTGCCAATGCGCAATATATCAGAATCAGCTTGTCACTCGACGACACGTCACTTGCTCTTATGTGGCCAGGTTAGAGGGGTTGACCTGGAGGGTACTCACTGCTTTGCAGGCGAACGACCTTCGGTAGAACCTTTCATATCCCATGGCAGACCAACAATCAACTCCGAGAGTGTTTCCATTCAGCTATTATATCCGTTGTCAAAGTTGCCGTTCCCTACACCGAATCAATTCAATATGTTCCCAAACCATTCAAAGACATCACAACCCAAACACTCTATCACACAGTCGCTGGATCTTGCGTCCAACCCTCTGGACTATCGAACTTGGTTGCTCACGACGTGCTCTTGCTGCCTGGTTCCTTTCCGTCTGATCTCTTTCTGCGTCGATGCGTTCATGAATTCGTGTCATCATTACGGCGAAATTTTGGTCTTCGAGTCGCTGTCTCTGTTGGTACGGTGTCTCAGGAGCTGGAGTCACTCCTCCTTCTGTTCGAGCTCTGGCTCTTCTGGTGGTGAATTCTGTGAAGTCCTTCTTGAAGTCGTTTCTCTGCTTGGGTACTCGTTGTGCTTTTTTTCTCTGTCGTCTCGCCTCACGGTCTGTCAGTCTGGAGCCGTATTCACGCTCGGGGCAGCCATTGCAAGAGTAGATAGGTCCCGCACAGTGGTAGCAAAAGTTGTATCCACATAGGCATTCAATTCTTGAACATCCGCTGATTCTTTCGCACATTTGGCCGCATCTTGTGCATCTCTGCCATTTCTCCTTGTGTGATTTGATGAGGATCTTTTGTTCGGTTTGATCTGGAAGTGGACAGTCATCGCTTTCGTGAGCAGCTCCTTTGCAGTCTGAGCAGGTGTCGGTCCGGCATGCTTCGCAGTGAGCCATGCGGTCATCGGTATCCTTGCGTGGTATGAAAGTGCTGCATTTAGTATTCGAACAGTAGACACGATCCATGACGGCTGTTTCGAATTCTTCGATCAAAGGGATCAGTCTTTGGATATCCTCGTCCCGTAGGAAAGGCTTTGCGGTATCGAGTGAGATGATACACTTAGTGTGATGGCATCTGACTGGCCACTCGGTCTGATTGCGTATCTTGGTAAATCTTTGTACTATGCATGAAGCACACCAGTAGTGGCCACAAGGCATAGGTGTCGTAATTTCATCTAGCTCCGTCCAACAAGCTGTGCACTTTGGTTGGGCAGGTATTACAGTGATCTGCAAAGCACCGTTCGGTCTTGTATTGACGAGGGACCAATTTGATGGCCACCTTGATGAATATCTTGGGGTGCGGTAGCTTGACCATCTAGACGCAGCTGAATCAACATTGGAGGAGGACTCTGAAGAGTTTTCGAAGTTCGTATCGGGTTCTGCACCATCGATCTGTCGTAGGTCGAGAAAAGGGTGACGGTATTGCAGATCGTGATCCGGATGATAGGGAGATCTTGAAAGGATCTCGGAGACTGCGTTGAGTACAGAATCACTGCTCTTTTGTGCATCGGTCGACCCCTGATCTGATGGAGTTCTTGGGGGAAGGCGGTAGCTTGTCCATGAAGACGCAGCGTAATCCATGTCGTAGGAGGAGGACGTTGGAGTATTGGTAGGCATTTTGTGTTCAAATGCGATGCGAAGGATTTTGGAAGCTAGCCAGCAGGAAAGAGCAAAGACAAGAGGCGTGGCATCTTGAGGCTTTATAGGCTACAGTCGTCTGGTGAGGAAAAGAATACATGGCTTGGATTTGAGGTAGTTTGCTCTCTTTTAAGATGGCTCTCCACGATGAAGGCCAACGCCGCTTCCACGATATTTCAGGCAGTCAATGTCGCCAGCAAAATTCTTGAACTCTAAGAGAGATGCTGCTTTCCGACTTGACGCTCCCACGCCAGTACCCTTACTGCCACCATCTGCTAGTGCATGGGATGTATGTTGGTGTGGCGACCAGATCGTGAATAGTATCAAACGACTATGCGAAAGAAGATGTTCGTGCCTCAGACTAGACTGATCTTCTCGTTCCATCTGGTAATTTCATGTTGTCATTTTCGAGAGTCTGAGTATCGTTCTTCCCTGTGAGAGCATAACATTGGGTAAGGTGAAAAAAAAAGAAGAAAAAAGGGGTAAGCTGACGCGTTTACCACACATGTTTTCATCCTCTAGTTGTCGTGTCAAGCGATCCGACTTCTATCCCGACTTTTCGGACAAGCACTTCATCTATAGAGCGACATCATGTGTTCATCCCAGACTCCTAGCCTGAGCTCCAAGTCATACCTGTCACACAGCCGAATGAGTTTCGAAATCGACCTGTTCAGATCAAACTCGAATTCGATATCCATGTCCTCTTTAAAAAGTATGATAACGTCAACTCAGAATTCAGCGTACAGAAATCCACATGTTCGTACTCTAGACACTGAGCTGGCAGTGGATGCTTGGTCAAATGAAGAAGGGGATCAAAATATGACAAAGTGTGATGATATCGAAATACTGTCTACCGGTGAGTCAAGATTGCACAAACCGAGTCTGTCAATAGCTGACCTCTTCCGTTGGACTTTGCGCCTAGTTGGCACGACTGCAAACAGAGGCGATCTTGATCAACAACTGTCGTCACAAGTCGGACAAGATATCAAATCATCAATTTCGTGAGAAAGCTGATGATGAACCAGTCATTCATGACATAGGCACAGAAGGGTGTAGTATCGAGCTCGGCACTGGTCAAGGATTGCGATACACGACTGGAACAAAGAACTTGAACACAAGGATATCTCAAAAGAAAGCTGGTCCAAATCAGCGATATCGACGCTTGAATAGTCGTGACACAAATTATTGCTAACGACAAAGTAACAACAGCAATCCCACAATCCAGAGGCGTGGGTTCGTCTAGCTCTGTGTTCTCATCTGTCGTGTTGTCCCCAAGCGGCAAAACTATGCCTTTTGTACAAGATGGTAGACATGGATGCCCAGAAGGGAAGTCAAAAGCCAGTATCGGCCATTTCCGACACTTGAACTGCGGATGGACACAATGATATACTATTTCATGGCCAGCCTGGATGCTCTTTTGTGTTGTTAGAGTACAAGTGCATCGCTCCACCCGGATAGACTCGGCGAGCCTTGTTTACGAAACGAAGATATTCCGGAGCTACCTGAATACAGTCAATCACCCATTCGTGACCCAGATCTGTGGGTCGTTGATTTTCATGCCTAATCGGTCATTGGAGGAGCGAAATATGACTACTACATGTGTTAGATTCCGGCATTGTGGTGCTGTGGGGGTCATGGCCTAATCTCGAACTTCTTGTGCTGTGGCGTAGGTACTTCGGTGGCTGATTCGAGACTTGTTAAGAACAAGGTGATTTTTGTTGCATCTGATCAGTTGTGGTACCTAAGGTCATGGACTGGGTCATGGTGATAGTTGGCCACTTGGCCATAGAAGGTGTGGTATGTTGTGAGGGATATCGCTGCCTGGCCAACGGAAGAGAGACCGAGGTACACCTACTATACCAGAGAAGGCGAGAGGAAGTGTCGGTGACCCTCTATCAAATGAGACCAGGACATCATACCTAGTGCGAGTGGTGTTTGGTGAAGGGCAAGTAATTGGGATGATGTGGCAAGGCAATGAGATCGAGCAAAACTTGTTTGCGAGTACACCATTACATGCACCACGTGCTAGGTAGGAAGAATCAGTACACAGTGAAACCGATCGCCGTATTTGATGGCCGAAATGCTGACCAATGACCTTGCTAGTATATAATGTAGACCAATGGTAGTTGAGGATCCAAGCAGATGTCGCCATCTTTTGCGTTTTTGGCAGTCTTACTTATCCGATATAGGCAAATCAGGAGTATGCATACCACTCGGCAAGTAAGCGAAGACCTCAAGAAGGCGGTCGACCAAGGAGGCCGACTCTCGAGAGATCAGGCAGACATTTGTAACTTGCCAACGCATTGCCTTCTCGGCCAGGCTAAATCAACGATATGCCGAGTCTCGAGATTGTTATCAGAGTGTTTTCGTCGGACAAGATAAAGAGGTTGTCAGTTCTGCGTAATAGTGACAAAGCTGAGCCTGTCCGGCGAGGTGAAAAAAATCACCAGCCGCCGATTGTTATCGGCAGATGACAAACCATGGCACAGACGCGTTTACCGCTAGATCTGTGCATGGGTTCGCAAGCTGGGCGATGTGTTTTCAATGACACTGCCGCTATAGATGCAGGTACTGATGCATTATAACTGGCCACCTCGAGTCTCGTACCAAGTACCGAGCGGGGATCACACCGCTGGTTGTATCAGTATGGCCCATTATCTCGTCGATGCTGTGTGAACAGCAGTAAACCATTTGAGAAGAATCGGAAGTATCAAATCATATAGTAACGATGACAGTACTAGAAGAAGACGTTACAAAGAGCAATAGCAATGCTCGAATGATCATTACAGCATGCGGCATTAGGGTATCAGTTCCCAGCCAAAACGCCAAAGCAGAACAGGTCATCGAATCATAAAGTCGTGAGAGGCGTAAAAATGAAACTACCGGCGTGCTCTTGAATCCTCTTCCGCCCAGGCGGGTCTCCTCTCCTGTGTTCGGTACCTGTGTTCGCGGACGTTGACCTCCGCCTCCGCATCTGCAGTTCGGTGGCGTTCTCGATCCCTTCTGCTGTCTTGGTGACGGTACTCTGAGCGATGTTCTCTGTAGCCGTGTCTGTCTTGATCATGGTATCTGCTCTCGCGAGGCTCTTCCTGACGGTACCTGTCTCTCCGATGGTGGTTGTCTCTGCGAGCTGCCTCAATGATGACTTCAGTGCTGCTGGATCTGTGAGGTTCATCGTTGCGGCGATTGCTATCATTGTGAACTCTGACACGAGGTCTTTGCTCCTCGTCTTGTCTGCGAGCATGACGGATGGCGGCAGACTCTTCCAAAACACGAAGTTGTTCTCGGAGGTAGGTGTATGTGTGAGGGATTTCAACTTGCGAAGGTCTCCTAAACCGGGTATATCTTTCGAAGACCTTGCCCTTCTGCATGTAGATGGTCTCGGCTATGCGCATTGACAGGTGATTGCCTTTATGGCACAATGGAGCACCAGCCTGCCATCGCTTGTATGGGGAGATACATTGGTGACATCCACGAGAGTGGGTCTCAAAATCGAACAAGAGCCATGCCTCCTCGGACGTCAGAGGTCTTGAAAAGCCAGTGACGATCGAGGAAGTGTCTGAGAAGCGAACTTCTTTTGGCGAGGGAGGAGAGGAAGGTTGAACAGCAGGAGCAGCAGTAGGCATGTTGTTTCTTGTTCTGATGGGAATAGATTGGTTGACCATTGTGGCCAGTCCTGGAGTAAGTCTCGTCATGAGAAATATTGGGGTGGGTTTTCTTGATTTGTATTAGAAGTAAAGCAAGTTGTTGATGGAAAGTGTTTGTTGGAGGAAGGCGAGGGAGTGTTTACTTATATTCAGCAGGCAGGAAGTAAAGAGTGGGGAAGGAGGGAAAGAGCGAGGACAGACGATGAGGCATATACTTATACCAACAATGAGGAAGCAACGACTGTCTGCCTGAATTGTGCACAACTCATCAACGTCAATTACATGCAAATCATACCTTACCGAAAGGGGACGCCGAAAGACTGCGGCGACGTATGGCTATGCATTGCGACACACTGCCGCAGCGAAAGCTTGGGGGGTGGAACGCATGGAGCTACGCTAGAAGGGTTCGGAGATGGATCTACAGGAAACCTTGATTGCGAACCAAGAGTCTGGGAAGGCTGAGAATCGCAAAAGGTGGACCGTCAATCCGTAAAAGAGCTGCCTTGCCCACCTTGGCCGACGCGGGTGGCAGCATCGTGACTCACTGCTACATGCAAAAAGGAGTCTCGTGAACGCATGTGCCTTCAGGAACAGCGCGCCGAGACTGGGTGAGCATGGCCTCGAGGAATTCAGCTCGTGAATTGACCAATTGCTGACGTGAAGTGACTGGGATGAGGTGGTGACCTTGCGGCTCGTTCATCCGGTGAAGGAAGCTTGGCTGTGGGGGCACAATTGTCAATAATTGAGGCTCGTTTTGGAACGGACAACTGCGCCTTGCACCGCGCTGTGTAGACTCGACGACGATTGCTGTCGCGGAGGAAATGCCTGCGGGACCTTCGCATCCGCGGCCCGATCTGAGATGTTGTAGGGAGACAACGTGCTGGGCGTGGTTTGTCGCGGGTAGCGGCACGCGCTTCCTGTGCTTCGGGGGAACTGATAGCAGTGTCACTGCGAACGACCGACCGAGCGGAGTCGTACGCAGCGGTGAATCAAGGCGGCTGGGATAGATACATGGCCAGGATACCTGCCTGACATTTGGTACATACAAAGAGTACAGCTTGGAGTTGAGAGTTTTGACATGTGTGCCGGGACGGGAGTCACGGTGGTGCAGACATTTGGCTCTTGGCCAATTGATGTCAAAGGTTCTGGGAAGAATTCAAAGGCATTGTTTGAGCATGTGGAAGAAGACGGCACGGCGATTGGAATCTCAGACAAGGCGGACGTGTGGTCAAAGTCACTTATCGTGATTGCAAGATGGTGCCTAAAGCTGGTGCAACAGTGCAACTCTGTGCTGGGTTCTGAATGATCCAGTAGTAGGGTTCAGGGAGCCCTGGGTGTCCTTATGGAAGCGAAGCTATCAGATGAGGTTTTCCATAATCGATTTTTGATCAGACTGTCTGAAGGGGACACGAGCTCTCAAAAGTGGCTCATTACTGGATTCCAGCATACTCTAGCATACTCTTGAGCTATCTCTATGCTTTCAGTATGTCGTGACGGTCGATTATCTTGAGTATATAGGTCTCGGTGGTGACGAGGTTGGATAAAGGCAAGGCTGGTGATGAGATGTGGGGAAGAAGAGGTTCAGCGGTTGACAGCAACGGTCGTACTTTTGACCGTGACTTGCAACTTGGATCTATGCTTCATCATCAATAGAATTGCTTTCGGAAGCTGGACGAATACAGCAGGCTTCGATTCACATGGTTATTGAGACAATACCAAGGCTTCCACGACGACGACCAGACAATAGACCATGATCGCTCCCACATAAGGACTCGACCACCAGCTGAGACAGCGAAGACAGTAGAGGACAAGACAGACTTGAGAGTCGCTAAAGAGCCATGGATACATACATGGGCACGCCTTCCAAGAGACGCTCCATCTCAGACGCCACGGCCACGGCTGCAAGACTTCAGCCCTCACCACTTCTGACGAGTCGGTTGGCGGGCGCGACAAAGGATGACAGCCTGTTGGACACTTCACCACAGACGCCCAGGCGGCCTGACTTCTTAGCCAGAGGACTGTCGCTGCAGATGCCACCCAAGACGACGGCGACGACAGCTACAACCTCCATGGCTGCTCCCACCACCATCCAACGCGTACCGCTATCTCCTCAACTTGATCCTCAGACATCCTACGCCTCTCCTCAAACCTCTTTACCGCGGCATTCGCGTGGTCTAGATTTTTCCAGAGCCTGCACCAATCTTCACCACTCAACCCTCGCCGACAACCCTTCTCCTAGCTCGTCCCCAATCATGACTGCCCGTAAGCCCAGCGTAAACAGCATGATGCTCGACTCGCCAAACCTCTGGCCACAAGGTCAAACCGACCGCAGTGCCGTCAGTAGTAGCGTGGGCAGTATCAGCATGCTTGCCGATGAAGATAGCGACGACAGTACCAGCGATGATGATTTGATGGACGATATGGACGACCAAATCCTTACAACTCCGCAGGTTCGGAAAACTGCCAATCCGCAAGCCGCGACTCCTTTTGGCGGCCACAGCACTGTCATGTGGAGCAACAATTTCTCCCCCGCCCACGCCAGTCTGATGAAGACGTTTCAACGTAGTCGTCTGAAGAAAGGTCGAAGCAGAAAGAGTTCGAGTAGTGCCAGCAACAATTCGGCCATGCCCAGTCCACGCACTACTTCGCCGCCGCCCCTACGCAGCATTGAAGGCTCCGCTCACTTTGGCTGGCCGCGTCTCCGAGAGACCAGGCCCGAGCATCCTTCCCTCTCATCCGGTAACGACAGTGGAGACGAAGCTGTTGCTGCATCCTCAGTTCCTGGTGTTGTCCGCCGCGCGGTCACTCGTCGGGGTAACTTGCTGGTAAGTATTTATCCATCCCCCTCATCGCTGAACTAGCTAATCTCTCCTCAGCCAAAGACAAAGAACTTTGCGCGCATTCGTGCCGCTCTGCTTGAGGAGTCCGCTCCTGTCGATAGCGAAGTCCGTCGTGAAGCAGAGACCATGCGTCAAGTCCACAACCATGATCCTGTCCCTGACCTCGAAGGCCCATCCCCTGGTCCCTCGTCCTCACAACCCAACGTCAACCCTAACGATCCTAACGACCCACAACCCGATACCATAAGCAACAATCCCATCAGCTTTAACCTTCATGCTCATCGTAATTCGGGTGGCGTTGACTATTGGCATAAGCTCGAGAATGAGTTGCACACGCCCCCTCCACCCTCCTTCCCTACGAGAGGCAGCTCATCTCTATCTGGCGACATTGCTATGGATTCACCTGCTGACAGCACACTGCGCTCAGCTTCTGTCATCAGCATGAATGAACCATCTGCCGCTTCAGAAACCGACACTCAAAACTCTACATACACCAGTCAAGACGCCCTTCGCAGACCCTTTGGTAAACGTCGCCGTGACGATGATTTCGACATGCAGAGTTTCAAGCGCAGGGCTGTCAGTCCTAGCATGAGCGTGCACGGTAACAGCCCAATCGTTGCATCTCCCATTGCTTCTGCTGCCGCACGCAACCAAGGTCTACCAAAGGACGGTGCTCCGCTCGAGAAAAGTATCAGTGGTGGGAACGGCAATAACACTGCTCCTCGAAGGATAGGTCTGCAGGGTATGGTCGACACAAATGAAGGTATCATGAGGATGAGCATTGAGTAGTAATCTTGCTCTCGGTCAATGATTCTTCTCGGCTCTTCTGGACTGATTTCGCGTTTGCCTTTGGTAACCCCGAAGCATCTCTTTCTTTCGTCCTTTTTGCTTTTCTGTCTATCACTTTTCTGGGTGGTTTAGGTTCTCATAGCGTGCGGCGTTGGGGTCTTTGGTATCTGCTTTTCGCCGCTTTCTATTGCAAGGCTGTCGCCAAAGATACAATACAATTGGTATCAACATGATACATGTTGTTCTTTCTTCTCGTTTTCTCTTGCCTTTCGAGTTCGATGCATTGCCTCAAGATTCAAGCACCATCCGATAAACCAGGAGTCCTCCAGGATGCCCCTTTGGTTGAACCTCGGCTTTTCTTGACATCAAAGCTGATGGACCAACCCTGGCGTGAGAGATTCCACCTCCAACCCGATTTCAGAATGCCTCAAAGCGACAGAGATCTTGTCGAGTGGTCAGCTGAGGGTCTCGAATGCATCTACGCTACCCCTTCGTTTGAATAATGGCCGTCATGAAGTGATGTCGATCTTTGCATGTAGTCTGCCATCAGACCTGTGTTAGCTTTTGAAACTCACCCAGAATATCAAATTCAAATATAGTTTCGGTCAACTTGACCGTAGCATAAAGAATTTGTGAGCCCAACAAACAAACAACTATGCAAATCACCAGTTATCAGTAGCAAGACTGCCTTTGCAGTGGGCCGGCGACTATCCAATACCTGCTCAATGCTGGCTGGTTGCAGATAGAGACTAAGTAATGATACAGATCTTGGCCGGCTCGTGAAGCATGATTCGCCGCTTTAGCTCATCTGGGAGAGCGCCAGACTGAAGTCAACTTCTGTCCTTCTTGTTCCGACAAGAGTATTCTGGAGGCACTGTGTTCGATCCACAGAAGCGGCAAATTCATCTTTTACTCCCGATCCATCTTTTTGCGTGTCTATATGATGGTATGTTAATGTTGTGTTCAGTTGTTTTCTGCAATAATGGTTCCAGAAAATTCGATGCGATTTGAGAGTCTCTTTTGACAGCTAGGTGGAGCTAGTCAAACTGCTCTAAGGAAGGCACGATACTATCAGGTCTATGTTCTTCACCTAGCATGGTTCAATTGTCCTGAGAAAAGTAGTGACTGCTTCTTTTGTATGCTACAACTCTGAAATGAAGTGCGACAGCAGCCTGCGACACTCGCAAGGCTTGGATCCAAGGGTGGAAGAAGAGGATGGAAAAAGTAAAGATATGCCCAAAGGCTGTCATCGGCTGGCGCCGCGGCATGGTTCCCCTCTCCCGCACAGACAGACTGACCACGCGAAAGCTCCGCAACCGCGGAAAGGTCTCAGGTCCCAGCTTCACTCTTTGTTCTCATTCATCATCCATCACCACATCATAGCAGAAACTGCGCGACCAGAACTCGACGACATCTATCATCATTTGAAGCCTTCGCGACAAGATACGCGAGCTTGCAAGACCAGCTTATTGCGACTTGCGCGCGCGACTGACTCAAGACATCTTTTGCGCCCACTCACGCGACGCGCCGCCGCCGACGACATCAGCAACCAACTGCTACGGCTGTGCGAGGAGGAGAGCTTTTCGTTTTCGGGAAGCGCTTTTGGGGATTAGAAGTTAGACAAACATCCATCACCTCATCTCTGCGCGTGTTTGACTACATCGTCGCGTGCCGAGTGGACATCAGAAAGTGCAACAAGCAAGGCGCATCCTATCTCGCAGAGGAAGAGAGTGCGACAGTCACAGACAAACAGCGTCGCTAGTAGTAGACGGCGCCGGAGTTCTGAGAAACAGCTTGTGATTTTGCACACGCGCCGCCGCGAGAGTGATTTGTCGTCGCCCATACCCATTCCACACCTACGTTTGACTCGTTTGTGCGCCTTTGAAGAGTGGCCCTTGTCCGCGGCTGCAAGAGATCTTTCGCAGAAGGGTGAGACGAGACACCAAACACGACAACCATGTCCGGTAAGCAAAGACACTCTACCACCCACAATCACACATGGTCTATGTCGCAAACATGGCCATGGACTCCAATGCGCCAAACCTCAGACATGTCAGCTAATGCGCTCCCTCGAACAGACATCAGACGCAGTGGTCGCGCGACCAAAGGTCAGCACACAAAACTCGAGACTGCCGAAGTCACAACGCCCAAGAACAAGAAAGGCACTGCCACTGCTTCGACCAAGAAGAGCAACAGCAAGAAATCGGCCGAGCCCGAACCTGAGCCCGAAGGAGACGACGAAGAAAACAACGATGAAGTTATCCGCTGCGTTTGTGGAGACACCAAGGACGACGAGGTCGGTCGCCAATACGTCAGCTGCGATACTTGCGAGGTGTGGCAACACAATGTCTGTATGGGCGTGCCGCTGGAGGAGGAAAACCAGCCAGAACACTACTTCTGCGAGCTATGCGCACCCAATGACCACAAGGAGCTACTGGATGCCTTGAAGCGTGGAGAGAAGCTATGGCAAACGCGCATCGCCGAGCACGAGGCCGAGAAGCGAAGAAAGCGCAACGAGAAGAAACGCCCCAAGAATCGCCAACAGAAAGCTGCCCGTCAGAGCGAAGTCAAGTCTGAGGCTCCAGCCAGCGAGCAGACCAGCCCTGCACCTACTGCTTCTGCATCCGTCCCGGCCCCTTCGCAAGACTCTGCTCCTGCTGCTGGCAGCAAGCGCAAATTTGAAGAAGAGACCCCACAGAAAGAGCAGGCGCAGGCAGAGACTCAGGCCGAAGAGACGAGACGATCGTCATCAGCAGCTACGCAGTCCAAGCGCCGCAAGTCGGAGCAGAAGAAGGACGATAAGGTGGACGCCGATACAGCGCTTGTTGATGTCAAAGATCTGCCCAAGGAGAGACAAGGACCTGCTCAGGCACTTATCAAGGTTTTCGCCGATGTTGTTCGCGAGAGAGTCACAACTGGGTAAGTCGCACCTTCCACTTCTGCTTTTCACCCTTTCCTCTTTTTCAATCCACGAACTCCTGAACTCATTTCCTCTACCCCGTCTTTCGCATCTTCACATTCATCCATCCTAATGCACAACAATGGCTAATCCCTACTTGTTCAGATCTTACAGTCTTGGCCAAGGCGAAAACGCCGACTCGGTCAGCCACCATCATGCCATACGTATCGAGTACGAACTGTACCAAACATATGGTGCACCTCCTCAATCGCAAGGCTACAGTCAACAGTTCAGAGCCATCCATGCCAACATGAAGAAAAACCCCATGCTCGTTCAACGCATGCTCGACAATTCACTGACTGCACACGGTCTTGCAACTATGTCTTCACAAGACATGGCCAGCGAAGAACTGCAGAAGCAGCGTCAACAACTTAAGGAAGAGGCCGACAAACAGGCCGTCATGTTGCGCGACGACGAGGACGACAAGCCTCGTGTCCGCCGTACCCACAAGGGCGATGAATACATTGACGACCAGGCCGAAGACGCCCATGAATCAGTCTTCACCTCAGCACCTGTTCGCAGTAGAGAGGAACAAGAAAAGCCACCAACACCTGGCTCCGAAGCTCCTGCTGCTGCTGGTGCTGCTGCATCACCCGATGCAATGGATGTCGACCGCCGCGAATCAAACTTCGATATCAATTCTGTCTGGGCAAAGACTCCTGCTGATCAACAAGCACAGCCCGCTCGCCGACGCAGCTCGTTCGCCAAGACGCAGACACCTCAAGAGAAGGGCGAGAAGCACGATGCAGATGTCGATCGTATGCTCGCTGACGACAACGAGACTGACTATGCTCCTCCCGAAGCCAATGGCGTTGTCTGGAAGGGTCAACTTGTTCAGCCCGGCGTTACTGAGTTCACTGCTTGTGCTCGTCATGCTGCCGGCAACGACTTTGGTCAGTTCATGCCTTGGACCGAACTCTTGCCCCCAGTTCTTGAGATTGAGGGTCGTTTGGAAGCTAAGCGCGCTGACGATTATCTGTGTGGTCTGCAATGGAGCAAGAAGAGCGACGTGTCAGTTCTTGCATTGACACCCTACGACAACCGCGCTGCTTTCGATCAGATTTTCGACTACTTCGCTTCTCGTGGTCGTTATGCAGTCATCGGCAAAGGTCGTGGCATGTCTTCGATTGTCAAGGACGTTTACATCACCCCCGTCGGCCCTGGCCATAACCTGCCACCTCACATCAACCTGCTCGAGTATAACACACTTGACCCCAACGTGCCTGAGCGTATGCTTGTTGTCACGTTCGTTGTCAACAAGCCCGAGCACTGGGACAACCCTGTCGTACCCGATGCTCCCCAGCCAGTCGGTGCCAGCCCCGTAAATGGTAATGGTACACACGGTCCTCAGTTCTCACCGCGTCCACCTCAGGGATTCACTCCTATGCAGAACGGCCATGCCCACCAGCAGCAGTTTGGCGGCATTCCTCCTAACCCCTATAGCGCACAGTCTCCTGTGTCAGGACAGCCTTACTCCGCCCCCAACTCCGGAGCTGGAGCATATCCCTCGCCTTCACCACAGTTACCGCCCCACCCTAACCCCATGGTCCATAGCATTCTGGGCCCTCTTGCCCATACACCTGTGGTTGCTCAAATCCTTTCCGCTGCTGGCAACAATGTTGAGGAGCATGTCCTGCTTAACATGCGCGACATCCTTGCGAACGATCCTGCCGCACGTGACGACTTGGGCATCTTCTCACAACGTCTCGCCAACGTGGGATCGCATGGCCAACAGGGATAGAACTCCTACAGTCGCACTCACTTGAACCGCATCGTTGAAGAAGAGCAATCTGTCAGTGGCGCTGACGAGATCAATGCTGCTTTACAGCGTATCGACCGGCATGCGCTCAACGTTCATCATCTGTTGTTGAGGCGCCACTATTATCGTTAGTCTTGATGACTCACGTTGGCTGTCGAGATGTATGGACTTGATGCACTCTGGCGATGTCGCCACATGACTTGGCTCCGCTTTTCCTACTCTTCGTGTACCTTTTTCGTTACTTCTTTTCTTTCTCATTGCTGATGGATCAACGGCTGAACGAAAAAGTAAAAGACCATTTGCTTTGCTATTTTATCCTCTGTACCTTTTTCTCCATGCTTCTGCTTTCGGTTGTCTTTCTGCTGGGTTTGGCGTCAAGTTGCTTTGGGTCTTGGGATGACATGGCTTCATACTGCGTTGAGTCCTGGCTGGATGTTCTTGATGCTGGACAGACCTTTTCTTTTTTTGCTCTCTTTTACTGTCAAGAATACTCTATTAGATGAAAATTTCAAGGAACACTATCCTATCTTAACCTCTTTCCCTTGCTCATTTGCCTGTGCTGACCTTTTCCAATGGTTCAGCAACTCTATCTACCCTCCTCGTGTTCAAAAGAACGTAACCTCTATCATACTCCGACCACAACATAGAGTAAGATAGACGCTATGAAAAGGCACGATCTCATCCATAGACAAATGCTGTTCCTAGAGAGTCCATACTCTGTTGCCTCTCAGCGGTAAGTGTCCAGTTTTCTGGTAGTATCATGCATTTTTACAGCTATTTTGAGAGAGGTGTGAGGTTAAATGGAGTGCGTGCTCAGAGAATGTGGTGCAGTCTGGATTGTGGTGGCGGTGGTTGTGGTTGTTGATTGAAAAGAGTCGTTGGATTGTTGTTGGAAGCTACGATGGTGGTGGTTGATGATTCGAAGAGTTTGTGGATTAATGGATGGAAGAATCTAATGGATTATGGTAGGAAGCAACGATAGTCGTGGTTGATGGTTGTTGCCAACATGATGGAGACGAATGAGCTTTACACATCATGTGCATGACATGATTAGAGCACACAATTTATGCAAAGCACAATTTCATGACCATATCAATCTCAACAATGAAATATCATAAAATTCACAAGCTACGCAGCTTTATATCATGAATCTAAAATCCCGACTCCTTGCCCTTTTCCGAATAATCCATCTCGTTGTTCGTCCTCGTCATTTCAGGCGATGGAGAAGCTGTAAGCACATTCTCATCAACAATATCCACCTTGGGGCCAGTGTAATTCTTTCTGCCGTCAAAGATGTACGTCAACAGCGAGATAAACAGCCAGATTCCAAATGCCACTACACAGTAGTTCATGTTGTTGGCATCGACGGGCAGCTCGGGAGGGAAAAGGAACAACACCGAGGTGAGGGTGACGTAGGCAATACCAAGCAGGTTGGCGAACCAGCCAAACCAATTAGGCAGGATGAAAGGACGGTCAGCGGGGAGTCCTTTGCGTCCTTGGAGAACGTTGAGGGCAATGGGGATGGCGTAGGTGATACTGAGAGCGACGACCGAGGCACTGGTGATGGCGTTGAATGCGCTGGAGCTACCAAGGAAGATGCATCCAAAAATAATGACCAGGCCCAAGGTAAGAGCGAGTGCATTGACTGGCACATCGAGTCCTGGCTGGACCTTGCTGAAGAACTTGGAGAATGGAAGTCCTCTGTCTCTGGCAAAGGCCCAGGCCATACGAGAGCTGGTGGTCATGATGGCGATGGTTGCAAAGACAGTGCAGACCAAAGGGAACATGAGCAGGCAGATAGCTCCGGCATGCGAGTTCGTAGCATTATATAAAATCTGAAGGAGAGGTCCAGCGCCGGAATCGATGACTTGGTTGATGTCTCCAGCGACGAAAAGAAGACACACCAAGAAGATGAATCCAGTGAAAGTACCAATGGCGACGCAGGTGATCATGACAAAAGGACCAGTCTTTCTCGGGTTGGGGATTTCTTCGATCATGTGTGCGACAGCGTCAAAGCCAGTAAGACCAAATCCACCCTGGAGCAAGCCCAACAACCATGCAAGGCCATCAGGCCAGCCTGTTGTGTTGATGAAGTCGCCAAAGACAAAGTCGGCAGAACTGTAGTGTGGGGAAGCGCATGCTAGGACGGTGATGGACACAACAACGAATCCAGTAATGGACCAGATAATAGCACCTCTGTCAATGTGAGGGATGATACGGTTGGCGAAAGCATTCAACAAGAATGCAAAAATGTTGTATCCAATGTAGATCAAGAACTGCTGCCAACTCTTAGGCTTGTAGGAGGAGTCCATCAACGAAATGATGCCCAGGATAAGTTGCGATCCGAGCAATCCACCAGTAGCGGTAAGGGCCATCCAACCACCGACCTGTGAGCAATCTATGTGTCAGCACAATCATGGCACAGTGTGGGTTGTGGGGGTGGCTGTATGGGGTATTACTCACATTGATCCATCCAGTGATCCATGAGATCATGCGACTGTTGGGACAGAGCATAGCAGCCCAGTGATACTGGCCTCCTGCCGAGGGGTAGGCACTGAGAAACTCTGCTAGACTTGCTGCAAGACATAGGTTGCAAATGCCTGCTGTGATGAGTCCCCAAAGGACAGAAGTAGGACCTCCACTAGACAAAGCTAGGCCTAACGATGTCGCCAAAGCAGTCCATGAGTTCAAAATGGCGAATGCTAAGCCGAGCATAGCCAGTGGGGAGAATGTTCGATTCAATTCCTGGGCATGTCCCAGGGCTGCGAGTTGTCGCGCATCTTCCGAGGAGTCACCGCCAGCCATGGTCTATATGATGTTGTTGTCCCTGTGTCTTTCCGGCTCTTTCTTCTCTCGCAATGTGATCCCTTGGAGTAGAGCGTGAAGTAAGAAGACAAGAGTGTCCAGAAAGTAAAACAGAGGGAGTGGAAGATCCTTTAAGGGCCAGAGTGCCCTATCTGAACCCTCCAGCTGACCAAAAGATAGTCCCCTCGCCGGACGGTTGCCCCAGAAGTATTGAATTTTTGTTACCACACGCAAATTGATGTCATGGGGCACAAGAGGATCATTGCGCTTTGCCGGCAATGCGGAGTGCGCGTCCTCCGCAATCCTTCAAACGTTTTTGACAAAGAAGATTGTGTACAACTCGATAATGCCCACCGGTTGTCGGCGTTCAATTGCCTTGGCTTACCCAAAAGTGCAAGTCGACGAGAATGTTGAATCGATTGTCTGCCTATCTTTTGTGGCCCAGTAATACTTACTCGAGTACAAAGCGCCAAGTTGAATGGCTTCTTCAAGCAAAAAGACAAGCAATGCGTTGCGAGGTGGCGCTCACAGCCGTGAAGCCGGTCCAGATCTCGACGGCCCGCGGTTGGCAGCCAAAGTATTCGGCCCCGGATATAAACTCTTTGATAAGACTTCACTGTCACTTCATAAAATTTATGCTCTTCAAAGGACACAACAGATGTTGGTTTAGAGAGAAGTCATTGATTCATTATAGCTGTGTGCTCTGTGGCTGTTTCTTCAATCACACTCTAGCAGACGGCGTGGGTCTTGCCAGTCTTGCCTTGCAGCGAGTGCTTCTCGCCAGTGAAGTGCTGGTTCATCTTCTTATGACGGCCAGTAGAGGTGCCGTGCTTGGCAATCTGTTCCTTGTGCTCCTTGATCTTCTGTTCATCCATCTTGCCCAGAGTCTCCATGGCGAGCTTGATGTCGGCGATCAAAGCATCGCATCTGCTGCGCGAGAAGTCCTCACGAACAACAACACGCATCATCTTGAGGCCCTCAGAGTGAGGAGCCATGGTGTAAGCAGGGACGACCCAGCCACGCTGTCTGAGCTGGTGTGCGATAGCGAACTCGTCGAACAGGTGGCCGTCGTCGGGGTTAAGACGGAAAGCGACCAGAGGAAGACCTTTACCACGAGTCTGAGACATGAGCTTGAAACCCATCTTCTCAACCGAGGCGGCCAGATAGTCTGCAGTTCTGGTGAGGTTGAACATGATGGCACGGTAGCCGTGCTTGCCCAGACGAATAAGCTGGTAGTACTGACCCAGGACCTGGGAGGCTCCACGAGAGAAGTTGAGGGTAAGGGAAGCCTGGTCAGCACCGAGGTAGTTGATGTTGAAGATCAGCTCGGTGGGCAAGTACTTAGGGTCACGCCAGATGCACCATCCAACACCGGGGTAGACGAGACCGTACTTGTGGCCAGAAACGTTGATCGAGACGACCTTCTCAAGACGGAAGTCCCAGATGAGGTCGGGGTTGACGAAAGGTGCAACGAAACCACCGGATGCGGCATCGACTATGAATAGTGAGCATAAGTCGCGGCTATATCGACTAAGAAGACTTACCGTGAATAGGAATGTCAATGTTGCGCTCGACCAGGAGGTCGTTGATGGCCTTGGTGTCCTCGTACTCGCCAGTGTAGGTGGTACCGAGGATGGAGCAGATACCAATGGTGTTCTCGTCAATCAAGTCGACGGCCTCCTTAGGGTCGATAACGTAACGGTCCTTTGTGCAGTAAACGTACCTGTTGGGTCGGTTAGCACTTGAACATCAGCCAATTCACAAAGGCACGGACTTCTCCTCGACATCAAAGTAGCGGGCAGCCTTCTCCCAGCAGACCTGGACAGCAGAGTTCATGATGATGTTGGGGCGAGAGTAGTCCTTGCCCTCGGCCTTGCGCTTGTTTACCCAAGACTTCTTCATGGCCAAAGTTGCGAGCATGATGGCCTCGGATGAGCCGACGGTCGAAGTGCCCATGGCGTTGGAGTCATCGTTGTGGGTAGGGATGTTGAAGAGACGGGCGATCATGTTGACACAGCGGTTCTGAATGTCAGCGGTGACAGGGTACTCCTCGTAGTCGATGAAGTTCTTGGCAAAGGCATCCTGCATGAGCTTCTCGACCTCGGGCTCCATGTAGGTGGTGACGAACGAGGCAAGGCTGTGGCATTGTCAGTGATTGTAGGATGAATCGGAGCAGTGGAAGTTACTTGAGGGTGGGGTTGCCATCCAAAGTCAGGTCGTCCTTGATCATTCTGTAGGCAGTGGCAGCAGGCATCTCCTTGTCAGGCATCTCGTGTCTGGGCAGGTCCTCTGCTGCGAAGCGACTACCGTAGATGCTGGTCTCGAAGTCATCGGGCTGGCTGCCCTCAGGACCCAGACCAGAGAGGTCAATCTTGCTCTGAGAGTCCTTCTGGATCTCAGAATCCTTGGTGACTTGTCCGAGGTGAACCATTGTGATGTGTAATGTGATATTCTTGATCTAGGAAGAAGAATGAGAAGTCAAAAGGGGATGGCTAAAGGGAGATCTGCAAGTTATAAACAGAGAGCGGCACGACCGGGTAGCTTTCCACAAAGCTCCCAACAAGCTCGAGAGTCAATCGTCACCACGAGCTCCAGCTAAGCTTCGCCAAGACAAGCTTGGAAAGTGACGTGTGAACATGATCTTCGCGGGGTAGCTACATCCACCGCCTTTATATTGATTCATCCCTTTGCGCTAAAGACAGTCACGGTGCAGATGTAAAAATGCACAATACTTGTGTAATGAATGTGGTTTCCACAGAGAGGACCTAATTGAAGACTATCTCAATGGCTAGCATCATATTCGGATCACCACTGTGCATTTTGATGGTCTGAATCTTGCTTGTTGTCGCAGGCGGAGTACGGGAGCTTATTGGTTCCCGCCTTGCATCTACAAGCAACCAATTAGTTTGCCTGCCCCTGCCTTGTGGCTTCTTCGTCCGCCTGCTATGAGCATGACCTTGAAACTTGGAATTTGAAACATGTAGATAGAGGCCGCTTTTGCTCCCGTGCAATCTTTCGAAGCGCCGTCGAATGTGACGACAACGTCATCAAGAACTTTCACATGCCGCGTCGCAACGCGTCTTTCTCATGCGCGACCCTTCATTTGGGACCATCGATGATCCTCCGCATACAAGTATCGGATAGATGAAGTGCATGATGAGATGTCGACATTCGACGGCATCGTCAGGGAGTTCCCCTACATCCGCATTGACAATTTCACAAACTATCCAGACGAGCCGCCTCCGCTCGCCTGTTTCTTGAGCCATGTCCACAGTGACCATCTCAAGGGACTGGAGTCGTTCAAGTCAACTTTCATCTATTGCACAGCTCAGACTCGCGAACTACTTCTTCGCTTGGAAAAATACCCTCATCGTATGAACTTTGCAAGAGGAATCCTAGAATCAAGAAAGCAGACATATCGCCGCCTCAAAAATCACATCAAGCCGATCCCTCTCGAAACGCCAACTGAGATCGAGTTAGCTCCCGGACAATCTATCCGAGTAACCCTCTTCGATGCCAACCATTGTCTAGGATCATGCATGTTCTTGATCGAAGGCAACGGTAAAGCCATTCTTTATACAGGCGATCTTCGATCAGAGCAATGGTGGGTCAACACGCTGATACGCAATCCCGTTCTTTTACCATATACCAAAGGCACTCAGAGACTTGATAACATATACCTCGACACAACTTTCGCTTCTAGTGATGCTCTAGAGTATGAGATGCCCTCTAAAGGCGAGGGTTTGAATGAACTCATCAAGAAAGCCTCGCAATATCCTCCCGAAACAATCTTCTATCTTAATACGTGGACGTTTGGCTATGAGGAGGCTTGGATTGCACTTTCAGCTGCTCTGAAAACTCGAGTCCACCTTGATGACTATCGTTGGCGCTTATACTCTTCACAGAGAGATCAACCAACTTGCTACGGACCACAGACTGCACCTTTAGTGGGCTACAAACTAGGCAACCACGAGCATCCTGGATGCCTGACAAACTCGTTGGAAGGCGCACGAATCCATAGCTGCGAAAGAGGAACTCGCTGTGAAGTGTTTCAGAATCGTAAGTCTCTTCAAATTGCAATTCTAGTTAAAGCTGACAAAGTGCATGCAGCTAATGTGGTTTGGATCACGCCGATCATAGCTCGACACAAAGGTAACGAGATTGCCGAAATTGGGGCTGGTGGAGGCCATGGTGATCTAAACCAGACGCACTCTCTTGAGCTATATGATCTGGGCAGCGTCCAGCAGCTATTAGCCATCTGTAACAGAGTGCTTCAGGCTCAACCTGAGCTCAAAGAACCAATGAAAGAATGGTTCTCGAGTTTGATGAAGAACGGCAAGGAGTCTATCAACCTTGATCTTGAGATCTTGCGTGATGAAGTCGAAATCACCAGTCAAGACGGTAGACCCGATGACGAGTTTGACATGGACAACTTGCCTATTGACAAGCTGGTTCCAGCACTGACAAGGCTGATCACGGGCAAGTCCAAGCAGGAGGAAGAGGATCGCATAAAGCAGCAACGGCAGATTGTGAGTTGAGTATATTGCCTGCTAAGACAGGTTCTAACAGTGCTAGACATTCCCGTTCTCTCGTCATTCGTCCTACCTGGAGCTCCGTGAGCTTGTGCAAGCATTCAAGCCAAAAGACATATACCCTTGTACCGTCGACCGATCGACCTACACTTACGATGTGTCGATGGAGATGCTGTTTGGAGATCTCTGCTCGGCCAACATATTCCAAGCAGATAAAGAACTCCATGCACAGTTAGGCATAAAGGACTCAGAGGCAGAAGACGAAGAGTCTCAAAGAAGCACTCCATCGCCCGGAAGGGACAGACCAACTGTTCCACAGCCGAGACACTCGGAGCCAATCATAGAGCATGATGGGGCAGAGAAAACCGACCTCTCGAGAGCGAGCGAAGCAAGTCCGATTCGCAGCTCCTCGACAGTGAGGTATGAGACACCCAAGAAACGAGCCAAGACATCACGGAGCACGCGCAGCACTCCAAGTAGTACTCAAAGTGACAGGAACGTGCGCCGAGAAGCGATGTACAACGCAGCCCTTCATCAGAGATGGGAGAAAGGATTCTTTACCAGCGTGGATGGGTATCACAACCAAGAGCCAGAGAAGGAGCTGTGAATGAGAATGGGTAGCTAGTAAGAATCATAGAAGCAATATGACAACCAGTTGACTTCGCATTTCAAAAAATGCAAAATGTGATGGTTGATGTTTTCGCGGCAGAGTTGATGGCGTTTGTTGCTGACAGCATGAGAGCGGAGCCGAGCTGCATGTGATTGTCGCGCTTTTGTCAACAAAGACCCAAATAAATGACAACAGACTCGATTGCTTGTCGCAACACATCCAAATCACCATCACACAATGCCTGAAGCACTTGCGACAACGAAACGCAAGTTTCACAAACTCCTCGACAGCCGCTTCGGATCTCCCTCGGCGCCGGCAGCAGCAACACCTCCTAGACCTGTATCGCAGGGCACAATCAGCGAACCAGCAACCAAGCGCATTCGATCGAGCGGCTCGACGACATCTCTAGCGGCCAGCCTACGCAGCAAGACAGTACCAAAGTCGTCCATTAACCCAGTCAGAGGAGAGCCCAATTTTGCGCCATGGTCGCATGATGCTTTCGTCAAGCGGTTGCGCAGCTTCGGCCCTGTTACCAATTGGCACCCTAAGCCTGATGCTATCAATGAAGTCGAGTGGGCTAAGCGAGGATGGTGGTGTGTGGATACAAATACTGTCGGTTGCAAGGGAGGGTGTCAACAGCGAGTCGTGGTCAAGGTCGAGCCCATCGTCAAGAGACGTCGCGTCCAGACTGAGGAAGAAGCTCAAGAGCAGGAACAAGAAGACGACGATGATGATGACGAGGACAATGATCAGGAAGAGTTGGAACAAGCATTGGTGGAAAAGTACAAGGAGCTCATTGTTGAGGGACACTCGGAAGACTGTCTATGGAGGAAGGCTGGTTGCAAGGACGACATTTACCGATTACCTATTGTCAAGTCGACTGTCTGGCAGCCCGAACTGCGCATGCGTTTCCAGTCTCTCTTGAAGATAGAGCCGTCACTCGCCAACCTGACTCTACAACCTGCTGAACTCAATCCATCTCCTGAAAAGATTCTCGCAAACCTCCCGACAACTCTTCTCCAAGAGCCAGAAGGACCCAGCTCAAGCGAGGATACGGACATCGCAGAAGAGACGAAGCAAAAAGCACTAAAAGTTGCCATCTGCGGCTGGCAAGGTTCGACAGAATCCAGCACGCAACTCCTAGCATGCGAGGCCTGCTTCCAAAGAATAGGTCTCTGGATGTACCAGCCCGACTACAAACCCCACAGATTTGACGACGACGATGAAGAGGAACAAGACCGCAGCCTCGACCTCATACAGCTACATCGCGAGCACTGTCCCTGGCGCAATCCGACCACCCAAGCTGCTACAGGAAACTATGCTGGCAAGTCTGCTCACTCTATCCTTCTTGATGTTCTGGACCGCTATATCGATGAGCAGAGGCGTAGATCGAGAGGTACTATTCATGGCTCTGCTGTAGCTGACAACGATGTGGAGAGTGATGCGGGAGCGACGGATGATGGTAGAGAAAGTTTGGCTCTGGAGACTCTGCCGTCCATGCCAGAACTGAGCAGGGCAGAGACGGAGAAGCATGATAAGGAGAGGCTATCCAAGTTGAGGCGTCTGAAGACGGTTCTAGGATTCAAAAGAAGGGCACCGCCCGCTGCCTGAAGCAGGAAAGGAGATATCAACCAGTCAAACAAATGCATACTCAGTATAAAGAGGCATCATCGCTTCTTTCAAGTGTCTATGTTCGTTCTTGCTCGTGTCACCCCGTCACAGAATATCTTGCTTTCCAGGACAGACAAGTCGCAAACTGATCTCCAAAGTCTCGATCCAAGTGGCCTTCGCTTGCTCTCCGGGATAAGCAGGAGGATCTGCTGTCGCTGATACGTGCCTCAATGCCTAAGACATTGGGTCCCGCCAGTTCGGCAGTTGGTAAATGTCCATGAAGCAGAACTGCAGCTTCGGCGAGGTACACAGTATTACCATCCGGTCACACCAATCAACTTCATAGCATTTTGATTGCATGTTCTCGTAGATTGCTCCCCCTAAGTGCGATAATCAATCCTGGGGCAAACTAATGGAATTTTTCTGATGCCTGTCAAAAAGTGATGATGGTATGACGAGTCGGGGATAGGGAATCGATATCGCCGAAGAGTGACGGAGGGTCGGTGAAGTCGCGTGTGTCACAGAGCGTGGGGTTCCATGTTTCGAGATGCCATCGCCAACTTTCTTTGGTACACTTTGTACTTTTGACGGCGACAACGACGACAATGGCGGGCGGACGAGATAACATCACGGTGTTGCCACCATCACCACTTGATGATGACAATGAACAACGACCTTTGCTGGACGAGGCACACCCCGATCATGGAACCATTGACAGAAGTGTGGCTGCACAAGAGGAAGAGGGCGAGGCGGATGCGATTGATGAGCCTACCTCTGCAAAAGTCGTGGTCATCATGGTCTGTCTATGGGTTGGCTCCTTCTGGGCTGCTATGGGTGACCATCTCCCAATCTCGATGCTTGAACGGCAGTATACTAATCAATTGGCTCTCCAGACTCGACCATCGTGGCCACTCTTGCTTCTCCCATCAGTCGAAACTTTCACTCGTCAACTCTGCTCTCTTGGATCGCTACAGGTTATCTGATCGCCAATGCTGCCTTTCAGCCTCTCTCGGGAAAGATGTCGGATATCTATGGAAGAAAGGCTGGTATCATATTCGCGAGCAGCTTCTTCTCTATTGGTACTTTGATCTGTGGTTTGGCTCAGAATGCCCCCATGATGATCTTGGGACGTGTTGTTGCTGGTACAGGTGGTGGGTATGTACAAGTGCTGTGCGACTCAGGTAAAAGGATCGTTGCTGATATCATTGCAGCTGTCTCAACACCATTTCGACCTTCATCGCTAGTGATCTGATCCCTCTTAGAAAGCGTGGACTCTGGCAAGGCTTTGCAAACCTCATCTACGGAACTGGCATGGGCCTGGGAGGTATCTTTGGTGGTCTTATGAACGATCACCTTAACTGGAGATGGGCTTTCTACATCCAGGTTCCTTTCATCGTGCTTGCTGGTATCCTTGGCTGGTACTTTGTTGACATTCCTATCAAGGAAGGCAACTCAAAGGAACGCATCAAGCGTGTCGATTTCCTCGGCGCTATTACCTTGTGCACTGCCCTTGTTTTGCTCTTACTCGGTCTCAACAGTGGCGGCAACATCGTACCCTGGAACCACCCTCTGGTCTATGTCAGCTTGCCTCTCTCCGGACTCGCCTTGGTAGCCTTCGTCTACGTCGAAGACAAGGTCGCAAAGGAACCCGTCATCCCTATCCGCCTACTCCTCCACCGCACCGTCGCTTCAGCATGTCTGACAAACTGGTTCTTGACTATGGCCGTCTACGCGCTCTTCTACTACGTCCCCATCTACTTCCAGATCGTCCAAGGTTTATCCGCCACCGCAGCAGGCACAAGACTAGTCCCCCAATCCATCGGTACAGCTTGTGGCTCTCTAGGCGCTGGCGTGATCATGCGCGCAACAGGCCGTTACTGGTGGCTCTCCACCTTTTCACTAACGCTATACATCATCGCCGCTGTGCTCATCGCCACTACCTTTAATGCAGGCGTCAATGGCGTACTTCCCTTCGTCTGGCTGTTTGCCTCTGGAACTGCCTATGGCGCTATGCTAACAGTAACCCTACTCGCCCTTCTCTCAGCAGTAGGCCACGAACACCAAGCCGTCATCACATCCGCCTCGTACGCTTTCCGCAGCACCGGCTCTACAATCGGCATCACCATCGCCTCTGCAGTGTTCCAAAACAAACTGTCCGCTGGTCTCTACGCACGTTTTGGAGATTTACCTGGTGCGGATAAGGTTATCGCCCGTATCAGAGATGATGTAGGCGATATCTCTTTCTTGCCCCCTGGTTGGGAAGACGGGGTTCGCGATACGTATATTGAGAGTTTGAGGGCTGTGTGGGTGGTTATTGTGGTTCTGGCTGGTGTGGCGGGCTTTGTTAGTTTGTTTATGCGTGAGCATACTTTGCATAATAATTTGAGTAGAAAGTAGAAAGATGGACATTGCATATCAGGGGTGTTTTTGTTTCTGTTGTCCGTTCATTTGTCTTGGTGGGTTGTGGAGTTTTTGGATGGTGAGATGTGTATAGAAAGGTAGATTAGAATGGCAACATACTTTATCACAAGGGAAGGCAGATTTCTCGTTTTCAATTTCTGATGCTGCGGATCAAGATGTCCTCTGTTCATGCCTTCCGTCTTGATTACTCCTGCCTCCCCGCGTCAAGTATGTAACTCGTGTAGCTGTAAAAGTGCACAATACCAACAAGAAAACAGAACATTGTCCACTGAGAAACCACAGATACAGACATCTCTGTGGATATGTCTAGATTTCCAAAAAGCACTGTGCCTTTTCGTAGCGTATTCTCTGCCTCTCTGCGTAGTCGGAGAACGATGAATTGGATTGAAGGCTACAGACTTTCTTCGCCCCCTATGCACCTACATAGGTCAATGTCATGAAACCCCTTTTCACCATCTCCGTGTGCTGACCACGGTCCCAACGCACCTATACAAATGCACACTATTTTCTCTCAAGATGGTGTCTCCAGAGAAAGAACACGCCTAAGAAAACGCTCTATCAAGTTTGGCAAGAGCTTCCTTCTTTTCCTTATCCAAAAGGATTTTATCACCCAAAGGAAGGTCGCGAAGTGCAGTCTGCATAAGCTCTGCAGCCTTTTCCGCCGTCATTTTAGGATGCGGACGAGGTTTCTGTGGTCCTGTAGACAATTGGCCGATATCTTTTCTGCGGAGGCCGACTTGACCTTTTCCATCCATGAATGTTTCGTAGCCATTAGTGTCGAGCACTTCTTGAGGGACTGGTGGGACTTGGAAGGGGATTAGTTGGTCTGGGTGAGTGAGTTTGCCGTGGGGGATTTCGGCGTAGGTGGGCATGCGGGTTTCGCCTGCTGCTGCCATGCCGGCCATGTCTTTGATTACGGCTTGGTTGTCCTCGTTGTTCTCGACTGCGAAGCGCAAGCACATGATGGCGTGTTCGCGAATGTATGGGTTGTGCTCATCGTGACGGCAGCAGCCCACCAGTGCTTCCAATCCACCGTATTCACGAACTTGGTCTTGCACTTTGCGATTCTTCCAGATCAGCGAGGAGAGTACGAGGACCGTCAGTTTCTTGAGGTTGCGCCACTCAAAGTCCGAAGGCTCATCTTGCGGATCCTCTGGGTATGCCAAGGGAGTTTCAGCTTCAAAAATTGTAGTGTTCGGAGGCTGAGCGTTGGCATCTGTCGGTGGGATAGGAAGTGGTGGAAGAGTGTTAGCCAGATCCGGAGACAAATCGAATGGTCGTTCCACACTTATAGGCAGAGGCTTGAGGTTCTGAGGTGGTGCTGGTGGAGGTGGGTAATTGTGAGCCGGCGGTTGGTAATTATGATTCTGTTGGTGAGGAGGGGGACGTCTTGGAACGGGTCCGTGTGATGTGCCTCCAGGTCCGAGTTTAGGGATTGCAGCTTCCAATTCCTTGAGCAATGTCACAAGCTCGCTCGCGACTTCCCACTGTGCCATCACATCCTTCCAAATGCTCTCTTCGGTGAGCACGGCGAAGAACTCGAGGTATTGGTACACGCCTTCGTACATACGCTCCATGTCCCACAAGTTAAGCGGGAAGTCTTCAGGCGAAGCTAGATTCTGGTGGATCTTGCCTTGCAGGAAGATGAGTGCACATGTTTGCGGAATGATATGCTGGCGGAATTCGGTAAAGATGAAATTGACGATGTGGACGTCAACTCTGAGCGGATACGAGTCACTGGGCTGTGGGTTCGTCTTGGAAGCCTCGGCTCTCGATCTGAAGATGTTGGTAAGCAGCTTCATGATCACCGCTTGAGCCGGTGAGATTATGTCTTTGGATCTCGATTTGTCCCGGAAGGCGTGGTAAGCGTAAGGCATCAAGCCGTTTACCAAGATTGCCTCCATAATCTTGACCATGAATTTGAAATAGAGCTCTTCCTCTCGCAAGTCCCAAGCAGCAACAAATATCAAGAGCTCTCTCAACAGATTCTTTCCATTGTCTTGAGCCAATAGCAGATGGCATCTAACCGTATGCATATTGACAATTGCGTTAGTCTCTTCGGTTGATGTGCCAGCTTGTGTTGATTTTGCAGGCGGTACAATGCCAGACATGACGATCATAGGCAATACTTCGATCTCCGACGGTCCTAGGATCAGCGGAACGTCTGTCAGGAGACCACGTCCATCCTCGCTCGAACCAGGATATTCGTCTTCGTCTTCACTCTCCTCTTCCTCGCTCTCTTCGTCCAAGCCTACATCATCCTCATCTGTCCGATTCTCATAGACCGGTGAGGCTGGAGAAGCAATAGGTGAAGCTGGGCTTGTGATTTGAGCTTGTTGTGGTGGCGGAACAGGATAGCTTTCCAATCGTTTCATGAGTTCTGATTTACCGCTTTCTAAAATCTTGGCTCCTGCCGAGGCGGTGAACATCATCTTGTAGTCATCCTCTGCCACAGGTCTAGGTCCTGTTGCTGACTTTTCGTCGGGGAATGCGATAGCTCCATCTGCGTTGTAGACCGGAGGTTCCATGGGGGCGACCTTTGTACCTTCGGCCTTCATGCGATCACCGAGTTGCTCCTCAATGTGGGCAATTCGTGCAGCAACTTGGTCTGCATGCGCTCTGTCTGACTTGTCCTTTTCGGCTTGTGCGAGACGTCGTGCATCCTGGTAAGCTGCCAATTCCTTTTCATACTGTTGCGCAAGGGCATCGTATTGTTTGTTGAAAGTTGTCTTTTCCTTGTCGGACAGAATACTCCATCTGGCAGCGAGAGCTTTTGCGACACTATCTGGAGTTGCGGTTGGGCCAAGAGCCTCTCTCGTCTCTGCTTGATGTTGCCTCACGAACAGTACATATCCAGATACAGGCCTTGAGGGAGGTTTCATTTGATCCTTGTTCGCCAAAAGTCGTTTCGCGTTCAAGGCATCTTGTGCAGCATCATAAGTAGCCTTGCTTGTCTCGCCAAGTGCGACCAGGATATCGCCGGTGGAGACAGGTGGTTTGGGCATTTCGCCGAGAGCAGGTTGGCCGCCAGTCGCATCGTCAGTATCTTCAGCCAGAATACCTTCGGTTGAGTTGTCGAACAGGGCAACCCACAGCATCAGCTTCCTTCGTTCGTTGCGAGCGACCAGGTTGTTCAAGAATTGAAGGGAGGTTATGAGTAGCTTCTTGTAAGCATTCACAATCCACTGCCACTTTTCTTCATCGCCAGTACCAGCATCGCCATCAAATCCTCTTGCCGTGACTCGCACGCAACAGTTGATCAATCTGAATATTTCCTGGTCGAATGTGCACTCGGCAGCCAGATCTTGAGCCTTCTCGCCGATCGTGAGCGTGTTACGCAGGATCGAAACCAGGTCATTGAGCCTTTCCAAGTCTTTCCACAGCCCAGGGTAGTTTTGAGCAATGAGAGCACCCGAGGTTGATTCGTAATCGACGGCGGAAGGATCCCAGACGGCAAAGGAACGGCGTTCGAGCGAGGGAATGGCGGCGCGGAACAAGGTGACCATGTCTTTCCAAACGTTGTCATCGGTACCAAGACCTTCTCTGCAGAGCAACAAGCGCATTAGTCATAGGCAAGTGTGAATGGAGGCGTGCATGTGACTAACCTGACTTCTGGTTGCTGCGCCGAAGCCTTGAGTATGCCCTTACAAACCGATCTATCCAGCCTCTCCAACATGGATTCCTTCATAAACGTCGGGCTCTTGAAGTGCATCGTGTATGCGGGCAGTCCGATGCGCAGCAGTGTGCTGTAGGCATGGCCCGTCACAGTATCCTCGTAGGACGTCATCTTCTTGTTGCGCAACCCCTCCAGGCAGATAGCGATACTGTCGTAAGTGTGTTCCCGTATCCCAGTAAAGAAATGCGATATATGGATGTACTGATAACTTCGTCACTTCAATATGAAACACCTTGAAGGTTTCACAGTTGACTTGAAAGCTCGGTCCAACGATGCCGCCATGGTTTGCCGAAGTTTCTCCACTCGAGGGAGTCGCATGTCTCTTGCGAAGCCTCGACTTTGATATTTCCCTTTCATCACCAAACATACAGACATCATCGCACTGCAAGACAAACTTAAGGGAACACCTCAAGTAGGGTATTGATGTCGTAAATTCATTATGTATCTCCAGCCTCGACCAATGGTTCTGCTCGCTCATGCTTGCCCTTGAGCCTGTCTGGCAGCTCTCCACTCCTTCTCAGTCTTGTGCGATACAGTCTGCACATTCATGACAGAACCATTCTCATGCGCATTTGGCTTGAACAGAGCATCTCTGGGTGACGCTGCTGGTGTAAAGATATCTGATGCTCCATCATCGAATGCAGAAGCCTCAACCTTGGCTGCCTCGATATCCTTCTCACGAGCTTCCTTCTGGTTGTTCTTGTGCTTGAGCCAGCGCAGAATGAGAATCAGAATAACGATGGTAGACACGAATCCAATAATGACGCCAATCGGGATTGCGTTTTCGTATGCCATGGCGCAATGGAAGGCTTCGAGTGTGAAAATGACCTTTGGCGGTTGCTGATCGCTATTGTGTAGATTCTCAAATTCGTCGAGGTAGTACATAAAAGGTGGAATGGTCGTCTGCGAAATGTCAGAAGTTTTATATTAACCATGAAAATTGGTGTAAGGATTACCAGATAATCAGAGGATGTCTATTAAGCAATTGGATTGAGGCTGAGAATCAGTAAATACTGCAATGGCGACAGAGAATCGTGGGCGTTTACATCTCTTATGTAGCAGCTACACAAAACAGTAGATCATGGCCAACCAGGCAGTGCAACAGGTGTAGGGAGCCTGAAACCCTTCGGATCAGGCCCGCAATTTGCGCTGAATCGAAATCCTTGTAAACCCCAGCGAATGATGTTGAGTGTGGACGGGACGATCAAAATATTCACCTCCCCACTCTTTCAACGACGGTACCGATGGGCTGACGAGTCCAAATGTACATCAGAACAGTTGCATGACCGCTTGCAGAGAATTCAAGCGAGGAGTTTTATCCTTGCTGAGAATCATTGAACATTGACCTCTAGGTAAGCTGATCAACCCATTAGCTGCGCGACCCTCTCAGCTGCGCGTTTCGCGATTTCCACGCTCAATCAACATAACCACTTCCCCCTCAACTCAACCAATAACCACGTCGTCGCAATGGATCAACGCGAGCAATCTATTTAATCGGCCGTCGAAGATTTCAACAATGGCGTGTTTTCATCGATCCGAGCGACTACGCGCGCGCATGGCATGGCCGAATCGACGCTCCGTTCGCGTCTAGCTAGCACAACGAATCGACGTATAGCACACTAACACCGTAAGAGATTATCAATTCGATAAGAGGAGTTTCTCGTTACATAGATACTTAAATAAGAGGTATAAGGCTTCCCTCCCTTGCATGCTCGTTGTCGCAAAATAGCCACCCGAATTTTAGCGATAAATGGCGATACCTAGCTACTTAGAAAGAAGTTTATTACTAAGTTAATCTAAGATAATCTAAGTATTGCCTTAGTTATTAGAAGGCCTATTAATTATGAGCATATTAATAGAACACACCCTAAAGTAATATAGAAGTTCTATACTTTATATAAAGACATCGTCCGCCGCTATAAGATTTAGCTATGTAATATATGGAATATGGATAAACATAGCATTGCTTTAGGTGTATATACCAATTCCTATATCCTTAGATCATTAAAGAAGAAGTACTTATATGTTAAATCACTAGAATTATGCAAATAGGTCTTAATTATTAAAGTTATATCCCCTATAAATAGATTTATCTATCCCCTTATGATTTTTAAGGGTGTAGTACTACAAACTAGCTATTTTCCTATAAGTATACCTAACTAGGAATATACAAGCTCTAAAAATAGCTAGACTACTAATAAGAAGGGGTTATCTTAGTTAAAAACCATGTTTAAGCTAGAAACAAGGCCTAAAAAAGATATCTAGCGTCTTTTTATTCTAGATGGCCATAGCAGCTATATAGCCATTAATTTCCACTAGTTTGCATATTAAAATAAGATATATCTCTTATTTCTACCTACTTATATAAGCCATGTATTATAACCTTTAGATCTTAGTGTTTTTGCACCTTTGAAATTAAGATACTAATCTTAAATTGCAGATTTGGCTTTGCTAGATAATGCCTTACCTATTAAGAAGCAACGCTTTATTACTTACTATAATTTAGCTTAAAGAGAGACATTTACACCTTGCCTATTATATATAGGCTAGCAAGTAGTAGGTCTCTATCTATTTAACCCTTTAAAAGGGCTAAATTCTTCCTAAGTTTAGGCTTTAAAACCATGTTAATCTACACTACTATAAACCTAAGAAACCACTTTAATTTTTAGCATACTAAAGAGCTTACAATATATACATTATACTACTTAATTAATTCGTAAAAAATCAGGCGAGAAATAGGCACTATACTAAGCCTTATATAAGGCTAGCTATGTAATTAACTATCTTAACGCAAACTAGGTCGCTCTATAGCACCGTAATAACTAACTCGAGGCTCAACTTAAGCAACTAGCTACTAAGAAGCGCAAGAAAGTTCCTATAAACCTAAACACTCAATTCGCGAACATTTAAAACATCATGCGCGCGAAAGAGGCCCTCGTATAATAAGAGGCATAAGAGGCAGCAAAATAAGCGATATACGACGCATCTGCTGCTGCGCGCGAAGTCGCTGAACAGAGCTTCGAATCGCTACAATTTGAGTGGCAGATAGATAACTATTGATGTATATACAACGAGTTCAATTGAAGCCTCTCAGCTGGTGTGCGACGCTCAGCTGCGCAGCTAAGAGGGTCGCGCAGCTAATGGGTTGATCAGCTTACACAACAATTGTATCTTGTTGCAATTTGTCGAGACAGAATTGTAAGCGTTCCACTCATATTTACAGTTCATCTGTTAGAATGACTATACGTTAAGTACGGACAAGTTTGATCCGAGAGAGAGCGTGAATGTACGTTGTGGATATAATCAGCTTCGCAGAGCATGGTCTAGATACAAAGAAGGAAGAGCTAAGGTGTTTTGAGAGGCAAGATTGAACGTAACAATGAAGCGTAATGAGCTCTGGCAAATGCATTTTAAATATCCCTCAAGATGCTGAGAGAAGAGGAGCAGCGTCAATAGAATAGATGCCAGCTGCGATCCGAAGAAGATATATAGAAAAGCAAAGAAAAGAAAATCAAAATGAATGCGCCAAATTCAGCTCGTAGAGCCATTGGCTCATGATCACATCATAGCCGATTTTGCCTGAGCCTTGCCGATGCAAAGCAATGTCAAAGAGATAGACGTAAGTAAAGTCGTGATAGCAAAAATAAGAAGCGCAAGCCGGTGGATGAAAGGTTCAAGAAAGCAGTAAACCAGTGCTGGCAGGTGCCTGCGACAGCTAAGCCGACTGCTTCAAGTCTTGGTTGATGCTGTCTGGAAGGATAGGCTGGTTCGAAGTCTTCTGTTGCTTGTACCAAACCTTGCAAACGAAGATTGCAGAGACTGCGACTGCCATGATGCCCAGAATGCTGATGATGGGAACCTCGACGGTCTGAGTAATCATGGTCACAAGATAAGTGATTGCTGCGAGTTGTCAGAGAACGGGCATTATAGCATGCAACATCAACATACTAATCGAAAATCCGAGCGATGCAACGACCGAACTTCTTGCGCGGAATGGGCCCCAGGTGTCAAGAGCAGCAAATCCGAGACACCAAAAGATAGACAGCAGCACAATCGAAATACAATCGAATGGTATGCCTGCGAGCGAAGCTTCGAAGACTTGCTGAACAACTCTGGTAGGGAGGTTGTGAATGTCATTGTGAAATTCCGAGACGGTTCTGGCGGCGTCTGTCACGTTTTCGGTGACGGCCGAGATGGCTTCTAGAAGCATATTGGTTCTGTGTTGTAAGGCTCTTGTTGTCTCGGTGTTATGAGCCAGAGCGAGTGCGAGTTGCTTGTTGTCGTTAGCGGCGAAGAACAGAAACGTATGAGATCAGAGACTCACTTGGTTTTGCTGAGCCAGAGCCACTGAGGCCGCCAGTGAGTTGTCATGAGACTGATCGATCTTGATAGCAATATCAAGAGCCTGACTAAGGTGGTGTGTTACATCTGCCTGTGCTTCCTGAGCTCGGTGACGGTGGTTCTCAAGATCCGAGGTAATGTGAGAAGACGCCTGTGAGTAATCAGTATCAGAACGAACTCTCCGAGGCACGCTCAACCCACCTTGCGGACTCTCTCGACATCGCGGTTCAAATTCTGGATGTTATCGTCAAGCTCGTGGATGTTGACTTGAAACTTTGCCCACTGTTCAGCGATGCGATTCTGCATGTCGAGATCTGTGTTCAGAGCAAGATGGAAGGACTGCATGTTCTTGCCCATCTCAGTCCATTGTCTCTCGAACATGCGATGCTCCTCAGTCGTGTCCGCCATGACGTTGGATGCCTCCAAGACTGCCTCGAGCATGAGCTTCACCTTCTCAACCATGTTGTCTGATTTCACGCGTCAGCGAAAGATTCTCACGAATAGGAAGTTCAGGCCGCACCCTTGTCCAGCTCGGCTCTCATTGAATGACAGAGTAGCACTGCGTTCTGGCGGGCATTTGAGTAGCTGGTCCACCACACTGGGTTAGAAGAAAGTGAAGCCGAGCATTGATCAAGATCTCTGTTGTCATCGAAGTCGCGAGGAGCTGTGGACTTGGAAAAGCGACCATTGACGATAAAGCCTCGAAAACCATTGAACTTGGAAGCTTGCTCGACAGGTCTGAAGGGTGAGCAAGATGAAGGAATGTTGGCGTTGGCATCCATGAGTTCACAGATAGCCAGACGTGTAGCGTAGATCGACTTTGAGCGTTCGAGCATCACGTCAATGCCTTTGTTTGTGTCGAGGGTGGTAGCATGACCGATCTCTGAGCAAGTGTTGAGCAGAGCCTGAGAAGCCAGCTTCTGACATGAAGGAAGCTTCTCAACCTTGTGCATTGTGTTGATGATGGTGTGCATGCCTTCAGTAATGCGAACCTTGTTGGAAGAAAGTTCGATGCCTGTAAGATCTTGAAGATCATGAACCTTGAGGGCTGGTTGGAAGCCCATGCAAGGGAGAAAGAAGAGAAGAGAGAACAGCAGCATGGCCAGCATGTTTGCGTTCACGATCAAGGTCACGAAAGGAAAGAAAGATGATTGACTTCAGATCGTTGGGCCTGAATGAAAGGAATGGTGTTGGGAGCAGGAAGGAAAGAAGGAAAGGGGGACACAAGATCGGAAGAGATCTTTGCAGTGACTGACTTGTCACAATAGACAATGGTTGAATAGACAACTTGTCAAAGTCAATGTTGCAATTGTGGTATTGACAATGCGGAATGGTGAAGCGCGTGGGATGCGCGGAGTCGGCGGAGGTTGCGGAGGAATTGGTTGCCAAGCTTCACTCGGGGCGGAGCTGGAAAGTCGGTTCGCCCTTCATTTGTTTCTCCAGCGAAACATTGTGTCTGTCGCGATACACATCTCGTCCACACTACACACCATGTTCACTCCAGCAAGGCGGCGCTGTGTCAGCGCAATCCAGAACTCTCGCTCCGCAGAAATTTCCATTCCGGCATTCCTCCTCCCAGCCTTCCAGCAGCAATCCTCGTCCTTTTCTACCTCGTCGCCATGCCAGTCAAAGATCGGTAGCGCACCGCTATCATTGCCTCCGGATGTCAAGTTCAACATCGTCGAAGCGCCTGTCCAGAAGAAGGGTGCTAGAGTCAGCCGTACACAAGAAGGCGCTATTGTCCACATTGAGGGCCCTCTTGGAAAGCTGTCTATGCCCATTCCCGCATACATGAACATTGTCTCGGACGAAGCAAAACGCACATACAGCTTGAGCATTCTGGACCAGGAGGAGAGAAAGCAGAGAGAGATGTGGGGTGAGTGAAAGATATCATCAAAGAGCTAGGACTATGTGTCTGACATACTTCAAAGGAACCTGCCGCGCATACTTGCAAAATCACATTCTTGGTGTTAGTGAAGGTCACTCTGCCATCCTCCGTCTGGTTGGTGTCGGTTACCGTGCAACCGTCGAGAAATCCGCCGTCACAAAACAGCCCGAATATCCTGGCCAGGAATTCGTCTCTCTCAAAGTTGGCTACTCACATCCCATTGAACTCGGCGTCCCCAAGGGTGTGAAGGCGAGCACTCCCCAGCCTACACGTATTCTGCTTGAGGGTGTCGAGAAGGAGGTTGTGAAGCAATTCGCTGCCGAGATCCGTGCATGGAGAGTACCCGAGCCCTACAAGGGAAAGGGTATTTTTGTCAACGACGAAACCATCAAGTTGAAGGCCAAGAAGATCAAATAGACGATTCGCTTCTTGCACTATGTATTTACTGTACGATATCTATTCCGAGAGCTGGATCTCATGTTCGAACGGCCTTTCCTTTTCCTGAACTCCGTAGCGTGAAGCAGCAAAGGTGGAGGCGGGACGAGTGCCCGCTCAAAACTGTGACAGTGATTGATGCACGAGTGTCGGAAAGTCTTCAAGTGTTTCGCAGGGTATCATATCGGAGAATAAGCTGCAGGGGAAGGGCCCGAAACGCGACTTACTTGCATGTCGATAGAGGAGTGCCAAGGCCGTGAATTTTAGTCACCTTAATCATTTGATTTCTTCAGCAAGTTATTCAGGGAGTTCTTTAACATAAGCACACCCGAACATCTTGTTTTGATCAACATCCATTATTCAGCTGAAGAGCTCGGTAGATCTTCTTGCATCATATCGATGATGGTCGGTCGTCTAAAGAGTTTTACCCTTGGGTCTCGTATCGCAATATTGGCTCGAACTGGTTTCACCATTGCACCAATGAACTTCTGCGACGCAAGCCACCGTGGTTAAAAAAAGCAGCATCCAAGAGGGATCCCCAGACGGCTACCTCGTACCTTGCAGACCACTTCCAATAGGCGCGACTACATAGGCATTCTACACCCCCTCCTTTGCAAACGGTAGGTTATTAGTCGACCAGCTGAAGCAGTTTCCTGTGACGATTTCTCGCTTCCTGCTCTTGACGAGCTACATTCCTTTTCAATCTGATTACTTTGCTTCCTGTCGCATACTGGTCGCATTCTCTTTTACACCTTGATACCTGATAACGACATCTTGTATACTCTACCATAATGCTCTCAGATCTATTCCTAAGTCGGTCGCGGACTCAGCTGTATGGATATGACAAAGTTCGCGTACCTTTCCACGCCATTCGCGCTGCACAGTTGATCTCCAGTATCATCGTTGGCAGTATAATGGCATTCTTCATCTATCATCTACAACACGACAACTGGCCGACACCGTGGACCTTCAAAGTGGTACGTTCAACCTTGCAACTTCTAGATGTTTCGAGTCACTGACTTTTACCAATAGCTTATGAGCGTTTCGTGGATTACGATAGCTATCCTGGCTGTTACCATCGCCCTCCATCTGCGTGTCGGTCTCAATCCTCAACTCAACCTCATTCTCAACTCCACTGTCTTCGTCATTTGGACTATTGGATTCGGCATGCTGTCTTGGTGGATGTGGGGCACTCTTACACACTATTGCGACGTCAGTCACTGGAACGACGGCACTGGCATTATGGTCTGCAAGATCTACAAGGCTCTGTTCAGCTTTGCGCTGCTAGGACTGTAAGTATCGACTTACCCACACTGGTAATGGCATCATCTGACCAACATACAGGATCTCTACTCTTCTGGCAATCGCACTGGATATCCACATCAGCCGCATGAACACTCTACGCGGCCAACACTTCCGCTTAAACATCTTCGGCGACAGAAAGACCAGCGAAACTCCTATGAATGGCCCATACACCGATGTCAACTCCCGATCAAACTCACAAGACGATCTCAACCACTCGAACGAGAGTCTACCACACGTTGCAACCGGCGATGCATTCGAGATTCCCAAGACAGGATCGCAAAAGACTAGAGCAGGATACACGATTCCGGAATCGCAATTTGACTATGAGACTGGATATTTCGGAGGTCATGCTGAAAGAGTATTTGGCGCAAAGTAGAAAGAGGAAAAGAAGGCTAGAGGCTGTTTCTTCTTGGGTCAAAAATGAGGATAAAAGATGGGAGAACTATAACGCATATCATGAACTTGGTCGTCCTTAATACGGCGGAGGCTGGACCCTCCAAGAGTCTGGACGACCGCAAACAAAACCTGCTCTGTATTACAAGCAGTAAACAATACACCATTTACTACACAAAATCCTGGTTTCTCAGATCGTGAAGTATCATGGCCTGCGTCAAATCACCAGTCACTAAGAACGAACCAATCAATATCACCTCCACAGCTAACCCAGGCAAGTCACTCACCCCTTCACTTTATATCCCAACCCCACCGCCCTCCCCCAACCAGCCACCATCGCTTTGTCGACAAGCGGTGGATTGGCCCAGCGGTGTTGCGTCAGCACCATCGCTGGAAGGTCATCGGTTCGACTCTCAGAGTCGGACTGTAGGGAGTCTGCTCCCTTTCACTCAGAAATGAAACCAGTCTAACTGGTGGCTTTCTCCCCGCTGATTAGGCTCTATACGACTGAGCCTTGGTAGCGGGGATTTGTTTTGCTGGTTTCGTAGGGAGTGGAACGGGGGATTGTGAGATGGAGGTGGTTATTCTGTTTTTTTTTTTTGACTTGAGTAGTCCGGATCTTTTGCGCACACCACTTTTGTTTAGAACCTGCTTGCTTTTAGAAGGTAATCTGCAGTTTCTTTATCGTGGACTATGTGACATGTGCTCTTTTAAATAGCCCAGATTGTTCTTGAGCACTGCATCTTTACTCATAAGTGAATCGTTCATCTTTCTCCTACGGTAGTATCATACTGTCAACCTCGAAAAATGAGATCGGAATATTGAAACCATCACACCTGACTACTTCTTTCCGTCGATAGCACTAGCGTTCATCCCACAACTCCCTGAACCTAGGTCCTTGTTGCTGCAACAAGACCTTAGGATTGCCATACTCGACCAGTCTGCCTGCATCCATAACACCTACAAAATCAAACCCAGCAATGGTATCTAACTTATGAGCCACCGAAATGATAGTGTGTTCAGAGAACTCCTTCATAATGAGAGATTGGATGTTGATGTCCGTTTCGGTGTCAATACTGTACAAGTTTGTCAGCTTTTCGGATGTACACGATATATTTATTATTCTAATGCGCATCTCCTAGAATGCTACTCTCGTCCTCACCTCACCGATCTTCTTTTCCACTTCTCTGACTGTGCACAGAGGTCCGAGAAAAAATAGGGAAGGGACGAGTACTAACCTGCTAGTGGCTTCATCCATCACCAACACCTTGCCTTGATCTTTTCTTAGCAAAGCTCTGGCAATGTTAAAGAGTTGTTTGGATCCTTGACTCAGATGTACATCTTCCATCTTGGCATCGAGTCCTCCTTTTGCATCGATAGCTTCCCAAAGCCCCGTCTGTTGCAGCACGTGGACCATGTTATGGTCCTCCATGGTCGTGGAGTCGAGTGCAAGGTTCTCTCTAACGCTTTCTGGAAACAGGAATGGCTCCTCTGCAACGCAAATCAGGCGGGCGCGTAGTGTTTCCCGATGGATGGTCGATAGATCAAGACCGTCGATGGTGATGTTTCCCGACTCTGGTGTTAGAAGATTGAAGAGCGTCAAAAGGAGAGAGCTTTTGCCGCTTCCTGTCCGGCCACAGAAGCCGACTTTTGAGCCTGCTGGAATAGAGATGGAAATGTTGTCAAGCGTCATTCTCTCGCTATCAGATCTTCAACGTGTTAGTGTGAGACAACAATAATATGTAGTTGTTTCGAGACTGACTTGTACTTCGCTGACAGATGGCTAATTTCAATCGAGCCTCGAGTCGGCCAATCAAAAGGAGGATCGTGGGTCTCGCTTTCTAGGTCCTCAGCAACCGTCTCCTTCTCGAACTGCCTGATTCTAGCCACTGCACCAAGAGAACTCTCAAGTTGCGTCCAGAACATGATCAAGTACTTGAGGTTAGTCGTGAACGAGATGATCTGTGTAAGTGCAACACCTGTGAAACCAGGCGAAGAGCTACCTCGCAGGCCGACAACAATACCTACAGTCAAGACTGCGATACCAGTTATGACCAACTCAAGTACAAGTCCTAGCCAGTTCTTTAGTGCCCAAACCAGATAGTTTGGTTTTTGAGAACGGTCTACGATCTCGAAGTTGTGTTCGATGGATGGTCTGCTCCAGTTGAATGCGCGGATGGTTACCAGCCCATCGAGAGTCTCCATGAATTGTGTGCTGTTCTCAACATTAGCATTCAAATGCATTCAAGACTCGTGAAAAACTTACTACACTGGAGCCTTTTCCTCAAGGTCGAGATGTCTCATCTGTCTGGAAGTTCTCAGGTAGACTCCTTGGATAAGGTAGAAGACGAGACCCAGTGCTGGAATACTGATAGCTATCCAGGCGGAAGCTGAAGCAATCAGTCCTACTTGGGCGATACAAGTAAGAGTCGCTATGACGTGTCAGTGATAAACTTCATGACTGATGTCAGGTCGCTTACTGGTTGTAACCACCATGACAGCCAGAGGCAACGATATGTCGAGCAATTGTATGTCTTGGCTGAATCTGCTCCCTTTTGAATAATCTGGTTGTAGTGTAGGCGTGTAGCCTGTACGTACCTCGTCAAGATAGTCCCGCTGTCGACTTTACTGAAGAATGATAGTGGAGCACTGTAGATTGTCAGGCCTCAATCCGTTGGGATGAACAGTCATCTAGACATACGACATGACAGTCTTAGCAAGAGTATTATGAAGCTGAATACCTGTCTTCACGGCCATCACATTGAACGACCACCTGGCCTCGTGTCAGTAGAGTCTCATGTCTGCACTTTCCCCTGGTGTCTGTACATACCAAGTGACAGCTGCAGAAAGTGCTAAAGCCATGATCTGAAGCGCCGTGTAAACGCCAATATAGTAGCCGTATCTTGAGTGAGACTCTTGCGTATCCGCATCTGCCCACCATTTGAGCCAGACCGCTTCTTCTGTTAGCCAGTACACGATTGCCGAGCACACGGAGAGAATTGCTTACTAGGAAATGTGCAGAAGAAGGCATATGCGAGCTGTAATAGGAGGAAGATTGCTCCCACTGTCCAACTGATGCACGCAAAGTAATACTTGTAGATGCCAAAGTCACCTCTTTGACGAGCTGCTTCCAGGACCTTGTCGTCCACCTTGCTTTCGGTCACAGCGACATGTGTCTTACCCGTGCTTGCAGGCTTTCTAACTCGTGCAGGATCTGGTGTTGTATTCTCTGCTGAATTAGCTGCCATCGAGGTGATGTACTTGGTTGCGTCGTTCCCCGCAGCACACAGTTCCTGGAAGGTGCCCTGTCCTTCGATTATGCCGTCTGAAGAAAGAACGACAATGTGGTCCGCCTTGGGTAAGAACTTGATTGCACCAATCGTCATGATTACTGTTGTCTTCCGTCTTCGCAGGAGACCTCGTTGTCCCAAGAGACGTTCAAAGATAATGGTCTTGGTGCTCAAATCTAGTTGGCTGAAGACGTCGTCGAGAACAATGATAGGACATCTCGAGTAGACAGCACGAGCCAGTGCCTCAAGAATGCGTTAGTAGATATCAGCAGTTACGATCATAACTTAGACTTACGATGCGTTGTTTCTGCCCGCCACTCAACGCGAAGCCTTTACTGCCGATCATGGTTGCATCGCCTTTCTGCAATGCTTCTAGATCGCTATCCAAATCACAGGCGTGGATGACCGATGAGTAGAGTTCCGGGTTAAACTCAGAGAAAGTCGTAATGTTGCGTTGAATAGATGCGTTCTATGAGCAAAATCAGTGGTTGAAATATAGACATCGACGAATAGCGAGAACTCACCATCAGCCAAGGAGATTGCTCGCACCACGCAATACTAGAGCTCGAAAGCTCAACTCTTCCTTCTGTCACAGGTGTTTCACCAAGTATTCCCTTCAGCAATGTAGTCTTGCCACAAGCGACAGGGCCAGTGATCATGACCAAACTGGAAAGAGGTACCCTCAAGCTGACATGCTTTATGGTCAATTGATCACCATCTTTCCAGCCGAAGGAAGCATTTTGGATAGACACAGCGTTGTCGGGATTCGGCTGAGAGGATACGATGGTTCGGGTGTCACATCGTGCTGAAGACTGTAAGAAAGTTTCCAGACGCGCAAAGCAGCCAATTGCCGAACGAAATTCGATAAGACCATTGATCAGCATGAACAGAGGCTCAGATGCAAGAAGAATGAGAGCCAGTGATGTGAACAACTTGGTTGTATCGATTGCAGTGTGGTCCTTGAACGAAAAACCGACGTAGATTGCAAAGGTCAGGACAGGGGCCATAAGCTGAGGCACGTTTCCTATATGAACCATCTATTAGGCGTGTCCCTTGATGATGTTACGAATGTTAGCTTGACAACCACATACCTATAGCAGCTGAGATGGCGGAAAGGGTGCGAAAGCGCGAGGCAGCGTCAAGTTCGTGGACACGAGATCCACGCAGAAGACTCCCAACCCTCGAGGTCAACCCAGAAAGCTTGATAGCTTTCATGGAGCCGAGAATTGAGGTAGTGATGCCTGACAAAGATTAGCACTTCTCTTTTATGCTTCTTGAACACAGGACTTCTCATGACCTACCAATCCTCTCTTGAACTTTGGCAATCCACAAGAGCTGGAACGAAGCAGTGTAGCCAGAGAACCATATAGTAGTACCTACTGCGACTAGACAGTAGTCAGTACAACGAAAACGCACAAGTCAGCAAGACGGGCACTTACTCAGAGCGATAATGACAGGACCCACACACGCAGCACCAAGCTCAATCTCAAGCAGCCATGTGGCGATAGCAACCTGGACGATGTTTGCCCACATCTCGTGCAAATCGATGAGACCGCGAGTAGCACGCTCAACATCAGTGCTCATCAGAGTAATCGAAGCTTTGTTGTCTTTTGCCATAGCGACGATGTTGGTAGCTTTTGCATAGACTGCTGTTATGAGCGTTCCACGAAGCATGCTTAAGAATCTGTAATGTCTGTGCCAGTAGAGAGCAGATGTGGTCTATATCGAGTATTAGTCGGCAAAACAGACTGTGGTGTTAGACATTGTACTCACTGCCAGACCGACGTATACAACGAAATAAGCACCGATCAGTCCATATCCAATGTTCTTATCTTCCACGTCCGAATGCTTAAGATAATCGAGTAGCCTCCTTAGGAGCAGTGGCTGACAGAAGGTGAGAGCCAAGAGTCCCAGTCTAGGAACAATAGGCACAAGTATCGGCCACCTGAGCAAGGAAAAGAGAACCTTTTTCAAGTTCGGGGGTCCGCTTCTCAATTCTAATAGAGTTGTGAGCATACTGATCAGCCACAAGACGAATGCTGTACTCACGTTTGTCCCATTCTTGTGAGAACCGGAGACTGAGTGTTTCGGATGCAACATCGTCACTGACGGCATACAAATCCTCTGGCTTCAACAAATGACGAGCGCCCTGCCAAATTAGACGGTTCAACCACGATAAAAGTGCTTGACCGTAGATACCGCTAAAGTCTTCCGGACTCATATTCCTCTCTGCACTGTAATATGCTCTTTTACCCCTAGCCTCTAGCAAAAGCACCACAGCTTTGATAGCAAACGCAACCGTGAAGATGTTGCGAATGCGATCAGAGAAATGTGGCATCAACCACAGCGTTCGGAGTGTGGCAGCATCAAGTATGACGGTAGCGAAGAGGTAGGCATTGAGTAACATGGATGGCCGAAGGGACCTCGAATGTTCCATGTACGACAAGGTGAGAAGAGCAATACTGGACCCGAAAGAGAGCACCGAGGCTGCCATTGATGGTTTCCATGCCTGCAGGTGTGTATTATCCGCGAAGAGGCCAATCAATGCCAACTGAAAAACAGCAAGTACTGCAATGACCGACTAGAAAGTCGTTGTCGTGAGCAGCAGCTTCCGCTTCAAAGTGACTTAGCAACCCACCAATTTAACATATTTGAACGCATTGCCTTTGACCTTAGGCCGCACACGACTAAGAGTCCTGAATCTCAATGGAGCAAAACAAAGCAACAATACAGAAGGCACAATGGAGAAAAAATAGGACTCGAAGGCATAAGTAAAATCAAAGCCTTGTCGACAACCTTCGACCGCAGGCCCGAAAGCGCTGTCAGCGGCCGGCGAGCAGACGGCAGAACTCATGTTGTGTGAATGCAGAAAAGCATAGGAGAGCAAGTTGACAGTTGCTTTGAAGCTCTATAAAACTCAGAAGACAATGAAGCAGGACTTATCTTTTTTCCCTAGTAACAAAATTGTAGCCTAAACACATCGAGCTATCGCGACGACGCGGAGGGGGCGTTTTGTGGCTGCATGAGATAGGAAGGTCAGAGGCCTCAGAGTGAAATAATAGGTCTAAGCCGTCGAAGGGTTTGGATTGATCGCCGCTGGACTATATTTAGACCATTGACAGCAAGCGGATGATATGCAGTCTTTGATAATGAGCTATCAATGAATGTTGTCGAGAGGGTTTGGAGCAGGAGAGCGGTTGGAATCAGACAGATAGGAGTCGTGGCCGAAAATCTCTCTGGCGTATGCTTGATGTGTTATGTGCATACACAGCCGTGTGTCTCATATCAAATGGGGTTGTGGTCTAGTGGTATGACATCTTCTTAGCATTGCTCTTCGAGCAGTCCTGAGTTGGAGAAGGTTCTGGGTTCGATTCCCAGCTACTCCATTTTTGCTCTTCTTCCATCCTCATGGTGATAAGAAAGATCAATTGTTTTGCTCGTCAAGAACATACAATCATCGGTCGATTTGATGTTGTGGCTGAAGGAGTGAAGCAAATTTTTTTGGAAAACTTTGAACTGGAGATAGCATGCCATATATACACATTCCTACTTTTAAGCTGGTATCATAAACCTCATATTAAATCATCTATTGCTTGGCCGAGAGCACACTGGTGACAGCCTCAAGGACCTTGGCGTGAATAGCCTTGGGTGCAGCAACAACACCCTTGTTGTTCTTCAATGTTCTGCCAACTGAGAAATCAAGACGCTTGCCTTGAGCATCGGTGACCTCACCACCAGCCTCGCGCACAATCAGGTCACCAGCAGCGTGGTCCCAGATCTTCTCTTGGTAGTCCTTCTTGACGGGGAGACGGAGGTAGATGTCACCAGCGCCACGAGCAATGCTGGCGTACTTTGCTTGCGAGTCCATGCGGACAGAGGGCTTGGTGATGCCGAGCTTGGAGGCAATCTGAGCTTGGTCACCATGAGCGCTGTGGGCAGCTTCAACAGACTCGCAGAAGGTAGCGTTGCTAAGCTGGTCAACGGTCTTCATGGAAATAGGAGTGGCGGACTTGAGAGCACCACGGGTCAGAGGACGGCTGTCGGCGCCCTTGCCGAGGATAGCAGACATGAGGACACCCTTGCCCTCAGCATCAGTGGCATTGGCACCAAGGTCTTCGGTCAAAGGAGCGCTGTCGTCGATGGGAAGGTTAGGGCATCCAAGGACACCAACCTTGACGTCGCCATCGACCATGAGGGCGAGGCAGACTGCATACTGGCCACCACGGAGGAAACCCTTGGTACCGTCGATAGGATCAAGAGCCCAGATACGGCCCTTGTTTCCACCCTGGCTAGCACCCATGTCAAGAACGTCGAGCATGCGGTCGTCGCTCTCAATGGGGCCTCCGAGGGTCTTCTCGGCAGCATCGTCGTCAAGCTTGGCTGCCTGAACCAGATCCCATACAGTCTTCTTGAGGTCGGCATTCTCGCGCAAGTCCTTGGCCTCCTCTTCACCAACAACCTCGTCGTCGGGGAAGTTGGCCTTGATGGCAGCGATGATCAGTGCTTGGGCACCAAAGTCGCCAATGGTGACAGGCGAAGCATCTGACTTGTTGAGAGTGCCCTTGGCATGGCTGTGGAAGACCTGCTTGGTGAGGATAGCAGCGCGTTGGACAGCGAGGAGGGCAACGTTGAGCTCTTTCGAGTAGTCGGTAGACATGGCGGCGGTGTTGGAGTAAGCTCGTGAGGGATTGATGTGGCGTGCGAGGAGGCGGAGTCGAGGGAGGAACGGTGTAAACAGTGAAAATGCCAGGATGAAGAGCGAAACGACGAGAATGGGATGTCGACGTAGTGCTCTGGGAATCTTTGGACACGCCATCAGCGCTAATGAATTCTGAAGCTCCGACAGGGGAGTAAGGTGGGGCTGACCTGCGATGGCGGGGTGGGTGTTGTCTTGATCAACGACTTTTTGTCAGGAATTAATCGATTCTCACCATCGGCTCGACGCAGCTACTCAAATCACGACTTAGAAAGCAGATTGCTCAAGTGCCTGCTACAGTGCCATCCTAACTTATCCCTTCGGGATACTCAACTTGGAACTGCAAGACAAGCGACGATTCTGCTCTCTACGATCACGCGGCTTTCAACTTCACCAGTACACAGCAAGAGCACACGTTGTTACTCCTTTGAACGTGCATATCGAGGCAACCTCCTTGACGTCTGAGTAGGATAATACTATTACTACTTCCTCCTCAGACTGCTCACTGCCTCTCATGTGTATGGCTGAGGAATGTTGTTTGACACGACCTTGCTGGAAAGCATGACGCAAGCGGCTCTGCTCGCAACCATGGGTTCAATCCTGTTTGTGCAACTGATGAGCATTCATATCAACCCAGCCTCTCCCTGTTTGTGGCTGGAGGAGAGTAATTCATATGTGGCTCATTCTCCCCCATTCATAGAAATATCATTCTCTTTGATCAAAAATCCACTCCCTCGAAACCATGACATCCTCAGAAGTCGCCCAGAAATCAACACAAGGCCAGCAAGTTGCTGCCAACCAACCTCAATATGCCCGTGAGGAGAAAGAGCAAAGTGCTAGCGCGAGCGCAAGTGCCGGTGTATGTTGTTTTTGTTGTCGAGTTGATGAAACTAGACAGCTGACTCGTCTCATAGCTCAATCTGAATCTTTTTGGCGCAGTCTCAGGAGCCTTCTCCGGCAAGTCTAAGAAAGAGAAGCAGCCCGATGGTAGCGAGGTCGAGCACAGAAAAGACAACTCGGCAATCAAAGGTGTGGCCATGGGTAATGGAAGTGCTGCTGGAGCTGCCGACGCCGAGGCGCATGGCAGAGAGATGCGCGAGCGTATTCTCGCTGGCGAGAAGTAACTGTAATGAGGTCCACGACTTAATGACTGGTAAAGGGACGCAGGGAGTCATGATAAACTAGTTGTGGTAATGGCAATCAATCGTCGAGATCATGTTCCATGGCTTCGTACATGGCTTTGTGTATGCTGTCGGTGGTCCGAAATGCTTCTGCTTCTGCGGGCTTCTCTTGCTTTGTGGGTGTCTCGATGCTGTCCGAGATGGCGTTACTGCGAATGTCGCCCAAGACCTGCTGCATGCGATCCTTTGCGGCATTGACACCCTTGATCTGAGTTTTGATCTTGTCCAATTGATCCTCCATAGTCATGATCAGACTCTCGCGTGCTTGGTGAGGACGGTAGCGATTGATCAAGTCGTGCAGGTTGTAGAAGAGAGTTTGCAGGTGCTCGACCTTTTCCGGGCCTTGTGTAGGATTGACAGACAAGGTGCCAACCAATTCGAGGAAGTTGAGAAGTACGGCGCGTGTCAAGGTCTGTAGATGGGGAGTCGGATCGAGGTGAGCAGCATCTGCTGGATAGAGTTCTTGGATTCCTGCTTGGGCAAGCGATTGTGCTGGTTGCGCCAACTGCTCTCATCTATCAGTCTCTTGCTCTTTCGTACAGCCAATATATACGCACATCATGCTGCGCTCCAAAGCTCTTGTAGCGACCATCTGCCGGTGGCTCGGGAGGAATCAAGTATCGCAGCTCGGCCGGCAACGACTCGACATCGACTTGGTTGGTGTTTGTAGCAGCCTCCTTGCGAATCTGGCGGACCTTGGTGACATTCTGCTTGGTAAAGTGCTTGTAATACGGCGGGGGAGTCGGAAAGGCAGCCGACAGCATGCGCGCCTGTGCCTGGTCTGCCATGGTGTTGCTGTTACTGGTCGCAAACTGGTCGTGATTCAAGGTGGAACTGCAAAGGGCCCAAATCTGGGGAGGCAGCCACAGTATCAGCCACATCATCCACTTACTCCCTGACGCCTCCTTGTTCGACTCGCTCACTTGCTCTCTGCGACACTTCACTTTTCAGAGTCAATTATGCCTGGCTCTGAGTCTCATACAGACTCGAGGAGAAGGCCTTCTTCAGGTTCCTTCACCGAGACCATCCTTCACATATGGCGGGAGAAATGTGTACTTGCTCTCCACATATCCGTCTCTATACCATTCCCAACTGACAATATCACAGCAACCATATGCTGCTGATTACATCGGTCTTGCCATAATACTTCCAATCTGGATATGCCTCCAACTCTTCATCTTTACCGAACCTTTTCATCGCATGTTCGCTCTAGATGATCGAAGAATCCAATACCCTCATGCCGATATCGAACATGTGCCTGTACCCTGGCTACTAATCTATGCTGGTCTATTCCCTTTTATCATTCTTCTTGTCTGGAACTTTGCCTTTTCAAGACCACACAAGGCCCATGTTACTTTGCTCGGTTTTGGTATAAGTCTCTTGACAACCCTTTTTATAACAGATGTAGGTATATCCCTATCCTAACTTCTGTCCCACCCACTAAACACCAACAATTCACAGGTCATCAAGAACGCTGTAGGCAGACCCCGACCCGACCTCCTCGCCCGCTGTCAACCAGCCCCCGGAACTCCAGAACATCAATTAATCTCCTACACCGTCTGCACAAACCCAAACCACCACGTCCTCCACGACGGCTGGCGCAGTTTCCCCTCAGGCCACTCTTCCTTTTCTTTCTCCGGCCTCGGCTACCTTTCCTTTTTCCTCCTCTCCCAATTCCGCATTTTGCACCCTAGAGCAGGGTTATATCGCACCCTTGTTGCATTCTCGCCACTATTGGGTGCAGCATTGATTGCAATTTCTCGACTCGAAGATTACCGCCATGATGTCTTTGATGTCGTGGTGGGCAGTTGCTTGGGTCTGGGAATCGCGTTTGGGTGCTGGAGAAGGTGGTTTCCGGCACTATCGAGTAGGGCTTGTGATGAGCCTTATGATGCTTTTGAGGATGGTATTGCTGAACAACAGAGCATGTTTGAGAGGATTAGGGATGAGGAGGAGATGGTTGGCCAAGGGTTTGAGATGCAGAGTAGAGAAGGTGGTTATCTAGGCACGGCTGTGCGATAGACTTGCTCTTCATCAAATAGAGGTTTCTGCAAGCACGCAAGCATCCTGTATCATAAAGTTAACACTGTTCTGGCCGTTACCTGTCTTGATCTCGATATCCCTGTGTGTCTAATCTCTCCAATGGAACAAGTATCCCACTCGGACGCACAAAGTCTTTTCTGTCACTTCTCTTGTCACATAGATGATACAGACTGATAGAAACTTTGTATAAACATTCTGCTTTGTTCATTTCTGCTCTGCGCATATCACAGCGGCTTGATTCTTCTCTCTGGGTATCAACAACATGTGCAATAAAAAAACAAGAACAACGAACGTAAAATCGAAAACTCAAAAACCAGAACCAAGTATCCTACTCAAAACAGAACAACTGAAAAATCCACAAATGCAATGTAAAACCCCTTTTCTTCGATATTCCTTTTTCCCTTCAATGCACCCCGTTCGCTATGCATAATAACAGTAATCCTTCTTCTTTCCTTTCTTCCTTCGTCTTGATGTAATGAAACAATGCTCTCCTTGATTCGTAAAAGAAACGCGTCGAGTAGGATGAACGAATTGACAAGCCTAGTCAAGTTTTGGCGACAATGATGGCGAGCTAAGTCGTGAGACCAGCTGCAAACCAGGTAGATGGCGAGCTAAGCCATGGGAAACCAGCTGCAAACCAGAAAAGTGGCGAGCTAGCACAATGGCCAGCTGCAAACCAGGTGATGGCGAGTTAGTTGTGAGCCAGCTGCAAACCACGAGAACAATGGCGAGCTAGTCTTTGATGAACCAGCTGCAAACCAAAGGCTCCTTAACGTTTTCTTTCGACCGTGTTTGTAGATTTGTTCGTCTGATCTCGCGTTGCTTGGGCGATCTGAGGAGGGTTTATTGGGAGTTGGCCATGGCGGCCTCGAACTTCTTCATGAAGTACTCGTGGTCAAGTGCCTTCAGCTCGGGTGTGTAGATCTTGTCAATCTTGGCCCAAGTTTCGGGTGTCTGCATTGGTGGTCCCAGCTCTGGCCATTTGAAGACTCTTGCTACGGTTGTCTTGGGCACTTGAGCAGCAGCAGCGACTTCCTGAGCTTCTTGGAGAGGAGCAGCAGCCTCCTGGATGTCTTGGGCTGGAGCAGCGACTTCTTCAATGTCTTGTGCAGTATCGATCGGCTGCTGTGGCGAAGCTGGATCAAGAGTGCTGCCATTTGATTGACGCTGGACTTGACGCAGACGCGAAGGTTTTTGAGGCTGGTGCTTAGAAAACTGCAGACGTTGCTTCTCGATTGCTTGTTGCGCGAGCTGCGAGTAGTTGGGAGCAGGTGTTGCGGGGATGGTAGGTGGTTGAGGTGCTGCCTTGACAGGACTGGTAGTGGCAGGTTGAGGTGCGGGCGTCTTTGGCTGGAAGACGTTCTCGTCAAGTCTGATCCTCTTGGTTGGGTGCTCAGGAGCTGGGCGCAGCTGAACCTCATCTTCATCCATCATAACGAAGTCACTAGCATCGTCATATTCGAAGAAAATGTCCACGAGACCGTATGATCCTGAGCCTGCACCCTTGGGCTTTCTGGGGATGACTGCAAGATCGTCGACATTGACAGTGATCTTTCTCTTCTCGCCGACCTTGTAGGTCGATTCACGCTTCTTCAGCTCTTCCACAATCTCGCGACGCTCACGCTCGAGTCTGGCGGCCTTCTCTTCAGCTCGCTCGCGCTCGGCTGTCTTCTGGGCTGCTACTTCGAGTTGTGATGCTCTGAGGTCTGCGTTGGTCTCTTTGGGCTTTGAAGGAGCGTCGCGTTTTCTGCGAGGCATGGAACCTGGCAGCACACCGCGGCGACGAGTGGTTCTGGGTGTCTGACCGTATAGGCCATCATTTTCGACCTCCTGAGGAGCATGGGCAGGTGTTGCGGGTGGTGCCGGTGTTCTAGGCTTTGGAGTAGGGCTCTGCTGCGAAGAAGAGAGGATGCGTCTCTGATTCTTGGATGGTGAAGGTGTAAACTGTTGCTGCTGCTCTGCTTGTTGAGACTGCTCCGGTTGCTGCTCTTGACGTTGCTCTTGAGGCTGCTCTTGGAGCTGCTTGACGGGCGAGAAGCTGGGACGGTGTGAGAAAATGTTCTTCACCGAGCCGAAGAGAGAAGTGAGGCCCCAAGCTGGAGAGGCGGCAGCTGGTGTCTCAGCTGATGCCGAGTTCTGTGATGACTTTTGAGGAGTTTGAGCTTCGGGCGTGCTGCTCTGAGGAGTCTTGTTTTTGCGCTTGTGCTCGCTTGGCGATGGGCTCGAGCGCGAAGGAGTCTGGTTGATTTGTTGTTCTTCACTGGCAGCTTGCTCATTGGCGGCCTGCTCAGCTTCTGCAGCAGCTGCAGCAGCTGCCTCAGCCTCACGCTGAGCCAAGAGTCTCTTTCTGGCAGGTGTTGCAATGGTTCTTTGGTAACGAAGATCTCCAAGACGGTTCATAGTGCGAGGGATCTCGGGTGATGGTTGATGAATGGTAGGTTGCTGAGGAGATGCTTTGGCCGGAGATTGTTTGGCTGGAGACTGCGACTGCTTGGAGGCAGCGAGGAATTGCTCCTCGACTTTGCGCAGGCGCAAGATCTCTCTGCGCATGTCGGCAAGGAGCGCTGTACGTTGACGATCGGTCAGCTCTGGAAGGATCTCTTCATTCTTAATGGCGCGATCCATGAGCGGGATTGATGTGAAAGCAGAAACAGGTGAACGCTGAGGTGGAGATGACTCAAACAACGACGAAGGGAAGTATTCCTTCCAAGCAGGGATGTTTCCAGAGATCTCGCCCAACGGGCTGTGATACAATGGGCTTTGGTTGAAGGTGGGAGTGCGAGGGAAGCCGCCGCTTCTAGCGGAGCGTCTTCTCTTGGAGGAGGTGCGACCAGCAAGGCTTGCAGAGTTGGGAGTCTTTGAAACAGGGGAGATAGGATGAGAGTGTGACAAACCAGCCTCGGCTGTCTCGTTGGCAAGCTGTGACTCGACAGCAGCCTGGACAGCTTCTTCTTCTTGGTCGTCCTCGGAGACAACGCTGTTCTGGGTCTCGTGGTCGTCTTGAGATTGGTCCGCGTCAATGTAGACTTCGACAGACTGCTGGACGAGCTGGCTGACAGTAGGTGACTGTTGCACACTGCGGCTAACGGCAGGTGATTGGTGGACAAGCTGGCTGACCGTGGGTGAGCTCTGAGCACTCTGGCTGACAGCAGGTGACTGTTGAGCACTGCGGCTGGCGGCTGGCGAGGTGTGTAGAGGATTGCGCGTGGCAGCGATGCGGTAGTTTGATGGAGTGACGTATGGTGATGCGTCGACGATGGGAGCGACCTCGACGGGTTGTGGTAGGACGACGCGAGGCGACTGCTTCTCTTCGACCTCGGCGAGAGCAGGAAGCTGAGGCTCGAGGTGCGACTTCTCAAACGACGAGTTCTTGGACTCTGGCGTCTTCGAACGCGAGCTGCGTCTTCTGGGCGCGGGGACCTCGATGGGCTCTTCGAGACTGGCGCTGCCGGCGCGAACAGTGCTGCGAGTTGCGCGTCTTGGGGTTGCGACAGCTGATGCCTTTGTCTTTGTGACGCGAGGCATTGTGAAGGTGTTGGCTATCGATAGTCGGACAAGTCAGCGAACTGCCAGCATGCAAGGGCGAGAATATTTGTTTCTGGAGACGCTGCCGTCGGTCTCGGCAATGAACGGCGCTTGTCAAAAACGCCACGCGACGCTCTGATTGGCTGAACGCCGACCATCGACGAGATAAATGCAGTGAAGGGGAAGACGGGATGTGTGCAGTGAAGACAAAGAAAGTGATATACATGATATGATTTTTTGGTTGGGCCGAGTATTGCGCGAAGTAAACAGACGCGTTGCGTGTGTTTGTTATGGTGATGGTATGAGAGCTTGGTATATAACTTGTAATGGAGAATGCTTGAATGGGATGCGTTTTGATATAGACTTAATAGTATACACAGTAACTGGTATCAACAAGTATGCGTTCTGAGAACAAAAGTTTGTATTGGGAAGAAGAGAGAGAGGGTGCAGGGTTTGCACGCGCCTATATACCTTATACTGAGCTCGGACACAACAACCAGAATCACCACTGGAGAATCACAACCTCAGCTTGGACACCCTAGCAACAGAGCTTTTGCATCAAAACAGGTTCTGAGAGGATCACCAACTCCAGCTAAGCAAGATCAGAACATTGCTTGGTCCTAACTCCTCGCCGAACATAGCCCATAGCGCCGATACAGCTCCCATACCATAATCAACAGCAACGACAAGGAGGAGAGAAGCATAGTGGTAGTCGTCAACACAACAACGATAGATAGAAATAGAGGAACAATCATGCTACGGAAGACGCAGTGCAGTTACATGCCCATGATCATACGACGGGTTGGTGCAGTCGGCTTGGTCTGGTCAATGGAAAGGGGTAGGCACGCGAGGCCTACACCACACTATATCACTGTCGCATTTGATGCACTGATTCCACAATGCGTGAAAACATACTTAGCTCTCAGTCTAGAGAATTGAGGACCTGCCTTTGTATAATGGTGGAAAGGGGGAGACCACCAATGTCGTGATATGGCTGACTGGCGTCGGGAAACCTAAGCCCAAGACGGGATGGCACTTGAAGCCAACTTGCAATTGCTCTCTGTTCGTATATTGCAGCAATGTCCTCGCGGAGTACCCCTTCTATGCTGTTGTGCCACCAAGGCATGCCCCGAACGCCAACAAGATCATTCAACATTCGCAGCAACCACCTAGTCGTGGAACAAAACACTGATACTCTCGCCGTGGTGGACTCTTCTGATGGCCTAGAATGGTTGTCAATGGCTTGTCCCCGACGCGCAACGTCACGAATGACCACTCGAGAAGGCGCAACCCAACTTACCTCGGCGAAGACGTTTCCTACTTCGAGAACCTCCAGCTTCGAACAACGCTTCTTGTTCTCCTCTTGGTCAACGCTGTTGGTGACGACGACCTTGTCAATGGCACTAGCATTGATGCGGTCGATGGCATCACCACTCAGCACGCCGTGAGTAACAAGAGCAATGACCTTGCTGGCACCCTCCTTCTTCAAGAGCTTGGCTGCGCGAGTGATGGTGTTGGAAGTGTCGGCCAGATCGTCGACAAGAATGGCGACACGGTCTGCGACATCACCTACCAGCATCATTGTCGCATTCTGGCGATCGGTGATCTGAGTCGGGCGACGCTCCTACAATGCCGTCAGAACCCCATCTTGGGCTCCAATACGTTTACATCTCCTTACCTTGTGAATGAGCGCGAAGGGCATACCAAGAGCATCGGCAATGGCAGTTGCGCGTTTGGCACCACCAGCATCCGGACTGACGATGACAGCGTTCTGGTACTGAGGAATGTGGAACTGGATGTACTTGCGCAAGAGGTGCTTGCCGTACAAGTTGTCGACTGGGATGTCGAAGAAACCTTGATATTGAGGGTCGTGAAGGTCCATTGTGATGATGTGATCAGCGCCAGCGCAGGTAAGAAGGTCGGCAACAAGAGTACCCGCCTGAGCGACCCATTGCTTGTAACCTCTTTGGGGCTCAAAGTGAGGAGGAGCCTTGTGGAACTTAGCTACAGGCTTGTCACCGTTGGCGCTTCCATTGGTCACGGTAGGTGTGAGAGAATTGTCGTCGAAGTAGTCGGACTTTTCAGAGGAAACGGACTCCATTGTCGAGCGGCGAGGCATCTTGACAGGACTACGGCTACGCTGGCCATCGCCGTTGTCGCGCAATTGCATGTCCATCAGCTTCTTGTGCAAATTCTCCGGGCCACCCTTCATTCCAGCACTTTCTACTTGACCTGGCATAGGCGTTTGAGGTCTGCTGTCGAAGGTGTAGTTGCCATTGCGGTTCAATTGAGTAGGAGCCTTGGCCAGAGGAGCGCCAGTCTTGTTGTAAGGAATGTCGCTTTGTCTCGAGTAGGGGAAGAGAGGAAGAACGGCGGTGACGCGCTTAGCGGACGCGGTCTTGCAGGCCGAGATGGTGATGAGAAGCTCCATCAGGTGGTCGTTGACCTTGCCGCCGCCAGATTGGATGATGAAAACATCCTTTCCTCTGACCGAGTCCATGATCTCGACGCGAGTCTCTCCTACAGCGAACTTGCTGAGGAGGATGTTTGCTGGAGGAATACCGAGGTGGTTGCAGATTGTCTCGGTCAGCTCAGGGTGTGAGCTGCCGCCCAGGACGACCAAGTTGCGGACCATGATGAGGCTGGAGTGTGTAGCTAAGATGGAGGTCTGGTCTTCTTTGTTGACAGGTAGGAGGTCCGGCTGGCCTTATTGACAGACTTCCAAGTTCCTTGCAGTTTTATTTTTTCTGGTCCGGCTTTTTTTCGCTGTCCTGCTGTGGGGAAAGCTGCGGGCTCGCGGATCGATTCACGCAGGCGAGAAGGTGAGGAAGGACGTCGAGGCTGTTCGAGATGAGTCAAGAGCGCCGTCAAGGGATGTGTGAAGAGGGAAAAAAGTCTGACTCCGTCATGGTGGGATGTCGGGATAGAGTTCGCGCAAACTTGGGGTTGAAGGACTTTTGTCCCTCAAGCTTTGGCGCCCCACGCATGCCGCTGCCCGAAGGCAGGCCACCGCTCTCCTGTCGCCCAGTGCTGGTCCCAGCTGCATGTCTCGCCTTGTTCTTGGCTCTGTGCTGCGTTTCAACTGTCATCTGCCTGGTCAGGACCGCTTCTTGTGCATCTTGATGCAGTTTGATCTTCTCACCTAAGCCTCGAGTAATACACTGCCTACGCAAACACCTCGATGGAGTCTCAAGAAGTAAGCATTCTTTTACTGGGCGATGCCGACGTAGGCAAGACCACCTTTCTCTCGTATGTACCACACACGCCACGTGCCTTTTCTAGTCTCCTCCATAGCCACACGGACCTCTCCGCGATGTGACACATTTCTTGCAAATTCAAGTTTCTTTGCTTCTCGTTCTTCGCAATGCTTGAACACAGCATTCAGATTATGACCTGACTGTTCTTCCAAGTCGCCTAGCTCTGGGTCCAAAGAACACCACATCCGCTCTACCTGCTCTACGAGACCTCGACCAACCATTTGCCTTTGAGCTGCGTGGCCGCAAACGACCCTACACCTTGGAGTTCTATGACACATCATCTCCCACATCCTACACTCTACTACGACCCAACCTGATACTACTCTGCTTCTCGATACCGTCGCGAGACTCTTTGAACTCTCTCAAAGGCCGATGGAAGCACATCGTAGAAACGCATTTCAACTATGACGAAACCATTCCTATCATTGTGCTTGGTCTGCAGCGGGACTTGCGGAGGGAGAATGTCGAGGACATGGTGTTTCCACAGGAAGCCTTGAGAGTAGCGGCGGAGATGAGGTGTGATCGGTATTGCGAATGTAGTGCTGTGACGGGCGAGCTGTGTGCTGAGGTTTGGGAGGATATTGTTAAGACGGCTGTTGCGACGACTACTGAGCAGGGTGGAAAGTCTGATCCGCCTGCTTGTATACTGATTTAATATATGAATCTTTTCATCGTATATGCAAAAGAACGAAGAAGGATGTTAGGAGCCTGTTTTCTATTGAGTCGCCGAATTTGGCACCTTTCATCTCCGTAGACAAGATAGTCAGTGGTGGGGGTCGGCTTTACCAACGAGAAAACGCCTTCCAGCATGGGATATGCTCCCTTCATCCTTCTGAACAAGATACCATTCTTTGCAAACCCAAACATTCTTTAATTAGCTCCCTCGACTTGTTCATGAGGTTCGGACAAGTATGTTGTCTAACAAAACTTAACCAGAGATGTTATTAGGATGACCCTGGCCCAATCCTATATTGTCTCATTGGATCACAGGAGGACATCCGAAAACCACAGCGAATGCATTATGCGATGGGAGTATGCGTAGAACTGTACCATGTAGCAATGTATTATACAGATTATGATATTCTCTTGAAAGAGAACGTGGCCAAAATCCCATCATTCTTGAAGAAACCTTTCCAATGAGACGCAAATGCACCAAGCCCACAACATCAGATCAACTCAGACATAATTTACAACCACCAGATGAATCCGAGCATGACAGTGACCAGACCAACGCCCATACCAGCGATTTGTCTGCTAGGGCTAGCCATACCAGTGTGGCTAGCGGTGGCAGCAGTACCACTGCTGCTACGAGTGGCGCTGCCAGTGCTGTGGCTTCCACTGCTAGTCTGAGTGCCAGTTGCGCCTGAGGTGGAGCTAGCACCGCTGGCGGCCTGAGCATCGTAGGTTTGGCCAATAGTAGGGAGTGCGACGTTACCGCTAACCTCCCATGCACCCGAGGTGTAGGCAGGGCATGCAGGAGCAGAGTTGCTAGGAGTATAGGCAGCTTCAGAAACACTGGAAGGAGTAAGTGTCTTCCACTGGTTGCTCAAGTTGTAGAAGTCAGGCGAGATTGGTGTGGGGTTTCCAGTACGGGTGAATCCATCGACAACATTGGCTTGAGTTGCAGTTGCGGCAACCTCAGGACCGTAGGAGACTAGACCATAATCGTTGGTCTCTTGAATCCACTCGTAGATGATCACACCGCTCCAGTAAGGTGACATCTCAGGACCGAAGATAGCGGCCTGGTCGTCGAAGGTTCTGGGCTTGGGAGTGTTGCAGCCGACCTCTGAGAAGAAGATGGGGATGTTGTAATCGGTGATGTTCTGGGTCAACTGCTCGTAACCAGAAACTTGGTAAGAGCTCTCGCCACACCTATTGGGGATTCTGTTAGTACCGTATTCGCTCTCAAATTTGTGTTTGCCGGATTGAAGAACTTACCATTCATACGCGTTGAGGGAGAAAAAGTCCAGAGCATCTGATGAGTTGGTACCGCAAGCAAGGTAGTTTTGGAGGTTGGGACGAAGGGAAGAGATATCTGCAGCAGAGTATCCAACTGGGATGTTGCGGTAGTTCTTGCTGTTGCGGTATGCCTTCATGTCACGAGCAGCGGCCTTGACATAAGGAGCAGCAACAGAGCCGTTTCCAGTGGTGAGAACCTCGTTACCGACAAAGAAACCAGCAGTGTTGTCGAATTGCTGGAACTCATCCATGACCTTGGCGAACGCATCAAACTGAGTCTGGTTCCATGCAGGAGTGTCCTGCTCAATTTGAGTGGTGAAAGTGTCGAGATCCACAAAGAGATAGATTCCAGCGTCCGCGAAAGTCTTCATGCAGTCCTGGTGATCAGCTTCCGGGTCCACATGGTAAACACGGATGGCATTAGCACCCAGAGTCTTCATCAATGATGCATCCAACTGGCACTGGGTGTTATCGACGAGCGGATCATCGGGAACAAGCTGGTAAGCAACACCTATATTTAATATTAGTCTCCCTCAACTCGATTGATGAATACGAAATTTCGCACCTCTAACAAAGTATTGGTTACCATCGCTAGTGAAGAATTTGCTTCCCTTGACCGAGATTGTGGGAATAGCAGAGGCGACTGCGGCGAATGCGATTCCGCATGCAATGCTGAGAGAAGAACGCATTTTGATGGAAGGTAAACTGCTTGGGAAAGAAGCAGATTTGACAGGAAGAATTTGTTTGGTGATAAGAAATTAGAAAAGGTTGATTGATGGCGTTGTTGAGCGGTTACGACGACAAACGAGGTAAGGGGTCGTGGCTTCCTCAAACAAGATGACAACGAAGATGAGCGAGTGACTACTGAAGAAGAATCGAAGAATAGGCCTGCGCAGAGAGAGTAGGTAAACGAAAGTAGGCCGTACTTGAAAGAAATAGAAAAAGTCCTCGGCCACCTTTACATGTATAATCCCAACTTGACTTTAGTCCATGTTTTAGCGGCAGCAAGAAGGATGATCTGGCTCAACCTGAGGGGATCCACTGCAGTTTCATCGCGCACTCTATCCCCATGGAGAGCTGCAGATCTTCTGCTTGTCAAGCTGCAAGCACCCGAACGTGTTACTGCATAGGAGTGTTCTTACTTGAATCTCTCATACATCGTCGCAGATGACATTGACTCGTTGCCTTTCTTGACTGCCGACAGCATTCTTTCTGCGTTGACCTGTCACAACATCAGCAAGTGGCCTGTGCGTCGAAACGTCCTGCGCCAACAATCTCCCGAAAGTGTTTGCAATCCAAGTTTTGAAGCCGCGGCGGCGGCCCTCCTCTGCCGCTGCCTGTGGTTCGCCTCCAGCCCAAGGTTCGTGGTCTGCCAAATCGAAAAGAGGCTGGCCGCACTCGAACCCGAGAGGCCGCGTGGTTCGTTGCAGGTGCTCAGCAGCAGCATTTGTCTCAAGCCGCTTTTCAAGCCTCCAGTGCTTGACACCACGTGCCTACATCAGCCACATAGAGATATCTCAGCCACTTGAAAACTCGGATACGAGAGAACCTCTATGCGGCTTGAGGATCCTCTCAAACCAGCACGGCGAAAACTGGTACTAGCCACCAATTCTGCAAGCAGAGTCAGTCATCTGTGAGTGTTGCGTGGCTAGACCGAGTCCACAGGCACTATTGCCAGTCATGCCAATACGGCCTGATCGTTGTATCTGAAGATGCTCGCCAGTTTGACACTTTGAGCTGTCCATGCGCATCTCTCCGCTGTCTGGTCAAGCGGCATTTTGGCTTCAAGAACTGGTTTTATTTGAGAATTATATGCAACCACACTCGTACGGGTGACAACGAATATGCTCGTACTTCCAATGGAAACTGGTGCTCTTGCGAGTACGAGAACTCTACCAGATCCCGCAAACTGCCGAGGTGAGCATATCAATATCTCGTCTTTCTCATTGCAACACGTGCGAATGCGGTCGTTGTGGACCAACTTTGCTGCACAAGCATAGCAGCCTCAAGACGAAGGTCTTCCTGAGCAAAACACCCCCATTTGCGAGACTGGACATATAGCCTGGCTTCGTCGGCAAATCAAAACCACTCACCCACTGTCGGTTCAATTGGGATTTTCGCTTGCAGCGACCAGTAGTCATTTCACGTCTTCACCCGAGTCTTTGACGGTTGTTCTCCATGCGCCTTTACCCCATGGGCTGCCTCCACGTGCTGGTGCTCATGAAGCCAAAAGAGATCAGCCGGTGATATTGTCTCGCAGAGCAGGAGTCGCAGAGGCCGAGACAGAAAGGACCGGCTGTTCAAGAATTGCCAGCCTTCGCAAATGATCCGTTCTAGATCGATCTTTAGCGCCTGCATTGCATGGGCATCCAGGCTCTATGAACATGCGGGGTCCATTACATAGATTGATCTACCGGAGAGACAAAAGAAGGGTCTAGGTAAGATGCTACAGGCAATATATAGGATGATGGGCACAACATACGTCGTCGATTTGCAACGGTTGCTGGTGTGGAAAACAACAGCGATACCTGTAACGTAAGTTATTGGCATTTGCTCGAGATGGCATTTCTGAAGCGGGCCGACATCAAGGCTCGACGCATCCAGCCTGTCTCCGCAGTGAAACTGTCGACCGGATCTGAAGCCACATTCGTCAGAAGTTTGCCGAGGAAGAGCCATCTCCATCCGCTCTTCAACCGAGGCGGTAAGCCGCGGTGAGACAGGGCTGCCCAAAATGGCAGAAAGCCTTTGAATTTTCGGACCTGCAGCCATGGATGGCACTCCGGTTGGTTCAGGAAGCAGAGCATGCGTAATGCTTGGAGACCCCAAGCAAGGCGATCGTGATAGCGAGTCTTCCGAAGAGCAATCATCGTTCTTTGCTGGGTAATGCCATTGTTCTCTCCGCGAAAAGGAAGCAAATGTCTTTGAACGGTAGGTCCGCAAACGATGCTAGTCGCTCGCTTCTCTGCCTCGAGTCGTGGTCATGTGTCGACATTAAGTCAATGCGCGTTAGGACTATTTCCGCCGGTGAAGTGCCATGACCATAGGTCATGAACCCTGATGAGCATGTTCACATGGCGCAAAAGAGCCAATTTTGATTCTCGGTTTAGAGTGTCGGCGCTAAACGGCCAGCCAGGTATATGTATCAATGAACGCCCTCTCCCTCCCTCTATCAAGGTTTCTCTCATCTGTCTGATGTTCATCGGTCCCCCTCGCATTCAACTGTTACCATCGCCAAGATGCCTTCCACAACATCATGTCTGTCTTCGCCGAATACTACGCCATTCCTCATCACAGTCCAGGATGCTATCTTGTTAGAAGACTCGGAAGGCTTTAGCATACTCCGAGACCACCTTTCAAATGAATGTTGCAACGACTTTTGCAAGGACCATGAAACCGACATTACTGAGGACAAACAGGCCTGGATTCTGATGAGAGACATACTTCATGCTCTGCTCGCACCTGTCGTAGCTCTTCACGATCACACAACAAGGATTGCTCAGAAGTACACCAAGGCTACCAAACCAGAGGATATCGAGTTCGCGTTTAGGAATAAGGGCCGCAATGCTTTTGTTTGGCTCACCTCGTTCTTGGCTGATGACGAAGATTGGTGCCTTAGCAAGAATTGTCCTGCTTGCGTAGTGCAACACGCCTTGGATGCCGAGTTTCAAATCAGACTAATGGCTGCCGCGTGCATGCTTTCTTGTGCAAAGGGCCCTGAACCTGGCCACGGCCCTACTCTTCCTTCATTCGACTTCTTCCTCCGTTCTCTGCGTGATGCCCTCAAGGAAGATGAGCTATGGGGACCTGATTATTACGAATACGTCGAACCGAAGGCCGAAGACTTGAACCTCGGAATGCAGGATTTGATGCGTCAGTGTGAGAAGCTTGAGCTCTCGATGACACCACCTGGAACACCGGAAGACAACCCCCTGCCCTCGTTCTCATACTTCTCGGAGCGCAGAATGTCCCTCATGACCCCGACAAAAACGATCTACCCGAGAAGGCAGTCCGTGGTGCCGGGCATCACTATCAAGCGTTCAAAGCTAGCCAAGGTTCAGATGAAGATGGCACAGGAAGAGGAACAGTGGCTCCAGTCGTTTGTCAACAATGCATGGCAGACACTCAACCCTTTCCAAATGGAGCTGCCCTCGATGAACACGATTGCACGCCGCATGTCGCTAGTTGCAGGCCCCTGAGTGGAGTAAGCAACTGGCAGACTTCCCAAGCAAACAAGACTTCTGGAAGACTTCACATGCAAATCCTACGAGCCCAAACAAGCCACAACCGCGGTGCAATGTGAGCTCTATCGGTCCCAACGAGTTGTCACCACCGGCCGACGATACGCCGACGTGAACAGCATGCCGCGCCCTGCCATTCGGGTTGGCTGGAACTGCATCCTAGCCTTCTCCCATCCAAATATTGAAGCCAATATCACTTCAATAAAATATCCACTCCGGACCGGAAGAAGCGGAGAGGGAGGTTGGGCAGAACAACAAATCGCGCTTCGCTGCTGATAGGGAAATTGGAAACCGACACAGCACGAAAAAGGGCCGGCTTGTTTTGCTTCAGCTTGGCTTTGGGTTCTCGGCTTTGCCAAAGTCGGTAAATCGGTCATTAACTTGCGGCAGAGTCAGCTCCAGCATCGAACGGGCTGAGCACGTTGTCAATGGTTTTCCAAATCATAATTGATCTCATGAACACGGGTTGTTCGTGAGTCAGAGTCGTCAGTGCGACGACCAGATGTAGCAACAAGAACAAGTAGCGTTCTTGAAGCAGTAACGAATGTGACGACCGCATCTCAATTAATAGTAGACAAGTACAATATAGTATTATAACAATGCACCTATTCAAGACTATCAAAGCAATCTATCTCCAGGTGCATTCCTGTAGCATGGACAAGAGAGGCTATCATGCTGCCCAAGCATTTCATGACCTGTTGAGTTTCTGGATGAGAACTGACAGCAACATCTCTGGCCTTGGCATTTCCCCGCCATGAGAGCATCATGAATCTCGAAAGTCACAAAAAATAATGCTCGCTGAAACAACCACATGCGCTCAGCCCTCTGGTCCTTGACCTCTACAGCGAGTTGCTCCTTTCCAGAGTCCAGAATCTCGACACTTGCATCTCGCATTCCATTCAACTATACACGCACAAGCACCAGCACATCGCGCCGAGCAAGACGAAGAAGAATGGGTCTCCCAGACCCAGCAGAAACACCAGACTATACCACCTGGACATCCGAACAATTGCAGAAACGCATTGCAGATCTAGAAGCCCAACTGCGCAACAATCGTATCGCTCCCGTACCTGATCCATCAACTGTCCTTCCGCCAAAGAAGAAACAAAAGCAAGATCGTCCTTTTGATGCTAGTCGCTACAATACCAGACACATTGCGCTAAAGTTTGCGTATTTGGGTCAGAGATATAATGGCTTTGAACATCATACTGGAAATAAAACGCCATTGCCTACAATTGAGGAAGAGTTGTGGAAGGCTTTGACAAAGACACGGTTGATCTTTCCTTCGAGGCAGGGTCAATTGAAAGAAGGAGAAATCGACTGGGAAGGCACAGACTACTCGAAATGTGGAAGGACGGATAGAGGTGTTAGTGCTTTTGGACAAGTCATCGGTATTCGTGTGCGAAGTCTGCAACCTATGCCGAAGGAAAAGCCAGCACAAGAAGAGAATGCAGATGCAATGCAAGGAATTGAAGGAAATGCGAAAGAGCAGGAAGCCAACAAGGAAGACGCAAAACCAGAGAAGCCTTGGGATCATATTAGGGATGAGCTACCGTATATCCAACTGCTCAACCGTGTCTTGCCTGAGGACATCAGAATGCTGGCTTGGTGCCCGACGCCTCCTGCCGACTTCAATGCTCGCTTCAACTGTCGCGAACGTCGATACCGATACTTCTTTACCCAGCCTGCTTTCGCGCCCGTACCTGGAGATGCTGGACTCATGACCACAGCAACTGGAAAAACATTAAGAGAAGGATACCTGGATATTGAAGCCATGAAAGACGCGGCGAAGAGATATGAGGGCTTGCACGACTTCCGAAATTTCTGCAAGGTGGACCCAGCGAAGCAAATTACAAACTTCGAGAGGAGGATCTTCAAGGCGTCGATCGAGGAGGTAGATGTCAGTCAGACGCCTGCAGGTTTCATCTCGCATCCGGCTTTTGCTCAGAATGCAGATGGCGAGAACAAGACGGGCGTGAACGGTGACTTGAGCATTCCCAAGATCTACACCTTCGATGTCAACGGATCTGCTTTCTTGTGGCACCAGGTGCGCCATTTGGTTGCGGTATTGTTCTTGGTCGGCCAAGGATTTGAACCACCATCAATCATTTCGGATCTTTTAGACATGGAGAAGTATCCCACAAGGCCGAAGTATGAGATGGCAACAGATGCTCCGCTAGTTCTCTGGGATTGCATCTTCCCCGATCATCCTGATAACGATCAGAGCAGAGAAGATGACATGGATTGGGTCTATGTAGGCGAGACTGGCGGCCGCGAGACCAACAAGCGTCCCGATCTCGATGGTGGAGACAGCAAGTTCGGCAAAGGGGGGATTATGGACTCGATTTGGGAGGTGTGGCACAAGCGCAAGATGGACGAGATCTTGGCTGGTAGTCTGATGGATGTTGTCGCTGCACAAGGCAAGCGGTCACCAGCAGACGTCAAGCTGCCTCCAGCAACCGAAAGAAGTCCCAGATTGTTCGACGGCGGCGATTGGCCTAGACCAGTAGGCACGTATGTTCCAATTGCTCGTAAACAGAGGATGGAACCCGTCGAGGTGGTGAACGCTAGGTATCTCGAGAGAAAGGGTCCTTATAAGCCCAAGTTCATGCGCAAGGATGAAGGAGATGAGTAGATACAAGCCATTGGCTACGACTTTGGCTCATACAAACATGACTTTGCACCTCTCCAAACCTCTTCCAGAACTCGTCTGCGCGGGAGTATACTCTGCCATAGCCGTCAGCATACACATGTACATGCATACCTTAGAAGAACTTACCGGAAAGACCACAACAACATCATGTTCACCTTCAACCACAATAGCCAGATAGAATCTAACCTCAAATCCTTTGAAAGCTTCGTAGACAAAGATATCCTGAATCATGTTGGTGGGAATGAACCTCGTAGTTGCAGTACTAAGATATGTCGGGCTGCTCGTCGTTGTCTGCACGCCCATACCACGAATCACAAGAAGAGACTCTGTAGTATAGCCTTTGCGAAAGATGACAGAAAAAATTGCCAAACTGATGGGAGCCAAGTAGAGCCAGGGGATACGAGATGCAGAAGTTGTAGCCAATTCCGTCAGCGCTGGAGGTAGAAAAGTAGAAGCATAGTCTGTATGGACCTTCCAACGTGGAGTCGCAAATTCATGTGCTTTCGCGATGAGGATGCAGAGAAGAGTCAGGCCTATTAGTATCCTGACTAGTCCGATCAGGGTGCGGCGGACTCGTGCTGGGACTGTGTTGTTTGCTGAGCGAGTTGATACTTTGTATAGCACCGTGGTTGGCGAAGGCCGTTTTACAGTCAGCATGTTCCTCATTCTGATTTGAACCGAATCGGGTAGAAAAGATCCGAGTTCATTAAAGTAGGTGGAAAGAGGTTGCTATGTAAAGTGAAATGGATGTTTCGCGCGCAAAGCGAAGCGTTGCATGACGAACCACAACCCTGCCCTTTCAAGCTCTCTGCCCAAACCTAGAGCTCACCTTTTCTCTTCTTCTTTTTCAACACACGCTCTAGACATCGCAAAGATGCCACCCTCACCGTCGAGGAATAGAAGTCGCTCGCGCTCACCACCGCGCAAACCAAAGTCATCAGGAGGATTTCGCTGGAAAGACAAAGGCTCGCGCGCAAACGACAGCTTCAGCCGCGACTTTGACGAACGCAACCGCGATGATGCGCCTCGCCGCTCTTCGCCACCCCGCGATCGCGACAGATACCGAGATCGTTCACCTAGACGCGATGGCAACAGAGACAGCTATCGCCCCAGATCGCCCAGACGAGACGACCGTGATCGATACAGAGATGGCGGTGATAGAAGACGCTCACCTAGACGTGATGGAGGCAGAGATGAGAGGAAAGAGAAGAGGAAAGAGGACAAACCCAAGGGTGATAAAGAGAAGGAGAAGAAGCCTAAACCCGTCGCTGCCCCCAGTCGTGCGGAGCCTATGATTATTGTCAATGTGAATGATCGTCTGGGAACCAAGGCTGCTATTCCTTGCTTGGGTAGCGATCCAGTCAGTAAGTGCTGTCTATACTTCGACGCTCTATTAACAAGTGCTGACCTTTTGTGTAGAAGCATTCAAGGCTATGGTTGCTGCACGTATTGGTCGTCAGCCTCATGAGATTATGTTGAAGAGACAAGGCGAACGCCCATTCAAGGACCATCTTACTCTGGATGATTACGGCGTTAGTAATGGTGTACAGCTCGACCTGGAACTCGACACTGGCGATTGAAAGGACATCTGGACGATGCGGTCTCATTGTTACGACACCAGAACATTATGCTGTTAGCAGACAGCGCCTGGCACCCGCTACTCAGAAAAAGCTGTACACCGTGTCGGTACTCGAAGAGGGCTTGTTAAACACTTAGCAGAGCATGGCGCATGGTGGACACCAGAATCTAGATATTCATGCTGAGCTGGACGGGTCCCTGCGAGAGACCCCAACCTTGCCAATCTCATCTTGGGAGCTTGCTTGAAGAGTCTCGTCACCTCGTAATGAAAACGAGAATTCTCTGGGGCCGGCCTCGTCCGCGTATCTCATACATACGACCACTTGTGTCTGCCATTCTCAAGCCTTGTTTCTCGTTTCACATCAATCTTCAGTCACCGTGTCAACCCGTAATTCAGCGTCATTACATGACATTCATTAAGCATACGCCTGCCAGCAGGCCGACAGTGATAACTGTTGACTAACATACATATCCCCTCTCAGGACTCTCAGTTCTTCTTGCCATGAGGATGCTCCTTCTCCGCCTGTCCCGCCGTCTCCTTCTGCAAATCCTCCATGTGGCTGTCGTGGTCATGAACATTCTCTCTGTCTGCGGTAATCGAAGCTTCACCTGCAGAAGCCAGGTTCTCGTTCCATTGCGCCTTTCCTTGCTTTTGTGCCTTGAGCTGCTCTTGCTTGGTCTTCTCAAGCTCTTCGGGGGAGCGGGCGGCGTCTTCCTTGATGCTGCGTAGGGGAGAAGCGGTGAAAGTGCGGAAGGTGGGAGGGAAAGAACGCAGGCGCTGCATGCGGGTGGAGCGGAACAGGTGCATTGTGCGCGAAGACATTGTTGTGGTTTGTGATTCTGCCGAGGTGTTAGTGGGGAGTATGAATAGATGGATTTCAGAAGTCATACTGTTCGAAAGCTTGAGAATTGGTATGTGAGAGTGCAAGGAATTGTTTGTGTATAGGACAGAAAAGTTGTAAGGATACTTTGATAGGATTCTGGGACTTTGCAAGGTCTTTAACATATCTAGGAAGAGCTCGGTATAGCATCATAATCAGCATGACGTAGAGTGGGGCTGCCGAACAACCAAGGTAGAGCGGAACATGTCGTATGGATGAGCTGATCTTTGTCAGCATATATTTGCACAAGACAGGCAATGCTTCAACAACATCCGATATGGTCTAGTGGCTAGGATTTCTCGCTCTCAAACCGTTCGAACAGAACAACTAGGTCCGAGGAGGCCGGGGTTCAATTCCCCGTGTCGGAATTCTTCTTTTGCACTTCTTCCATCTTCCTCCATTCTTCTTCTGCAATGTAAGGTCTCTGCTCTTTTTGCATCACAATCTTATGTTCTTTCGTAGCGACTTGGGGTACAATACAAAGCCCGGCTCCACGTTTCAGCAAACATAATATCCTACTGACGCGAGTGTAAGTTAAGCAGTATCGCCAATCTTTGATCACTGTTCGAGTTCATTAGGCCCACCAAACGATCAACGTTCATGTCCTCTGTATACCGAAGCTCCTGACCTAGATCCAGCAGTGGCCACGAGCATGTTAGACCAAGTAGAGAGAGGTCGAGGAGCCAAGGTGAAATAGGAGCTGAAATGGGTTAGTTGTCTCTAAAGCAGCTGCAATGACTCTTTATCTACCTTATTAGCTTCCGTCTTTTCCTTCTTCCTCTTTCCTGTTGTTCACAAATCTCTAATTTGGATACCTGCCACAACAAACTGACACTAGCGATGTCACAAACAATGTCGCAAAATAAAAGTCTCACACCACGACCGTCTACTGGACTGATGGATCTGGCTACAGAGATTCGTCTGATGATCTTCGAGATCTTTCTCTTGCATCCGAAAAAGAAACGCATGGATCTGTTCGCCTTTGGGGACTCGCCATACGCGTGGCTTATGGAACATTCAAGCGGTGCCTTGGTCAGATATGTGGATGACATAGATGACCAACAGTTTCGTCGAAATTTGTGGATACCGACTCGTCTCAATTACAAAGTCAAACTTGCGAGACTCCAGATGGTATGCAGAGGAGGTTGCTACTGGCTTTCATGAAGAAGTTTGATGGCGATGGCTTGAAGCGGAAGATGGTGGATACCTTAAGACGTGCCGCAAAAGCGAAGACTAGGCGTTGATAGGCCGAGTGGAGACGAGAACATAAGAGACTATGAAGTGTATTGAATGAATGGTCAGGTCTCCAGACCACGATCAAACTCTCTCCTGATCTCCTTCAAGTATCCATCTACTGTCAACACATCAACAGCCGTAGCAGCCAAAGCCTTTCCAACCATCAATGCTTTATCATGCGCCTCTTCCGTCCTACTAGCTCTAGTAAAGTCAGGCGTGTGCGGTCCACCACCTTGCTTCCCATCCTCAGCAACACTCTTGATCCAAAAGCCAGGACTCAGAGAAGGAAAAGCATGACTGATATCTCCCTGATCAGTACTCGCTTGCGTACCACTAGTCAGCAATTCTACCTCCGGCGCTGCCAGCTCTCCTCCTAGTTCAATGAAATGCTTTGCATAACTCCTTCCCAGAGCCTTGTTGGGTACGTGATCCAGATACGTCGATTGCGGCGTGATCTTCAACTCTGCACCTGTGGCTCTCGCAGCACCTTCGAAACAAGCATCGACTCTTTTCTTCAGCGCATCAAGTCTCTCCTTGGTACTCGACCTAACCACAAAATCCCCAGCAGCATATGCATGTATGATGTTAGGTTTGACTCCTCCCTGGGTAATACATCCCTGTATAATATCTCCCGGTTGGGTTTGTTGGCGCAGGCAAGAGAGGGCTGTGTATGCTGTTATCAAAGCGTCTAACGCGTTGATACCTTCCCAAGGTGCAGCTGCTGCATGGGCTTCTTTGCCAAAGTATTCAACCCCGAAAGCTGAGAAGGCTGATGTACGCACTAACGAGGCGTCGGGAGTTATTCCTGGGTGAGAGATCAGGGAGACGCTGACGTTGTGTTTGGCGTATGCTCCTGCATTTAGAAGTTTGATTTTGCCGCCGCCGCCTGTGTTTGTGTCTTATTAGATGTGCATCTTTGTGGTATGATGGGAGTATGAGGGGGCTACCTTCTTCAGCGGGTGTGCCGAACAGCACCACTTTTCCTGCAATGTTGTGTTTCTGCATAACATGTCTTGTGGCCAGAGCAGCAGATATGGATGCGATGGCAATCAGATTATGCCCACAGGCATGTCCAATTCCTGGTAGAGCATCTGGTCCCCAAACACATCAGTACTTGATCATCTATACAAGCAATCTAAACCTCACTTCCCCACCTCCATCATTCAATTTACGTGCTATGAATGGGAGACAACTCACCATACTCGGCATTGAAACTCACGACTTCTCCTTGGGAACCATCTTTGCACTTAGCTTTTCTGTTATCGAAAACAGCAATAAATGCCGTGTCAATTCCACAAGCCTTTTCCTCTACTTCCCATCCTTCCAATGCTTTGAAGAACTTTACTAACGAGGCATAAGCCTTGTACTCTTTATAGTTCAATTCGGGATTATCGTGGATGAGTAGACTGAGGTGCCTGAGTTCTGGACTCAGGTGGTCGATGTAGGTAGATATGGTGGAGAGATGAGACGGTGCGGAGGACGAGGAAACAGTGGGGGTAGTTGGAAGGTTCGGCGCCGAGATGAGCACGTAGTCATCTTCCATTTCTTCGTCCATCATGTGAGAGTCGAGCATGTTTGATGTTGTGGTATGGTGAAGAAGAGAGGTCGCCAGGAGATATATTGTCTCCATGCGGGGAATATCAGATAGGGCAAGATAGGCGGGGTCAAGGCATCACATGGATTCTCAAGAGCATACAATTTGCCAATTGATCGTTACGTGCTCGAGACGAGCAAAGAAACCGGTAGTAGATTGGAACAAAGCTTCTTGACCTCTGGGTATCTAACACCTTTTCGTATCGCGATGGAAAATCCATCCTTACAAAGCAACACCAATCATCTCATTGCTCTGGTCTCCATTCGCAATCGTGTGCTTTTCCTCCTCTTGGATTTCCTTCTCGTCAGCACTCTTCTCACTGACACCTGCAGCTTGAAGTAGTCTGGGCTCTATCAACGCAGACAGCTCAACCTCCAAGAAGCCATCGTCAGCATCGTCATCCTCTTCATCACCAGTAATCATTTCGAACTTGTCGAAGAGTCTACGACCTTGACTGTCGTACTTCCGACCAGGAATGTCGCGTTTGGCCAACTGCAATCCCAGAGTCTTGTTGTCTGAAACATGTTGGATGGAGGCAGTGCGCACAGGAGACATGGCGGGTGCCCAGTTAGTAGCAGCCGAAACTTCAAACTGTGTGAATGTGATGATAGCACCCGGGAGTGTGGTCTCTTCCGTCAATAGAGGCAGAGTGGAAAGGTCGGACGGCAAAGGTGGTAAGTCGGCGGCATCTGAGGACTCAGCGAGGAGTTGTGCAGTAGCGGCTTCCTGATCCGCTTCTTGCGCTGCACCAGCAGTCTCATCTTCGTCATCGCCATAGTTGAGAGCGTCGCCATCAGCACCTTCGTTATAGTATTCACTGTAGCTGTTGTTGAGCTCTTCTTCAGTGCGCTGTAGCTTGGAAGAATCAAAAGCTTGAGAGCCGCGTTTGCGCTTCTTGATACGCTGACTTGGATCCCAGCGCTGGTAGAATGGGAAAGGCGGAGTAGAATAGTAATACTCTTCTGATCCGGGTGCACATTCCACGGCTGAAAGGGAGATCTTTGACTTCCAGGCATCAATGTCGGTCGAACCTTCTTCCTCTTCTACGGGTTTGGACTGTTCTTCGGGAGCAGCAACAACAACAGCAGGCTTGATGACTGGCTTGCGTGTGGTTTGAGCAGCGAGTTTAGCTTGTAGGCGTTGTCTGTCGGCGTCGTTCTTAGGAGCACGGACACCAAGAGAGTTGAACAGGAGACGGTTGGAGCTTGCCAGGTCAAGTCTTGCTCTACGGGCTTCTGGCTGTGGAGTGGTGTTGTTCTCGTTCGCGGACATTGTGCTGGGATCGGCATTGCTCATGACAGCGTCTTCTGAAGGAGTCGACAGATCGTTGCTGACATCAACGCCACCAGATTGTAAAGCAGCTAGGAGTGCCTCTCTCTTTTGGTTGAACTCGTCGGACGTGGGTTCCGTAAGAGGCTTCTTGGCCTTGGGTTTGACCTTTAGTTGCCTAGGAACCATGGGTACTGGCTTCTTGACTACAGGTGGAGCAATCGTCTCTGTTTGTTCAGTCTCAGATTCAGAATCAGAGTCTGAGTCCGAGCTTGAGCTTGAGCTCGAATCTGAACTGGAAGATTCGTCGTCTGAATCAGATACCGAAGCAGAAACACGACTCTCTTCATTCTCCTCTCTCCACTTCTTTAGATCCTGACGAGTGGCGTTTACAGGCAGATGACCCTTAGACTTCAGCCAGGCAAGTTTCTTTGCATCACGGCGGCGTCGGTTCCTAGCGCGAGTTCGCTGCTTGCCATCACCAGGAGGAGCTTGTTTCGTAGGAGGAGCCTGTTTAGTTGGCGGAGCTGTGGTAAATTTAGGGTTGACGAGTGCTTCGATCGAGCTGCTGTTCTTGTTGATAGGCTCTTCTGAAGGAGCGTCACTATCGCTATCACTGGAGTCATCGTCAGAGTCAGAGCTGTCGTCATCGCTGTCGCTATCGCTTGATGACTCTTCTGAGGTGGAGGCCGAGACTTGATCAACGTCTTCAAGTAGCTTCATGTTTCTGTCTTGTCCAATGTCAAGTTCTTCATCAGAGAGAGGCTCAAAGTCGTCATCCTCATCGTCGTCCTCCATATCATAATCGTCGAAGATCGCGTCGCCATTATCCTCGTAGTCGGCTTGTAGAAATTCTGGGCTGAATGTGACATGTTTCTGAGCCATGCTTCGGGTGCGTGGCTCTGGGACTGGAAGAGGTGGACCGAAGTCGGCGAGTTGTAGATCCTCATTCGATTCTTCGAAGGATAGGTCGGAGTCTTGTAGGGATGGCTCGAGCCTGGCGCGTTTGCGAGGAGGGATGTGAATGGGAGCGTGTTGTGGGGCTCGTAAAAGAGGTCGTCCGAAAGCGATACCGTCGATGAGATGTCTGCCGTCTCTTGAGATTTGGTGTCTGCCTGAGAGGTTCCTGGCGCGAACGTCGTTGGTCTGCAGTGGTTGGATTCTGCCTAGGAATTAGGATTGTATTCCCACAATGTCGATGGTGATAACACTCACACAACCTCATCATCCTCCTTCAAGATGTCACCCAGCTGCTGAAAGTGCAGCAACTCATAACCACCAAGGTGGACAGCGTAATCCTCCAGACCCCATCCTTCAGCTTCTAGCGGGAAGAAGTCGCTGATTTGTGTGAGCAGTTCGGCTGTGGTAGTAGTAGCGTCGACCTTCCACAAGACCTTGGTCGGCGGCAGTTGATGCCTGAGGACCTGCAGCCGGATTCTCATGTCGACGACTGTGACAAAGTCAAATTGCTTTCATGCGAAAAGTTGGAGATGATGAACAATGACGGCGTTTGCGTTGCTTATCTCCACGCTACAATCGCGGGCCTCAAACGGAGGAAACTTGGAAGCCTTCAACCAGATGCTGAATGCCATCAGAGCTTCTGTGCGCAAACGTCAAATCAATCCTGTTGACAAGTCAACATTGCCATGTGTTTACTGTGTAAACCTTGTTCTCTACATAGTGATGATCTATCTCTCGGCCTCTGTGATAGCTCCTTCCGAAAGCTTCAGCAGTGTAAAGCGACGCACATAGAATCTGCTCTCGACGCGATCAAGTTGGAGAAGGTGTGATAGCAGCAGGTGCCAGGCATAGGTCACTGCCAGCCACAGAAACAAGCCCCAGAGCGCTTATCAGGTACCAGAGCGCAAAGTGGATACAGATTTGGAAGGGCGCGATTCTTTTGACCGAAGCTTCGGAAACATTTCGTCATCATGGTCGCGACAGCTTTCCCGCCGGCTTCGCAGAAAGACATGCACGCCGTTTCTCCATCAATTGCCTTTCTTCCTTTCTTCTCTCCTTCCCATCACATATTGTAATATCTAGTCATCATGTTCGCCAGATCAGTATTCCGTCCCGCGAGGACTGCCGCCAGCGTACGTCCACAATTGCCCAATCGCGCCCACACCCGCCGCTATTAACACGTCTATCAGCATGTCCGTCGTTACGCCTCGGACGCCGCCGCAAAGTCTGGCTCAAACACTCTTCTCTACTCTGGTGTTGCTGCCGGTGCCGGTCTCGCTGGTTACATGTACTCGCAGCGTGCTCAAGCTGAGGGCCAGCACGGCAGCACCAACGAGAGCGGTGCTTACGGCCAGCCCGCCTCCAAGACCGAGGAGGGCAACATCCCCAAGCAGGCTGCCAACGCCTCCAAGTGCTTTACTGGCGGCGACCAAGGTTTCGTCAGCTTGGTCCTGATGGAGAGCGAGGTCATCAACCACAACACAAAGAAGCTGCGCTTCCACCTTCCCGAGGAGGACAGCGTTTCTGGTCTGAGCATTGCCTGTACGTCGTCCCTGTGTCACAAACGTCCAATTCAATACTGACATCCCTGAAGCTGCTCTGATTACCAAGTACAAGGGTCCCGAGATGGAGAAGCCCGTCATCCGTCCCTACACCCCCGTCAGTGACGAAGACACCGTTGGCTACCTCGACTTCATCGTCAAGAAGTACCCCGGTGGTCCCATGTCCTCGCACCTTCACAACATGGAGCCTGGACAGCGACTCGACATGAAGGGTCCCATCCCCAAGTACCCCTGGGAGGAGAACAAGCACGACCACATCGCCTTGATCGCTGGTGGTACCGGCATCACCCCCATGTACCAGCTCGCCCGCGCAATCTTCAAGAACCCCAACGACAAGACAAAGGTCACTCTCGTTTTCGGCAACGTCTCCGAGGAGGACGTTCTTCTCAAGCGCGAGTGGGAGGACCTCGAGAACAAGTACCCCAACCGCATGCGCGCCTTCTACACTCTCGACAACCCTCCAGAGGACTGGCCTGGCCCGAAGGGCATGATCACCAAGGACCTCCTCAAGACTGTCCTTCCCGACCCCAGCAAGGAGAACATCAAGGTCTTCGTCTGCGGTCCTCCTGGCATGTACAAGGCCATCTCTGGCCCCAAGAAGAGCCCCAAGGATCAGGGTGACCTTACTGGTATGCTCGCCGAGCTTGGCTACAACAAGGACCAGGTCTACAAGTTCTAAGCTATCTCTGAAGAGAGAAGAAACAAAACCATGTAATCATGTATATTAGATACGAATAGAATGTCTTGTAACCTTTGCACGAAACTTTCGTCTCTCAATCAGCTTTTGCTCTTGACGTACGATTCATAGTGTCAAATCTGGCAATCAAGATTTCTTGGGATATGATGAAGATTCTGCACAACTAGCCCTCTAATGCTTCTAACAAACAGCCTAGTATCAACACCTAATGAACAACACATTGCCCATACCAAAACTCCAACCCTTATAAAAGCAAAGACATGAGAAAAAGTCTTATGAAACAACACATCCCAAGAAACTCTTACTCTTTCCCAAATCCTCCAACTCATCAATCCTGCCTTCAATCCCTTGGACCGCACGTTCAAAATCATCAACATTGACCTCTACATCCTCGACTTTGCCTTTGAGTCCTTCAATCTCATAATCCAATCTCTGTGCCAAAGTTTCTAGCTCCTTGGCGCCTTCGTGCAGGGCATCGCGTTCATCGACCAACAAAGCTTCACTCGCATCTCGTAGATCTTGGAGGTTTGCTGCGGAAGGACGGTAGATGGAATCGAGGTAAGCTTGATCGTCGTCGGCTTGGGTGAGCAGCGAGGAAGTGGCGAGCAGTTGTTGGCGTGTCCAGGTGCCTTCTTTGCGGTCGAGGGTGGCGAGTGTTGCGCGCGTGGCTTTGAGGTCGCTGGACAGTGTTGTTTCGTGGGTGTATTGTTGGGGTAGGGGGATATGGTTCGGTAACGGAGATGCAGGGGCGAGGAGTAAGGGTGAGGGTGGAAGGATACTATCTGCAACGATTGAGAAACTTAGACGACGGGGGTAGAAACTGTCGGAGCGTGGTGTGGCTGAGAGAGTTTCAAAGTCGCTGTAGGAGTGCATGCGCCGGAGGAGAGGACCAATGTCTTGCGCCAAGTCTGGAGGTGAAGGGAGGACTTCTTTGAGGTCGACGCCGTGGTAGTCGGATCCTGCTATTGAGATAGAAGGTTCGCCGCTTATAGTACGTGAGATGGTCTCGAACCCCTCAAGGTCGGACTCGTCACTCTTGTCTTCCCGTGCCTCCTCTTCAGACTTTATCCTTTGTGGGTCTTCGACGGGGAAGACGCTGTTGTTCAGTTCTAGAGGGTTGCTAGGATGATTGGCATCCTGAGCCTCAGAACGTCCGGCAGCGTTAGCTTTCGTGTGCTGTTCTCCCTGCTGCAAAACTTGGTCGAGGCTTCCATCCGCGCCTTGAGGGATCTTGGGACTTTCTGGTGGTGAAGAAGAATCAATTCGCTCCAGAGTGTGGGAGGATTTGAGGTCTTGTCGCGAAGAATCTACAGGTGACATGGGTGACTCGTCTTTCGAGCCCTTGGATTGGTGGCCACGAACGGCATCTTTGAACTTGTCGAAGCCCTTTCTTCCCTCGTTGAACAATCCTGTTGCTCTCTTGGTGACAGAACGATGAAGATGGGTCTCTCCCTTGATCGACCCTTCGCCTTCTCTGCTGGAAGACCATGTTGGCGACATGATTTCCTCAGATGCCGCTCTCGCTGTCGACGTCGATTCGTGCGTGTTCTTTCGCTCCACTGGACCAAAGACCAAACTTCTGCCGGACTCGTTTGCTTTTTGCTCCTTGAGGTCGACAGATTGGTTCTTAAGAGGTTTTCCTAGCCAAAGCCACTTACAGCGTTGACCATACACAAGCTGCTCGAAACGATCGATGTACGACGTCTCAATGTCAGCAATACCTGCTTTATCGCGTCTTCCGACAACCTCTGCAAGCATTTCACCACCCTTTCCACTCAGCTCTGCCACTGTGGATTTGACAGCACGAGGGACTGACCAGCCTTCAGCATTTGCCGCCTTTGCAGATATTCTGTGTAATTTGTCGAGGGTGTGTCGATCGAGTCTCCGAGTCCGCTCCATTCTGTTGCTCTTCTGAAATTGTGAAATACCGCGTTTCATGCCTTCGATATCAAAGGGATCCTTTGGTACGGGCGCACCAACAGCACTCAATCGATTGCGAGCACCCATCAACAAGCCAAGCAAAGCGGCCACGGTAGTCGGCCCAAGGATACCATCGTGCGGTTCTATGTTATAGAATTCGGCACCAATGTCCAACCACCAGTCATTGACTGCTTTCTCAGTGATGTCACACAACAGGCCATCAACATAATCGAAATCGAGTTTGTCGAAGATATTGAGGGCAGCCTGACATAGCTTGACGAGTTCGATGACAGAAGTGTGGATGGGATTCTTGTCACTGGTCTTGTACAGCTGGTGAAATTTGGCGACTGTAGCACTATTAGGTGCAGACAGAGTCAGACCAACACGTCCAGAACAGCCCATGCGCTTGAGATTTTCAGCGACGAAAAACTCAGAACGATGCTTTTTGAGGTCGCCATCGGGAACGGGAATGACGGTCAAGGATGAAGGAAAGCCAGACAAATTGGTGATCATCAATATGCCAAGCGAAGTCTCTCTCCGGCGGGCATGGTATTGATTCAGGGCTTTGAAGTAGACGCGCAGACGTTGGGACCAGCCAGATTCGTCTGTAGGAACGCTCAGAATGCCGACCTGAGCAACATGTTGGGGATCACCGGTAAATGTGGTGATGACAAAAGTTGGATGGGTACGAGACGTGGCCCATTGTTCGACGACATAGATTTCATAGCCTTGGAGTTCTTTGCTGCTTTCAATGACTTCTACGCCAGGATCTTCTTGCAGGTATCTCGAATGAGTTAGCTTTTGAGGACATGGGAAATTGAGCAAACTCACCTGAAGGCGATAGGATCAGTGAGGACGAGACGTTGGTGTGTGGGTGCTTTTGATTCGTTGGAATCAGGTTTTGGAGACTGTTTCTCAGCCTTTTCTTTTTCTTTGGCTTTTTGTTCTTGTTGTGTGATGAGTTTGACGTTCTGATTATGAGGACCAGGAGGCCTCTCTGTGGCCGAGTTGGGAGTGCTCATGAGCGCTTAGTCGGAGCAGCAGAAATGCTATCATTGTCCTGACATTTGAATGCACGTGAAAACGATTGTAAGGAGCGAGGGGTGTGCGATTCCTGGCGACTTGATATAAGCAGGACCGGCGACAAGGTAAAAGGAAGGTACGAGGATTGCGAAACAGAGAGTGTGGAATTGTTTGTATATTAATTAGCCTGAGAGTCTGTTGCGGTGGTCAAGAGTCGGAAGGCTGTGGTTGGGCCTCGGAGCGAACCTCTTCGACCCCGCGGCACGTCATGGCGACCTTGTCAGTCGAGCTGTTGCACCGAGATGGTTATCGCTCTGCTATTTGCTATCACCAGAAGTCATCGAGTCCAGCTTGCACAGATGCGTAATGGAGTCGCTGCGGTTGGAGCAGGATAAGCTGGACAAGAAGGGCAACCTGTCAAAGACGATTGAAGATGTGCAGAAGACGATCGACCTGCTCGTCGCCGCCCGAGAAACCATCGCTGCCGGTATGGCCGACTCGATCTTATCAATCGTGTCCATGAATACTGATATACACGACAGATGCAAGTGCAGCTACGCCAACACTGGCCAAACTGAAGCGGCCGGTCAAGGCTTCACTGGACCAGGTCAACTCGGACATCAAGGACATTTACTCGGCCCACAAGGACTATTCCAAAGCTCTAGATAAGGTCTGTCAACCCTCTCTGCTGGCTGCAACCCTCTCCTCTGCTGCTATAGCTGCTGACTGCATCCAGAAATTCAAGCCACAATCTATGCCTGCTTCCCACCACGATGCCCTCTCGTCGCAACCCGCACTAGTGAACCGCGCAATTGCCATGCACCTCCTGCGCGAAGGCCAGTTCAACGTAGCCCAGACCTTCATCGCCGAAGCAAATGCAAACCCTAATACTACTGCCACAAAAACCGCTTCGGATGGGGATAGCCTCATGGAGAATGGACACGACACGCAACTTTACGACATTGACCGTGACAGTGCCGGTGCTCTGCAGTCGAGATTTGCCCATATGTACCTCGTTCTGGACGCCCTGCGCAACAGGCACGACTTGAACCCTGCCATCAACTGGGCTCGTCAACACAGCCATCAGCTCGAGCTGAGAGGTTCAAATCTCGAGTTCGATCTATGTCGTCTACGCTTCGTCGAGCTCTACACCCGCCATGATCCCAATGATCATATGTCCGGCCCCCTTCAAGCTCTCGAATATGCCCGCCAGACATTTCCAAATTTCTCTGCTCGATACATGCGCGAGACGTCGTCTCTACTCGGCTCGCTAGCTTTTGCTCCTGCCCTGACATCCTCACCTTACAAGAGTGTCTTCTTCAACGAAGACGCCTGGGAACATGCAGCATCGAGTTTCATCCGCGAGTTCTGCGCCATGCTGGGTCTAAGCGAAAAGAGTCCTCTTTACACCGCCGCAACAGCCGGCGCCATCGCTCTTCCCGTACTGGAAAAACTCGAGCGCGTCATGGGCGAAGTCGGAGGTCAATGGACTAGTGTCAATGAACTCCCCGTCGAGATCCCATTACCACATTCATATCTCTTCCACTCTATCTTTGTATGTCCTGTCAGCAAGGAACAAGGTACTGATGCCAATCCGCCCATGATGCTGCCTTGCGGTCACGTTATTGCCAAAGAATCGCTCGACAAGATTAGCAGGGGAAACAAGTAAGTTTCGCGTCCAACTGTACTGCTTGAGATGAAAGACTGACATTTTCGAGAAGGTTCAAGTGTCCGTACTGTCCCGTTGAAGGACATCCCAAAGAGGCTAGGAAAGTCTTCCTCTGAGCTCTGGGTTTATGCTTTCTTTTCTGGCTCTCGAAGTGATTTGCTTCTCTTCTTATTTGCTTTCTTTGTATTATTTTCTGCATAGCATACGGCGTTATTGGTTGCTGCCTGGGAGGCCCGCACTTATCAGTGGCAGATACCAAGAGCACTAGTCCCACATGAGGGAATCCAAATGTGTTTCTTCTGGTACTCGCGAGTTTCAAATCCCATTTATTCGAATACACGGGTAATACGAATACAATCATGCCAACCAGTCCACAGAGCTCTAGTCACGATATCTTGACAATTAGCTGTAGTCTTTGACCGATCTCGCTTTCAAAGTCCCGAGCACAATTCTGCCACAACAATCCTCGAAATTGAGAAGTGGTCTTGTGACAAAATCTTCTTGTTTCACCATCCCCCACCGGTAACTGTCCAGTCATGATATGGTGGTTTCTCGTCTCTATACATGAGGAGGTCTACGTACATGTATGTGCACAGACACACTTGGTATCCCCGCACGAAGGGGTTCTCTCTCATGCAAGGAGTGAGCGATGGTGGTCATCCGAGACGAGCCGGTTTGAAGCTTGTGTCAAAAAGGGATGCTGTGGGTTGGTCAAAAGAGACAGTGGGGACGATCATCCAAGACACTGTGATGCTTGTGCGTGGACATGTTGACATGATCACTGTGGTAGAGACATGTCAAGCGACCAAAAGAGTCGGGTCAGAGAAATAAATCAAACCAACTGTTTCCGGATGTGAACGCTGATATTGCTTTCAAACACTGCAAGCTCAACGAATTCTTCTTGAGAACAGTGGCGCGTATGAGTTGTGCTAAATGCACATAGGGGATCTATTGAGACATAGGCGGAGTAGTTGAGAGAAATGCATCGAGACACGTGATTGCCTGTGTCATATTCATGAGGCTTTCTCGCCTCCTCTCCTGTCTCAATAATGCCCTGTGTGCGATATACCATTGCCATTGCATGACGTGCAAGATGTGGATGATGAGGTTAAAGACGAATCCACGAAGCCTCGGTGTCATGCACGTATGCGCGAGCACGAATCAGGGATCTTTCGGCCTTTTCCTTTCATGTACGAAAGTAACTATAGTCTATGCAGCATATACAACCTTGCATCTGCTGTTCCGCACACCTGATCTGGAAGGATGTCGCAAAAAGCAAAAGGTGGGAAATATGTTGTTCTCGAGCATTTCTCTTACCACGTTTCAGTAAAGTGAGGGAAGTCGTGTTGGATCAAGTGTCCAAGGGAGAGAGACCCTTGCACTCAGGGCTTGCTGAGAAGCAGTGATAAGATAGGAAAAAAGGTCGTTGCTTTCTCCCTTCCGTGAATATATGCAGGTTCGTCGATCTTGGGCTTAGCCCTCTTGCAGTTCGCCAATGCAAAAGGATGCAGAAGTTTAGCTCCTGCTTTCCGAAGCAGTAAAACTCAAATAGATTGTTTCTAAGACTTTTGGTGCCGTAGATCGTTGCGTACCACTCCTTTTTGCCATCTTGCGGTGAAGAAAGAGGAGAACAACTTGAGCTGTCCTTATCATGCGGTGAAGAAACTTTGAAGTGCGAATGTTTCTTCTTGGAATGGGCGGTGATGTGCGATAGGAAAGCTCCCGAGTGGGTTGCTTTGTGTTGACGGCAACTCTTGGAGTCTGGGATCGTAAATGTCGTGCAACCGTGACGCTTCTGATTCGTCGTCATGAGATCTGTTTTCTGCGGAAGTCTTGGGTTGTGGCTGACGGAAAGTGCAAAATGCACTGTTCAGTGGTTGCAGGTGTGCAGGGTCCTTGACTTTACACGGCCATCGATTCTTTTCCTCCTTCTGTTGTTGCCGCAAACAAGTTCATGTGATCATCGTGATGGAGACGCATACGTACGACCTGCACAATGAAGGCATGCTCCCGACGGGATGCGCTTGGATAGGGTAGCCCAAGGGGCGGCTAGGTAACAGGGTACCCAGTGCTGCAAGATGCGAATTGTCGCATACTCGCACCGCCGCGTTGTCGTCGCGAAGAGTATCTCGTTTGTATCGACACCACCGTGGGGGCGAAACAAGCAGAATGTAAACAAAGGCCGGCGAATGTGATTGGAGCCAGGAAGCTGCATGCCATGTGAATCCTTGAGCTTACGGTAAATCCTCCTTTTGCTTTCGCTTGTGCGTTCCGCCTCCCGAGTATCATGCATGAGTGCAGGGATGCATGCTCTTGCTGCTGCTTTCTGTTCCTTCGCTCGCGCTGTTTGAGAGCGGGCATGCTAAATGATGCCCAAACGCTACGATTGACGTTTCATTCTTGCAACAAGCCAAACCACGAGAACTGCGACTTTGTGGAAATCTCTGTTGTAGCTTCCACAAACCGCTGTCGTCGCTAGGGTTAGATATGGAGGACATGATAAAAGTAGAAAGCGTTCGTTGCTCGTGATCGGCAATCGACGGTTTCACTGCCGGACAGCCGCATTTCTCGATTGGACGCTTTCTTCTTCCAGCAAGCCACAACAGAAAAAAAGGCCCAAGCAAAATAGACAAACCACCATGACGCCTGGGCTGGTCTTTTATCTGTGGTTTCACAAACTGCTGCTGCCGTTCTTGTTTCGTGGCTGCCGCAAACCTTTTTGTGTTTGTCGTTCTCCATGATATGATCGACGAGAAAATCGATTTCTAGACATCAACCCCTAACGAAGAAGAGAACAATCGCGCTTCTCTAGAGCGCAGTAAAGGGGTCGGCCTGTACGAGCGATGGACAGAGCGCCTCAATCAATCTAAAAATGCACTTGGTGTGGAGAAAGGCCAAAAGCCATTCGTATTTATGGCTCCTTTTCTTTCTAAATTGTCAATTGGTTATTGGTTCGTTATCCCTTTCGCCTGCCAATTAGCACTTCTTATATGTAGGTCAATATCGAATAGATGTGCGCGCAGCCGAAAGCGCTGCTTGCGCCGCTTGCATGTTCACGTCGCTATTTACTTTACTTTTTTGCCTCAACCTTTCGGCAGGCGAAGCGAAGGTACCAGGCAAGTCGACGGCGTCATGGAAGCTGGTCTGGCTGGGCCAAACAAGATCGCACGATTTCAGCCGAGTTGACTGCGTGTTTTCTGTTCAATTCCACCCATACCCAAGGTCTCAGTGCGGAGATTTGAAGCCAGAGCCGGCGTTTCAGAAAGTCGGAGTGCCGAGCTGAGATGGATGTAAAACACAAGGAGCTCAGCTGCAGTCGTCGTGGGTCGCGTCTCATGCGAGCCAGAGGACCAAAAACACCAGAAGCGGACTCACCGCGACTCGCAAGAGTGCTCGAGGGTGGATCATCCCAAAGGGAGGGTCCCGCTTTGTGGAAGCTTCTCCGTTAATCCTGTGCCAACGTGAGTCAGTGTCAGGTAAGCTGCAGAATTCTGCAGAATGCTGTGAACCCTTGCTCGTCTCTCTGACTCGCATGTTGTTACCAATGAACAATAATGACAGGGCTGAGATGGAAGGAGTGATTCCAAACAAGGAGAATACAGTATATGTAACGAGGGATGAAATAGGGTTTGCCAAGTGCGGACACTGTGTTCGTATCAGATCGTATCGTAAGAACGACACAACGACGGAGCATGGTTCAATTGAGTCGGCAGGCTCGGCAGATAAAGACTGCCAGGACAAGAAGAGTGGTATGCACATAGACGGCATGACGGAGCGTCCAAGCCGGATGGACGGGCGTTCCGTATGCCGTACTCGAATGATGAGACGAAGACGATTCGCACAAAAGACGCCAACGGATAGACGGCGGCGGTTGGGAAATGGTCACGGTGGAAATGGGGAAACAAGAGATTGGCTTGTTATAGCTGAACGGGCATGATTGTTTAATGACGATGCTTTGTACTTTGATGGAGCGTGTCGCAGAAACAACTAGGTAGAAAGCAGGTGCATTTTGGCATGGGGTCAAGACATGGTTCTTTTGAGACAAAATACGGGCCAGGGAGACGCGTCCCGGCGGTTGAGGAGCAGAGCTTGGGGAAGGAGCAAATGGTGGGGAGAGACTGGGCAACTGCCCTTTGTGAGAAGCAGGATGATACACCTGCAAGAGCTCCAGGCAGGAGCGACGGAGGTTTTGCAAGATGGTGATTGGGACCAGGGAGATTTGGCGGCAGTATGACGATGATTGCAGTGGCCGCTGGTGGATTCTTTTTAAAGTGGCATGGCGAAACGACCTGTGGTCTGTGTTTAGGTGCCGTCGATAAGTGTATGTTGTGTAGGAGGCCGTGCACGCACCAAGCAGCATAGCGCCTCACGCCATTGCATTGCCCTGGCTGTCTGTCCCTCCTCGTTGTCCTCCTCCATCCAGCGTCCATACACGCATCGGCTCGACTTTTCACTTCTCTTCGACGTCCGTCGCCCATTACTGTTGGTTTTCTTGTTGCTGAAACAATTCCTGCTGCGCTTTACAGCCGTCTTGATTGATTGTCTGCGAGCCCCAACTCATCGGTTTACTGCCCACCGTTCTTCTCCCGTCGTGCCTTCCAGCCTCGTCGCTCAACCACCCTCGCTGCACATCATTGGCTTCAACTCTCGACACCGCACGACGACTGAATCCTGTCGCCGTCGCTCTTGGTAGTTTGGCCTTTGCATCCTCCGACTACTCCCTTCTCTACCTCATGATTGTCTGAGGGTTTTGTGTCCGCCCCCGGCCGGACCTGTGTGTGGCTCGTCAACCGAATCCAGTTCAATCCAATTCAACTCAATTCCCAAGGTATGCACCTCGCTCCTTGTTCTGACCGCCTTTACCACATGCTTTCGTTGTGCCTGTCTGCCATGCGTAGTGAGATGTGCCTCCATGGCGCCTCCTCTGACGTTTCAGCATCATTGTCACCATGCACGCTCTCTCGCACAACAAAGGCACCGCACCCAAACAGCGCATGGCTCGTGAACACAACGTCCGCCAACACTACACACTCTCTCCTCTCCAATTGGCTTACCTGCCACTCTCCTTACCGCATCTGCCCCACCGCCTGTCACTTCTCTCATACTCTATCAAGTTGGACCTTGCTGACGCTCCTGAATTCAGCCCTGCAACTCTACCAATCGTTAATATTACTTCATAATTGACTTGCATCTGCCGTCAACCGATACTTTATCTATTCAAGCGTCTCTCGCGTCGCGTCAGCCCATGGCGGAAGTACTGTCTCCTCTGCCTTCGCCTCCCAGCTCCATCAATATGCTGCACTCGCGTCCTTCGTCTTCGGACGCATACCAAGCCAACCACCAACGAGCTGGCTCGACTGCGAGGAGCAACTATCGCAGTTCGCCCTCTGCCGCTCCCGTGCAGCCTTACGCTTTCCAAACAACCCCTCATCTAAGACAAGAGTCGCGCACTATCTCGGCTTCTTCCAACGTACCTCAGGTCCAACAGAAGGGCCACAAGAGTACCTCGTCCACTTCGACAACCTCTTCGGCCGATCTTACCACAAAAACGCCGCCGTTGAGTCCAGGAAAGGATGCCTTCATCAACCTGTCTTCCAATATCCCTGACCTCTCATTGACGTCGTTTGAAACAACGCCAAAATCCTCCCCCAACAGATATCGCCGAACACCTCAACGTGCCGATTCCAACCATTCGTTACAGAAGGCACCATCACCCGCCTCATCAGTCGACAACCTCCTGACACCACCTGCTCCTCAACTCAATCGAACCTCGAGTGATGACATTACCGTTACCAAATCTAACACATCTGAGTCAGCCAAGAGGTACCGTCGACGAAGCTTGAACAGCTTGGAGATGAGCAAGCTCGAAGACGGCCGTCCTTCTTCGCAGGGCAATGCCACTATCAGACCTGTTTCGTTCCATTCGCGCACTAGTAGTGGTGATAGCACTGGCCGACGAGTTCCATCTTCCACTACACCTCCTCCTGTAAGTGAATGACACGACATATCCGTTAATGGCTGAGACTAACAACAAGCGTAGGCTGAGTCTGGAAGAATCTCCCCTGCTGCATCGGGTAGTCCTGTGAAATTGCCTATCCGTGGTAGTGCAACCAACCCTTCTCCACTTTCTAAATCCCCCATCACTGGTGCGCCGCAATCGCCAGATGAGGAGACTCCCAGGCGTGTGAACACAGCGCAGCCTCAGAGTCCGGCAGCCCAACAACTCGCCCATCTTTCTGCCAACGACTTGAACAGAGGTATGAGATCACGCCTAAGACGTGCTTTCTCCTTTGGTGCTACTCAAGAACTTCGACGATCAAGTGAGAATCTACCTCCTCAGGGTGCCATCAACCCTCTCGATGAGATGGATCCCGAGCAAGCTGCCATTGCCCGACAACAAGAGGCTGCTGGTATTGGCGCGAGCATCTATACTGGCCAAGGTGGTTTCACCGGTTCGACCGACAACTTGTCCATTTCTTCGACCGCTTCATCCGCGTCAATGATGCTTCGGAAGATGGGCAAGGGTATGAAGAAGGGTGGTCGCTCGATCAAGGGTTTGTTCAGACCTAAGTCAGTTATTGGAGTGCCCGCCGCCGATGGACCGGTTCAGCCTAGCATGGCTCAAGTGTCGATGGTGACGGTCGAAGCTGAGAGGCGAAATGTTAATGTCAACGCACATCCCGGCGAACAACCTGCTGGAGGAACCGGTTTCCCTAAGCTGGAGAAGAACTCGATCGAGACTGCTCGGAAGTCGATGGATGGTCGTAACGATTCCATGCGCAAGAGCATCGTCGGCAACGACTCTGAGAGAGCAGAGGTTTTGGCCGCAGTCAAGAAGGGTATTTTGAAGCGCGCTGGTACTGGCTCGCCTATTGCTTCTCCTGATCTTCGCCCTCGCGACGGCGCGATCTCCACCGATTCACACAGCCCGGCATCCAGTATCCCAACCACACCTAGAGATGAGCGTGGTTCGCGAAGCATGTCATCTACCACCAGTGACTATTTCAATAACCGTCTCGGTGTTTCAGCAGCCAAGAGCATGCCTAACACTCCTCAAGGAGGTTCTCGCAACATCAGCTTTAGTCCTCGCATCCAATTCTATGATGCATGGTCAGCATCTGACTACGACCGCCGCGGCGACATTGCAACTTGCAATCGTCTGACCCCGATGCTCGCTCAGCAGATCAAGGAGGAGCTTAACACTTTCAAGATGGTGAGTTCTGATATGTTCGTTCTCAGTCGTTACCCAAATACTAATTGATCTTATAGGAGATGGAGGTGCATGAGCTATCCAAGCCTCACACGCATTTTTTCTAATCATGACCGGACTTTGAATGCAGCATACTCAGCGTCGCACCGAAAGGAATAAAAGGAGCTCTTCACATTGTATTATGGCGTAACTAGGGAGTTCTATTTGGGATCAGGCCAGTTGCATGCTTTGGTACTCGCCGGCGTTTCTCTCAGGAAATTCTTCATCTCTTCACACTCACACCACGAAAGCCTTCTTGTCTTTTTGCCTACTTCCATTTCTCGGCAGCGTTTAGTCAGTCGCTTCTTGTTTTCGTTTTCCTTGTTGTCACGATTGGGGAGATTACTCATTGTTGTTCTGGTTGTTTTCGGAGTACGTTCGTTTTACACTCCCGGATGATCCCTAGGATGGGAAGATCTTTGTTTTTGTGAGAGATACATTTGAGCGAAAGAGAGAAAGAAGAGAGTATGCAAAGCAGAGAGGTTGACTGTTTGTTGCCTTTGTTTCATTTCTTTACCAGGTTGACGCAAAGCTCTTGACCCACTTGTTCATAATTCCAATCGTCGCCGAAAATGCTTTCAGCTATCCGTTGTTGTCTTCTCTTGCTTGTGCATCTGGCTAATCTTTGCCTTGTCAATTCCGAAACATGAACGTCGACATGTTGCTGACTGGCACTGAGAATCTGGGAGGCACTACATGCACGTCGATGCATGTACTCTAGGAACAGGCTCTGGAATCTGGTTGACATATCTGCGAACCATGGACACGAAATCACTGGACACTTCAAGAGCCGTGGATGGCAAGCGGTCAAGAACAAATGTCAGCATGGTCCGCGAAGTACAGTCACCAGCATTGCAACAGTGAGTGCTGGGTGCAACCGCTGAGCTTACTACGCGGTACACATGCTTGTGCATACAGGCATCCGACGCGGTACACGCAAGCCTCTACGTAGGAAGAAGGTTGTATGCTAGCAAATGTAGGTACCAAGTTGTTCTCCAGCTTGGTCTCTTTCTCCTCAGCTCGACGAGTTATCATCAGCCGCGACTCGCGAGTTACCAACACGGACGCAAGTCTGGAGCGTTGATGGCATATGAGTAATCAAATGTGACCTCGGGATAACTGGAGTATAACAATTGGGACCCGAGCTTACTGTTGAAAGCTACTTTTGTAGGGTAGTGCGACGAGGCTCGCTGCGGAGCTACCTATTGCATGGCATGAAGCACAGTCGACAACGTGCCTGTGTTCAAGCTATCCGCCATGATGACCCTTGTCTGTATTCTGCAGCCACTGTGGCTCCGATACCTCGGAAGTTGAGGTGTTTGTGATCGGCGACACAGGCACCGGACGGATAGAACGTGGGACGGGAGCGTGGGAACAGCGGTGACCTGGTCCGCAAGAACTCATCGACCCCTGTCGATGAAAGGGCAGACGGTGATACTTACAACGCTGTTTCCGTCTGTCTGCTCCAGCAACAAAGGACAACTGTGCTACGTGTGTTGCTAGGAGAAAAGGACATTGGTTGAGCAGCAGCACTGTTCGGTATGTATGCAAGCCACAATTCCTCTTTTGGGCACTGCGGGAAGGATTTCCAAGGACAAGGACAAGAAATGCTTGTTTCTCTAGGTTGGTCAAGTTGTTGTTCTGCATGCTTTTCGTTAAGATGCATAAATCTGGAGGCCTCGATCGAGGAACGTCGGATATGGCACCGCTGCACCTTCTCCAGACTGGGGGCGGCCGAAATCAACGCTTTTCCACGTCATAGAAGGCTGCGTTTGTCATGATACTTTTCTACTTCAACAACCGTCAGCCGCAGCACATGAAAACCCAAAATGTATTTTGGCTGTGTGCGTTGAACGAGAAAGGAACGTCTTGGCTGGTCTTGGAGGCCGAGGAGATACGGACTCAATTGAAATGTCATTCTGAACCACCAATTCTGACTGCTTCGTAAACAGCTCATGGACGGGTCACGCCTCGATCTCGAAATCTCGTGACAGGGACTTGGATCATCATCATAGTCATCTGTTGGTGCCGTCATCTCATTCGAACGGAATGCCCCGGAGTCGTCGTCCGCCTGAGAACGAAACATCCATATCTCGAACGCGCGGCTGGCATGCATGATAGATTGCCATAACATTTCTGCTTGGATCCGTTTGCTGGCATTGAAACCCATGCTCCCGTCATTACTGCGTGTGAGAGCCGTCGGCCAAATCAAGTCGGCATTCTCCTCTGATCCGCATTGCTGATGATTGGCGGGCTGCAGGACAAATTACCGCATTTGGATAGCCAAAAAGACGTTAACGAAGATGAGACATCCCTTTTCTGCTCCAGAAACTCAAATGCCGTCAAGACATGGCGCTGATCCCTAAACTCCGCAAGTCCCCGGGTCATGAGCTCCACATTCTGAGGCTCATGGTTTGCGCATGATGCAGCACAGCAACATCTCTCAGCGATGACCATCCTTCCTATGATGGCCCTTGCCACAGCTCTGCAAATCGGTACGGGCGGGATTTCAATTAGCATTTTTTGATCGACCTACGTACTTAGACCCTTCCTTCCTTTCCACCGGATGTTTAAATATCTGACGTCCTCTTGCGTCCTATATTGCTCACCCACCTCTCTCTCACGTTCTTTGTGACTTTCCTTGCTGCGTTGCATCTTGAACACTACAGCATTCCATCAATCTCCAACATCTTAATTGACGTTCTACCACCAACAACATTTCGTCTGCAATCGGATTTTCTGGGTCCAATATGGCCTCTTTACTACTCACTTGTTTCGGTCTGGCAAGCTCCAAGATTACAGCTAAGCAAAGAGCCAAGAAGGAGCGCAAGCAAGAATACGAACAAAATTTCGATTTATTGAAGGAGCAGAATGCAAACAGAGTTCGCCAACTTTCCAACCAAGGAGAACATCACGGATCATTGGACGGCAGGACATTGTATGGTGATGGAGTTACCGATCACGGCCCTGAGATGCAGCAACATTCCAGAAACGGTTCAACAACGCCAAACACAACATTCGCACCGCCAAAGTACGATGACATTGTTGAAGAGACGTCATCAAGGCATTCTGGATGATTGAGCCTGGCTTGAACCCGAACACGAATCTCACTACTTCTATCACGAACGATCATGACGAACAACGGACACGAATACATTCAACCTTTTCGACAGAGCATAGCAACGTTGCTACTGGCTGCCACGACACGATGCATCATACACAGCATCAGCTAGCAACCTTTGCTCGGTCTTTCACCATAATGATGCTATTCAGCTCTTATGTCTGCAAGATCAATGATATCGAGATGGTCGTCTTTACGATTGGCTCTTCGAGAGAGTGGCCCGTCCTATCACGCATCAGTGATGCGTGTCGAATGATCTATCCGCTCTGCGTCCAGGAGACGCTGCGACCACTTTTTACGCTTTTCTTAGATGGGGGACAGTAGTCTGGGATGTCCCTACATCTAGTTATTGGAACATATTGGATTTTAATTAGGTTCTTTCGCATACATTCAAAGAACGAACAAATATTTCTACATCGTATCAGTCTTCCCGTCTTTCTAGTCTTGTTCTCAGCCGCGGTCCTTCAGCGCTAGATTTGAAACCTCACATAACCATATTCGCACTACATTCGTGATGAATGTCCTTCACACAAGCTGAAGCTGGCAAAGTCTAGTGCCCATTGCTGGCTATACCATATTAGAAGATAACCACAGGTTTGCCGACACTCAACAGTTGCCCAATCGTTTCCTGAAGCTTGAGCTATGAGCTGATACAAAAAACTAGACTATGACTCCGGTCACTCTCATCTCCCGCAGCCCACATTTTTTATGTTTCGATCATTAGATGTCTGTTCTACGGTCTTCGGTGTTTGTCATTCATGTCAGAGTGGTCTTCATGGATTCTACCTACACGTTTCACGACCGTCTGTACTCGCACTAGCTTACGCTCCGCAAGTGACGGTTTAGTCAATCCGATTTCAAGTCCATCGAGTAGACTCTGCATCATATTTTGCGGTCGCCCATATCCTCGGCTGCCAATGTCCCATAGAAGCTGCGTGGTTGTTCTCGTCTGCTCTGTCTTCGTATCTTGCTCTCTGTCGAGGATCATGGAGACCTTTCAATGGGACGGTGCTGGCTGGGGAGAACCTGGCCTTCGTACCCTCCTCCCCACTTAAAGCAACAGCAAGGATGAAAAGTTCTGTCATGAGTCAGTCACGTACGGGAGCAACGCTTGTGCATGGAGATATGTTCGTAACTTCCTTATTTTACCGTTCTCAGCAAAGCCATGTATGCAAGAACTATTATGACTACGCGAATACGTGCATCGGTCATCACATCCAATGGTCAACCGACAGCTTTTCTGAGCAAGGTTCAGAGCCAGCTTGTCATCTGTTCGGTGGTCGTGCAGATGCATGATCTTATAGAACAGTATGGTTCTGCCGGTATACAGAATTTGGATTGATAGAACAGTCTTCTTAGCTTCGACAATGTCTACTCCTGTTTCCATTCGTGCCTCTCTAACAACTTTCTTCTCTTGTTCTCTTAAACTAACATTTACCTTTGTGATACACACCAATACACAAGGTCAAGACCGACTCGAGGAGAACCATATTTTGCTCCATTGATCCATGTACAAAATCTCTATGCTACTCACCAAAACGCTTTTGTCCTTATTAGAGAGCTGTGAGAGCACCTCCTCAAGCGAAGCTACCAAAATTCACATATGTGGACTCACTGAACGCTTTATGCGACAGTCAGGAACAGAAATGGGTTTATTCCTTATTAAAGTTCGTGACATCTGTCACAGGTTCTTTGGGCCCCTGGTGACTCCGTATAGTTGAAGAGCCTTGCTCAATTCCTTTTCTCTCTCAGTCAAAGTCATCGCAATGTGATATTGGTAAAGTGACAGTCATAAATGCCAACGGGGAAGAGGACAATGACTCGGAAGGCTTTGATTATGGTCTACGGTACGCGATCGTATGATATGTCTAATGTTGCAGTGTGTTGGTCGTCGATCGTAAATATGAGAGGTTAGGCGTCAGGGAAAATAAGGGCAAAACGATATGCCGCTAGAGCTTGAAGAAGAATCATATGATCATATGGTCTGAACTTTCGTGTGTGGTATCAAACTTGAAAACGATGTAAGCAGAGAGCAGGATGCATATGTCGTAACGGGCTGGAATAGGCATGAATAAAGTCAAAGGGGTGGTAATGAAGGAAGGAAATCGTGTTTGAACCAGTGCAATAGTGAAGAGAGCAGAGAATGGTACCAGCCCCAACGCAGTGGTTGATGGGAATCGAAGCTTGCCGAGGCTCATTGGTTGTCTGGTCGTATGTATCATGCAGGCGATTTAGTCAGGTGAGACCGTTGTGCATCGTCTCCTCCCATCAAGGTCGTGTTGTCGCGTGCCATCTCAACGCAACATGCATAGACAAGGCACAAGGTCCTGCATTGTGTCTGTTGTGTGCAGCTCGTGTATTAGACCCACAGTCTGCTGATACTTGATTCGCAGCTAGAATCGATACTGGAGGTGTCTAGAGAGTTTTGGCAGCTTGGTGCTCCGAGCCTGCGAACTTCGGTTGTGTTGTTGAGGGGTCGATCTTTGAGAGGTAGAGTGCGTTGGGCACTTGTATCCCACGAGCACCACTCTTTCGGTAACGCCGTGACTTCGAGAGCCATAGGAAGCACAGGGATCGAGAGAGTGTCTGTGGTAGAGACAGCGGCAGACTGCGTAGCGCTCCACGACTTGGATGCACATTATTGCTTCGATGCTGGTGATGGTAGACTCGGGGCTTTTTACAAGGTTATGAGATGTAGGCTGGTCTTTGCGATGATACTGTGTGCGAGATGTGGTCGTTGAAGAGGACTACGTGGAACGGTATATATCGTACGTAGTATACCTGACAGGTCTACGTGCGTAGTGTTGGATGGACGCGCAGGGTGTCCAGCATCTGACATGCGTACGTGGTACTTGGAGCGACCATCCTGCGGCGACAAGGCAGCTAAAGCAAGGTAGTTTAGTGATCCTGTACGAAGGCCTGACCAGTGGAAGAGAGCAGATGAAAACAGCGACGGAAGCAGAGAGCAAATTGAAGTGAAGTAGATAGAAGGACAACAGATTTTCTGTGCCGTCATTGCTTCACTATTTCTCATCGATGTCACCTATAACCCAAAGCAGAAAATGCTGATAGCAAACATTCTGGAAGCAACGTTCCATTCCGCTTTGGCTGCTACTTACTGGTACCCGTCACGGCCAGGCAGGGTCTTGCGGCAGGAGCGGGACCATCTATGATAGACACACAAAAGCGATTTGGCGATGCCCAAATTAAGCTCGTCTTCGCGAACAACTGTACTTTCATGATAGTTGTCACCCAGAGGCAGATGCTTGAGCGACCATAGTAGTTACATGGACTAGCGGTGATCCTTGGCGATCGATAGGTATGCTGCAGGTCCTAGAGATACGTCCAAGCTTGCCATGAGGGTAAGATGCTGATCCGGCAGTGCCTTGCGCATGCTATTCTTCCGAGCTGCACGCCAAAATTACGGTGACGATGACATCGATGGCGCACCTCTTGATTTGTACAGTCAGCGACAACATAGACTTGAGTCATAGTGAGCTTCGATGTGATCTCTCAACTCGCAGCTTAAACGTGTTTTGCAGGGTGGGGTACCGACATATTTCGTATACATGGGGTTGCCTGAACGATTTGCCCGAATCGTTTGACAGGCCACTAAACTACACATGCAGCTTCGACAACGAATCACTCGATCAGCCATTGCGTTGGAGTCAGCGCCCAAGTACCGATTTGTCTTGATGGATACAATACCTATGCAGATGAGTGTCAGAGGATCGGCGCTACTTTGCACAGTGACACACCCTGACACGTTGATGAATTACTCATAGGCAGGATCAAAAGGATCATGCTCGCCGCATATAGTTTGCCTAGAATGGTCCAACAAAGCTGCAGTATGCTGCACGATCGTGGTACCGAGACATCGTCAGATCAAGTCTAACCGAGGGGGCTTAATTTAACTTCATGTTATCCCGCTTGAAAATGTCAAGGCACTGCATCGGATAAGTGCGCACTACGCACTTGCACATGCTCGAGCAATACGAGCGGAGTCTCGAAGGAAACCACCGTACAACTTAAATCGCTGGACCAAAGACTTTTCGAAATCATAGAACCCAACTCTTAGCGACACCCGGCGGCCGCCGATTACGGTCACTCAGTACCTATCCGACCTCGCAGTACATCTTTTGATTGTCTGTCTAGCGACAAAAATGTAAAAACTGGCATCCACAAGATATCATCCCGTTGTACTTCATGTCCCAGCATTGCGTACATTCAAGAAATCGGCAGTTGGATCGTACATGAAATTGGTGATGTTGAACTCGCTGTTGCTGCCCAGATCAGGAGCTTGGAACTCTCCGCTATTGGCGGCTGCAGCAAGAGAAGTGTCGTTGGGGACAGGAAGACGAGGCATGTTGAAAAAGTCGAAGACATCCAGATACTCGAGCTCTTGTGGAGCCGGGGTACGAGCGGGAGTTATGGCATGCTGTTTACCACCACTATATTGCTGGCGTGGTTGCCTGGAGATCAAGAAATCCAGATCGTAGGCACATCGTCTCATGTCCGCCAGGATCTTTACCGTTGATGGTGTAACTCTTTCGCCATTTACACCAGTTGGTGCACGTTCGGATTCATTGTATTCGTCAAGTACACGTTGCAAGAGTGTAGCATATCTTTCAGCGACGTTCCAGTATCGACCCATATCTCGCAACGTTTCGACAAGAGGATATATTGCTGGGTTGACTTGATGGTCAATCGTCGAACCATGAACGAGTAACAAGCGAGCCGCAACCCAGATTGAAAAGGCAAAATGCGGGCCGAGGTTTGTAAGCATGTTATTGTTTCTGACGTAAGTGCAAAGTGAGCAAATATCCTCAACAGCGGTGTGGCATCTTTGGCTAGCACTGAATGATGGTGTGAAGATAGGGGACCTGGTGGTTGGATATGCAGCAGATGAGTGCAGACGGATTACGGCACTAGATAATATCAGCAACAGATGAGGATGACCTGGGTGAGAATCGACTTACGTGTGATATGTGATATGCAACATGATCCAAATGCAATTAACAATCTTGCTGCTGCCGTTAGGGTTGAATAAGCGTGCCATGTTCCCATACTCGCCGGGAAGTGAAAACTTCCAGCTGTTCAGAGCACTGTCGAGCTCACGGTATTCGCGTTGCCATTGCTCAACGTCTGACAAATCCCCGATGTCGACTGGCTTCTTCAGGAATCGATGTATCCTCGACAGGATTCCCACAATCTCAATGTAGTAGCTGAGAGATCCTAGGTTTTCTGGTTTGTTCAACGTGTAGTCGGTTCTCTCCGACGTGTGAAACCAACGAGTCTCGACAGGCTGATTTCTAGCAAACAAGTCATCTCTGCAAGGCAATTTGCGATCAATCTCTTTGTCATCGAGTGCAAACTCGAAAGCCGTGGCTATGGTAGCATAGCGGTCAAGGAGATAAACCATCCAGAAAAGACGTCGACGACTCTCATCCTCAATCCAGTCATTTGATTCCGGGAGAACCATTGCACGAAGAGTATAGATTGAAGGATACAGCGGGGACACAGAGGTCGATGTGGTCTCAACCGCCAGACCGAGCTGTACGACAGAACGCGCAATCAGAGCAAGCAAGTTCCAGCCGGGTGGACCATTTGAGCATCCAACAATATCCAAGGCCAGGATGACCAGGGCTTGAAGTGCTTTGACGGAGCTGTTCTCGAGCCCGTAAAGTAATACCTTTTGTTTGGAATTGGAGTAGTATCTTTCTCGAGCTTGTTCAGTTAGACGCACATCGTTGGAAAACCTCAGCGTTGTCGCGACGATGGCATGAAGTAGGATCCTGTCAGCTTCCTCAAGACTAGAGGTACCAAACAAGGAGTCGAGAGTACTACGCCTGTGCAGAATTGGGGCCCATGTGTTAACATGCTTGAAGAACAGATCGACGAGAGAATACAAGAGATCGTAGGGCGGCAGCTCAGCATCTTGACTGGTAGCCATCTGGCTAGACATCTGCAGCTGAGGACTTGTTAGGTTGGCAGTTTGTCCGGAACCAGGTATGTTCAGACTAGGAGATTCTAGTGGTGGGTTGGTCGGAGCATATGGTGCTTCCGAGTGAGAATCAAGCCTAGCATGAGGTGTGCTAAGCTGTTGTTGCGTCTCTTGTAGAGACTGAGTATACTGTTCCGCTTGCTGTGCAGCTTGGGCGGTATTCATAGGGTGTAAACCAAAGCCTGTATTAGTAATGGCAGAGGCAGGGGAGGTTGCAGAAGGATATGGAGCTGGCCTCTGCATGTAAAGAGCGGCCTCGGAACGACCGCCGTGGTCGACTGATTGTGCAGTGGAAATGGCTGATGGTGACTGGTGATTGAGCTGCTGATTTGTCAAGCCGGGGATGACCGAAGTAAAGTGCTGCAGGAGCTGTTGCTGTGCTTGCAGTACGTTCTCCACCTTGTCTGACGAAGCGTCAATATCTCGAAGACAAAAATGGTTGATGAAAATTACCAAGTCGAGCTTCGAGTTCTCTACCATAACCTTAAGATGATTCAGATGGAGTTTGTACAATGTTCTTTGTTTTGAGTACTGACCAGCACGCAAGCCAGGCTTCTTGCGCTCCTTGTACTCGCATATTTGGCTATTTCGAACACACCTGGTCGAACTCAGCACATGTTAACCATTGCACAGAAGTGAGGGACCAACCAGCCGCATGATGGCTTGCCACGATCGCAGCGGACTTTGCGAATTTTGCAGAGTTCACACGAAACACCTTCAAAATCGTCAGACATTCGATACTCGAGTCAAAACAAATTTCACATGACAATTGTAGACGAAGAGCAATGGGGAGGAGGCATGACTGGTGCTGAGTTTACAAGGTCAGGACGCACTCAGTGGACGCGGTCTTTTCCTCTTTGGGCCATCTTCATCGCCGTCGTCATCACTCCAGGCTTCCTCGAGGCCGTTCTCCCGGTCTTCGGCTGGCTCATCGAGGGAAGGTCGAGCGTGTTGTTGGGTAAGTTTTGGTGAAGAGGGTGACTGAGCCTCGTTGTTCGGGGTGATTTGAGCCGCCATGGTCAAGAGGGCAGAAGGCTTCGGAGGGATGAAGACCGAGCGGAGAGAAGGCTTTTGTTTGTGAAGCCCCGCTTCTGCCAAGCAAATACCCTCACCCGGGACATCATTGTCTGCGAAAGCCGATGCCGCGACATGTTTGCACCGGTCGCTGCACCTTTTGTAGGAGATGGTAGCTGATACTGCCTACTCAGACGTGTGCCGAGGGAAAGACGCTCGTCTGTCGTCGGCATATAACCATGCTTCCCCCAGAACCAGAGCCTAAGTCTTAGATCTCCCCCTTCTGCACACCTGTCCCCTCACTGTGCCTTCTCCCTCCCTGTTCTAGCTGTATACATTCACTATGGCCTCTGTGAACAGCTTCCCCACGATCAAGGCCGTCAAGACCTTCGTCGTCCAGGGCGTTGGCTCTGGTGGTGACTATCACAATGTCAAAGGCGGCCATTGGCTGATCGACTCCAAGATTGCGACTCCCATGTCTGGATACGACAAGTACCGCAAGTCGCGAACCTCGTTTGGCATCAATGTCCTTGGCTCCTTCTGCGTTGAGATCGAGTCTACAGATGGCAAGAAGGGTTTCGCTACAGGTTTTGGTGGTCCACCAGCATGCTGGCTTGTTGCTGAGCACTTTAACAGATTCCTGATTGGCGCTGGTGAGATGTGGCTGCACTCTCAAAGACACAAGGCGACTGCTGACATTGCAACAACAGATCCTCGTGATACGAACCTACTCTTCGATCAAATGTACCGAGCATCCATGTTCTACGGACGAAAGGGTCTTCCATTGGCTGTCATCTCTGTTATCGATCTGGCTGTCTGGGATCTGCTGGGCAAGATCAGAAACGAACCCGTATACAAGATGATTGGAGGTGCAACAAGAGACAGACTCAACTTCTACTGCACCGGTCCCGCACCGTCTGCTGCTAAGAGAATGGGCTTCTTCGGCGGCAAGGTCGCCCTTCCATACAGCGCCGCCGAGGGCTTCGAGGGCATGAGAAAGAACATTGAATACTTGACCGAGATGCGCGAGAGTGTTGGTCCCGACTTCCCGCTCATGGTTGATTGCTGGATGAGTCTGACGGTACCCTATACCATTGAAATCGCTGAGAAGTGCAAGCACCTTAATATCAACTGGTGGGAAGAGACTCTTTCTCCCGACGACTTCGACGGCCACGCTCTTCTGAAGCGTGCTCACCCTACAATCAAGTTTACCACTGGTGAGCACGAATACACCAGATACGGTTTCCGCAAGCTCATCGAGGGTCGCAACCTCGACATCCTTCAACCTGATGTCATGTGGCTAGGTGGTTTGACCGAGCTGCTCAAGGTGTCGGCTCAGGCCGCTGCATATGATATTCCTGTGGTCCCTCACGCAAGTGGTCCTTACAGCTACCACTTCGTTGTCTCACAGACAAACTCACCATTCCAAGAGTACCTTGCCAACTCTCCTGATGGTCAATCGGTTCTGCCTGTGTTCGGTAACCTCTTCCTCAACGAACCCATACCCGAGAAGGGTTACCTTGACGTGTCCGTTCTGGACAAGCCCGGATTTGGTCTTGAGGTCAATCCTTCTGCTCCTTTGATTGATGCCGCTGGCATCCTCAACCCTGCCCCTTCAAAGTCATTGGCCGACCCCACGGCTCCTGAAGGTGTCCAGAACGAGAAGACGGCGTAAGTCTTAACGTCTTATGCACAGTAGAGAAGTGTATAAACATTCTGCCTAGCATGTGAGGTAGGACGTTTTCACGATATTTTAGTATTCTGCATAGCATAGACCATTCTTGCATACAGTAAAATCACAATTATTTTCAGGCTCTTATGAACACAGACTGTGATAATAAGTTAATCGTCGTCTCACAGTTGCAGTAACATGACAGCTAACGATCTTTGCCTGTTTCGTCAGCCAAGACACGCTCCGAAGCCCCGAAGCCCTCCTTGTTACCCTTGTGCAATTCACGAACAAACTTGAGAATATGATTATCATGTCTACAACTTCCGCACCAAATTTTTCCTACGCCGCCTGACTCCACACCATATAATCGATACTTTGTCATGAGTGTACAAGCCAGCATTCACACATTGAAAAGGACGCTTCGTTCAAGAACATTCTGGCAATGGATTCTATTCGCAGCAGGCATTTATCTTCTAGTACGACTCCTCAGACCTCCTCCGCGAGCACCCGTTCGCCATACGTTTGAGCCTATGCATGTCACTCCAGAACCAGATGATGGCATTGATTGGACACGTTATGCATACGTCCAATATGTCACCGACGAAGAGTACCTCTGCAACAGCTTGATGATGTTTGAGTCTCTGCATCGACTGGGTAGCAAGGCAGATCGTGTCTTGCTCTATCCTCAACAGTGGGAATTATATCCCAAGGTACCGACTTGGATAAGTAAGTTCATACGAAAGGCCCAGGACGACTACAAGGTCCATATCGCACCAGTCAGGCCTCAGTATACCGAGTCGGGAGACGCAACATGGGCGCAAAGTTTCACCAAGTTGTTGGCATTCAAACAAACCCAATATGACAGGGTCTTGAGCCTGGATTCGGACGCCACTATTCTGAAGGTACGTTGACCCTGCATTTCCGATGGATTGATGCCAGGACCCGTCTGATTGTCATACCTACAACAGCCTCTCGATGAGCTTTTCCTTCTGCCGGACCATACTCTAGCAGCACCGCATGCATACTGGCTTCCTGATCCTGACACGATCTCGTCGGCAATGCTGCTGATCAAGCCATCTATGCATGAATTCAAGCGCGTGATTGATGCCATGTTCAAGCGTTCGAACGCGAGTGAATTTTACGACATGGAAGTAATCAACGACGTTTATGCGGGTGAGGCGATGATCTTGCCAAACGAACATTGGGTTGTGTCTGGAGAGTTTCGGCTCAAATCTCACCACAAATATCTGGACGAAGGCGAAACCTGGGATCCCGACAGAGTGTTGAACGAGACGAAGCTTGTTCACTTTTCAGATTGGCCGCGGCCGAAGCCATGGTTCCCCATAACCGAAGATATCTACCTCAAAACGCAACCGGCCTGTGACACTATGCCCGGCTCAGCGCGCAAAGACTGTCGTAACCGGGATGCATGGAATTGGCTGTACGAAGATTTCCAAGAACGCAGAGGGGTATGTGCAACATGTGGAATTTTTCTGAGAATTTTCTACTGACAGTCCAACAGGAGGTCTGTGGTTGGACCTTCACCTTATATTAGTCTGGAAGTTTAGATGAGCCGCGGGACGACAAAATAGGCGCAGGCAACATGCATATAGATCTTGGTTGTGAGATAAAGGCCCAGAGCCAAGGTAGCACAGCAGGAGCATCTTGGTGGGACCAAGTTGTGCCAACTTTCCAAGACCGCTCGAGCAATCGATGACTTGGTTTGACACATGTGGAGAGGGTCAGTCAAGCGCGCGCACGCATGTGCGTACACGCGTAAACCAAGTTTCAGGCACACGGATCAGCGATTCCGGGAGGATCAACGAGCATCGGGCAAACAAGTGCAGATAGTCGGCGGATGACGCTTAGAGACTACTGGGTGGTTTGCGTGGCGCCCAGCTAACAAGAAGATTTGATGGATTTGACTCCACTCCGAGATGAGCGTTTTCACAGTTGAACTGTGGGAGACGGCTGGTAGACTGTAGACAGGCCTGTTTAAGAGCCCCAAGTACGTCACCAATAGTCCGTGCACTATACCCGATCTTGATTGTTGGATGCGCCGGACGGCCACTTTAGTAGACGACCGTCGCCGCGCTCCCTTCCTAGGTTTTTCAATATCGACCTTAATAGATGGGCAGTGGTTGCTTTCTGTCGCTTTCTGTTTTCCTTGCATAACCTTCGTTTGTTTGTCAGGCATTCTACATCTTGCATACCATACACCATGGCTATCAATTCACTACTGCTATCGGCTTCATGCTTTAGCCTCGCGCATGCCGTTTCTATCTCCCTAACACCCGCCGCCAGCGCGCCTGCAGCTTCTGGCATCTCACAAGTTCTGAGTCCTTCTTTCGCTGGCCTCGGAATCGAACCTTCCAACCTGTTCTCCTTCACCGGTGGAGACACACCTAATAAACTCTCCATCAATCTTCTTCAACATCTCACAGATTACTCCGGCGCACCTCCTCATCTCAGACTCGGCGGCAACACTGGTGATCATATGGTCTGGGATGCTTCTTGGTCAGCTTTCAGTCTCGGTCAAAACCCTCATCAGGAAGAAACCAACCCTACTCCCGCAGATGGGTCCGTCTTCGGTCCTGGTTACCTCGAGGCTCTCGAGCGTTTCCCCAAGGGCATGCCTGTCACCTTCCAGCTGAACATGGCCTATGACATGGGCGATCGACTCGAGAAGATCAACGAAGCAGCAGCTGCCGTTGTCGACGGTCTCAACAACACTTCGCTCTACTCGTTCGAGATTGGTAACGAGCCAGACTTGTACCTCGAGGCCTGGCAACAGATGCGAAATGGTACCTGGAACGGCCAGATCTACACCCAGCAGTGGTTAGAAAGAGCAGAGTCTGTCTGCAACAACGTCCTGAAACCAAGAAACATGACCTGCGACTTCTTCGAAGCCGCCCAGACTGCCTCGACAATTGGCACAACCTTCACCATCAACGACATGGTCGATGCGGGTATCATGAACGGGTCCGACGGTACCAACTATCTCTCGTCGTGGAACCAGCACGATTACTTCTACTTTGTCGATGTTTCAACTTACGATCTCACCCTCAACATCTTGATGGACTTTGACAGGACCGAATCTCAATTCGCGTACTGGGCCACTTCAATTTCAACCGCGCTGTCTACTGGTATTCCTTACAACCTCCGCGAGATGGCAAACGTCGGTCCCATTGGTATGGCAAATGTAAGCAACACTTTTGGTGCTGCACTCTGGTTCCTCAACTTCTATTGCTACGGCGCCACTCTCAACATTTCCTCGGTTGAGATGCACATGACCGACAACTCGTACGCTGCTCCTTGGCAACCTATCTACAACAACGGAGAGGCCGCCAATGTTCGTCCCAGCTACTATGCTTTGGCTGCTATGGCTCAGCTCCTCGGCTCGGGCAATGGTACTACCAGACTCGCTCCCTTGGCCACCCAGAACTCTTACGTCCGCGCATATGCTGCCTACGCTAACGATGATCTTTCTTCCTTGGTTATCATCAATGCCCAGCAGGCTAACGCCTCTGATACCGACAAGGGCAGCATCGACTTCGCCATCTCGCTTCCTGACCTTAAGGGACAGACTCTGTTCCTGTCGTATTTGAATGCTGATGGTGCCGACGTTACCCAAAACGTCACTTGGAACGGTCTTAGCTTCGAGAGTGACAGCGTTGGTTCTGCCACCACTGCTCAGGACCAGAGTGGCCAGACTGTTGTCCTCGACTCCAACGGCGCTGGCACAATCACTGTCCGCGACTCTCAAGCCATCATCGCAAACCTTGGTGCTCGTCTTGGCTCGCTCCCTGTCGACGTTGCTAACTCCACATCTTCTGGCTCTGGTCACTCGGGTTCCGGTTCTGGTAAAAACGGTCACAGCTCTAGCGCCAGCACTAGCGGCGCAACACGCACAGTGAGTACATCCGCATCCGCAATCGCAATCGCATCCACAACGGCGGCAAACGTCCAAGTTGCAGCGGCATCAGGCAGCGTCACTAGTTCCAGCGCCGGCGTCAGTGTGACCGCGAAGTCAGCGAGCTCAAAGACCATCATGCTGACGGATAAGACTCTCTTCGCCGTTGTCTCTATGGCCCTGGTGTGCATCTTCACCTCCTAGGATATTTTCCAAGATCCTCTCCTCATTTCCCTCCACGATACCTGGATACGACCTCTCTTAATGTTTCTTTCTTCTTTTGCTCTTCTTCTTCTGTACATGATACACAATTAGCGGATACCTTTTCTTCTTCGAGTCTTCTTTCATCGGAGCATGGGTTTTGCTTTTCATTTCTGCATGACATGACGGTACTGGCGTTTTCAATGGCATTGGATGGGTGGTTGGGAGGTCTGCATGACGACGCGCTTTTCTCTCCCATTATGATTAGATCCTTCAGCTTCACAGTATTAGACACGGGCCATGAGGCGCTAATGAATCTCTTTTTCATTTCATCGTGTGCAACAAGTGCTTGTGAGGACATGTGCGATACTTAATCTTTGCATGTTTCCTTTTTTTTTTTCTTCTATCAAAATAGTACTAGCAAGCAAGAAAACGTTCAACAAGAAACTGAAGATGAGAAAACTATGTATGCATATCCTTAAGGACTATGAACAAAATGGTGTATATTCTCCTCAAAGCAAAGAATCTAGTCACAATCTATGCTGAGTGTCTAGCTTTGCGAAAGAAAAAATTTGTTGCTGGTAATACAGATGCCTATGCTGATGCTGTGGTCGATGCTGTCGTTGGTCGAGGTCATGGACGTATGTATATTCGAAACGTAGGTTGTTCGGTTGCGGGATTGCTTGGTGGTGCGTCTTGTGATCAGCAAGAGTAAGCATGTAAAGCTTCTCGTGGTGCCGGGTATAGTTGATACAATACGGTACTGATAAGGTTTTGGGTTATGCATTCGAGGCGATCATCGCTAGCATGGCTGCTCGGATGGATCGAGCCAAGGGCAGTGATGAGCTTCAAGCACTTGACCCTGGCTGCATCGTAGTATATGCCTCGGTGCTGAAGCGACAGCAGTGCTCATGACCAGTCGAGATGGGTGGTAGAACCGCCTCGTAGGTGGCCACAGTAGGCTATGCATAGCCTATGATGACAGACGGCGAACAGTCGAATTGGCGCAGATAATATGTTTCGCTTCACAAAGTGTCGTGTAATCCCTCATGATAAATTGCACCTCTGCAACATTTGCTCGAGGTGAATAAGCAAGTTGTGTCATGATGCCGACTTTGATCATATCATGGTTTGAACTTTGGACCACATGCCGTTCCACTGAGCTCTTCCGAGAGTGTGGTCCTCAACGTAGTTGCCAAAGAGTAGTTGGCAATTAAGTGTTGAAGCGACGATGCGATCAGTCCAAGAGAGATAGCGCGAGAGAAGGAGACCGTTCCTGCCACTTGCAGCGATGATGCTTACGCCTCCTCTTGAATCCACCATCCTCTTCAATGCAGGTCCATGGATATTGAGTGCGTTGTGGCGCTCCATTTGCAGTGCCTCACTAAAGTAGACGTGACAGACGGACAAGATGACGGCATCAGTGTAAGCACGCTTAGGATCCATAATGGCTTCCCTCAGAGACTCGATGGCTTTATGCCGTAGCCATTGAGACTGGTAAGGCTTCTGTCGCATGGATATGGATTTGGAGGGAGGAGCCATAACGCTAGTGTTGGATAAAACGCCATAGAACATTGCAGGTTCCCGCTGGGTGATGGATATTTCCAAAGCAAAGTCGACAAATTCAGTATTACCTTGTTTACCCCAATCGGCCGAGATCAAGCCCATCCACGCTTCACCAAGATTGTTGCGATCTGAAGACGGAACAGATTAGTCATAAGCAACCGAGGACTTGACCATGAAATACAACTTCAGCTTGTAACGAGTGCTTTTCGAACCCTTGACAGGCTATCAGGAGATAGATACTTACAAAAGTGGATCAATGGACTAAATGACTCCTCCCAGCGGACAGGAAACTGAGAAAATGGATCATGAGTAGAGCCGAACTGATGAGGATGGGCGATAGATGTGTAGTGTGAGCGTGTTGGCGCCCTAGCGACGAGCTGCGATGCACGGGAATTATCATCTTCCATGTCTTCTTTGTCATGATTAATTCCAGACATTCCAAAGTCAGTGTCATCTGTCACGGAGCCCATGGCGGTATCATGTGGTGAATGAGCCGATGAGTCGGATGAAGTCGTTGAGGGAGAAGAAGATGAGTTATGTGGCACCAAAGGCTGTACAACGCTGCGGTCAATATCATGTTCTGGTTGAGATGATCCAGCAGGTAAATCCTTGTGGCGTGGTGGTGCAACTTGAGCCGCATCCGGAGCAGTTTCCGTGGTGGGACCAGGCAGGGCATTTTTGGCGGCGGCTGCGGCGAGGGCCTTTCCCCTCGAGTTCTTCCTCGACTTCCATCCTGCTTTGGCGGCGTGAGATCTGATGGCTCGCACAGATGTTGACTCTTGTGGTTCGCCAAAGGTGATGATGTTGAGCATTTCCTGGCGCGGCGGCGGTCCTGGAGGGGACATGATAGCCCCGACGGATGCCTGCGTTATGCAGAGGAGGAAAGAGCGTCGTCGAGCAAAGAGACAAGGACGAGCGACATGGCGCTCCTCCCCTCTTTAGCCGCTGATGTAAAGGTAAACTTGGAAGACTTCAGTCCGGGGAGGACGAGGTGGAAAGAGCATCATTACTCGACTCGAGGTCCACAATGGCTTTTTGGCAGATCGTGATCCACCCACAGCATCCGTCAGAACGACATGAGCAAAACAGGGTCTGCTTTCCGAGCGAGCGCTGCGAGTGCGGTCCTCTCACCGCCTTAGCGCAATTCGACCCTGACGGATTGCGGAAACGTCGGAAAGCCATGCGACCCGGCGACCGACCTCAACTTCCTTCATCACGCATCCTATATAATACTGTACTTGAAACACTCGTCACAGTTGGGTCAGCCAATTGCTGTGTGGAACATGCACAAGTTCCTCTGGTTATCGATGACGATCATAAGCGAGATTATAAGAATGTAATTATGCATACATGATCCCTGGGCAGATTGCGCTTTGCATTTGCGCACGAGCACATCATTGGACAAGAGCTACGACACTTGACGTCTGCAGGACAAGCGGCTCCGAACAATCTGTCATGCGTCGTGATAGGCTTCCAACTGCTCGTTCCTTCCGAGCTCTAATTGCTTGATTTCTGTGAAGACTTTTGTCTAATTGCGACTGCGATCGCTTATCCTGCTCAACATAACAACAGATCTGGATTTTCACATGTTTAGTAGCCTGATGCTTGACGGTCGTCTATTGCTTGATTCAGTCTTTATTCTTTTCAACGCACATCAAATCAGCGACTTACAGTTGGCACCCATGGCCCTTCTCAACTTCATGGTAACCTCTGCCTCCTTGAGGTCGGTCTTGCTGTCGGTCTGAATCTCGATGGCGTAGCTTCGCAAAACTTGCTTGACTTGACCAATTTGCGTGGTCATCTTTGCTCTGCGCATGACTCTTGTGTTGGGACCTGGAGGATGGTTCCATCAGTCTTTGTGCCTGATACCGCCACAATATGGAAATGCTTCACGCCGCTCCATTCGAGATTTTACTGAGAAGTCCCGTAAAGATTTTTGGAGCACTCCATCCCTTCGAAACTCGATCCTCCTCTTTACAGAAGCTGATATCGCTTCACATATTGAAGAACTTGAAACTTACCACACCATGAGACGAAGACAAACTTGACTCTTTGCGAGAGCTCATCGTTCCCAACGGTCATCCTTACAAAAGCATACGCAGCTTCATCATCTCCAAGGTGCTCCACCATTTCTGCGATATCGCCTTCACCAGTAGAATCCAGCTTCAATGCATCGGAAGTGCCGGAAATGTACTTGAGCACCATCCATGTTGTGGCTGACTTATCGGAACGCACGTCTTCGTAAGCAGTGGCGATCTCAGGGTCGCTGAGCAGGTTGTCGGCGGTTTGAGGCATGGTTGATGATGATGTGGAAGTGTGCGGGGTGATGTAGGCGTGTGGTGGGTTAAGGGTGGAAGTGTGTATATCCAGGGGTAAACGGCTGGGTAAACCGCGGGTCTTTTTGAGAAGCTGGAACGCGGCTTGTTCTTAATGAAATATTCGAGAAAACAATGACGCGAACATGGCCTGCTGGTCTATTTTTCGGTTGCCATGTTTATGCAGATGTCCGGAAGATATGATAGCGGATGAGACATAGTAGGTCCTCCACATTGTGACAAATGTTCCCACCAATCTGGCCAATGAGACCATGGGATGCTCGTCACAGAAGCATGAATCTTTGTGTGATTTTGAGAAAAGCTTCAGATCGACTCGCACCTCACCACATAGATACCTATCTCATTTAAACTCTGGCGAAAAGATGGGTTTCTGACCTCAAGTAGTTCTCAGAGCAGCAAAGAACATATTAGCTGCTTTGATCAGCTCATGAGTACGTTTGTAAGTGTGATCAGGGTGGTATGTCCAACATCACGAGTCAGCACGTTCGGCAGAACTTGCCAGGTCCAAAGAAACTCAGAAAGTCAAAAGAATAGATTCCGCATCATCCATGACGCGACGGGCAAGTGGCTTCCGTTCTTCTGTAAGTGTCTGCTCAAAAATTTCTCTAGAAGTTGGATGCAAAAAAGAGAGCACCCAGCAGACATATCTCGCTGCATTGTGATCACGGGGTGTGCAGCAAAAAGATAAAAAGAGCTCTCCCGGACAGGCTTGAACTGTCAACCTCTCGATAGCCGATCTGCCGAAGCAAATCTAACAGTCGAACGCGCTAGCCAATTGCGCCACGGAAGATGTGAAAGCTGAGCTTTCTGTAGCTATTGACTGGCGAGAGGTCCAAAACGTGCGTATATCAAGTCTGGTAAACAGAACGCAACGGACCAGAGAACTGAAGTCCTGGTCTGCAAAAGCTTCCACGTTCGTCTCTTTTTGCTGCTCCCGAGCTGGTATACAAAGGTGATGGGATGGGCGATTGACCAGTCATATCATCCAATGCTGCGACATGCTGCTCATAGTGCCTCCGACAATGGCAGCGATGTTGTAGTGTTGGCAGAAAATGGCGAGAGAGAAATTTGTTTGTCTGTCTAAGTTTTTTATGCAGCATCTGATGCATAACTTGTGCACAATTTCCACTGCACACCAGAGGGAGAGGAAGAGTGTGGTCTTCCATATTGTTTGGCCATGAGGTTTGTGGGCAGAGACGAACCAAAGGCTGGCCATGTCCATGGCAAGAAACGACAGGATCCTGCATGTTCGTTCTTTCTTTGTGAAGCAAAAGGGGACACAAGAACAAACAGAAACACTTAGCTATTTGAGCATGTAGAATCGAAAACGATCGTGAGCTGGATAGTGTGAGAAGATCATCAGTCCTCTGTGGAGTCATCGAGAGCAGGTGTGGTCCGAGATGTTTCGTGATCAGAGTGTTGCAATGCGCAAGCGCAAGCTCGAAGGCAATATCTGTTCCAGAAAGCATCTGGCTGACAATCAGGGTTTCGAGAACAAGGAGTCCAAGGCATTAGAATGTTCGTGTGATGATGTGCTTTGGTGACTGAAAAGTTTGGTTTGCGAAAAGTAGTTGGTCAGCTGTCGTGGCATGTCACATGAAAAGAGAGCAAACAGGCAAAGATGATTTAGGTAGGTACGAGTAGTTGCCTCACAGGAGTGGCCCCTTCCTACAAAAATGAAGGCAATCACGAAACATAAAATGGACGAAAACATTTCTATTCCACATACACAGCGCCATGCCTACTCATTCAAACAGCAACTGAAAAAAGGTATTATTCTTCCCTAAATCTTATATACACAAGAACTTAAGATTCCACAGGGTTGTCCTTATGACTATCGGAACTCATCCATGAACTCCTTGTGGAACTTGGTGATTCTGCCAACCCACTCAGTGCCAGGAGCAAGGAAAGTGGTTCTGAAGTGCAGTGTTCCCTCCTTTTGTCCGAATCCGCTTCCTGCAACGACGCAAACACCAGTTGCATCGAGCAATCTGAGGCAGTAGTACTCATCTGGGCTTCTGCCTTCCTTCTTGGCCTTCTCGATGGCCTTGGGAGGAAGGGTGATGGTAGGGAAGAGGTACATGGAGCCGGTAGGTGACTGGCATGACACACCCTCCATCTCACGGAAGGCTTCGTAGAGGGCGGTAGCACGCTTTTGAAGGCCGTTGAAGATGCCACGCTCCTCTTTGTGGTAGGTCTCGTAGGACGGGTCGCCCTCGACTGGTGGTTCAACCATAAGGGAGACAAGGCATTGGCCAATGACGGGAGGGCAGAGCTGAATGCTGACAAACTTGTAAATTTGCTCGGTGACCTGGAAAAGGAAGGTCAGCCATAGAATCACAGATGCGGGAATGTGCAAGACTTACCTTCTCGTCGAAGCCGACAAGCTCAAAGTAACCACCACGGTGACCGCACTCACCAATCATACCCTTGCTGATACTGTGCATGCTGACAAGCTCAAGAGTGTCGAATTTGCCATCCTTGTTCTCCTCACTTTGCTGAAGCTCCCTAAGACATTGCTTGAAGCTGGTGAACTTGCCCACAAACACATTGGTCTGGTACACCTCATCGGCCATGACAACCAGCTTCTCCTCAGCAGCAAACTTCAGAACTGACTTGATGTCCTCGACAGAAAGAGTTGCACCAGTAGGGTTGCCTGGGTTGATGATGACAATGCTGCGGACGCTTGTACCCTCGGCCTTTGCCTTTGCGTAGGATGCGCGGATGGCGTCAAGGTTTGTGCCCCAAGCCTTGTCCTCCTCGAGTTCGTACGGTACGCACTTTGCATTCAGAAGAGCAAGGGTTGCGGTGTACAAAGGGTATTGCGGAATGGGAACAAGAACTCCAGAATTTTCGTCGGCGCACATGACATTGAGAAGAGTGCTAACACCACCTGAAGCACCAGCCGAAAGGAAGATGTTCTCAGGATCGGCAGGGAAGCCGTCTCTCTTCTCAATGAATTTGGCGACACTGCGGCGAATGCCAGGGGCACCCTTGGAGGCCGAGTATGCTCCCACGCTCTTGACATCGTCCAGCAGTGTCTTTGCGCGGTCAATGGCGTCTTGCTTGTAACCAAGAGAGTTGATGAGGACATCGGGGTGCTCAAGAAGGAGAGGGTTCTCCATCAATGATAGGACCTGACGGAAGAAGGTAATGGGCTTCTGGTCGAGTTGTTGGGGATTACCGATGTTGGCTGAGATGACAGTGTCGAAGGGCAGCGAAGTGTCCTTGTTTCTTAGTTGCTCGCGGTACTTTTCGCTCTTGACAGCGAGCTCACCACGAACGGCGTATTCGGCTTCGACGACATTCTGGTTGATGTTCTCAATCGTAAGGCGTCTCTGGCGGGGTGTGTTGGAGAAGGAGCGAGTTGACTGGCCTTGGAGCCATGCTGGGACTGGTAGCGAAGACAAGAGACTTTGCGAAGCCATGGCGGCGGATCCTGATGCTGGAGAGGTTACCGATCGTGGGGATGAATACGGGGATAGTGCAGGATATGTAGATAGGCGACGCGGCACAGAGTGAGCCCCTCCAAACCCAGTGGTCGCTCTACCCACGGCAATCCGGTATGACGACATGGCGGTGATCAGTCACACGATCTGATGGGAGTGTAGGGCGATTGGGGTCGGTGAGTGAGGGAATCTGGTGACTCTGAGGCCTCAAATCGAGTGAGGAGAAGAATCTACAATCAGCCTAAAAAAACAATTTGGAGATAAGAAAACCCGACAACCAGACATGAGTCAATCACTGCATCCTCCGCAACTCCCCCGAATATGGCGCATCTCAATAATCGGTAAACAACGCCCTATGCCGGCCCGTAGTCCGACCATCTCTGTGCCGTCCCCGGCCTTGCGGGGTACAAGTCACGACCGACCCCTATCTTATCACCACGTCTGAATATTCACCTCCAAGAGCAAGCATCTCTCGTCGTCAACCGCAGCGTTGTTCAGATCGACCCAGGCCCACTAATGATTCCCCAAATTGGACAGGCCTGATTCAGTACATTGCGGTCCTCCAAACAGCAAGCTGATCAAGTTTGCCAGCTTTCGCGCAGCCTGTGAACTGATTCAATCTAGTCTATTGAAGACCCGGTAAGTATAAAGCTCTTCCGACATGGCAGAGTATCCTCAAGCAGCCACCACGCTCTGTGTTTCTGCGTCATCGTCGACAGCATCACTCCTCTACTCTATCGATTTGGTTACCCATTGAAAAATGCAGCCCGTCGAAAATTATCCTCCCGAGATCTCGATAGCCCGAGCGTTGGGCGCAAAGACTACAGACATGGGCCTTTACACAATATAGCCACATCCCTTGGAAGGTATACTTAGGATGAGGTGCAGATTGTTCATGCAAGATGTACGAAGACAGGAAGAGGAGAGACGAGAAGCAATCTAGAAGTTGATGAGGGTCGAGTAACTCGCTATATGTGGTTTCTGCTGGAAAACGTGTTTGAGAGAAGATAGCGTATTGATCAAAACATTATTGCATATTTCAGATTTATGGTTTGTGGTATAGACGCGTCAGGCCTTCATGTGCTGAAGACTGTCACAATGGAGCTGAAAGAATGCACAATCCGTCTTGATAAAGAAGATGAGTTCCACAGAGACTCCTCCTTAAGGCTATCTCAACTAGCAGGCTGATAATCAGAACACAACGGTGTGTTTCATCAGCTCATAATGTCCTCAGAACTCGGAGTGAAGAAGGGATGCTGTAGGTCTTTAACACATGCGGATGGAGCAGAATGCTTGGCTTGGCATGTGACGCAACAGAAGCTTCCCGAATGCGGCCTCGAGAGTCGAACGATTTTATTCACTTTTGATCTTTGTGACCACCCTAATACACACAATCATTCACCATGGCTAAGGGAGAGAACAGCAAGAAGGCCGCAGGTAATCAACACTTCGAGCAATCTTGCACACGCAGCTACTGACAGTATTCCAGGCAACGCGAAGAAGGCCGAGGTCGCCGCCCAGAAGCAGGCAGTCGAAAACGCAAAGAAGGCCAAGGAGGAAGATAAGGAATGGGCCAAGGGCGCAAAGGACAACTCCAAGGCGTGAGCATACACCTGTACAGCCTCGCTTTCTAGCCGCCATACTGACTCTGTCCTCCAAGTAATGCCGCCGCTGAAAAGAAGGCCGAAGCTGAACGCAAGAAGGCCGAAAAGGCAGCTCTCCAAGCCGAAGAAGACGCCTCTCTCCCCTCTAAGAAGGGCGGAAACGCCAAAACCGCACAAAAGAAGTCCCGCGGCCTGGACCTGTCTGGTCTCGATGGACCTTCCTCGCTCTCCGCTCTCTCCGCAACCGGTATCGACAATGCCCTGGACGCTTTGTCTTTGACTGGAGGCAGCTCAGACAAGATCGACCGTCACCCTGAACGCCGCTTCAAGGCCGCCTACACCCAATACGAAGAACGCCGCTTGGAAGAGATGAAAGACGAGAAGGGTTTGCGCCGCCAGCAAAAGATCGAGCAGATCAGAAAGGAATTCGAGAAGCACCCCGACAACCCCTTCAACCAAGCCAATGCTTCCTACAACAGCACAAGAGAGGACGTGGAGGCTATCCGCCAGAACGAAAAGGCAAAGATCGAGAAGAGACTTGGCGGTCCTTGAGCGGTTATGTGATGGAGAAACGAGGAACAAAAAAGCACAGGTTGTTGGCTGTCTTTTCTTTTGCGGCATTGAACGACCTATTTTTCACGATACCCTATGCATAGATTCAGATACAATGAAGAAGAGACCATGGCGCTGAGATACGCGCTTGTCGCATGATTATTGGATAAATCCATTCGGATTTCAGAATTGCGGAAACAAACAGTGAGAGGCTCAGTAGATCTGTGGACTCCCTACGATTTGTGTCTACTTGTAGGCGCCGACATCGAACTATCTTGCACGTCTCTGAGCGTATCTATTGATCCAAGCAGTACAGATGACAGAAGTGCTGCGTGTGAGCAGGCTTATTTCCAAACATTATATTCATGTTACATGCGGAGAGTTATAACAACATCCGATATGGTCTAGTGGCTAGGATTTCTCGCTCTCAAACCGTTCGCAAGAACAACTAGGTCCGAGGAGGCCGGGGTTCAATTCCCCGTGTCGGAATCCTTCTTTTGCACTTTTTGCAACACCCATCTACTTTTCTCTTGAAGGGCATTCTCTTTTGTTCTCTCGATGCGCGTGGTACCCTATAAGCCGCGAGTAGAGTCTAGCAGTGTAGCTTTTGACAAAACCGAGAGACATGCGTTTATACCTCATTGACAAAGTCTCTTAGTAATGGAGTTGGAATGTTGACCTTGATGATCCATGAGTTCAAATGGTTTATCGGATCGCACGAAACATTTAGGAGAAAAAATACCAACAGACACCGACCAGAGGCCAAACAAATGATCAAATGGGAAAAAGAAACTTTATTGATGAAAAACTATTTACCACCTATTCACGGACTACAACATTGTTCTATCTAAGCGGACCACTCGGCAGCTATCATCTCAGCAGCACGCTCAGCAATACCATAAATGGCCGTCTGGATATGCGCAGAAAGCTGAACAGGAATAACACTCGCATCTACGACTCTCAGATTCGTCGTTCCATACACCTTCAATTCGGGACTAACAACACCGCCATCCTTCTTAGGGAGCATAGCACAAGTACCCAGAGGATGGTAAATAGTCAGAGTATGGTTGAGGGCAAAGTCTCTCCATTGCTCGTCTGTTTGGATTGCGGAGCTGGGCTCGTACTCCTCGGCAATGATGTCTTTCATTGGTGTCGTTTGTGCGATTCTGCGGTTGAGCTTTGTGGCGGCAATGGCGGCTTGAAGGTCGTACTCGTTGCTGAGATAGCGAGGGTCGATGATTGGTTTGCCGAGGGGATTGGATGTGTTGATGTGGACATTGCCGCGAGATAGAGTGTGCATGATAACACTCAGCAGAGTGAAGTAGTTGGAGCCGTACTCAGAAGAGTTTGCGAGAGGGTAGCCTCCCACACCGGTGTATCCATCAGAGAAGATGATTTCAAGCTGAGGAATGGAGTGACTTTTATTTCCAGTCAGATAACCAAGCTTGGTTTTATCAACAATAGAAGCCTTGGCATCCGTAGCATTCTTAGCAACTTCTATGAGAGCAGTAGACTCATTGCCAAGTGCTTGTGGCCAGGTCAAGTAAGCGAAACCAGAAGCGGCATAGTCGTAGCTAGACACATTGTTTGCGTTGTAAAGTGCTAGCTGTTCAGCTTTGAAAGTCGCATTGTATTTGAGCTCGTCGAAGGAGTTCATGTTTTTCAACTTGAAGCTGTTTTGGATGCGGATGTGATCTTGCAGGTTCTCGCCCACGCTAGGGAGCTCGAGAACTGGCTTGATACCCGCTGCAGCGACGATAGATGAGTTACCGATACCAGAAAGTTCAAGTAAACCGGGAGATTGGAAGGAACCAGCACTCAAGATAACCTCCTTACAAGCGTCGATGGTAATGTTGCCCTTGAGCGTGACACCCGTGGCAACGACCTGGCCACGTCTTGTCTCGGTGTTGATCTTGACAACTTGAGATCCGGTCATAACATGAAGGTTGTTTCCAGCAATTTTCAGATACTCGGGACTGTACGAACGTGTGTACTTAGCAGTATCGATGTTGTTGGGTTGAAGAGAGACACCAAGGGGGTTGCCATCGAGAGACTCCATGTTCTCAGGAAATCCATAGTTCTTCATGGTCGGAATCCAGGTGTTTTGGTCGGTTGGTTGAATTCTGTTGATAGTGGCGTGAATCGGGCCATCAACTCCAACACCTTGATCAATCTCTTGTCCAGGATGTACACTTTGAGTATAATTCTCAACCTTGAGCATGCTTGTGATCATACTATTCCAGTTCCATCCAGAATTACCGATATGCTCCCAAGCATCATACTCGGCCACCGAAGCACGATCCCAGCACATCAAGTTTAGAGCAGAGCTTCCTCCAAGCACCTTTCCGCGATTCTGTGCCCAGATGCGATCGCCAGCATAGGGTTGCGGAACAGTGGTAAAGTTGTAGTCGTAAACACCACCTAGTGTACTACCCTTCATACCAGGGATGTAGATGCCAGGTACATCGCGGCCATCAGGACCGGCTTCGATGACCAAGACTGTGTTGTTTGGCAGATATTGACTCAAGCGACTGGCAACAGCAAGACCGGCAGTGCCACCCCCAACAACTATAAAGTCGTAACCTGTCGTATTAGACGCTTGGACGACGGAAAAAGTAGCAAGAGCTGAGACCAGGGTAGCTGAGAAAAGTGAGGGAGCCATGTTGATCGCTCAAATCAACAAGGAATAAGAAGATCTGTGATGAAGCTCTACCTCGGCGAGATCCTACTCTTATACACAAACTAATCAGGTGAGACGATCCTTTGGAAAGGATGTCGGCAGTTCAGGTGGAGGCAGGCTCAGGTTATAAGCTAGTCAATATATGTGGATTAGATGAAGTCCCAAATCCTTACTCGAGTACTGCGTCGGTTCCCGCAACCAAAATCTGGTAAAGCATGGCGGGTAAAGTGGTGCCTATATTATATGCAGGGCAGACCAATGGCAGTCAGGTCCAGAGATATTGTTCCGATCTGCATTGCTTACTTGCCATGCACCAGGACAAAAACATGCAAAGACAAAATCTGGGCGTGGGTCGCTGGTAGTGCAAAGCATTTCAAGCACACCGCCTACTCGGAATCGGTGCTCTGCGAGTTCGCTCGGGCTTGAAGCACATATCTCGGTCGTTAGGGTATCGGTGATCGATGGATGGGAAGCAGCGAAGGAATGGTTTCACGAAAGATGCAAGGTCGATCAGCATCGCCAACTTCCTTGGCATTTGCCGAACCATTCTCCACCGCTCACCTCGACAACCTTTCTTCCTCCTCATCTTTGGCACCACGTTGTTCGCAGGATATAAGCTCTTGTAGCGACACCACAGATTTTCCAGGCCATATGTATACCCTTTGCGATTCAACTCTGGTAACGTGGATACGGGCCGCCTACGGCTCCTCGTCTTCCGGCGAACCATCGACATGAATTGCAAGGGTCCACTATATATTCAACCGAGCCGTGCGATCCTTGTTGAACGAACCGCTCGTCTATGGCCCGTCTGTTCGATTCATGTCTTATGCCAATAGTCAGACCACAAGTTTGACCAACCAGAGACTCTGCGAAGGCAAGCACCTCGGTCCTCGAAGGAATTCATTCTGGCTGTTCCGATCAAAACTCATGGCTGAACTTAATCCTGAAAAGAGCTTGCAACATTCACTGTCTATCTTCTGCTTACAAGAACGATTGTGGTGATTCATGGTTCCCAAAGTTCGGATGCACACGCAGTAGTGTCATTCGCGGGCTTCTAGTCATGCTTCCAAAGGCTCAATGATGGGTTTTGCGAGACCGAAGAGTTCAACACCTGCCTCTTTCAATGTGAAGATGGGATCAAGATTGATGTGTCGCAGGGAAATTACTTCAGACCCTGGCAATGCCGAATTGCTTATCCCACAACAATGACTACATACGAGTCGATTAGGGCTAAAGCAAGGATGATGTTGGCATCTGGAGAACCGAACTATTGGTCTTTCTGCAGGGACATACTCTAATACGACTCTTCAGAAGGTTCGCATTCAATGTTCCTCACTGTTGCTCAATCGATCCAACCCTCAAACAACCCTCAAGATGGGAGGACACACCCGCAGTGACAACAAAGGTCCTACTCTGCTAATACTCACGTGTATTCTCACATCTCTGGCTATCATCACGACCAGCTTGCGTTGCTGGGTGCGATGGGGAAACCGACAACTAGGGTTCGATGATGGAGCAATGGCTTTGACAACTGCCCTTGCAGTAGCTCGCATGTCTATCCAGATCGTCAGTGTCCGCTATGGCAATGGGAAGCACCGCGAATTTGTTTCCGACCATGACTACCAGACGATCAACATGCTCACCTGGTACACACAAGTCTTGCTCTTCCCGACTATCTGTTTGATGAAGGTTTCAATCTGTGTCTTGATCTTGCGCATCAAGGACACACGTACTCTCAGATATGTCCTTGGAATCGTCATTACAGGATTGATCTTGACAAACTTTGAATGCTTGGTGGTACTGCTCGCTGAATGCTCACCGCTCAAAGCGTACTGGGATGGCACATCTGCGGACCATTGCTGGCCTGCCAAAGTGCGGATATACAGCATCTACCTCCAAGCATGTTCGTACCGCTACACAAAGTTGTTGTCTCATGCTAATGTCCTCTAGCATACGCCGTCGCGACGGATGTAGTCTGCACCATCTTACCTATTCATGTGGTATGGAAAGTCAAAATACCACTTTCGACAAAAGCTGCAGTCTGCGGATTGATGAGCCTGGGTTTGGTGTACGTAGACATTGACATCGCTGCAAACAATCGAAGCTAACTCTGCCATCAAGAGCAACAGTCTGTTCAGCCATCCGCGCAGCATCTCTTGGGACCACAACCGACGATCTCTCCTACGCCTACTGCATCGCCGCGATATGGGCCAAGTATATCCTGTCAACACCCTCTTTCTCATACCATACAATTACTAACTTCGCACCTACAGCACCGAACTGCTCCTAGGCATCATCGCAGCAAACCTCGCTCTCTCCCGCTCCATCTACAAATACTTTACCGAACGCGCGCGAACGTTAACCTCTAATGCTTCTGGATCGAGAACAACACGTTTGCGCGATAGCTTTGCGACACCGACACGGATGGGCTATGTCAAGTCTCCAGAGCCTTTATCGGTTGTTGAGACTGCTGGTTCGCCGCGTAGTGAGGCAAGTGCGATACCTTTGCGACCTTACAAGCACGAGGCAAGAAACGTTGGTATAGATAGTTTTGAGAAGGAGACGAGGTACTGAGGATAGCGGAAGGCAATGGGGCATCGGGATACAGTATGAGATAACAGCATCATGATAGTAATTCAAGACGTGTTCTAGCTACTGGTGGCTGAAAAGCACCCATCGATTAGCAGTAATTTAACCTTTCCTTTGCCTGAATGGCTGAATAGGTTCCGACAAGTGATGTTCGCAGCAACACGTTAATGCAATAGAGGCAACCAAGACAAGGACTGAGATATCCATTTGTAATGTCCATGCAAATACTGAAATCTAGGCTATGGTGATGCCATCTCCAAAGGCGTAGCAGCGGCACTGACAAACTCTTGGGTGTTGTCAGTGTTGTAACCATCAGTACCTGCATCATCGCGCATACCATCATCACTCATCGCCTTCTCCGTCTCTTCTGTCTCGCTCAATGCAACTTCCTCGCCATCTTCTTCAGCAAATACTTCTACCTCTTCTGCGGTCTCTTGTTCTTCCTCGAACTCGTTCTTCGCATGCTCATCCTTCGCATACTCGGGTGTCTCCAACACACCACCACCTTCCATCCACACTTGGGCCAATTCAGCTTCAATCTCCGCCTTTCTCTGTTTCCAAGCCTCAACCTGCAAAAGCCGTTCCCTAAGTTCCGCAATCTCCTTCTCCACACTATCTTTCTCACTCTCAGTACCAATCTTCTGCATCTCCCATTCATCACCTTGGGTTCCCAATCCCAGCGTCAACACATAATCATGATAGCGTTTCAAACTCGCACGAGTAGAAATCGTGAGTAATGTAACACCCCTCTGCTTTAGTGTCTCGTAAAGCAAACCCTCGACATCACTACTGACAGCAGAAGTACCTTCGTCAATAACCGCAAAAGCAGGGGAATGGTACAACAAGCGTGCAAAAGAGATGCGTTGTTTTTCGCCGCCGGAAAGAACGTCTTTCCATGTTTTGCGCGTGTCGAAGCCGCCTTCGCGGGAAGGGAGGTAGCCCAGATGTACTTCGGTAAGGATTTGCTCGAGTTCAGAGTCTCGGCGTGAAGAGTTGCGCATGTCGAGTTCGGTGTGTGGGTAGATGATTTGATCGCGGAGCGTGCCGGGAGAGAGGTAGGGTCGTTGAGGGAGAAACATGATGCCATCTTGACCGGTATTTCGGGGGCGAGAGACTAGGCCGCGGTAGACGGGCCAAAGACCGGCCAGGATACGTGCGACAGCGCTCTTACCAGCACCGTTGGGGCCGATAATGAGAATATGTTGGTTAGATTGGATGACAAAGTTGAGGTTGTCGAGAAGCTCTTCGCCGCCTTGTGGCCATAGGCCGGGTGCAACAACTGGAGCATTCTCGAAGCGGACGCCCGAGAAGCCTTTGTGTAGTGTACCTTGCACATCAGCAAGAGAATAGAGCTCGGGATAGGTGTTGCGAGGTGGGTGATAGGCAGAGGCATGTACCCGGTGTAGAGTGCTGATCAGAGTATAGACACGAGAGGTGTAGCCTGCCAACTCTGACAAATCTTTCAAGCTGTACATCATACGGCCGCCTGCATCGGCAAGCGAAAGCATCAGACGCTTGTTCGTGATGAAGTTCTGGGTGCGACTGCCAGATTCGTCTGTCGGCGCTTGTGCCATCAGAGCAGCTTCGGAAGCAGGCTGTGCTACCTTCTTCTCACCAATCTCTGCGAGTCCAGCCCAAGCAGGAAGAAAGACTGGTAGAGATGTGATAAGGTAGCCAAAGGCACTCCAAGAATACTTGAGCACGAAATCCTCAAGCATATTGTAGCGAATCTTGAGGCTGTAAATGCCTTCCATCCACCTCTTGAGTTCTTGAAAGCCCTTGTCTAGGAACAGCTTTTCCATTTGATCGCCACCGTAGAAAGCCACTTCCTCGGCATTGGCAATGAGTCGAGCATGAAGCGCTCTGAAATCACCTTCTCGCTTGCCCTCGACAGCCTTTAGCTTGCCGAAGGGCGGTGATAGTCTTCTGAGTAAGGTAGCAGTAGCGAAATAGTTTGCTAGTAAGCCTGTCAAAGCCAGCGGACCAAGTGAGCGATATAGCTGATAGTTGAAGACCAAGAGATCGACGAATGGTTTGCCTAGACTTGAGTACAGACTAGCAGCAGAATCACAGAAGAGAGTCAAGTCTTGAGTGACAAACTGGTCAGCTCCATGGCCAATGCCGCCATCAAGGTTGGAGAGTTTGTAGAAGTTAAGGTTGTCGTTGAGATAGAGGTCGTGAATGTAGCGCGTCAGACGAGTGCGGAAGGCTATCGAGACCTTTGACTGTAAGAATTTGATCATGCTGTTGGTGTAGCTGGCCAGAGCTCCAATAGTACACCATTTGGTAATGCCCCACAGGAAGGGTTTGCCTTTGCCAGCCACTAGGTCTCTCACGATCTCACCATCCAGACGGGCAACAACGAGAGACAAGTAAGTGCGGAGAAGCAGGAAGACACCATGACTGAATAATAGACCAGTCTCTTTACTACCCCATCGCGGGATCAAGATGTTCATCAAACTGAGGAATTGATGCAAGAAGGCGAGGTTCAAGCCTGGCTTGGTCTGGAGAGGAGGGACTTGTGGCAGATTGCTGTCACTAAGGCCAACAGCACGAGGAGGTTGAAGAAACAAGCGACGGTGGGCATCAAAGGTGGTCGGCTTGGTTGGCTTGATGACGACCTTTGCAGTAGAGGATTTGTATGCGACATAGATGGTTCGTGTACCATCTTTGGCCCTCAGGCCAGAGTTGCGTCGCAACAGCCGTCTTCCCGTCTCTTTCTCCTTGCGGCTATCAATCCACCACTTGTATGAGCCCATGCCACCACCAACGAGACCAAGTGTGAAGAGAAGTGCAGCTAGCAGGCGTAGCGTTGGTGGTGTGCGTTTCAGTCGTCTACGGAGACGGTCGAGTAGGCGACTCATGAGCGCCCGGAGTGCTTCGTCCGGGCCATGTCGTAACGTCGACTGCGCTGCCATGTCGAGGCTCACATCACGCGAATTGTTTGGTCATGAGTATAGGCATCAATGAGTAGCAAGAGAGATGGAAGGAGCATGTCTGTCTCTATCATGATGCATTCCGAGGTCGCATGTGATGCTTGGCGCCTCCCCGCATTCCGGCCCGCCTCCACTCTTCCGTCATCATCATCAACTGCCTTTTTGGGCAAGTACGGAATTGCGATTGCTTCGGCTACTCTAAAAGTACAGTAGGGCTGAACGACGAGCAAAAGTCATGATACAAAGAGACAAGAAAGAGTCATGATAGCAAAAAGCCAATACGAAAGACAGCCGACCAATATCCACGCCGGGTATATTCGCTCCAAAAAACACAAGTGCCATTACATGCAATCCATATACCATTACTCGCAGTCCATGGGCTGGAGGAAGGCCACATCTTCGTCAGAAAAGTCGTTCAGTGTCTTGTGAGGCGAACGAGTCTTCATGCGGGCCTTGGGTCTGCTTTGAGGGCTGACGATGCCACTGTCAGCGCTCAGGTTGGGCATTGATGAATGGCTCAGAGGGTATTTGGGTTTGGCTGAAGCCGCGTCGTCGAGCATCGAGTCGTTCTGCTCCGCCTCGTCATCGAAGAAGGCATCAAGTTCTGCTTCCATGTCATCGGCGTAGCTTCTCTTGCGTGTGTTTGTCTTTGGTGTTTGTGGCATGCCGACTGAAGAGGCCATGGTGGACTGCGTGTATGACAAGCCAGGAGCGGACGAGGTAGGTTGTGAGCTGAAGCCGCCAATCTTGTGAAGACCACAGAACGGTGTCAGTTCAGATGGCTTGGTGTAGAGTTCTGGGGCGCTGCTCGCTGGCAGTTCGTTCTCTGAGTTTGCTGAGATGCTGGCGGGGTGCATGTATGAAATGGTTGGCACTGGCAGCGACTTGTGCGTCTTGTATCCTTCGGGCACCGACTTGCGAACGCGCATGCCGACGTTGATAAGTAGAGACTGCACATGGTCGGGTACGGTGGGCTTCAGCGGCCGCGCATACTCGTCGATGTCTGCTGAGGATGAAGGTGAGCCGGCGCCGACGGGACTGAAGAAGGACTTGATCGAAGACTGGTTCGAGGGTTGGAACTGGCGTTTGCGGACGTGTGCCATAGTGGTAGTGTATTGTGCAATATCAAGTATCCGGTAGTTATGCAAGGAGAATGCTGTATAGGTGTTTGAGAGAAGATGGGCGCATGAATGTCGAAGATGGCGGTCAAATTCCACTTTACGCGTTGCGCGAGACTTGCGCGTCTGGTTGGCACGACAATCTTCAGTTCCATTCAACGACGACCTTGTCTCGATGACATCTTTCAACTACCTAGTTACAGACACCGTCTTGGCCATTGGGAAGGACCAGCTCGGTGTTTTGTGCATTTGCGCTGAGACTGAGGCTCAAGTTGCTTATACATCTGCTCCCGTGTTACACGGACCGATAGTTCTATCGATCATTGTTGCATTTATTGAGAGAGAACAGGTCACGGTGTCAGGGTAGTGATCTATAGTGGACCCCTTCAAAAACAAGCATCCATGTTTGTCGCCGTGTTTGTCCTTGTATGGCATTGAATCCGTCGTGGCTTTGCACGTCCGAGAATATCCATGCTGAAACTTGACTGCTACGCTGGCCTCGGACATTCATTCTGACTTTTCTACCACCGAACCGACCTCTTGCTACATGGCCAAAAAGCCCATCTATAGATAGCCGTCGGCCATCGAAGCAGCTCGATCAAAATTTCACGGCATCTTTATCGATATCACAATGCATCGGCCTTACTCCGAAAAATCGTCAGCTCGGTTAGAAGACGCTGGGTCGGGAGCCGCATGTACCAAGTTCAGCCCTACGCTCAGTGGCGCAATTTGAAACAAACACATGGCCCACCACATCTTCCCCTTGACTCCATCTTCCCAATCACGGCAACGTGACAGGTCTGGTATAGATGACCTTGGGCTTGGAATTGTCGCTTTACCGATGCCAACCCTTCGCTTACCTCTGCTCTCTTACACGCTAGCGTAGTTCATTGATGAAGGTGCCTTCTTTGCACAACCTCGACTACAATCAGTCATCGCACTTGCTGACATACAACCTCGACTTTGCACTCTTTCTTCGATCTCTTCGCCTCGGCCATAATCGGTCGAATTTCATCAATCTCGTCTACAGCTCTCTTCTAGAGTATTCTGTTAGTACAACATTGCTATCTTGGCTGATCAAACTTCGCGACATTTGCTCATAGCTCCTGCCCCGCTGTCTTCTGTCACGAAACATGCTATACCCCTGCGAAACGGCTATGCAGGCACCGACTTGGCGCTTGCTCTCGCGAGCAAAGACTCTGTCTGGATTCTATCTGGGTGGGTACATAAGATATAGAATGTGGCCGCAGCCCGGCATCTCCATTCGTAGGTCAGCCTCTCACCTTCCTTTCTTCGCTCCTTCCAGCCTTCACGGCTCAGTCTTTCGTTTGAGCAGCTCCCTGGTGGAATCTGTTTCTCTTTCCAGAGTCGTCGCAAGGCCTTGAAGGTCCATTTCTCCATTATTTTCAGTCTTGAAACAGTCCTCGCGATTCATTTTCTTCTCTTGCAACATGCCTCGTTTCGCCGCTTTTCTTCCCCTTGCCTATGCACTGGGCGCCTTTGCTCAGAGCGTGGCATACACTGATCCCAACACTGGTATCGACTTCATGAGTTTCGAGGACTCCGACTCAGGAGCACGATTCAGTGTTGCTACACCTGAGACTCTGGGTACGGATTTCATCGGTCAGATTGTTGCTCCTACCACCGAGGGATGGGCCGGTCTCGACCTGTCTGCTCAGATGGCGAACCACATTCTGGTCGTTGCATGGCCCGACGGTAAGGAAGTCATGTCTTCCGTCCGTGAAGCAACTGGTTACACTACCCCTCCTGTCTACACAGGAAATGTGACCACAACTCCCATCGCCAATGGTACTTTCGTCAACAGCACCCACTTCTCTTACACTTTTGTCTGCAACGGATGCATTACTGGCGAATCAGACAGTTTCCCCAACACCGTCAAGGGTAATGCTTTCGGATGGGCTTACTCTTCCGATGCACCTGCTAAGCCCTCTGCCGCCGACACTGCTTTGAACATGCACTCTGGATTCGGTGCATTTGCCATCATCTTTGCCAGCTCTTCGTCTGCAAGCTACGATACTTGGGCTTCCTGGGCTAAAGCAACTATTCCCGCTCCTTCAACTTCTAGCAACGGCACTGTAGGAACAACCTCTACTTCAGGCCAGAACAACACTTCTACCGTCCCCATCGCTACCACATTGAACACTACATACGACTATATCATTGCTGGCGCCGGACCGGCTGGTATCATCGTTGCTGAGAGACTTGCTGAGTCTGGTGCTGAGGTTCTCCTTCTCGAGCGTGGTGATGCTTCCACCTATGCATCGGGTGGCCGTGCTACCGAGTCCTGGAACGAGACTGTGACTCAATACGATGTCCCTGCCATGGCTTACTATCTCTCTACCGCTGGTGTCACCAACGAGTACTGCACTGACACTGCCGATCAAGCCGGATGTCTCCTCGGAGGTAGCAGCATGATCAACGCTCTGATGTTTGTCCGTCCCCAAGAACGCGACTTTGACGACAAATGGCCCACTGGCTGGAAGTGGTCTGATGTCTCGGCCTCTGCTGAGAGCTTCTACGAGAGAAATCCTGGTACTATTTCTCCTTCCAAGGATGGACAGCACTACGATACAGGTGCTTACGATGTGCTCTCTACCTTCTTCACTAGCCATGGATGGTCCTCGGTCAACGCTATCGAGGAACCCAACAAAAAGACAGATGTCTTCTCGCACCCGCCATGGAACATCCAGGATGGTCTCCGTGCTGGCCCTGTCTTGACATACCTCCCTCTTGCCAAGTCAAAGAAGAACTTCCACATCCAACTTAACAGCACTGTTGTCCGTGCCGTCCGTGAATCTTCCTTCGTCACTGGTGTTGAGGTTGAGCTTGTTGATGGCAGCCGTCAGATCATTAATGTCAAGACTGGCGGTAAGGTTGTGCTTGCTGGTGGCGCACTGTCTACTCCCCGCATCCTTATCAACTCTGGTATCGGACCTGCCGATCAGATCAAGACTGTCCAGGGCGGAAGTACTGGTGTCACTCTTCCTGAGGAGTCCGAGTGGATTGACCTTCCTGTCGGTAAGGGCCTTAAGGACCACCCCATCGTGACTCTTAAGTTCAAGACCAAATCCTCCTTGTCATCGCTCGATACCACTGCCTTCACCAAGCCCAACGAGACCGACGTCGAATCGTTTGCCCAAGGCAACGGCGTGCTTGTCCAGGGTGGCCAGCGCTTGAACTTCTGGTCTTCGGTCAAGGGTAGCGATGGCATTGAACGTTTCGTCCAAGGAACTTGCAACTCGCCTTCCGACGACACCATCAAGATGAAGGTTTACCTTACCCATGGTCTCACCTCTACTGGCGAGATTGGCATCACCGCAGATGGCAAGACTGAGTACATTACCCAGCCTTGGTTGAACACCGACGAGGACAAGGAAGCTCTTGCCTCTTTCGTCGACCGCTTGATCAGCTTCACAAAGGCTGACAACTCGACCTTGACTCTTGATGCTGGACTTACTGCTTCTTCCGACGTTACCGGTGCTGATCTAATCAAGACTTTCGTTACTGGCAGTCATTACGTTGGCACTGCTAAGATGGGCGAAGATGATGGCCGCAAGGGTGGTGCTGCAGTTGTCGACTTGGATACCAAGGTCTACGGCACTGACAACCTGTTTGTCGTGGATGCTTCTTTCCACCCTGACTTGCCTACTGGCAACACCCAAGCTATGGTCATGGTTGCCGCCGAAGCTGCTGCCAAGAAGGTCGCTGCTGTAAAGGTTGGCAGTGCTCCTGCTGCTTCTGCTTCTTCCTCTGCTGTTGTTTCTTCGGCTACTGCTTCTCAGGCCGTCTCGTCTACTGCTGTGGCTTCCTCTACCGCTGTTTCATCTTCTGTTGCTGCGGTGACTTCGGCTCCTGCATCTGCTTCCATCACCTCTGTTCCTACATCTACTTCTGAGACCGCAACCTTCACTGGCACTACTGCGATTACCTCCGTCGCTGTGCCCAGCCCTGCTTACACCGAAGTGCCCAAGTGGGGTCGTTGTGGTGGTATCGGATATGATGGACCGACCAAATGTGTTTCTGGCTCGACTTGTAAATACCAGAACGATTGGTACTCCCAGTGCTTGTAGAAGAAAGGGGCAGAACATGAATTGTATATAGATTTCTCTTTTCTTTTTTTTTTTTTTCGATCTTTGATTTGCGTTTCTTCTTTCGCTTCTTTGGAGTATGATTCGGCGAGTTTAGAGTCTCGGCCTTTTCTTTTTCAAATTGATATCTTTTTTCCCTTGATCAACTAGGTGTGTGTTCTGTTTTACAAACGAAGTTGGTGACAAGATGTTGCCAACGCAGGGATCGATCCCTCCGATGATCTCCCGTATGGAAAGAACGCTCTTGTTTTGATAAGATACAAGAACTATCCATCTCTCTTCTTACAGCTCTGATGAATAATTTCACGGATGCAGAGTCGTCGTCCGAACCACCCTCGAAGAGGAAGCGTGTGGTAACTGCATGCCTAGAATGTTATAGGTCAGTCTATCTTCATCAAGCTTGACAGTACATCTTCCACTCTAATCACGTCACAGACGAAAGCAGAAGGTGCCTAGGGCAATTCTGTTGAGAAATGATAACAGAACTGACCCTTGACTTAGTGTGACCGAAGAAAACCATGCCAAAATTGTGTAAATCGTAATGTCGCTGCTAAATGCATATATGAGCAACCACTGTAAGGTCTACAACAAGTTGCGATCACAGCATTATATCTGATACGCAGTCTAGGCCACAAACCGTTATTTTGCAAGCGAAATCTCGCTCACCTGCTCCGGCCGAGGACGAGTCTCCTCCTTGGGAACCAACTCCGGATGGCACTGCACTTTTCTCTTTTTACGACGTTCTTGCTTTCACAGATCTGAAAAAGGTTCGTTCGCAACTATTGCATACTCAAAGTATCCTACTTACAATCGTTGCAGTTACTTGAAAATGATGAAGTGTTCCGGGAGAGTCCTAGTCAGAGCAAGCCCAGCTCTAAGTTTTGGGTTCTGGCTGCTCAGCTGCCGGACCCTCATGTTATGACCAAAGCGTTCAACTACTACTTTGACGAGGTTCATTGGCGCTACAATATTGGTCAGAGATACTATATGAACAAGCAACTCGAAGACTGGAAAACTGTGGTACAGACACCTGCTCCGCAACAGATTGGCATCGACAAGAATCTTCCATACTTTGTGGCATTCTCCTTCCAATTGCTTGCCGTTATCCTCCAGTATATGCGACCTGACAGAGAGATCGCTCGTTTACTTGGTGCGACAACCCCAAAATCAGCTGCTCACATGTCTTGGAGGTACAACGATGCAGCTTCTGAGCTTATGCTGATGCTTGGTCGACACAATGGCACAATCACTGTCGTCGATTATGATTTACTGAGAGCGTGTTGGCTGAAGAACAATGGTCGTGGTATCGAAAGTTGGTACGCTACCAGTGATGGAGTCAGGTAAGTCGATATCTGCTCCATCGATAGCATTCACTATCCTGACTCCAGCGATCACAGACAAGCGCAACAGTTGAATCTTCATCGTGAACCAAGTCCTGCTCTGGGTAACCCGAACTCCTCGAAGAGCCTCGAGCAATTTTGGCTCCAAGAGTATGGCAGAAGAGTCTGGATCAACTTGTTCTGCTGGGATTCGGGAACAGCGATGAATCTTGGCCGCCCACGCATGATCAATGCAAAGGATTGTGATGTTATTCTGCCGATTGATCAACCATTTCCAGATGACCTTGCTCATACGATGCCAATACCGCAGAGCCAGCACACGCCCTCGCCCCTCTCTTTACTTCTGTTTCGTTACAAAATTGCTGGCAAGATCCATGAAATTCGCGAGCACGGCTTAGACAAACAAGACGCCGACTATGTCTTTGTGTGGACTTTTCATGATGAGCTCAACAACCTGCTAACCGATTTGCCCTCGTATCTGGATCCGAACAACCCTGCAACACATTTAGACTCTGAGTTCCCGTACCTTCGTTTGCACAGGGAAGAGGCCTCGAGTCAACTGAATCTGGTCATTATGGAGCTGCATCGACCCTTCATCGCCAAGCATCCGCAGAGTCGAAGTGCCGCTATGAAAGCTGCAATTGGTTCCATCGATAATCAAAAGGTGTTGATGGAACTTTCGGGCAGACACCACTACAGCTATTTTGGTTTTGGATTCTACACGACCAACGCAGCAATGATGCTTGCTGCGATTGCTCTCATCTACCCAGACGAGAACCACGTCAAGTTGATCGAGTCTAAAGTGCAGCAAGCTCTGTCGATTCTAGTCAATATACGAGACACCAACATAGTCGCGCGAGCATCATTGCCTGTAGTACAGCGACTGTACGACAAAATTCGAGGCTCACTTCACAAAGACTCGTCCAGCGCGACCAATCTGAGTAACCCTGAATCCGCACCGAGTCAAGATGGTGGTAGTTTGCTCCCGATAACTCCATCTATGTATACGCTCCCTGTTGCACCTTTCGCCGCCGAGTTGATGCCTGGAGATGCAGAAGACTCAGAGCTCCAACATTTCACGGACGTACCTGCTTGGACCGAGCTACAACAGGTCAATGACTTTGATGCTACGTTCTGGCTTGATCAGCTCAGCAGATTACCAGATAACCTGCTACAGGATGGTGCGCTCGGGCCAAACACGATGTGGTAGTCAGCCTCGCTCGGAGATTAATTGGATCCATGTTGTCAACTTCTATAGGTTTGTTCCAAACATGTGCTTTTGCCAACATGATGCCAACACACAGACTTCTGTCGTCAACGCCTGCCACCTTCCTCTGAATTTCGGCCGAAAATATGCCAAGCAACAACATCACGACATCGATACGGCGATTAAGCCCACCTAAACTCCTGAACCCGGCCATTAGGAGCTAGGGTTAGGGCATGCTGTCCACTCAACTCAAAATCATAGCTCGTTTCTCTGGCTGAGGCTGGAAACTGCCAAACCGTGCTCAGAACGTAGAAACTTTTCTCTTTTAGGAAGACACATTCTCTCCAACGGGGACCTTCATGCCGTGAAGTCCAGTATACTTTGATGGTTCGAACTGTGTCCAGCCGTGTAGCAACGACTGATCGTCCAAACTGTAGACTTCGGCTCGAAGAGGTCGGCAACAGTCCAGCATGCTCTTCTTCTCTCCTTCTTCGCCGGCTCCTCCTTCGCCCCAGCCCCAAGCACTGAGGTCGCCACCAGGGCATGCAGATAAGGCCATCAGAACATCCTGCTCGGCGAAGAACTCGAGATAGTCGGTCTTTTTGGCTGGGCTGGGCTCCATGAAGTATTTTCCCTCTGCATTGAGTCCGGTAACTTGGAAGATGTTGATGACATCGTGGACGTCAAATTCACTGTTCCCCCTTGGTCAGCGACGAAGGCTAGAAACCGCCAATGATATGTAGCTTACGTGAGACCATATGGCACTACCGCTCTTGTCAAGTTCGAGTGACAATGATAGTCATATTGATCGCCTGTAAGCATTGTATTCACATATGGGTCACAGCGAGTGCCCAGCAAATCGTGACATCTACCTCCCCACTGATCTACGCCATAATCCTTCAGCGAGTCCGCAATAATAGTAACCATCGGTCTCAAATAAGGCAAGCAACTCCAAAGTCGATCGTACACAGTGACATGACTAGCCTGCAACTGTCTCGTCCTTGAAGCCCAGAATCTCTCGCGCGGATTGGACAGATTCCAGATGTTCAAGTCACCGACTTGAGGACCTTCAGGCGTCGAAAAGCGGACAATGCTGCCGGCGGGCACTTTCCAGGCTTTGGCAGAGCGAGGTGGGATATTGATTGTTTGCTTTAGCGTTCTGGATTTGTTGTTGGCTAGGGAGTCGTAGAAGCCTTTGTTAGCGTTCAAAATGCTGCCTGCTGTTGGAAGATAGGCTGGTTGGGGAGCTGCGTGGGGTTTGTCGGCGGATGCCATCTTTGAGGGTTCTTTTGCTGAGTTGTTCTTCCGATTTTGAGATCTGCAGATGCCAATGGGTTTGTAAAAGGGGTAGGATGGGCGTAAGGAGCTATATGTGATATATATCCTTATCTGATGCAGGTTGTAGTCATACAATTCGCGACGACGAGATAGCAGCTGCACCCCGATCAGATGCCTATCAGCCGATGATAGCCGTGCTCGAAATCCTTCATGCTCGTATACTAAAGTTTGTCACACTGTGCCTTTACGAACGCAAGATCTGTTGGCGGAACAGTAGCGACGATCCTGATTTTGAGACGACAGCTTTCTAGATGTCGATGTTTTGTCCGAGACTTATCCTGTGTCTCTGAAACCAGTATCGCATTGATTGCAAGAATGTGACAGTTGACACGACAGGAGGATTGTCGGAAAGTTCGGAATTAGCACACGTTATTTTTGACAAGTCTGGAGGATCTGATGCTCGGGCAACCGCAAAGACCTTCCAGTTCGAGAGTCAAACGAAGCAGCAGGTCGTGGGTACAGCGATTCAGGAAGGAACCAACCAACAAGTTCACACGATGCGTTGTGCCGTCCTCAGCTCGAAATGCCGGCTTCAACGTTATTTGCCGAGTATCGTCCTCGAGTTCTTCTGGAAGAAATTCATCGACATATCGCTCGGTCACGCCACTTGAAAACCGCAAAGGACGCCTGAGACAGCAGGTAAGGGCTAGAGGACAATCTTATGTCTTTCGAGGACAGTCGCAATCTTGCCAATAGGTGGTATGATTAATCGTGGAGATGTCGCAGTCTAGCAGGCGCGGAAGGTCCTTCCGAGACATGGCCAAACCCCCCGCTCCACCTGCCCTTCCGAATTGCGACTAAAGATGGAATTGCTCGAGTCATCGACCCTGCCAAATTTGCTATACTCACGACCGCAATGGTCTCAAGAAGCGTCTGGTTTCAGGATCGTCTGTAAGAAGGGCGGCTTGACCAACCGCAAGAAGCAAACGATGCGAGCAAGGGCCATGAGCCTTCAGGCTTGCCGGTAGCACTGGTAGCGAGATTTACAAGACTAGCCGGTGCTTGTGGCTCACTGGCTATCGACCACGTTAGGCCTTGGGCAGCTCCACAAAGACGGCATCAAGATTCTCAATTTGCATTTGGATGTGCACCTGCACCTCGGCAGCTAGCCGACCGTTTTCCAGGTCCCTAGTCACTTATATGGTCGATAGACCATCGCTCATGCCAATCCTTTGGTCCCTTGCTCTTCCGATTTCTTTCCACAACTCTATTTCTTCTCCAGTCTTCCTTCTCGTCGTATTCTCAGGCCATGTTATCATAGATCATCTACCTAGGACCTTTCTTTGACCATCATCAACTTCAATTGACGCCAAAATGTACGACAGGTCCACCCAGATCCTGGCGGTATGCGTCTTATTCTTCATTCTTTCTTGGCTTTCTGTGGGATTACGCGTATATGTAAAGTGTGTCAAACATCTGTCCTCGATGAGTTCACCACTGACCTAGTTGCAGAGCTCGATTACTAAAACAAGTCGGCTGGGATGATGCAGCCATGCTTGCGACTTTGCTCCTCTTCACAGTTTACCTATCATGTCAACTCGGTAGTCTTGCACATGGTAACGGCAGACACCGTGCAACCATGACTGATGCAACAGCCCAGATTGGATTGATGGTAAGTTCGAGACTGACCGCTACGCACACCAGTCTCCTAACCAGCTTTGCAGTACTGGTTCTTCTGTGAGCTGTTCTACACGTTGTCGACCTCGATGTTAAAAATCGCTATCGGACTCTTCTTCCTACGCATTGCCGTCAACAAATGGCATATCTTAATCATAAAGACTATCATGTGCTGCAGCGCCGTGCTTGGTCTCGCGTACTTCTTCATCGTTCTGTTCCAGTGCCACCCAATCTCTTTCTGGTGGGACCTCAACCCCAATCACCATGGACGTTGCATGAGCGCTTCAGTCTTTTCCGTTGCGGGTTATGTCGTCTCAGCCTTGAACTCGGTGGCAGATTGGATCTTTGGTGTGCTACCAATCTTCATCGTCAAAGATTTGCAGATGCATCGTCATCAAAAAGCCGTCGTGGCGATCATTCTCGGTTTTGCTGCAGTTGGAAGTTCTGCGACCATCATTCGTCTACCTTATGTCTGGACTTTGGAACACTACAAGGGCGAGTTCCTCTGGCGCACTGCCGATGTCGCCATCTGGACTACTGTCGAGGTTGGAATCGGCATCACCGCTGGCAACCTGGGCACCCTGAGACCACTGTTGCAGCGTCTCCTGACTTTCATGGGCATCTCGAGCTCAACTGGACCTGGCTCGAAGACTTGGAGCAAGCGCAACAGAATCGGAACGCACGCCTACATGGGCAGCGGAGCAACGCCACTGGAAGACTTCACAAGCAAAGGAGCAGTCAAAACGACTGTCACAATCCGTGGAGGCGCATCCAATGCCGACACACAATGGGGTGGTCTCTCTAGGACCGACAGCGAGGAAGAGTTTGTACCTGGCGCGAACAAACTGCACGATGGAGGTATCCTACACAGTGTGCAGATCGACACACAATACGAGGAGAGAATGCATGAAGACAGGTTTGGAGCCGGCAACACCTCACCACGGGCGACACAAGCATACGAGAGAGTGTAGCCCACACGAATTGTTCATTTGTTTTGTTCTTGGATTTTCAAGCGCCGGCGCCATCTGGGGATCACTGTTTTTTCGACACACCAAAGTCTATACCACAATCATCATATACTAATGCTTCTCACGAATCTACAACATACCGCTCAATGCAGCAAGCTCAACACACCAAAGTTTTAATATTCTGCGCCTTCAACTGCCGGTGATTACGAAGCCTATACTGCCTCTCCCAGACAAGGAAAAGCAAGAACGGTGTCATTGCGCTATTTGAAACGCTCGCTTCTTGAGATCGTAAACCTTGATCCTTCTTGGAACGAATGCAAAAGGAGTGTGAGTGCAAGGCTTCCATAGGTAGAAGCCCTGTTCCTCGCACCTGCCAGATATAGAAAGACAGGTGTAGGTCTCGAGGTTTTCGTGCTTATACTCATGAAACGGCAAAGCCTCTGGCTGTTGCATAGATGACTACATCAGTTTCATCGAACGTCTGCATTGCAGTTAGCCAAGCAGCCATTTCCAGACAAAAACTGCCAAGCCTAGATCTTGCGCTCATAGATATTGCTAATTCTCAAATCTCATCATTGATGTCGCTTTGTACAATCTCGGTCATGGTCCGACCCAAACAGGAGCAGAGGAAACCATACACCTGGTTCAAGAAGCTGCAGGTCTGCGGACTGTAGGCTGCAAATAGACTTCAGACCACTTCGTTGTGGAACAGACGGTCAAAGCGTGCGTGGGGCCCAGACGCACGGCTCATCGTCCCACAATATAACCTGCCGTAAGGCGTTACGCACAAGCGAGAAGGTCAAGGCGCGGGCGGGCTCTCATTTATGCGGACCCTCTGCCGTGTGTCGCTTTGTCACACTAGTGCCTTAGATATCAAAGGATTTGAGTGACAGACACGTTACAGGTGTGGGATATGTCAACAGAGAAGATTCCATTGAAAGCCCTGGGCTGGGCATGTCAAACCAACTCGGTTGGGAGAGAAAGTTGATACATCTTTTGACCTCGGTCTCATGTCCCTCTTACATCAACCCGTTGGTACATGCACATCGCTCTGATCGTCGCATGGTAGCTGTTGTTGGAAAGGTCCGGGGCAAGATCTTCTCCCAATACCGCTTCGCTCTATCGAAGTAGATCAGATCATTGGACTCGTCAGCCGTACTGCGGTCGAAGCGCATGGACGAGAGCCAAAGAATGAACCCTGGTCTAAAGTAATATATTGCATAAAGTCTCGGCAGTTGATAACCTTCATGGGGATAGTAGATACCCTGCCAGGATGTTTTGTCTTGCGTACTTTGGGTGAGTGAGGCTTGATTGCCTCGCTCTCTTCACATGGCTAGCAGCCCCGTATCTGGAAGTCTTGGTTGCCACGAAGAAGCCAGGAAGCTATCAAACGCGACTGGTGAGCGGACGGACGCCGTCACTAGTTGTGGTTTGATACTCTCGAAGACATTATTGTCAGGCAAACCGCAAAGTTTCTTGCCGATGTGGAAAGTGTCAAGAGTCAAAGACACATGCCAGCCGTTGGCGGGCTTTGGCAATTGACAAGGTTGATAAGTCGGATGACCGTTTCCTTAGGTTCCCAAGTATATGGTCTTGATGACATCGATATGTAGCCTATCTTAACGACGAGCAAGCGATGCTAGCTCCTCTACCATGATTAGATCGTCAATACGGAGTATCTCTGGTGTCAATTGTAGTTGGCGTCATGATGTGATGACTGAGAACTGCGAAAGAAATCATGATCGGCCGTCTACAATGATTCTCACGCAAAAGGGCAGAGCGAGAGGGTGGCAAATGTCTTGTGCCTTTGCAAACGATCATCAAGACGTTCGTTGGGCATCTGTGAGAGAGGAACCAAAGAAGATTCGAACGAAGCAGTCACGACCTCCACGACTTTTGGCCGCTCTCGCTCATATTTCCACTCTAGGTAGCTCGGTAACTGTAACTCACGAGTCACGACATCTCCTGCTTGACAATGACTAGACATATCCGAATAACTACCAATCATCGTTAGTGGAACATACTTCGTACTCATACGAGCACGTCGTTCTCAGCATATGGTTTCTCTATCCCTTGTCAACCCAGTCTCGAACCAAACTCGGCACAAATATGCGACTCATGGTCAGTTGACCACGACTCAACTGTAGAAGCTCATCTCTGGCCATTTTGGTATACTGCTTTTGCTTCTTGCGAGCCGGCGGCGCGATGGCCGAGTACACCATTCAAGAGCTGAGGGTCCACAATACTAGACACCAAATAGCTATTGGACGCTATCGACAAATTGCAGTTGCTCTAATCCGCTAAGCTTGGCCATGAATCGACACGCACCTCTATTTGTCACGAGTCAACTTGATCATGAAGTGGAGCAGACACCTGTAAAGATGACTCGATGAGAAAATTAGCTGTCTCCAGACCTCTCCGATCAACAACCATAATCTTGGGTAAACACAGCACACGTGGAAATCTCCGAGGCAGTCAATAGTAGATCATGGCGCCGGAGACTTACCACTGAACTACCACTTAGCATGGCCGAGAAGATGGGTCGCGATCACATCACGCTACACGTACACCCAATTCATGTGTAAAAGTCTGTTGCAATTCCATGACGTTCTAGAGGTGCTAGCAGTGGGCTCAGTACCTAATGGTAATGTGATGCCGCGGCCACCCGCTCATGGTCGAGAATCAATCTCACCAGTCGTCAGCATCTTCTTCAGATCCTCCTTGCAAAGGCTCGGTCTGTTCCTGATTCATGGCGCGATTTACTGAGATCGAAAGCAAACCATCGATCTCGAAGAGCTATGACGAATGATTGCTTGGAAGGTGATGTGCTGACGAGGTAGCTTATGGCTTTTCAGGTCTCTGTCCTTTGATGCTGAAGTGGCATTGGCGGGCATGTTTCTCGCACTGAAGGCATATTGTGTCTCCATTTTTGTTCAATTTCTTGCCTGCAACACATCTGACTCTTGCCCAGGTACAGGTGTCGCATGACTTGTACTTCTGTCCGTTAGGGTCGTTGCTCTGGAGATCCTTCTTCTTGGCTTCCTCGATACTTTCTCTCTTCTTCGTCTTGTTCTTGCAATTTTCCTCGTCCGAATTGCTTGTGTCCATCTGGATCAAATCCGCCTTGGCTTTGACTTTAGCTCCGGTCTTGCGAGTCGACTGGACTGTCGATTTTATTGCGAGCTTGGCAGCCTCCTCGTTCTCACCAGCTTCTGACTCACTGTCCAAAATCTCATCGCGAGAGTCATCGATGTAAAGGTTTTCGAAGTCGAGCTGGGTTTGTGCTGGGTACTTGCGACCGACGGGCTTGTGGTTGGCGTAGTAATTTGGAAGATCTTCAATCGGGATCCACTTGGACTCTGTCGTGGGTTGCTGCTCAACATCAGGAGGTTCTTGATGGATCTTCATTTCGTTATCCTGAACTGCGCCGGAGGATGGCCAGGTAGATGTGTTCTGAACGCGCGAGTTCGACGAGACGCAGTGCGATCTGAGTTGGCCAAGTGCGTACGGCTGGATGGAGCGGCCTATGTTTGGTGAGCCGATATGGTGTTTGTCACTCAACTCTGCACGTACAGGTTTGTCTCGAGGTAACATACAGAGACTGACACACTTCGTGCACCTTTCATGGCTATGTCTCGCTCTGGTCACAACCCTTTGTGACGATGAATCTTGCAGCTAATATGCGCACTGCACGGATGTCTAAAGCTCTTTTTCACTTCACACAAAGCAGCTCGATCACCATGGTGCTGTGCAATCGACTTCTGGCTCATTCGAGCGATACTTTGAGCCTATTTGTTGGCATTGCAGGAGCGACATGGGTAGTGAATGAGCAGTTACGCGCGATAGGATGGAGGTATGGAACTAAGCAAACATAAAAGCAGCTGTCTGCGACTCAGTGTCTAAGAAAGGGGTCATCACGGAGAGCAAAGCAGACAGGAGCAGGGGGATGAAGCGTCGTCTCATCAAGTCTGAAGACTCACGGCTGGTCAGCGTGTAACAGCACAGATTCAGCAAGGAACTGGACAACCCTTTTTGAGAGTCTCTCGTGTTCAGTCTCTCAACGAATGCCTAACAATCCTACTTGTGTATTACAAACAGCTAGATATTGAGCAGTTCGCCATGGAGGAACCCACCGATTGAAGCATAATAAACAAGGCCTCCGCAATGCCACCACAAGACAAATGGGCAATGCCTCTCCTGGTCGGGCCCTGATCGGTACGACGTGCGACCGTGACTCCCAACACTCAACTCGTAGCTCATCATTGAAACCAGAGATAACCTTGGGTGTCGGTTATGGTAATCATGACCTCGGCTATGGATGGTCGTAAGTCAGCGATTGCCGTCGTCTAGTATTGCCTTTTGCGTTTCAATCACCAGACTGATTTTCCAGCAGCTGACCTGTCGGGATTGCAACCTCCAAATGTAGCAACGACCGCGGGATTTCATGTGAAATCGTGAATCTTGAATTGACAATTGGCTTTTGATACTGACAGGGTCACCCCATGAGCGTCATTTTAAGGTCTTTATTATTGCGAAGCCGGAGTAAGCCATTGCTTGGCGGATTTGGTATATAACCGTGCCGTGCGCCAGTAGTCTAAAAAATTCAAGTTCCTTTGGCAATTACATCTAGTAGCTAAGCTCTAGAAGGCCTCTACAGCCTAGGGTGCCCTCTATAGCCCTTAAAAGGTGGACTTACGACTATCTCGACCCTACACGACGCCGGCATTACTATTACGCTCCTTATTAGTTAACTTATAGGAGTTATAAGGATATAATATAGTTATAAGAGTAAGCTAATATTAGCTTCCCTTAGTCCGTAACTATACTTTTCTTATAATTAGCTACGACCCCTATAACTTTAAGGATAAGAGTAATAAGGCATTTATCTTTAAGCTAAGCTTATAGCTTTCTATTCTACCAAAGATAAATATGCGTCTATAAGGAGTTATAAGATAGATCCGAGTAGTCTTTCTAGCCGGAGGAACTCTAATTAATATAAGAAGGATATCCCTTCTTATAAGGGGACCGGATAGCATAGTACTACTAATATAGTACTTTAGCCTCTTTAAAACTTCTTTATATTCCCTACTTATATAACTCTCTTACATTCTAATAGAACCCGATCTCCACTACGACCCTATAACTAGCTACGCTTAGCTAGAGAGGTCTATAACTAGCTATTAACCGGTTAGAGGACCTATAACTAGGCCGTAATAAGCTAGTTAAGAGCCTCGAGACCCTTCGTCGATAACCTATAAAGAACTACTTAAGATCCTCTATCGTATAGAGTAGAACCGCCTAAACTAAGAAGCCGAATATGTAGAATATTAGGCAAGGAACTAACCTAGTCTATAACCGCCCCTATAATAGGTACCTCTACCTCCTCTATAGCTAGAGCTAATATAATAAGATACTCCTCCTACTTCTAGCTTTACAACTACTACTAAAGAGCACGAGTATCGTCTAAAAGTACCCATTTAGAAACCTCCTACCTTTAAGGAAAAGATGAAAAATAAAGAAGTAGATAATTAGATCACCTAACTTAAAAACTAGATAGGTTTGCAAGAGGACTTTATCTTTTATAGACCATTATAGGACAACGAAAAGAACTGCCTTACTTCTTCCTATCTAGAAGGGGATCTATTCGATTGCTAGTAAGAACACCTTACGGTTAATTCTTTTGTAGCCTAATTATTAAAGATCCGGTACTATTATATAGATCTCGATTAGATGGAAATTAAAAAGAGACGATTTAAGCATATAAGATAGACTAGTTTAGCTAGGGCTTTTATAAGGGACTTACAAACCCTTTTGCATAAACTTATCCCTATCTTATCTCCTAAAACTTTTCTTAGAAGGTATAGGGATAGCCTTCGAGAAGATGTAAGAGATGCTCTAGACATATAGCTTTATTTACCCTTAAATACCCTAAAAGATAATTACATTAATAGGGCTATTACTCTTAACAAGGTTTATTTCCGTCATAGAAGAAAGAACTAAAGTAAGAACCTAAATATAATTGTCAAATCCCTTAATGTAATAGGTAAGAAGAAGAAAGGCAAGGGTAGTAGTAAAGGAAAGGGTAGATAGGACAAGTTAAAAGTTACTTACTATTCCTATAATAAGCCTAGCTACTATGCTAGAGAATGCTGTTTAAAAAACAAGTAGGTAAGGTTATAACTAAGGTAACTTCCTTACCTTATAAGGCCTCTAATAAAGAAGAGAACCTAGTTATAAGTATAGATATAAACGTAACCGCTAGATCTTCGCCGGAAGAGGAGACTAAATACTTTACTACCCTAGATAGCGGTCTTCTTACGCTATACGGAACTATTAGACCTCATAACAATGTCTATAAGATTATCTTTATACTTAATACTATAGCATCTAGTATTTACATATCGGCTTTAAAGGCTAGAACCTTTTAGAAGAGTTCTATTATCCCTATTATAATAAAGTTAATCGTTTTGCCGAATAGGCAAACTATTATAATAAAGGAAGGACTTAAGTTACCTTATACCTTAGGAGACTAGTTAGGAACTCTTAAAGCGCGACTTATAGACTTTAAAGGATACGATATTATCCTAGGACTATCCTAGTTTATAAGACATAACCCTATAATTAATTAGCAGGTTAGCATAGTATAACTATTATACGAAGATACTCTTATAACTTACGTTCTTAAATCTCACTCTAGGATCTTTATATTATAAGATGCAAAAGTTAAGAATAAACGAGAACTACTATATACACTTACTAACCCTATAACAAATAGATAACTTAGTATAAGAAGAGCCCCCTTACTACTTATAGCACTACGTGCTTTTTCTAGTCCGGAGCCGGATAGTAAACCTACTATTATAACGCTCCTTATCTTCGTTATAGTCCTATAATAGTATCCATCTATATTTAGAGAGGAACTACCGACTAGACTGCCGAAGAAAAGAGACATTGTCTATTTAATTAATACTAGAGACGCGAAGCCGACGAACATATAGGCCTATTCGTTAAATCTAATATAGTTATAAGAATAGCAAAAGTAAATAGATATACTATTATAACGAGGTCTTATCTAGGAATCCTCTTTGCTATAGAGTAGTCCTATTCTCTTTATACTAAAACCTAGTAATAAGTAGAGAATATGTATCGATTTCCATACTCTAAATAAGCTTACGAAAAAGAACGGATACTCTCTACCTCTTATGTAAGATTGCTTAGATGCACTTGCTAAAGTAGCTTAGTTTATAAAGCTTAATCTTGTTTCTAGCTTTTAGCAACTATTAATAGATCTAGACTCCGTTATAAAGACTACGTTTAATACTCGATAAGGAAAGTATAAGTTTCTTATTATGCCTTTTAGCCTCTATAACGCTCCTATAACTTTCTAGACATTAATAAATAAAGTCCTATGTCCCTTCTTAGGAAAATTAGTTATTATATATCTTAATAACATACTAATTTACTCTAAAACCGAGAAGGAATATATAAAACACTTATACAACGTTTTTTAAGTGTTGCAATAAGAGTAACTATTTGCCTCTACTAAGAAGTATATAGTAGGAGTGTAAGAAGTTAAATTCTATAGTCATCTTATTACGCTAAACTATACATAACCTATATAAGATAAGGTTAAAGTCATCCGAGACTAGCCTACACCCTAAACTACGTGATAAGTCTATTAGTTTTTAGGACTTATAAGTTATTATCGCCGCTATATTTGTGGCTTTATAAAGCTTATAGCCCCTCTATTAGATTTACTAAAGGAAGAAGATGTAAATCTTCGCGCTATAAAAAAGAGACCTATTTAGTGGAACTTATAGTGCACTTATTCCTTTAATAAGTTAAAAGAGACCCTTATAACTAGACCTATTCTAGTTGCACCTAACACTTTAAAGCCTTTTTGGATTAAAACTAACGCTTCGGAATAGGCAATAGGATCTATTCTATACCAAAATAGCAAGGATAATAAGTTACATCCTATTACATTTAGTGGACGTAAATTAAAAGCTATAGAACTAAATTATCCTATCTATAAGAAGGAAGGACTTACAATTAAAGAAGCATTATGCATATGGACTATGTACATTTAAAACGGACATAAGATAGTTATTCTAACTAATCATAAAAGTCTAAAGTACTTATAAACTATGAAAACCCTAAGCAAGCGAGTTATAAGGTAGTTTAAGGAGTTTTCTAAGTATGATATCGAGATTCGATATAGGAAAGGATTAGAAGCCATTATCCCTAACGCTATATTATGGCGCCCTAATTTCATAGGGAATACTTCTACAAATGTTATAGAGCGTATTAATACTATGCGTTTCTAAGCGGACAAAGAAAATGACTTTATAGAAGCAATAATTACCTTTTAACTATCTAGTACTCTTCTAGAAGAAGAGTACTTGCAAAAACTAGTATAAGAAAAAGTAATTAACTACGTAGTCATTAACAATAATGGAATACTAGAGTTATAATATATTCTACTAGATAATAAGGGAGTTACACTATATCTTATACCGGAATTCCATGCAGATTTCCTAGACTATATACATCATAACTATAGCCATTTCGGCTCCTCTAGCTTACTTAGATAC